ATTAGGAATTGGAAATCAGGGTGGTGGTGATATTTTCATTTTTCCTTCTTGCTGTTAATCGGATTCTTTTTTATAAATCATCACATGATGATGCAAGAAAAAAAGGACAAATAAATGATCAATAAACTAATCAACGTTTCAGTTAATTCAGATATATAACGGGGTGAGGTCAATTTTGTTAATTTCGAGCAAATTTTTCAATCGTTAATTTGATAACTGTGAACAGTTATCATGGTGTTGGTGATGATGATGAAAGTAAAAGGTGGAGGTGAAGGTGGATTAGGTGTTAGAGAAAATAATAATATCATCATAATCTTAATGATAAAGTAAACAAATTGTTCCCAAATCAATAGTTGATTATTAATAATACAGGTAAGTTTCATTCAATCTCCTAGCAGGTATTCATGATAATCAAAGATAATCATTATCATTATGAAGATTATTACTGCTTACAACCATCATCATCATCATCAGTCCAGGATAAGAGAGAGAGAGAGAGAGATTCTTTTCTCTTCCTTGTAACATATAATTTAAATTTCACTTTCATTTACCTTGAGTATTAATGAGAAATACATACAATCAAATTTAATGATAATCATCATACTCGGTATATATTTGCTACCTTTGAATATCTAATAAATTATTTAAGGTGTAAAAATGTAAAGGTAAAATTTTTCACTCTTCCATTGGCACCTTGGAACCTTTTTCATCATCATCATCATCATCGTCTTTCCCACCTAAACCATTATCATGATGATTATTATCACTCAAAACGTTACCCTGAATTAAGGTGATTCCTTGATTATCATTAACTGATATTATTGTTATTTTAATTTTTCTGCTCTCAATGTAAAGGCTTCTTGTATATTCAGTTATGGTCAGTATCTGTTTTCCTTAATCTACCTGGACAATGGTCAACCAAGGATTTTATTCAAATCTTTTCATCCTTTCATCGTCATTCATCATAATTAACTTCCGTCTCTCTCTCTCTCTCCTTAAGTAACTCACTCTTGTTTTATTGTCATCATCATCTTAATTGTTGATTAAATTAAGTCTTTTGATGAATCTCTTAATTTATATTTCTGTTGATTATGTTTAATTTTAATTGTTCATCTAATCAATGTAATGTTTTATGATTTTATTATATTGTTGTTGTTGTTTTTAAATTTCTTGTGGGTGGTTGTTGTTTATTATTTAATTGTAGTTAAGGTTTTAATTATCATTTAGGCGTTGGTATTAATATATTAGTATGTTTTGTAATATTTAACTTTTGTAATATTTAATCAGCAACAATTTAACCTACAATTACAATCAACCTGATTGTTACTTTTTGCCCAAATAAAATCAATGATTAACTTGATGAGTATGTTAATTGTAATTTACTTGAGTGAGTGAGTGTCTGAGTATATTAATTATTTCAATAAGTTACGGTTTTTAAATCAATCAAATTTTTACGGAAAATGAAAGGATTACAATTAAAATGATTTACTAATCACAATTAAAGGTGACTGGTTTCTCACATAAACATATCATTAAGTATTAATATAATATAAGCATCTGATTATTAATCAAATATTAAATTGTTGATTAAGATAGAGAAAGGAAAATACAATCAATTGATTGTTGACCTGCTCATGGTTTGTTATTATCAAATCAAAAAGTTAATCAACAACAATTATCTCATAAGTTTTTTGAAAGCTTTGAAAACTTTTACTTAATCGCAATTTTTAATCAAATTAATCAAATGATTGACTTTCAGTTATTATGATTGTTGTTGTTGGTTAAACAACAATCAAATGTAAATACAGCAAATTTAGGCTAATATAAACTGACCATTGTCCACAACTCAAGCTGGACAAAAAAAAACCACTTTCTCTGCCTATTGTAATAATGTTAAAAGCATCATGATGTTAATTAATCAATTGCGATAACAATAATTTAGCTAATTACAAATGAGTAGGAAAAAAATTACTGTTATTATATGAAGGAAAAAAACTGACCATTGGTGATTTAAAGTGAATCATCTAGAGGAAAAGTGTAATCAAAGTATAATTTTTACAATGTGAGCTTATTATTATCAACAGAAGTCCTTGAGTGTAACAATCAGTGTAATAATCAATTATATTAATGATAACTGACCAAAGGTCATCTTGGAGAAAGAGACAATAATTATCTGAGTTAATTACGATTGTTTTGTTTACTTTGTTGTTTTCTTACTCGTGTCTCGATATTTTCAATGGTAGTTTTCAGGATTCCATTGATGCAGATGCCTGGACATTCAATCACATTGGTCAGTTCGTTGATTACAGTTAATAGAGAAGAAGAAGATGAAATGAAGAGAAGAGAAGAAAAAAAATAGAGAGAAAAACCTTTGAATTGGTCATCATATTTGAAAGAAATAAAGAAAAGAAAACTATTTTACTTATTGGTCAGTAAGCAGGAATGACCAACAACAATTTAAGTAATAACAAGCAATTACAATTGTTACAAAATCCTTCAGGGCTTCAAACAACATCAACATTGAATTTGAAGGTAAAAATTTTGGAGAAAAAAAAATATCAAAAGATGATAATGATGATGAGGATGAAGATGATGAAAATGATGAGGAACAAATAGTTTTCCATTGGAATTAGCTGATAATTTTTTTCTTTTTGCAATATAAATAATTATCTTCTCTTCATCTTCGAAAGGTAATTTTTTTCTTCTTCTTCTTCGCCGGCCTTTACATCTTCTTCCGTTTCATTGATCATCATTATCATCCTCATCCTCATCTTCACTCTTTACACCATTATCATCATCTTCGTCTCTCTCTCTCTCTCTCTCTTACCTTTCTACTTTTTTCTCATCCTTATTCCCATCATTATCTTTCTTTCACTCACAAATCTTTTCCCTCTCTTTCATCTTCATCATCATTATCTTCCTCTCTCTCTCTCTCTCTCTTATATTTTTTTCACCAAAAAAATTCTGGTTCCAAGTAATATATTTAATAGTAATTTACATTCACAACAATCAACAAATTGTGAGTTTATCTGTTGGTGTATTATTAGCAACAATTAGTTGATATACTAACACGTATCAAATGTTTGAATATTTATCATGATGATGATGAGAGAGAGAGAGGACAATTTGTTAATTGTAATCATGAAAGTTAATTATGATTGACAGTTTCCTTTTTGATTGTTAGCCTTTTTTTTTATTCATCTCTTACCATTAACATGATCAGTTAATCACTTTGGCTTCATGATGATCTTAAAAAAAGTTTCCTTCTCATCCTTTTGATTAGAAAACATAACTAATTGTAACATACTAATTAACTTTATTTAATTGGTTAATCAATAACAATCAAGAGAATGTGTAATTTATGCAAATGAAAGACAATCGCACAAAATTGAGAGATGAAATTGGTAGAGGCATAAAAGAACAGCAAAAATCAATCTAATCTCAAGATTGTTCAGATCGAAACTCAGAATTTTCAGATTCTGTATATTTTTTTGTTCACTTTCTCTTTTTCTTCATCTCATGTGGATGATGATGATGATGATGATCAGATGATTTTCTCTTTCTTCTTTCAGTAAAACTCATTGATCATTGTTTACTTGAATCATGTTCATGATCAACATCATGATCAGAATCATTTTCTGGATATAACAACAATAACAATGAAAAATTAAACTCTAACCATCTTATCAAATGATAAATAACTTTTACCAACAACAATCAGTGAACCCAATCAGTGAATTAAATTGTTTGGGTATAAGAAAAAAAAAACCTAATCAAATACAACGAGAAAAAAGTAACTAACAATCAATGGAAAGGTGATTATCATGATTAAAGTTGATTATCATCCCACAGGTAATCATAATAATCAAATGTAATTTTATCAATGAAATGATGTTAATCAATAAACCTAAATAAAATTCACAAAGACATTTGAATTTATCATAATAATAAAAGTAATTCAAAACCAACGATTTATGTATTAATATTGTAGTTAATATCAGCGCATTATCATCATCAAATTTAATCAACAACAATCAGTGAACAATAATAATAATGATTACCATCAATGAATTGAATTATGGACAATTGAGATTACAATTTAGTCCAACAATCAACAAAAAACTATATTCTGATGTTGATCAACATTGAATGAGAAGTGAAAAAACAATTGATAAATTTTCAATCTCTATTCTGTTAACCTTAAGATTATGATTTAGATTATGATTGTTATGATTAACAATAAGCTATTATCATGGTTGGTCCTTTTGTTAATTGTAATCAAAAAACCAGCAACAATTGAAATCATCTCGTTGAAAAAAAAGGTAATCACCAGGAATGGATTATCTTTACCAAGAGATTAACGTTTATCCTAATCCATTTTTTTACCATTCTCATAAATTGTGTTCATCTAAATGTAATCATACATAATAATCATCTTGTTAATCGTAATCATAATCAATCATAATCAGTTGATCATCTCCTCCCTCTCTTGTATATTTAAATTGTCTTCTTGTTGATCATCTGCTTCTGATGCTCTTGTTGTTGTAATATCAATTTAAATTGTTCATCTCAGCAATTTAATTTAATTGTGATTGTTTCCTAATTCACTTTGGATTTTGTTTCTTTTTCTGCTCAATCATTTCAATTGAGTTTTTTTTTCCTCTTCCTTTCAAATGTTTGTGTTAATTTAATTGTTTTGGTAACAGTTTTTTGATTAAATTGTTCTTGTACCTTGACGATCATTGTAACTAATCATTGATCATGAAACTTTCATGATTTTACAATTTAATTTAATTTAATTTACTATTTCTTTGTTCGGTAACCATATAAATTAATATATAATACTAATTATCATCTTCTATGGGAAAGTTTAGTTTTTTTTTTGCTTTCTCATCTTTTTATCATCTCGCCTTGTCTTCATCCTGTTTTCTGGTTCATTCATCATTAAATTGTTGTTGATGATTAGGTAATTTTTTACTTGGATATCATCATTATCATCAAGATCATAGGATTAGGATGTCTTTTACTGCTACCACGTGACTAGGATTTTTCATCTTCATCTTCATCATTGTTTTATAACTGAACAATGTGAGGACTAATTTACATCACAATCAAAGTGATTTAAAACATTGATAATCTTTTTCTTGTTTAATTTTTCTTCCGGTTTCTCTTTTTGTTTATTAATTCATGTTAATTATATTCATGAGATCTGAAGACATGATGAAGACGACGAAGATGATGATGATGATGATGATAATAATCTTTACAGTTCTTTCATCTTTACTCTCTCATTAATTCCGAAATAATAATAATGATTATTGGGAAGAGTGTATTTGATTTTTGTAAACGTTTTAGTTGATTGTTTAATTTATTTTTTGGCTAGAAAAATAACCTTTTCTTAATTAAAGTTTTCTCCTTTGTCAATTTATTAACAACAAAAAAAAATAGTAAAGAAGTTGATGAGATGCACTGGGTGAAAATGGAGAGATGCAAAAATGGATGATGATGGTGATGATGATGATGAAGATGACGATGATGGCGTTCAACAAATGATTTAATCACGAGATGTGGTTGTTTTATAATAGTAGTTTCGATGATATCGATGTTATATATTTTGATGAGATGATTGAGAGAGAGTCAAATATTTACACAGGATTTAAGTTGGTGGCTCTTTTAAAATCTACACTTGCCCTTACATCAGGACAATTAAGAGGTTTATTTAATCCTCTACCTGGTGGCATCGCATATCTTAATTTCTCCCAGAATCTACGATCACCCCAGTGGATGATTGGTGATGAACGGATACACAGTTTACCATCAGCATCCAACTGATTTAAACTATTCTTATCCAAAACAACCACAATTAATTTATGGTTGGGGTTCACTTGACACTCTTGGTGAGCCACTTTAAGTTCAAAATGACACGAATCTGATTTAAGATATTGATCAGATAAAAGTATTATTGTCCGATGAGATGATTCAATGGCCTCAGAAATGGCCTCGGCAACATAACCGGTTACTGGAAGGTCGCGATAACGAAGGCACAAACGGTATGGTGGATGACCATACTCTAGTTCAGGGGCTAAAATTTGTGATATAAAAGCTTCATCTTTCTTGCAATAAGAAACAAATCCGTCAAATAGACGCTCAGTTTCTGGTGGATAATTTGACTTTTGGCAAAACCTTAATCCATAATTAGAATATATCCAGACTTTAATCTCTTTATGGTAAACACTGATTAGAATGATGATCAACAGAATTACCACAAGACCAATGATAAGAATCAATGTCAGTGGCATGTAATCTTGAACCAATGAATTTTGAAAGTGAGGAACTTCATTGGCAAAGGTTGAAGGGGTTATGACCTCTCTTAAAGATGAACCAATCACAACACTATCAACCCCATAGCCACCATCTTGTGATGATTCAATGGTTGAACCAGATAATACTTGGTGTGGCTGTTGATTAGGATGATGAATTAAATGATTATCACTATAATTTGTGCACTTAGATGAATTTAATTGCCAAATATATGGACCAATTGAGGTATTATTATAATGACACCGAATAGTATCTTTGTTTAACACATAAGCGGCCTCGGTTCTCATCCAATCACGGAAACGTGAAACAAAATCACATCGACAGGTCCATAGATTATTTGAAATGTGAACAACCAATAGATGTGGATTATAATTGAGTGACCAAATAGCAAAATCAGAGATAAAATTATCTTCCAAATGGAGTACCTGAAGAGATGTTAAATTGATAAATGTACGGTTGTTAATGAAAGAGATCCGGTTATGGTGAAGATGAAGCTCACGGAGTCGTGAGAGTGATTCAAACTCAAATCCATTTAGGGTGGTAATGTAATTATGTTCCAAGTGGAGAACTTGTAATAATTGTAAACCATTAAAGGTTCTATTTACAATTGAATGGATTCCACTATTATTCAGGTAGAGAGTTAACATATTTTTCCGACCAATGAAGGTGTGACTTGATAGGGTTGATAATTGATTACCATCGAGATAAAGTTCAGTTACATCCATTGGAATTCGTGAAGGTACATGTACATATTCCCGTCGGGAACAGTCAACAATATTTGTTGACCATGTTTGATCATAATAACAAGTACAATTGTCCGGACAGGTCATCTTACAGTCACAGGCATCAAACTCACAACAGTGACAAAGAGCAAAACAATGGGTCTTATATTTGCACAGAAAATTGGACGAATTGGCTTTCACTAGAGGAAGATAAGTTGACTCACGGACAAAGGGAAGTTGACATGTAATCTGGTCAAGATCCATTACCACAGGATATTGAAGGGAAGTGTCCTTATTAACCCTTTGTAGCCATTCCATGTTACAATCACAATAAAATGGATTATCTGATATTAAGAAATGAGGTCGACTTTTTAAAGATGTTGATGATATTGTTTTAAAACGAAAGGCATTCATATCTAATGTTGATATTAGATTATTACGTAGGTCAAGATGTTTAAGGTTAACCTTATCGGTAAAGGTCATCGGAAGAACCGTTGTAAGATTATTATTGTTAAGGAAAAGGGTTTCCGTTGTATTGGGTATAATCCATGAGTTTAAATCTTTTGTAATTAGATTAAATGAAAAATCTAAATGTGTACAAAATCTTTCAACTTTATAATAATTTGTCAATTCACCAATACGATTACTATGAGCGTCAAGAACAGTTAAACTTTCAGGTATCAGTGCATATTCAAACCAAGTTATCAAATTACGGGAAACATTGAGATGCTTTAAGTTAATTAGATTAATGAATAGGCCATTGATGTCAGTTAAATTGTTGTCTTGAAGTAAAATGGTTGTCAGGGTAGAAGCAGAATCATCAAATAAACCTGGTTCCAAACCATTTAACAGGTTACCCGAGAGATCAAGAAACTGAAGACTTGGTAAATCTTTGAAAAAGTTTCTAGTTAAATTGGTAATCTTATTGTTGGATAAATCCAATCGTGTAAGATGTTTAAGATTATTAACAATGTCAAATGCATTGTTTTTGGTATTTGATGATGATGGAGATGATGAAGATGAAGATGAAGATGTGAGAATAGGTGTAACAGTTGTACTACTGTTAATAGAAGAAATTTGATTATTTGATAGATGAAGATTTTTTAATTCTACAAGATGATATATAGCTGTTGGTATCTCTTTTAATTTATTTGAAGAGAGTTGAAGATCTTTAAGAGAACTACAATTGGTGAAAGCATCATGGTTTACACTTGAGAGAAAATTATCATTTAAAGATAATTCTCTTAGCACATTGGGTCCACTAAATGTGTGTGAGTTTATGATGGTCAACTGGTTACCATCAAGTATTAAATGGTGAAGATTATAAAGTTGAGAAAATGAGGTATCCTCAATAAAAGATATCCTATTATGGGCCAAGTTAAGCTTTTGAAGTGAATAAAGTGAATGGAAGAATAATTTATCAATTGTTTTTAAATGATTGTGACTTAAATCAAGTAATACCATTCGTATAAGGTCAATAAATGTATCACTGTCAATACTTTCCGATGGAATCTCATTGTAGGATAAATTAAGTAAAAGTAATTTAGATAGTCCGGTAAACAATCCGCTTGGTAATGTTGTTAATGAATTATTTTGTAAATGTAATTCTTGTAGTTCAATTGATTCACGAAAAAAGTGTGCAGGTAAAGCTTTCAATTTATAACTTGCTAAATTGATCACTTTAAGATGTTGTAAAGCCGATGGAGAAACCAGACAATTTTGTAAAAGGTAACAACAGGTAATCAAAAATAACGAAATTATTGAACTGAACCACATCACAACCAGTAAACAAAAAATAAGATTTTCGGTTAAAAGGTAAAAAAGAACACATGAAAAAAGATTATGATTAGAATTGATGTAGATTCATTTAGAAATGAAGATGGACACAGAAATGGATAGAGAGATGGTCACAATATTTTAAGAAAAAAAAAAGTTAAATGATGAGAGATAAAAAATATCAGTTAAATTGGACACAAATAAGATGAGAGATTATAAAGAGAAAAAAATTCAGTCAAAAGTGTCTACAAGCATTTTAGTGAGAATCCAAACTTGAAATGAAGAGAAACAGAAAAGAAACTAAAACTTGTATCTGTCTTTCTGCTTCTCCCTCGAAAAAAGAGAGAGAAAAGAGAGAGAAGAAAAAGAGAATAGAATTTTTTTTCTCCCCAAGTGTTGCCATCTAGTGGACAAAGAAAAAACTCCAAAGAAAAACAAGAAAATTTTTTCTTTTCATTTTTCATGGTGATTTTTTCTTTCTCTTTGTGACTCTTTTTTTTTCTTTCTTTTTCTTTATTGGTGATTATCATGAATTTCTAAGTGATTATTTGTGACCAATGAATATAAATTGTGTCCCTTTCTTATACATAGAAAATGTTTGGTTAACAAAAATGTAACAAACAACTAACACAATGAATATAATGATAACCCATACAAATGACATTTACCTTTTGTCCAGAATCAAAAGCAAGAGATTTTTTTTTATTCTTCATCTTCATATTTCATCTTGGTAATAAGGAAAATAGAATAGGAAGAGAGAGAGAGAGAGAAAGAAAGAAAAGAATAGAAAATGAAGAAGAAGAAGAAGAAAAAAATGAATAGAAAATTTCGTAAACCAGATTAACTAGAGATTCTTGATAAGTAACAACAACAACAACATCGCAACGATAACAATTTAACATCAACCTCATTGAATATTAAAGTTTATCAACTTCTGGTTATCAAGTTTGGTACAATTGATCTGATCTGTTACCTGGCTTATTATTATTATTATCTGGTTGATAATAAGATTTACATTTTCGATATCAATTCAATTCTTAATCCACTTGGTTTCCTTTTCTCACCCACTTCAAAAAGTGACCCACTACTCTCACTCCTTTGTACCTGTCCCACTCTTCATCATCAATTACTCTCATAGATTATAAACTCTGTCATCTTTTCAAATTTCAATTCGAATTTCCAACTTGACCAATGTCCATTAACACTATTGTCCCTTAATTAGCTCTCTCTCACTCTCTCTTCAATAGTTTCTCTTTTCTTTCTTCCGATCTTCTAATTGTTCAATGAGTGTCTCTCTCATTTTCCCAGGTTATTAAAACAATAGAACTCAATTACGACTCGAAAATCCGACTTTGATATTAATCTATTTCTTAATTTTCCTTTCGATTGACAGTTTAAAACTCTTTAAATTTCACTAATTTGTCTTGTCCGACAGTCAACTGGATTAAATTGTGAGTCTCATTTTCTAGTAATTTTACTATTAGCAGCAATTTAACTCTACCTTTAAGCTATATCTTTAATCATCATTGGTCAGTTTTAAAGTGAAAGGTCAGTCGGTTGAAGAAAAAAAAAATGAAAGAAGCGAAAGAAAAAAAAATCTCAACTAATCCATTTACAACTTAGATTATCTTAATCCACATGAGTGAAGATAAACACAGAGAAAAGGGATTAAAATGAAAAGGATCATGAGAACAATAATTTCATTTAAAAAGACTCATATTGATTTTTCATTCCAAATCACAAAAATAATTAAAAATCGTTAATTGTTTACACATTCACTGAGAGTAAACAATTAACACACTTTAAAACTGGATTAATTAAAAGTTATCACCATGATAACAAAACTAAATCCAAATGATTAATCATAATCAATAATCAATAATATTAATAAGATAATGTTAAGGAAAAAAAAAGTTTTCAAAGAGGAAAAGTTAATTGTTGACAAAAGTTTAAACAACAATTAGAAAAGCTCATCTTTAAATAAGCTGTAATAATATACTGAATTGGGATGATTTTAAATTGCAACAATTACAATTACAGGTAATACACATTGACGATTATAATTACAATTGATATTGATTACAAGTTAAAACCGATAAACAATAATTACAATATCAATGATTGTGTTCAAAAGGTAATCATTTTTTACCTGCAACAATCAATACAATTTTAACACATCAATTACAATTGATGAACACACTCACAAATGATCACAATAGTAATCAACAATTACCAATGGTTATTATTACTATTATCTTTATCATCCTCATCATCCTATGAGTTTTTTGTTAACATTTTTGGAGAGTTTACTTTTTATGCCCTAAGGGTGAAAACCAATTACCAATAACTTAGTTTACTTGGTAATTCCTGTTGCATTGTTGTTGGTTGATTGTTAATCGATGTGTGTGTGGATTGTTTTTTTCTCATCATCATGATGATAGGGATGAATTATGAAGATTAAGTATGAAAGAAATTAAAATTAACTAATTAGTAAATTAAAGTTAATCACGAAGGTAAATGATAATCGATTTTGTAGAAGAAACAAAAAATCGAGTTGAAAAACTTTTTCTTTTTCTTTTTCTTTTCTCTTTTGTTTTTCTGTTTTTCTGTTCTAATATTAAATAATATCGTAAGAATATTATTATGATTTGATTGTTACTAAGTTTTAATTTAATTTTCTATCATTTGGTTGTACTAATTATCATTATCATCTCGATTAATTAACTAGTTATTATCAAAGAAGATCACGTTTTTTGCTCTCTATGGTTTCGTTAATTGTTTCGGTCAAAATGATTGTCTTTAAATTGTTCTTCAAATTAATTCAGAGAATCACATGTAATCATAATTTTCATGATTCTTCAAGATTCATTTCCAAGTAAAAAAAGAGAAAAAGAACAAAAAAAAGTTCTAAACGATCGCAAGATCGGTAATTTTTTTTCTCTTTTTCCATCATCATCATCATCATCATCTCTCTCTCTCTCTCTTGGCATCTTCTTCTATCTTTTTGTTGCCCATTGGTCAAGCACGAAGTCGACCTTTTCTGTTAGAACTTAACTAAAAGACTAATTTTTTTATCGTGATGATAATTTTCTCTTCATCTTGATCATCATTCTCATCCTCCGGTTCCTTATTTAATTTATCAAGGTAATCAAATATCCCCCCTGATCCCGGGACAAATGGTTTACCTTTTTTTTACACATCATCTTTAATCATAATTATCTTCATCATCATCAACATAACTTTGGTATTTCCTTTTCCTCTTTACTTATCAAACTACATTTACCTTGAGTTTATTACTTTCGCATCATCTTCATGAAATCTTCATATATTAACCATCATTAACTATCTAATTAAAAGGGACTGATAACATTTTCTCACTACCACCTCCTTCACCTTCATCATCCTCCCTTTCCACCTCTCTCACCTCCTCCCTTTTCTTACTGATAATCATCTTCCCCATCATCTTCATCCTCATCTTCTTCATCTTTGATTTCTCATTTAAATTATCTTCTTATGGAATCATTTCTACTACAATGTTTTTCTCAATACACTAACATCTTCATCTCTCTTGTTAACTTATCTGATTAACGTTTCTATTTAATTGTGATTCTAATTTGATTGTTCAGGGTTAATTGTTAGTCGCAATTTTCAGCTCTCTCTCAATGTTTATCAATTGGATTTAAATTGAATCGTTGTTAAGGTTAAATCTATTAACATTAGAGTATAATAATAATAATAATATGATTTAAACTCTTATTACAATCAATTGATGCAAAAATTAAAGGTAATTTAGTTTCGTTTTTTTTACTTGATTTGATTTTCCAAGTTGATATTTAACATGTTCAACGGAAAGCAATTAACTTTAATTGTAATAGCATCATAATAAAATGATAATTTAACCAAAAACAACAACAAACTAACTTTTTTCCTCTTATTTAAAGGTAACAATTAAGCTTAGAATCATCAATTTGTTGTTGATTGATCATAAAACAATTAAACACAATCAGTAAAGTGACACAATCATAATAACAAAGATTAGCCAGAAAAACATAATCGACATTTAAATTGTAATCATAATAAAAATTAGTCGCAATTAATTGCTGAGAAACAATTTAAATAATTCCTTCAATTCATTTTTAAATCTTTGATCATCAATTTGAATTGATTGATCAATCCAATTGGGAAATCAAAATCAAAATCAATTCCAATTGTTGTTGGCAATTTTGAATCATAATTAATTACACTTTTACTTTAAGAGCAATTTATATTTACTCAATTTAATTGCCAATGATATTGATTTTATATTGCTGAATATTTGGTTTATTTCATTTGGTTTTATTATGATTACTTTAAACAACAATTAACTAATTCACTTTTATTATACCTTTGGTACATTGGTTATTGGTTAACCTCCTCCTTAATCATAACAATTAACAATCAGTTTAACCTTTAATCTTGATTATGAGTCTAAAAAAACAACATCATCTAGGAAAATGATTATCATGATTGTTACAATTAACAGAGTAATTAGTGAGTAGAGTAAATGATTAACATATCATTATTATTATCTGATTGTTATCATTTAGTTTTGTCACAATTAACGACCAAGAGGTAAAATAAAAATACGACAATTAATTGTTAAGTAAATTGCTCTTAATTGTATAGTAATAAAGTTGATATAATTAATTGTCAACATTTTTTTTATATCATATGTGACTAACTGTTGTTAACTATTATCATCATTTAAATTGTTATCATTGAAATAATAATCAAATGAATCACTTACATTAAAAATCGTGAATAACTAATATTGGTCACAATTTATAAATAACTGTCTTAATTGTTGACTAGATCAGTTGGTTAAACTGTTAAACAGTATAAATTGTTGGCAATCAATCAATTTATTGGGCGCTGTTGATCATCATACAATTTAAATTGTATTATCATCTAATCAATTCAGTTTCAATTTTGGTGAAAATCGTTATGATTGTAACAATCTAATCCAAACAATTAGTGAGATAATAGATTAGTCCTTAATCGTTTCATTCCTAAAGTTCACTGTTAAACTATTATGATTAACAGAATAGAGAAAAAAAAGAGAAACAAATTAATATAATTCTAACACTATTAATAGTCTAATTGTTAGATTAATTGGTCATCTACTTACTAGATTATTATTTGGAAAAAAGTTCCAATTCCGTGATTGTTATTCAAAATCTTTGATTCCTTTTGTATTGGGTGATATTTCTGGGCCAACAATTGTAATCATAATCACGTTTCTCTTGATCATCTCATCTAAACAGGTAAATTAATCATATTAATAGTCAATTGACCGGGTTAATTGTTGGAGAAAATTTCTTTCTTTCTCTTTCTATCAACAATTATCACCGTCATTATCATTATCAGAATTTTTGATAATCCATCCAGGCCAATATTTCATATTCAAAGTTTTGGTTTTGGTTTTCTTGTTTTCCATTGAAAACTTTAACCACCATTGTGAATCCAATTCTAATAATTAAAAGTAATTTATATTACTGGTTAAGTAGATTAAGATGATTAATAAAGTGTATGGTTATTTTACAAATTACCAAATCAATGATCCACCGAATCTAATCAATCATTTGATATCAAAAGCGGAAGAAAATCCAGTGAACCGGTAAATACACTTTTCTTCATATTATTTATCATCATTCAGGAATTATTATCTTCTTCTTGTAATTTCGTTTTGTTTTCTTTTCTTCATGGAGTCAGAATAGTGATCAAACTTGAGAGAGAAGAGAAATAAATGGGGAGAGAGAGAGAGAGATTTACGGTCAACCAGGATGAAGAAGAAGAAGAAAAAAACTGACCCAAGGAAAAACTATTGTCTAAGATTGAATATATCGGCTATTCAATCTTATTCTGCATCCTCATCACCATTCATCTCCTTCTTTATCATCATCATCATCGTTTGCTCAATCGTCTCCCGCCTTTCAGGTTAATCCGTTCAATACTCTGTTGGCCGCAATATTAATACAACACGGAAACAAGTAAAGTCCATCACCGATCATTTAATTTCTATTAAAATAACAAAAGAAAATCAAGAGAATGAGTTGAGAGAAATAATAATCATCATCATGTAAAGAGAGAAATGATTAAGATGAGAATGATGAAATTTTTCAACTGTTTGAGTTTAGGATTAGAAACTATGATTGTCATGATAATCAATACTGACCAATACTATTAACAGGGTCAAGTTTTTATCTTCTTGTTTCCAATCAATTTCTTTGGGTGGGGTAATTAAACTCACAATTATTACCATGTGAACGGATAATTACAGAATCAATTGTACAATTTACCAATTCAGTTGATTGTCAATATAATTAGTAAAATGTGCTTGCGTTTGTGATAAATTGGTTGTATTGTCCATCACACTTTAGTTTGTATATGTAAAAGGTTTAATTGTTTAACTTTACCTGTTTAATTGTTGTTTGTATCTTCTTGTAGTTGAAATTGTAATTTATTAGATGATGTTTGATGATCATCATCACATAGAAAGTGTTTCATCATGAAACTTTCATGTTGATTGTAAAGGATAGAAAAAGATGTTTGAACAATTTGAGTTAATCATTTGGAAACTGGATTCAATGGTCAACTGAATTGGAAACAATTCTATTCTTGGTCAAGTCGGCTGATCAAGTCAGTGAAACAAATCAGAATAAATTGTGTTGATGATAATCATCAATATTAAGGATAATCATCAACAAGAAGATGATGATGATGGAGTATCTTAAAATTCCGTTTTTCTTACCAATTTAGATGAACATTAAATATATAAGTTCATCATCAAGATTATCTCAATAACGATGAAAGCTTAAGGGATAACTTTTATAATAATGTACGATTCTTGGTAATCAGTAAATGATTGTAACAATGTAATGTTTTTGTTGTTATTGTTGATGGTGATGATGATGATTAACGGCATTATCATGATGAGTTGAATAATATGTCTACTTTTTTTGATAAAATCATCAATATTATGTTCCCATCATGACTAAAGCTACAACAGTTTGATTTCATCTTTACCCTTTTGATGCTCCATCATAATTATCATCTTCTTGTTGAGGTTCCTTTATATTAACCAAAATTGATCCATCTAAAAGCAGAGGGCCAGTTGGGTGAGACTGAGAGAGAAAGAAGGTAAAATTCATTAATTTGATTAGATTTTCAATGTATTTAAGTTATGTAATCTGTTATCTGAATAAGAAAATTATCTTTTCTTTTCGTTGTTCCATCAACATAATAACAGTATCAATAATAATAATACAATTTACTTACATTGATTGAATGAATCGGAGATGAAGAACTTGCCCTTTTGTTGATTAACCAAAAAGGAACAATCAACAAGCTAAACTTTCGTCAATTAATCAACAATTAACCTTGAGGGACACAAAAAAAAACATGGTCAACAACGGAAAAGGAAAAAAGAGAAAAGAAAAGGAAAAAGATCAGATAACCAGAACAACGATGATACATGTAATTCTAGCACCAATCAATTAATAGAATTAACCAAGTACACAGATAGTCATACAATACTCATCAATCAAAATAAATTCTTATTCTGAGTGTAAGAAATTAACCAAATTTACCAACGATTAGGCCCAAAAAGAAACAAAGAACCAAGAGTGTAACCATTAGCCGCGTTTATAGAAAAAGAGACAAAGAGAATCAAGAAGACGATCATCATAATTATCATCAATAATTGTTCCAATTAGAATAAAAGACAATTAGCTTTGGTTCCTTCCTTAATTGTAAATTATAATCAAAAAAATCTGCGAAAAAGAGACAAACAAATTGATTAATAAGAAAATGAAATATCAATTAGCATAAAAACATCATAATGATTAACAAGAAACAAGAAAACAGGAAAAGGTTAACCAAAGATCACATACTTACTATCACTATGAATGAATATCAAGTTAACAAGATGATAATCTTAATTACATCATTACCTTCACTCTATTAAATAGAAAATTAAAAGACAAATAATTAAAAGTGTGAATAATAATCAAGATTAATTAAAATAATCAACAAGAAAGAAATAAAAATTAATCCGTTGGGACCGTAGTAAAAGGCAAAAAAAGGCAAAAAGGCAAAAAGAAGCAAAAAAGAGCTAAAAGACAAAAACACTTTTTAAATTCAATTCTTTTTACTTATATTTAATTTTTACGATTTGAAGATGAACTCAGGTCAGTATATGTGGTCAAATTATCGATAAAAAATTAGATTTTTAGTTGAAATTGAATAAAAAAGTATTCATAAACTGACGTTCAAACTTCGCGCATCAAAAATCAGAAAAATTGAATTATTTTGAGATTTTGGTGATTATTGTTTCGTTTAAGTGTTATTATTGTCAATATTTTGTAACAAATTCAGAATAAAATGTCCTGAGGCTCTTTCACTTCAATTCTACTTGATTGTGGAGAATTTTGGCCCTTTTTTGCTCTTTTTTGCCTTTTTTTGCTTCTTTTCGTCTTTTTGTCTTTTACCACGGTCCAATCCGTTGAAATGAATTCCGATCTTTATTTGAAGCTTTGACAGCGACCTCAGGGGAGGCACCGATGAATTAAAATTCATCGTATCCGGTTGCGACTACCGTACCAAGGGAAAGGGAAAAACAGGGACAAGGAAGGGAAAAAAATAATAGAATGCAAAATAATAATAAAATAAATAACAAATTTTCTCCCCTGAGGTCGAATTACATATTAATTGACAAGTTAAATCACAAATAAATGGACAAAAAGTCCTGTTCGCCTAATCCTAATAAAGGGTTGTTCTCCTCAAAACGTTCTCCTAAAAATATTTTCCTCGGACCAGAGTCCTTTTCAAAGTTGTGGCGATTGTCCAAAGGTCCAAAAATTGGTTGGCTCATCAGGTATGACACAAAATAAAAATAAAAATAAAGATAATTAGAAATTAAGTTTTTATAATGATTATTAGCAAAACTTACCAAGAAAACACATGGTTGTTATGTAATAACGGTTCAGTTTTAAGAGTAACCAAAACAATGTAAGTAACTGGTGAAATATTACAATTTAGGTATCAACCTGATCCTTGTGATTAGCCAAACAACAATAGAACAAAATTAACTTTCAAATTCACAGGTAAATTTAATTAAATTAAAATTTAACAGGCCAGTTTACCAAAAACCGATCATCTGATAAAACGAAAAATTGATTAAGTCGCCATCTTTAGAAATGAATTGGAAATTATGTCAATTAGAATAAAAAATTTTCTATTTACATTTTTTAAAAATTCTTTCTAATTATTAATAGTTTATTTGTTTTCGAGTTAAATTATCATCGTTACAATCAACTGATGTTGTTTAATTTTCAACGAATTTGATGATGAGTTGCTAATGGAATTTGAGAGAAACTTAAACTTACATTTCTTCTTTAAATTGTTTTCTAATCAGAGTAATAAATCGGAAATGTATTTCCTTTTTTTTTCCTGTTTCGTTTTCTCTTGTTTTTATCTTCTCAAGTAGAAACGAAAAGGATTCTTTGGGTTTTCTCTGTCTTCTCTTTGTATGTATTTTTTTCTGGTATTTTTGTTTTCCTTCTTGTGTTCTTTCTAATGTGTTGTTTTTCTCTCTTCTTGTCTTTTTCCACAGAAAAATGGCGATTTGCTCTCGTTCGGTCCATCTATCAATGAAAGATGAAAGGAAAAAGATGATGAGGATGATGAAGAGAAATCTTGTCTTTGGGATCCATTTTTACTCCATGATAATTGGTAATACTTGTTCTCTAATGACAAAGTCACCAAGGTATCCAAAATCTCTGTCCACACTCATTTTCTCTGTCTCTGTCTCTCTCCCTCTCTCTCTCTCTCGGGTACACCAAAAAGTATCCAACTGTGATAACTCTGTTGCTGCTGATTCTTTCTCTCTAATAAGGCGAATATTTCTCATCATCGTTTTTTTTGGTGTTTGTTGGGTCAACTTTTGTTTAAGGTTTGTCAACTCACCTCTCAACTTTACCCAACCCACCATCACAAGCAATTTGAAGACTAATAGCCATCATCATCACCACCAACACCAACAACAAGATCAGTCTTTGGACCATGTACTCTTGTAGTTGTTACAATATTATTACATTTATTTTATTGTTATTCCTAACATAATGTAAATCACTGAGTCAAGGTTAAGTTGGTAGGTTGGGTGATTGGTAATCAGTCATTGAAAGAATAACAATGTAAAAATAGTCTATTCCTTCAAGCCCTAAATCTTTTCTCAAGTCAAAGGATAGTCTCTCTAATACTAACACTAAATAATGACAATAATCAATTTCTAATTATTAGCCTACTTTGCTCTATTTCCTCCTTCGTTTTTTCTTGTCCTGATTATGCTAATAATAACTAACTCATTCGATTTGACATTTTGGTCAATCTTTTTTTTTTAATCTCTTTCTACAGGTAACATGTAACATGTAACTTGTCATTAGTCAAATTGGAAAGTCAAGAAAAAAAGAAAGATAGAGAAAGAGAGACAAAAATTGATGGTCAACAAATTTCTATCTCAATGGTCACACACATTTCAACATCAAGGACATAATCGATAATTACATCACCCAGATATGGCTGTTTTCATCTTCTTTCATCTCAAACTTGATCCTCAAAGATTGACCTTAACTTGACTTTACATTACGATGGTAAAAATTGATACTAAATTACTCAGATACATATCATCTAAAAGGCTATTGAATATCCACCATTATAAAACCATTTCCTGTGGTATTTTTATTATCATCATTGAATTGTCTTCACTTACCAATATCTTACATAATGTATTCATGTTTGATTCTATTACCTTATGTTTTCTCCGATTCCTAACATGATTATATACTCAACAAAGAATTGAGATATTTTTATTCAAATTTCTTATTTTTTTTTCTTCTCCTCCTCCTCTTCCTACTCTCATATAGTCAATCAGTTATCAAAGGAAACCAATGGACTAAGGATGAAAATTTTACTTTGATGATGCAGTTAAACACACTACAAACGTAATAGTAAAAAGCTCAAGTTTTTGCTTCTTTGATGGCTTTTCAACTGGAAAAATAAGAAAGAGAGAGAAAGGAAAAGCTCCTAATACAATAAAAAGGAATCAAAATTATGGTTAAATTGAAAAGCCAAAAAGCCAACGTTACCTTTATCCACTCTACTCTCTCCGTACAATTTAATGGTCACGAGGTGTACACAGGGTGTATAAGAGGAGTGGTGATGGTGGAAAAGAAGAAGAAAAAAAAATAATATGTTTTCTGGATAAGAAATTGAATGTTAACCAACACAGTTCACAGTTAACCATTGGAATTTTAAAAGTGCTATTACTATTATTATTATCCTCATTATTACAGCATCAACATCAACAACTTTTACATGGAGAGAGAGAGAGAGAGAGCTAAAGTTGACGGTTAAGCATCAATAATGATGATAATAGTAATAATATTAAAACAAGTAAGTATTATCCAAGTTAACTCTCACTCTTTGACTTTATTTTAATCCAAATAGCTTATTCTTATATACACTTTTTTCCTTCTCTTATGTTATTGTTGCATCTCTTTCAGAAAAAAAACACTAAAATAGGATTTATATTTTAGCCTCTGCCCGTTTTTTACATCAACTCATTTAATCCTGTTAAGACTACAATCAGCATCATCGCCATCACCTTTCACAATCAACTATCAACCATTTAAGGATCATTATTATTATTATCATCTATTCTTGATCACTATCGTTGATATAACAAGAAAACATAACTTATACACAATTGTATATAAACATATTACTATGTACACTATATACTCTATGGCTACTGGTGATTATGATTGTTCAATCATTTATATTGTATATTTAAATTGAAAAAAAATTTCAATTTTAACTTGGCGTTTCTTGATCCTCTTGATGTGTATATGTGTTGATGAGATTGTTTTGTGAGAAAAAATATTTTCAACATATTACAGAATCATAAGTTTCAAGTAGTAGTAATAATGTGCCATAATCCTTAATATGATTGGCAATCAAAAATGAGAGAGAGAGAGAGAGAGAGATAAAATCAGCATCAACCAAAGGAACAACATCAACATCAACCTTGTCAAAGTTTCTTCCCACCCACTCCAACTCATTCCTTCATCATCATCATCATCATCATTATCAGAATCATCTTTCTAGTTAAATCTTATCATAATAACAATGTTATTATGATAATAACTAAATGTATATGTTTAAGTGTGGTCTCTTTGAATCAACGATTAAGATCATCTTTAAGATGATGGTAACCCCTAAGTAAGACAATAGACCCACATTTAACTCTGGATAACAGAGAGAAAGAGGGAGAAATGATGAGGATGGAGATAAGGATAAAAAGGAAAACAAGGAATAAAGATAAGGATGGAGACCAAGACAAGTCCAGTTGATTTTTGAAGACCAGAATAAATGGCTTACAAAGGGAGAGATCGAAATGTAAAAAGATTATCCAATACTGCTCATCATCATCATCATCATTTTTGGCATAAAAACTCATCATAAAAACCGTAAGCTCCAAAACAATTTCTTATGCTTATCTCAACCTCGGGAGAGACTTTTTTTTAAGACAATAACAACTAATGCATAACCCAAGGAGCGAATTGCATCATCTCTTGAGCAGAGAGAGAGAGAGAGAGAGAAAAGATGAAACTTGTATAAATATTATTCTACTTTCGTTTTTTTCTCTCTCCATCTCTTCCCTTTGTTTCTTCATCCTGGGTCATTTTAAATGCTGATCTTGTTCCTCATCATCTTTTATCCTCTGTTCTTATTACCACTGATCATCTTCATCCTTTGTTGTGATTGTTTATCTTCTCTCTCTCTCTCTCACTTTTTTTTGCTTTTTCTTTTTTTTCTCTTATAGATTTTCCAATCTTAATAACTTTACCAATGGAAATACCTTTTCGCTATTAATAATGTTCATCAACTAATTCAGCTCCTGATTCTGATCTCCTGGTGATGATACTGAAGATGATGATGATGATGATCCTGTTGTTAAATACCAATGAGATGAATCTTGATTGGCTTTTGGGGGGTTGAGATGATAATGATAATGGTGATGATGATGATAATAGCTAATGGGATGAGAATCAAGTGCAATTTATTATCATCATTGGATCACATCAAGAGCTGAGAAAAAATCGAGAAAATCTTCTGATGAATGATTTAGCTTTCTTGCTCCCCTTCTAATGATAATGGTGATTATCTTAATTGTGATTAGACATCTTGTGTTTATGTTGTGAATTAACTACAATACAATGTATAGTTAATTCATACAACAACAATTTAACATTAAATCATCTCTCTAGTGTGATGGCCACTAATGGTCAACTTTTTTTCTTACACTTCCCAATACAGGTAATCATTTAAAAGGTAATAATTAATCTTAATCAATTGATAAAATGTAACATCTTTTTTTTAATCTAATTGTTATTGTATTGACTAAATTAACACATTTATGATTAATTTATTTTCCTGTTTCTTTTTTTCTTTATCCTTTTAGATGATTTGTTTTGTCTCATATGATAAATACAAAAATATTTACAATCAACCGGAAATAGAATTGATGATTTGATTGGTCACAATGGAGCAAGAAAAAGCTTTTCAATCTCAAACAATAAAATAATTGTCTTCACCCTAAGGATTAATAAGTAACAATGAAAAATGTTTAATTCTCGTTACTTTTATAACAATTTTAACATTTCTCAAATGATTAACTTAATATTTCCTTTTTATTACTATTTTGATTATTTTCCTTGATTACAGAATTGATGTCGAAATGAAATATGATTGGTATTATCATTATTATGATCGTTGATTTGTTTCCTTTGCAGTTTTTTCAGATAAATTGTTACTTGTTATTTATCACCATTAGATTCAAAGGAGAACCTGAATTAGAGCAATTTGATTTGTAATTATAATCTGATTCATCTTTATATTTTTACATCTTCTCACTGTTGATCATTTAAGGAAAAAAAATCATGCAAAAACAAGTTGAAATCAATGGTTGCTGTTGTTTGTTTCTCTCTCTCTCTTTCTCTATCATCTGATGATAATGATGATTATGATGATGGCGATGATACCGCTGCTACTGCTGATTTAAACTTGGTTTGATTTTGGTTGATTGTTGATAAGAATCAGGACAAAATCATGAGTCTTCTTTGGTAGTTACCTGAGCCTGGAACATTAAAAAAAAAGCAACACACATTGCAATTGATGCTCATTATTTTTTCGTTACCTGTTATCATCTGAATCATCTTCATCACCATAAACCATCATCATCAACTCAATCTTTTGATTTAAACAAGCTGATTGCTAAAAGGGAGATGATGATGATGCTGATGATGATAAAATAAAAAAGAGAAGGAGATTTCATCGTGCAAATGTGATGAAAGAAAATTTTTTTTTATCTATCCAACTTATATATTTTTACTAATAATAATTTAAGTTATTTATGTTAATAATTGACAGGCTATTTGATGTTGTCATGATGATGAAAATGATTATGATCATGTTGGTGATTATCATGATGATAAACGTTGAAGAGTTGAGATTGGAAACAAAATATGATATTGAAGGTAATCTATTTTTTTTCCTTCTCATCTTAATAATCATGAATGTAAAATCTAATTCTAATAACGTTGTTATCGTTTTTACATTAAATTAATGAATAATTTAATAAATGATGATTATTTTGCTTCTCTCTCTCAACTTTTCAGCCATTTTGTTATCTAAACAATTACTTTTACAGGTAATATCGAGGTGGAAATTGTTAACGTTACAACCTGAAGATTATGGCGTTTGCCTGAAGATTTGATCTAATTTGGATTATCCTTTTTTTTGTCAGAATTTAAATAATAATATTTGAATTTTAACCTCGATGATAACCTCATTGCAATATAATTCTGTATGGAAACTAGTGTGTGATTTAATGATTTCCTTGTTAACGATAAGTTTAATGTGAATGACAATATGACGATGATACAAATGATGATGATGATGATGATGGGAAGATGGCTTGAAATCTTGTACTTTTTTCATCAGTAATCAAGGTAAAAAAGAGGAAAACGTGAGACCAATTCTCAACAATTAAGATTAATCAAAGGGAGGATTTGAGCTCTGTTCATGCTCTCTCTCTCTCTCTCTCTCTGATTACCTTGTATGTGTTTCTCTGTGTGTGACAAAATATTAACCCAACCGGTAACCACAATTATGTAAATTTAACTAAATATTCATCTTGATCAAAGATGAGAGACTGACGGATGACGGATGAGAAATCAGCGTGTTTGAATATCATCATCTTGATCAGAAGAAAAATTTAGACAATGAGAAGAGGTAAAGGGAATTGTTGACAGTTACACCTAACCAGGTAAAGGAAAACAGGTAATGGTAAATAGATGATGATGAAATAGAAGATCACATTAAGAGGGAAGATGATAATGATAATGATGATGATGAAGAAAATGCGACCAAAGAGGAGGAAAGAAAAAAAAAGTTTTGTTGAAGGAGAAAAAGTCAAAAAGACCAAGAGAAAGTCTTGACTAAAATTTCCCATGGTAATGTTTGCCCTTAGGGTATATTTACCAACGAAATGACTGTTGACTTAAGGTACAAACAGAAATAACAATAATGTTACCAAAGAAAAGATGAAGATGAGGATAGAAAGAGAGAGAAAAATTTAAGAAAATGATGAGAGAGGAAAATGTTTTCTACAAGTGTAAGAGAGAGAGAGAGAGAGAGATGCTTTTCATCTTCTCTTTCTTTCACCTTCACCTTTTGAAGACAATTCTTCGCAATAATTGTCACACTAATTATCAATTTCTCTGTAATTGTTGGTATTCTGTCTTAAGGTGTAACAGGTAGAAGAAGAAGATAACATTTCTCTTCTTTCTTATCTTTTTGTCATCTTGTTTCTCTTTCTTTTCATGTTACAGATTCTCTTTTCTGATGGAAAGGCCACCAAGTTCGGTCATCGCTTAAGTCCTTTTGGTCATTACTCTTAAGAGAAGAGATCACCTTTAACTCCCTGCATGGGATCTTCATCTTCATCTTTTTTTCTCCCTTTTCTTTATCTTCTCATTACAGGTAAATATGTTTTCTCTTTTTAGAAACAAAATCAAGCACAAATAATGAGAATGAACAACAACAAAAGGATAATCATCATCATCATCTTTCAACTGGTCAATTCTATTATGTTATTGGTCAATTTTGTCAACAAAAGGTTAGTCCTGAGTTTTGATTATTCTCTTTGTCTTCATTTCGCCCTTTTTTTTACTCATCCTCATTATCTTCTTTCGCTCCGATTTACCTTTGCTTCTCCTTCATCTAACTGGACTTTACACTGACCATTACTTTTTACTCCCGAGGGTCCTTTTCGTTATACTTATTAGCTGATATTCAACTTTCTCTATGGTCATTTTCACGTATCCCAACAATAGATGCGACAATTATTATGCCAATATAATAATAATGGGAATAAACAAATGATGGACTTTGTCTGATTAAAGGTGATGTTTACTTGGACCGAGAACTGGACACCAATGACCAATTGAGATTCTGTTAGGTTTTTGTTGTTGTTTTTTTCTGTGTTATTGGCTAAATGAAACACAGAGAAAAAAGTTGCAATAGAAAATCTCAATAATCTAACAACCACAACAACTTTTTTTCAACTTCCAAAGAAAAGGTTTGTTGTCTTTTCCTTTTCTTAAACACTCAAAGATTTGAACAAAAACAAATCCAGGGGAGAATAGAAAATTTCAACAAAAGATCGAAAGGAAGAGAGAAGAAAAAAACTCACATATCTATTTGTACAATCAACTGATCATAATCACGAATCACTACAATTCTCAACAAGGTGATGATATTGCTGATAAACCACCAGCATCAATATGAATGGTGATCGTTTTATTATGCTACCAGCATCTCTTTCAATGATCGATGTCCAGCAAAGTCCACAATTGTCACCAACTACATGAGGAAAAGGTGGAAAATGTAATAACAAGGTAAGAAATATATTCACAGAAAGTTTCTACCTTAGAAATTTGATTTCTTTCCTAAATTTACAATTCTTTTTTCTTTTTCTTCAGGATATCGTATCTGGTAATTCAATCAATGAGACAACAAAGGAGAGATGAAGATGAAAACAGAGAAAGGGGAGGAAATTACAACTATTGGCAATTGGCTAAATTGTTGGACAGAAATCATAGCAGGGCGCTTACCACAGAGTGACCATAACCTTGGGTGGCAGGTAGAAGTTGCAATAACAAAGGAAACCAGATGATCTCAGATTTTCAAAACTAATATGAAAGAGCCAAAGGAGAGAGAGAGAGAGAGAGAGAGAGAGAGAGAAAAGCAGATGAAAGAAAAAGAAATTGCAAATTATATCAAAAAGATGAAGATGATGACGAAAAGAAACTTTTCCTCTCTCTCTCTCTCTCTCTCACTTCAAGATCTTTACTGATATTGGATTTCAATATATGCAAAAGCGAAGACCATTGATCAAGCCTACTACTTGTCTATTAAGAAAATGATGGTGATGATGAGAGCAAAGGAAGAATGTAAAAAGATGATATTAGATGATGGAAATACCCTGCAGGGGTTTTATACAATACGTTTCAATATCATGGTGAGTCCAGTGTATTACCAATACGTGTTTACTTGGGGAAGATGATTTATATTTTTCTAAGAGAGAAAATGATGAGGGAGAGAGATTTTCTTTCTCTATCTCTTGATTTGAGAAAAAATATATTCAGAATTATTATTATATTGGTAATTCGATAACTGTCAGTTAATAGTTTAAATTGTTTATGAACAAAACGTAGGTAAAGGTAGAAACCAGTTGTCGGTGGAAACCCGAACCATTGAGTTCTATTGATGTTAAGTTATCCTGTTAACCTTTTCTACCTGTTGCTCCTTCATCTCATCGTCATCATCATCATCATCATCTCTCTCTCTCTCTCTCTCTCTCTCTCTCTCTCTCTCTCTCTCTCTCTCTCTCATCCTCATCTCCACTTATATTATATGTTTAATATCTTATGTTGAGATGTATCTTTATGACTTTGATGAGCTTTTTATGATTCTTTTTATTATAATCATTCAATATATTAAATTTTCATCATCATTATCGTCATCTTCATCTTCATCTTCATCTTCATCTTCAACGTACTTCATCATATAATATACACACTTAACTTTGACAAATTTAATTCCAATTAACTATGTAATTAAATTAACTTGTGAATCTCTTTTATACATTCAATTAACTCAAAGTATTTAATTGCAAGTCAATTGATTATAATGATTAATAATTATTATTAATTTAACTTTTCTCTCTTCTTCCTAATCAATTTCAATGTTGAATTAACTAGATTGCAATACTGGTGTGTATTATTTTTAATATAAATGATTATCAAATATGATTTTTTGATGATAACAAGTAATTTTTGTTGCATTGATTGCAAGTTCATTCAACTTGATTTAATTTACATTTTATCAATTTAAAAATAAAGTTTAACTAGATTTTAGTATCATCATCATCATCTAATCATTGATTGAAAGATTGATGAATAACAATGAGAGACATGAGATGGTGAAAAGAGAGAAAAAATCTAATTAAATCATAAAATTTCATCAAAAAGTTAATGTTTACAATCAATTTATGGATCAAAATGATTATCATCTGTTGATTTTTAATTAAATTGTAGTGATTATATTTGATTTCTTGATGATGGGTAATTGTATTGTCATCAAATCGCTCCCATTTTCTTCATCTTCTTCCCGTGAGATAAACTTAATAGTCCAATTGATTAAACGAGTTTATTGAATTAACATCCATAGGCCACGAAGTGTTTTTTTTATACACTTTTTGAATCATCTTCAAGGTGACAAAGAATATCAAAGAGAGAAAAAATTCTTGATTCGTTGTAAATTACAGCTGATGAAGATGATGATGATAATGATACTTAATTTAAAAGCAAGAGAATTAGGATGAATGGGAAGAAGAGAAAAATCAGAAAGAAATTGAAGGTTAGTAATTTGCAATGTTTTTTTTTCTTCTACTTTTAACTTACCTTTGTATCAAGTTCCAGGCTGATGACTGTTGAAATCTTGTGTGTGTGATCAACACACCATAGGGAGGAAGGTGGAAGGTGGGAGGTGACAGTCAGTCAGTTGTTGTTTTCACGGTTCCCGTATATATGTAATACTGTTCAGTTATACACATTTTCATGTAAACATGTGAGAGTGTGTGTGTTTATTGATGGAATCCTAAATAACCATGTAAAGAAAAAGGAGTTTAGAGGAAAAATTAAGATGACGAAACCGAAATGGATGAGTAAGCAGAGAGAGAGAGAGATGATGTTAAAAATTACTAAAATGCTACCTGTTCATCTCTCTCTCTCTCTCTCCTTGGGAATCAATGAAAGAGCCTCCATCAAATGAACCAAAGAGAGAGAAAGAGAAAGAGGGAAAATGTGAATTAAATAACAGGGATAACAGAATTGAAGTAATAACAATGATCCCTTTTGATTATCTTCATCACCAATTATCACTTGAAAACGGGCAACTAGATAGGAGTGGAGTGGATTGAAAAGACCACCGAGCTTGAGAGTGGGAGAGATCCATTGGTTTGTCCTCCTTGTCGATCTAAAGAAATTGAAGAAGACAAAAAAAACAAAATGATGGATCAGAAATTGTGTCTCATATACACACGAATCACTTTAACTAATTATCTTAACTGTTTTTGATTTATTGTTCTTTCCTTGGTTATTCAATGTTCGATATCAAGTAATTTAGATTCTGTGGGTAATCTGCCATCTCATATTTGTTGTTTTAATTACTTTCTCTCCCTCTCTTTTTTCCTAATATTTGATTGTTACCTGGATAAGAATTAATTTTCCACCTTTTAGCTTTCTCTTTCTCTCTCCATCCAATTTTAGCTTCAATAACAGAGATCATACATTTCAGCTTAATGGTTCCAAGTTCTCTTCTAATGTCTCTGTAAATATTGTTGTAAAAGGAAAAAGATGAGAAAAGAAAAACAAATGATTAATATTATATGTTAATTACTGGAAGATAAAAATGTTTGCGTGTCAAAGGTAAATGACAAATTAACATGGAGAAGATTATGACATACAAGTAAATAATTGATGGTTCCATGATTTTCATCATCTTGTCCAATTAATGATTTACAAAAATATCATTGAATATGACAAAGAGATAACAATTAAACCACAAGGTTTTTTCTCAATCAATTACAATTACAATTAGATGTAACCACAAGCTCTAATTTAACACCATTGGTCCGTTAGTATTAATAGTTGAGACTAACCTTGATTCCACCAAATACACAATGGCACAGTCTATAAATTAGTAAATTGTAAGCAATTTAGCAAAGACTAAAAATAATGGCCACTAAATGATTAAGATTAGTGACAATCAAATTAAATTAGAAACAATAAAATTAACTCAATCAAAACAAAAACATTAACCCAACAGATTTTACTTACAACTGATTGTTCAATGTTTCCAATCTGACAGAACACAAGATAAAGGATTGACTTACTATGGATAATTACACATAGAAAAGATAATTTAATTGCCTTTAATTTACTAATTAACAATTTAGTTTAATTTATTTAGAAACAAATTTAATTTCAATTGAAAGAATGTGAAGCTTTAGTTGCCATCTATTGTCGTTCTATTCAACTAAGAGTTGAATTTTTCGAAAATAGGTGTCGCTAGTGGCGAATTCGCGGTAAAATTTAAAAAAATAAACTAATTTAATTCATTAAAAGTGATTAGATTAATTGTTTGGATTGATTTTCTCGGATAGAAATTAATTACTGATGATAGATTGTTCTTGTTTTAGGAATAATCGTGTTCTTTGTCTTTAATTAGTTAAATAACAATTTGTTCATGTTGATTCAATTTACTTATTGTAAACTTTTTCTTTAAATTTATATCGATAACAAATAGCAATTAATTGTAAATAGTAATTAGTATAATCATGATGATTAATAATAATTATGGAAATTGTTGCGATTAAATAATAGTTAATAATCATAATTGTATAATGATAATTATCCAAATTTTGTGAATGTAATTGTGTGTATTTCTTGTTTAATCATCAATGTAGCTTCTTGTGTAGTGATTGGATCAACAATCAATTAATTGTTCTTATGTGAATTTGATTAACCCTTAACTCTTGTAAAATCATAAATTGTTTGATTGTTAATTGTTGACATGCTTGTATAATAAATTGTTGGAGTTTTTTCTTATATACTTGACAAAATAACATTTCGTTAAAAAATCAACATAATAATCTTGTATATCTCCATATACATAATAAGGATCATAATAATAATAATAATAATAGTTAATTGATTAATAAAAGAGTTAATTAATTGAAATTAAAGTTGAATGAGATTCATTTCCATAGATTAAACCTAAATTGCTTTAACTAATTATCAAGTAATCAAAGTTTCACAATTTGTTCCTCCTATTGAAATGTCAGCAAACTGTTTGAAAATCAAAAGAATAGCAAAAAAACAATTGATAAAATTAGTTAATTGTGTTTCTTGGAAAAGGTAAATTAATTAGTTTACTTCTTTATCTTTGACATTAGTTAATTTCGCAGGTAAAAGCGATTCAGGCCAAATTTTCCAGACCAAAGGGCTCAGCGTATTTGGATCGACATGTTTGACATCATTCAAACCTCCTAAAGAAAAAGTGAAAAGTATTTATATTTTTGATTAAATGATCCAACAATTTAGAGAAGAGCAATTAAAAACTATCCACTTCTAAATAGAAGTTAATTGTTACAGATAATTACCGGTCAATAGACTTGCTACAAAACTAACGAAAAGACATATGATAAAACCAGAAACAGGCACAAGAAGAAATGCAATTTGATACAATTTAATGAAAAAAGGTTGACTTTCGATAACTTCATCAACAATTAAGGTTGAATTTGATATGAAGAAGGGTGGACACCCGGTAAGTGAAGTTTCTTTAAAATCATCATCAGCAGGATAGACTAATGATCCAATGAGAACCCAAAATCCGAATGAAACTCCGGATAGTAAGCCCGAAATAACACCCTAAGGGAATTAGAGAATCGAAGGAGAGAAAAAAAGATTCGAAATGTTAAGATTAATTGATTAGTTTACTGTTAATTGTAACAATTTAAAGTTTTACCTTTGAATTAGCGAAAGGGCAAAGAATGGCACTAAGATAGATTCCAAGTAGTGGACCAATTAAACAACCAGCCAAAGAAATGGCAGCCTAACAAATAGATAGATATGAGATATGAGGATAAATGAATTCTCAACATGAATGGTCAGAATTTTTCTCATGAAAATTTGTCAAATTTTCAGTCTACTGTTCACCTTTAGTACTGAGCCAATTTGCCCGACAATGAAAGCCATCAGAATTGATAATATACCATAGAAAATGGCGGTCATTTTGTTGAAATTTTTCTGGTGCTGTTCACTCAAACATCCAAGTCGAGTCTCTTTCAGAAAATCATCCCATGTAACAGCTGATAGAGCATTGAAACCGGATGATAAAGTACTAAGGGAAGCACTGAAAACACAGGTAACAAAGATTCCAGGTAAACCTTTAAATTCAGACATAGTGTCCATTACAAAGTAAGGCATAAGCTGCAATGAGAAAAAGATACAATTATAATGAGCAAATTAAATTAATTACTTTCTCTCTCTCTTTGATTACCTGGTCAGTTTTGGATATTTTTCCGGCCTTGAGAGGATCACAATCAGCATAATAAGCAAATACCCCGATACCACAGAGACAAGCACAGCTAATCATTAGTATAACACCAACTAGATTGACATATAATGCTCTGTGATTAAAATGATACAAATATGGAGAAAGCAATTAGTAAATTGTTGTAGGAGTTGCAAAAAGATTTGAAACAAAACTTTTATCTAAATATTTTAAAGTTTGTAAGTGTCAACTGAAATTAGATTACAACCAAGTTAATCACGATTATAATCAATCTTATTTTTCTTTTGATTTGGACTAATTATCAACTCAATTAACATACAATTTGGCCTTTTTCTGACTTTGAGTGTTACAATAACGTTGGACCTCCGTTTGTGTCGTACAATAATTACCACACCACATGATTCCCATTCCAAGAACTGAATTCCAGAAATTATTGGTCTTTGAAACATCAAGATCAAAACTGTTCAATTACAAGTTAATATAAGATAATTAGTTAATTGTACGAGCAGCTTTTAATTGCCTGCTGAATTACTTACTTGGTGAATTCAATTCTGCCTCTTTCATAAGCGATCCTAAAAGCTTCACCGATTCCACCGACCAAATAAAAAGCCTGAAACAAAGAAAAGTTAATTTGCTAATTATAATCGAGAAAAAATTCTACTAATTAATCAATCGTAATCATCATTACCCTTAACATGACGGCAATCAGGCCAATGTACATTAGGCCCACTTGCATTGTATCAGTCCATACAACAGCTCTGATTCCTCCCTAAATTAAACAACAATTAACCAAGTGAAATGGAAAATTAATCACAATCAAATAAGGTTAATTGTAAAACTTAAATCCATCTATGTCAAGTATTGAACGTAAATCAATAATAAACAAATTGTATGAAATTAAATAATCATGATAATAGTTTTTATCGATATAATTGTCAACTTAAATCAATAAAATCAATATTGATGATCGCGAGAAACAATATCTCATTATAACAATAATACAATTAAGGCAATTGGTTGATTATGATTATACAAAAGATGACAAAGATAGACAAATGGAATTGGTTAAATTGCTGATATTTAAATGGAACAATTAACTTACCAGTGAAGTGTAAAAGGTACAAATTATACCAATGATTAAGATGGAAGCGGTAACCGATAGCGGAGTAACTGCACCAAGAGTAACAGGTTAAGTTATTGGGACTTGAGGTCAGTTTTAGATCATCGATCTAAATGGTTAATTTAATTTTCGGTGGAAGGTGGGAAAGTGGATATGGTGGGAGAAATTTAATCAATCAACCTGAACTTAAGGCCAACGAAGGTCCATAAAGTACTACACCCATGTAAGGAACGGTACCGAGGAGAAACGCCATTGATGAGGCTAATCGGACGTTGTCACGATTGAATCTCATCGTTAAATACTGTTGATTGTTAAGAGAATCATTTAGTTTAATTTGGTTGATTTAGTTAAAAAAGAAGAGGGAAAAACAATTCAACTTATTGTTGTTGACATCGATTTGAAATTTGTCTCAATTTATCAACGGAATAATATTGTTAATTAATTAACTATTACAATCTAATAGCTCTGGTCTGTTAATTGTTACTTTTAATCATTTTCATGATTTCTTTACTTATGATTGATTGTTAACGATTAAGATTGTCTTTAGCAGTAGTTGTTAATATAATTAAGTCATGATTTATGTAAATTATGCTAATTGTTGTTATAAAGTTGCAGTTGAAAATTAAATTACTTTAGTTTAGATTTATATTAATAATATATGGGAATTGAATTAATGTTATCATTTCAATTATTGATTTAATTGTTGTGGAAAACTTTTGTCTCTTTAATGATTGTTACAATTTAAAGGATTATTTTTTTTTGTCAGATAAGCTGATTGAGATCAATTATTAATTGTTACCAATTTATAACGAGAGGAAAATGAGTTAATTAGTTGGATTAGAGATTTGATGATTTAAATTATTGTATCAATTAGATGAACAAGTTAATTTGGATGGTTACTAATCAGAATAATGATATTAATCAGTTGACTGGGTAAAACTAATCAATAATCAACAATCAAAGATAATTAATCATGAATGAAAGTCTAGATATTAATTTTAGTCAAGGAGTTAAGGATATTTCAATTCTGTTCAAGGTTCAGAATAATACTAATGATAATAATAAGAGGAATTGATTGGAAAAAATCATATCATCATCATGATTATAATTACAATTAACAGACAAACATATTAAGAGAAAGATGATCAATGAAATGATTAAAACTTTAGAGGCAGAGAGATAGAGAGAGCAATCAAATCAAGCGGATTAATTACATTGTATTGATTTTATTGTGAGACGATGAAACTAACTGTTTACAGGAATAAGTTGAATCAATTGTGGCGAGAAATTAAATTTGATTGATTGAAATTTCTTACTCGATTAACGCTGGTAAATGAGAGGTTGAAATAAACTGGAAGAAACAGTTCGGCAGCGGTGATTGAAGCAAATACGGCGGACAGAATTACGACCCAGAACTGTGTTCCTTTGGTGTACATCTCAGCCGGATAGCCAAGAATCGTCACTGAACTTTGGAAACTGGCTAAAAGTGACATCGAAACAGGGAACCAGTTGAGTGATTTATTGGCTGTTAGAAACTCTTTACTTGATTCATTTTTGCGACCCTGATAACAATTAGACAGCAAAGGTAAATCGTTAGTTAATCTGATCATCATCATCATGATAATCAGATGGCTTTGGGAAAGTATTAAGAACGATAATCAAGAGTGAAACAATGATACAATTAGATTAGTGATCTTATCGTTATAAAATTGTGTCATATAAACCAGTGCAAATGATTTATTGATTGTTCAATTGTTTCTTCCTGGTCTAATCATAATTATCATGAGTTTTTATTATAAAGAAATTGTAACAAATTAAAGTTACGATTATTTTCTGTTCTGTTTGAAGAGACATTTGAATTGATATAATTTCAACAATCTGAGCATATTCTGGATCTTGTTGTGGAAAATACAATTTCAAGGTAAATATTACATGATGATACATGTAGATAAAAGTAATACCATGAAATTGAAATGCTAACATGAGATAAACAAAATTCATAGATGAAAAAATGAATATCAATTCATTTGAAAGCTTCGGTGATTTTTATTTCTGCTCTCTGAATTCACAGGGAACAGAATTCAAGGAAAAAGAAAATCGTTTTTCCATTTATTCATTAGGCATCGAGGATTAAAATTATCTTTAAATTTTGATTAAATCTCGATCACGAAATTAGTTAATCACTGATTATGGTATAAGTTAATCTTTCCAGTTAGTTAATTGTGTGTAAAGTTTGTTATTGATGGTTTTGATTTTTGTCAATGAAAAGTTTACTCATTATGGTTATCTGATTCTTGGCATGGTTTTTAATTAACGATGTTAATTTGACTGATTGTCATCTTAGGTTGGTTAATATTGATTTAAATTGATTGATAGATTGTTAAAATCTCTCAATGAAAGGTTAGAGTTAATTAAGTTTTATGATTATCATGCAATCAGACAATCAAATCAATACCATAGATAAATTTATCAACCTAATCGGTTTTACCACAATTTAGATTATCATTTACATAATTTAACCAATAAACTGTCAATAATAATTATCAATTGTGATAAGATAATTGATTCAATAAAAAGGGAAATGACAATCAAGGTAAATATTAGATTATCGGATGAGAAAGATATTATATATCTGCCATGAGAAATTAAATTGATTATCGTTGAGAAAAACGAGCATTTGATTCATTGAAAGAAGATGATTAAGATAATTTGATGAGATTAAATTGTGATGGAAATTGATTCAATTGAGACTCACCTTAATTGCATAGAAAACTCCGATTCCTGAGGAACAGACAAGCATCAAAATGAACACAATATAATCAACGGTGGAAAATTTATGAGTCATAGCATCCAAACTTCCATCCATCATGAGAATTCTGTGGACTTCCGGTTACCTTTGATTCCTCTCTTTCTCTCTCAGATAAAATCAATTAGTTAGATTACTAAATGATAGATAAACTTGATGATCAGTTATTGAGAAAACTAGATAATTCGTATGTGTCAATCAATTGAATGTCTGATCATTTGTTTCACAATAGATTCATTGATAACCTGGAAATAGAAAAGCAAACAAATAATAGAGAGAGAGAAAAAGATTATCGAGATGAAAGAGAATCCAAGAGATTAGATAATAAATATAGAATAGAAAAAGAAAATTCTCCACAATGATTCCTGAGTTCTGAGAAAATTTCAGGTAAATGTTATTACAATTGAATCGATAATGTGATTACTTACATATTTAAGAATAAGAAGATTTTCTCGAGGATTAATCAGAGAGAAAAGGATTATCAATGTTGATTAATCTTCGATCTAATTGGATTATATTATTGGTAGATTTTACAAGTGATTTAAGTGAATATGAATTCGGTTAATTGTCTCTCTATGGATACAATTAACATAACAAGAGGGAAACAGTTTGGATCAAATGTTTACTACATAAAGAAAGACATTAACATGTTGATTGTGATTATCGGTGTTGTTGGTTTGATGATGGAACAATTTTCAATTGATTAAGTGATTAACTGCGGTAAAAGGTTAATTATTGATCTTTAAATTGGATAATTGTTAATTCTTTCAATAAGATCAACGTGGTTTCGATCTTAACATTATAAGATAGAGGAAATTTTCTCGTCAAACTCATTGTTCTGGTTACATTTCGAGTGTCCGACTCTCTTCAACAATTTGGTTAATCGCAAGCGCAATTTAATCACAATCAACGAAATATATTGATGGAGGAGAAGTGAAGTAAATGAGGGAGTCAGAATTATTCTTCTTTATTCCACCGCCTTGGAAGCGGTTTTTTCTTTTTTTCTCCATTTACGGAGCATCCTCATCACTTTTCTCTTTCTTTTTCTCTGTCTTTGGATTTTTCTGGAAACCAGAATTTCCTGAATGATTTCTTATACTTGAAACATTGATTAGTTGATTGTTTGGTTTTTACAATGGTTTTAATCAACAGTTTTAGTGGGTCAAATTTTATGATTAGATCTTGATAACATTAATAAAGTCCAAATATATAAATATAAATATAAGTATTATGTACAATGTAATTTAAGAGAAATAAACTCGGATTTGTTTAGGATAAATCCTTAATATGATTGAGAATAAAATTTATAAATAATGATGGTTCCAGGATTAATTTACTTCTTTTCATCTGATTAACCAGAATTGTTTTGATTTCCTCTTTTGCATTCTTGTTTACTCCTCGAGTTATGGTCTTTGATGATTTAGCGAATTTGTTTATCTGTGGGGTTACTTGATCTTTAATTTCCAATGTGATTCCTTTTGAATTAACGAGAGACATAAATTCTTCCAACATATCGGGATTGAAAATAAAATCACAGAAAGGAAGGTAAACAAATTTAACTGGTGCTGTTGGTGATCCCGTTATGGGTTTGCGGATGGTTGAAATACATTTCAGGAAAAGGTCAACTTCTTTCGGCCAATTGTATTGCGATAAGACAATCAAATGTCCCAATCCATGATCAGAAGGTTTGACAGAGAGAAGGACTCGATCTTTGAGACATGCAATGATAACTTCAATACAATAAGTTAAAATGTCATTACGATTGTAATTGATGAAAACAATTTGTCGTCCACCATTATGATTGCTTTCCATTTTGGGTTTATCATCTTCTTCTTTCATCTCTGGAACTCGTGTTAACATGGCAACTCCATCAAGAGAATGTTTCAAAGCAAGACCATAATTGTAACTCATAAGTGCTGATGAAATTGATTGAAGACATGACTTTATTTTGATCTTTGATGTAGCTTCATGTGAGGCTAAACAATCATCATGATTACCCTGGAAATGTTAAAAGATGAAAAAAAAAGAAAATGATTACACATGATATTTATCAGAATTTAAGAAAATGGTTGAAATGATCATCTGCTTCCTTCAACTGATGACAATAATCAGACAATTATTGTAAATGTAATGTCATAAAGATCGTCTGTAATCAATGAAATCTAATTGCAAATATAATAATTTGAAATTGTATAAAAATTCATACCCGATAAATTAAACAGTCTTGTTTAAGCATTTGGTAAGCTCTTGATTCAAACACTTTGGTTTGTTGAAATTTAATCATCATTTCTGTAAAAAAAAGTGAAAAAAAGGAAAGAATCAATATACAAATTGAAAGATTTAAATGAGTAATTACGCTTACCTTTGGTCAGATTATAATCTTGATTGAGAAACTCTAAGGCTTGAAGAGCGACTGTGAAATTTTCTTGAAGCTCAGAATTTTCGGTGAAAATTATGGGCGAAGATGATTTGAGATGAATTTTTCGCTTCTTAACAGGATCACCTTTGTAAGAAGCACCTTGTTCAACCAATATAAGTTTACCAGCAGTTTCTTTGGTATATTTGTGTAAACACCGGATAAAAAGTAGGAAAGTGGCATAAAGAACTTGATTAATATGTTCCGCCTTAATTTCAACTTTAGTGTTTGACGAACTGAGATCAATGGGTCCATCCGATTCTGGTGTCATGCTGACTGTAGAAACATCTTGGAAAAATTTCTGTATTCTCTGGAAATGAGCTAACAAAATACCAGAAAGAAAATTATCATTGGTTGAATGTTCTTCACAGGTTAAAAGATCCCATTTGAGACGTTTTCGAAACATATTAAAAACATCATCAAAACGATTTTCTCTATCTTTATCCATAATGTTTACATCGGTTGAAGTTTCTTCGTCAACAAGCATTCCAATTATACTTGATTGACAATAGAATTCAATTGTTCGATCAAGAAGTGATAACATGAGAGATAACGAGGTATCCAAATTTGATTCAGGTGATAAAATGACAGGTAAAATATCAAAAACAAGCAGCTTATTAAAATAATCTGAATTTCTATAGGAACCTTGATTTTCTTCAGCTCTTTTGATAAGTTGTAATATATTACTGGCATGTTCATTAATTTTGTTGGGAAATTTTTTCATTATAAGTAGCATAAGTTGACAAGATTCCATAGGATCAGAGCAAAGATTAGCAACATTAAGAAGTAACTTATGTTGAGCCTCCAATGAGAAACAATTGAATAGATTACGATAAAAGGTTGAATCAGGATTGTTAATAGTTCCTTTAACAGCAGTAACAATACGTTGCATCTCCTGATTGATATTATCACTTATAGACTGTCCAGAAGACGAGAAAATATCATTAAGATGGCGACAAGCTTCCATTAAACGACCTTCGTCTTTGGCTTGTAAATATTGTTCAAACTGAAGAAAATGAAAAAAAAAGATAACATAAGATAAAATATAAAAGTAGAAAGTCAAACAACAATTAAGAAAAGAAAAAACCGACGAGAGAGAAACAGAGAAACACAGAGACAGACAGACTGACTGACAAGAGAATAACATAGAACATTAATAACAAAATGTATAAAATTCACCAAGAATAGGAGAGGAATAATCAATGTTATAATTGAACAATAGAATTACCTTAATTGAAAAAGAATCAGGAAACAGATTAGAAGCCGCAAGAAACCAAGATTTAGCCAAATTAGAATCGCCATTGGACATACTTAATTTTGCTTTTTTGATACAAAATTTTTCAACTTCATTGGTTGAAACCTTTTTACCTTCATCCAAACCATTGCGAGCCAAAGTCCCCATTGTATATTAACGATTAGAAAAGAAAACTAATTAATTGCACCGAGTTTAATTTAATAAAGAAAAAACAATCTCAAAGGTAAAAGGGAAAGAAAAGAAAACAAAAGATTACAATTAAGATTGTAGAAAAGCAGAAGAACATGTGTTCCAACCGGAAGATTCAAATGGTTCATTGGGAGAAAAGAATTTAAATTTTAACGGATACTCGGAATTGAGAAAATTAATTCTTTTCTCAAGAGATGGAGCCACTTTTTTCTCTTTCGAATTCTCTTTCTTTCTGCTTCTCTTCTTCCATTGGGAAGTCGCGCGCTTTTTACTAGTCACTTTTGGTTCTTTTCTCTCTTTGTTCACATTTCACTTAACGTGTTTTTCTAAATCATTGTTATTTTATTTTATTAATTTTTTTTTCGATTATTTCTTCTTCTTCCATTTTGGTTTTTCTCTTCTTCTCATTTTCCTCATTTTGTGTGTTTTTAAAACAATTGTTCAGTTTATTATTTTCGTACTTTAGTTTTTTTTCTCACTTGTTTTTTACTCTTAATACACGATGGTTAAACCTAAAACCGCTAAAGTTACTGTTGGTGTTTCCAATGATGGTGACAAATTACAAGGTGAAAATGTTGATAAGGTTGTTGATCAGGAGCCAGTTGTTGAGGAGAAAGTAAAAGGACGAGGTACTAAACGTGGTAAAAATACTGCTGTTGCTAAAGAAACTGAAACTGTTGCTGCTGAAACAAATGATGTACCTGTTGTTAAGGGTAAAGGTGGTAGAAAAGGAGCTAAAAAAGATGTTGCTGTAGCTGAAGAAAATGAACCTATTTCAGAAGAGAAACAAAATGTTGCCGCTGAAACAAATGGTACAACTACTACTACTACTAAGGGTAAACCTGGTCGGAAAGCAGCAGCCAAAAAGAAGAAGCCGTTGTTGAATCTGCTCCTGAGTCTATTCCAGAAGAAAAAGCTGTAGCTGAAACAAATGGTACAACAACAACTACCACTACTAAAGGTAGACCTGGTCGAAAAGCAGCAGCCAAAAAAGAGGAGGTTGTCGAGGAATCTGAGTCTATTCCTGAAGAAAAGCCCGCTGCCGCTGAAACAAACGGTACAACTACCACTAAAGGTAAACCTGGTCGAAAAGCAGCAGCTAAAAAAGAAGAAGCCATGGAAGAATCTGAACCAATTTCAGAAGAAAAACCCGTAAAGGAGAAAAAAAGAGGAGGTAAAAAGGCTAAACAAGAGGAAGTAGTTCCTGAACCTGTCGAAGAAAAGACAAAATCAACGAGAACAAGCAAGAGAAACAAAAAATAGTAATTCTTTTTCATCCTCTTCTTTTTTTTCTCTCTAACTTTCTCTATCTCTCTCTCTCTCTCTCTCTCTCTCTCTTTCTCTCTGTCTCTCTATTCCATTCATTTCAAAAAAAATCAAACAAAATAATGTTCAAAATTAAAACATAAATTTTCATCTTAAATTTCCTATGTAATCAGTTCAATGTTTTTCATATGGAGAATAACAAAAAAAAATAAAAAAAATGCGTTCTCATCAACAGTTAAGTTTCCATATTGTTTTTTCCTCTCCATGCGAAAGAGAAACAGACAGAGATCCAACTAGTGTCATCTTTCGGTTAATCGAAAATAGAAAAAAGAACAAAAATCGGTTAACTTTTCCCCCTCCAGATGGCGACACTTTTTCGCTGATTGGGTTGACTCTTTCGTCTCTCTGTCTACATCATCAGGACCTTCTCATTAGGTGGTGTTCATATTTTGATTATAAAAGAAAAGAATAATTTTAATTTAAATGATTAATATTAAATGATTACAATCAGTATTTTACACCTTAATTGTTGTTTTATTGTTCAATTTGTTTATTTATTTTCTACATCCATCCATCCACCATGTCCGGAGATTCTATGAATGTATATGGTTCGTATATTGATGATTCTTATGTTGGTGATTTTTCTGGTGAAGTGACTAATCCAGAGGTGATGATTGATGAGGTGGTAGGTGGTGTTCTTGAATTTAGCTTCGATTCATTTGGACCTGAATCAATGATTTTCCCTAAAAATGGTGAACCAAGTGAGGTTGAAGATAATTCAAATTCTACAAATTATAATAATACCGCTACAAATCAACCCGTTGAATTTTTAAAACGTAATACATCTTTAACCCAAAGTCAACGAAGAAAAATTCGTCCCAAGATTGATATTCAAGAGATTTTTAATTCTTCAGATGAAACAAGTGCCCATGATGATTCAACGGTTAACAATTTAATTGAAAATGAAACTTCAAAGGAAGATTTAGATGATGTTGATGATGAAGATGAACAATCTTCTCATCATTCTAATTTCAATACAAATCCAGATATTAAATCGCATGGAAATAGTAATACCTCTTCTACACAAGCCAATTCTTATTCAAATACCAAAGAAGATAATTATTTTAAACATGATACACATTATCTAGATTCATCGCCTGTATCTACAAAAGAGGAATTGGAAGGTACAGAGATTACTGATTTCTCCCGAGCTGTAAAAACAAACACAATCAAATACCAATTGTGTCAATTTAATCACTGCTTCACCTCGCTTTTTATTATCTGTCAATTTTAACTGCTTACTCTCACTTTCTCTTTTTTATCTATCTTGTTACCTTCTCGTTTTTAACTCTTGTCATTTGATATCATTACCTGTCTCATAATTAACAGATACTAACATATACCATCAACTAATCAACCTACTAATGTTTATCTTCAGTGTAAATGTCTCAACCTTAATTGGATTCCCGTCTTTGGGGTTTTCTGTCAATGTCTTCCTTGTCACTTCACTTAGTCTTAATATTCCTTCAACAATTGACTCGCCCACTCACATTCAATCTAAACTAATCCACATTCATAATTGAATCACTTAACACTTTTTCCACTGCTTAAATTGTCAATTTTTTCCTACAATAATTGTATTAATTTTTTTCTATTTTTTTACCATCATTTCTCACACAGATACTTTACAAAAGCAAGGATCATTTGCCAAAAAGAAGATACCAGTTAATAAGGAACTCTTATCAAATGATGATATGATAAGTTAGTTGAACACAATTAACCCTAATTATCCTAAAATTATCATTTTCATATATTTCATTTAGGAACAAATGTTGACGATGTTTACTTTACATCACACTAATTGTTTTTTATTTTTCTTTTCTTTCTTTCTCTTTAATGTTCAATTTATTTAGTCGATTTTCCGCCTTCTCATCAAGAACAAGAAGTGAGTCGGGTTCCAGAATTAACTGTCCAAGAAGAAATGAATGAAACTCGAAGTTGGAGAGAATCTTGTCCAATTGGTGACAAGGGTGAAGTTAAAAAAATTGACCTTAAAGTTATTGAACCTTATAAGAAAGTCCTCTCCCACGGAGGCTACTATCATCATTACAATTCTGCTCAACTAAGTAAAAATAATACAAATCCAAGTATGTTAATCATGTTAATCTGTTATTTTTTGTTTCATTCTTATTAATCTTAATGATGAACATTAACTAATCATGAATTTAAAATCTCTCTCTCTCTCTCTCTCTCTCTCTCTCTCTTCATAGGCCCTGGTCCTGCAATTATCATTTTCTCAGCCTGTTATCTCCCTGACAGATCGAGAAAGGATTATGGTTATGTTATGGACAATTTGTTCATGTAATTGATTCAATTCCTCACAAACTATTTATCCCCACATGTTTGATTGTTTTTCTCATGTTTATATCCTTTTTTTCTGATGTTATTTTCTTTCTCTCTTTCTAATCCTGTTTACAGGTATGTTTTAACAACTCTCCATGAATTGGTTGCTGATGATTATATCCTTATTTACTTTCATAATGCCGGATGTGCTGGAGTCTCAAGCAATAATATGCCTACTTTTAGTTGGTTAAAACGCTGTTATACAATGATTGATAAAAGATTGAGAAAAAATTTAAAGTCACTCTTTCTGGTTCATCCAACTTTTTGGTTAAAAACTTTTGTAATTATGATAAAACCTTTCATAAGGTAGGTTTCTAATCAATCACTAACAATTAATGGAAATACAGTTGATTCAACTATCACCATGAATCAAAAAATTGCTTATTTAGTGTTTATTTTGAATCAATTCAAATAATATGGAAAAGCTCATGTTTTGTATTTTCTTTTTTCCCCATGTTATTTATTTTGTATCATTCTAATTGTGATAGTTATTTCTAATTGTAATGTTTAATTTTCTTCTTTCTTTTCTTTTCTATTTTAGTTCTAAATTTTCAAAGAAACTTAAATTCGTGAGCACACTTGCTGAGCTCAATGATCTTGTGCCCATTGAAAGTACAGTTATTCCTCCTCCGGTTAAACAGTAAGTTAAACCATAATTTTCATTGATTAAGAATCAATTTTAATTATTATGATGATGATACAGTTAAATTTATATAGAATGAAAAGCTAAATTAAATCCCTCGTAATTAATTTTTTTCTTTCTCTAACAACTCTTTCTCTCTCTCTTTCTCTTTTCTCTGTGTCTTTCTGTTTATCATCTTGTCATCTTCTCGTCTATCTAAATATACGAACGTGAACATCTAACAATTTAAATCAACTTCCATACGCTGATGCTGCTTTCATACATCCACCCAAATCGCTTTAAACAAACTAACAATCAACAATTAACAATTAACAACGTAACCTTTACAAATTATTCGTATTTTGATTAAATTAACTCATGAATCTCAGATACGACGAAGTGGCCTCTAACCTTGAAAAAAACCAAGACTAATAATTTACAATTATCATAATTAAATTAATTAATACCAATAACAATTAACTCGATTAGGCTTAGGCTTCTATTAACCTCTTTTTTTGGGATAAATTTATGTGACCATTTTACTTAACTATTAATAATATATCAATGTTTCATTTATAATGAAAAAAAAAGATAATACAATTTGTCTGTTATTGATTAATCCAGGAAATTGAGAAGATGAAAACATTTAAATTATAATTAAAAAATTAATATCTAATTAATCCAATTCAAAATCATTGGCAATGATAAGTTAAATATTAATTAACATGAGAAATGTTTTCATTTCCTACTTTTCCATTTTCCTGCTTTTACCTAATCTTTTGCTACTGCTCTGCTTTCAAGTTGTTAATTGCTACTAATTTAATAGTAAGCTAATTGTTTAGTTTCTAATTGACTAAACATTATTTATAATAATAATAGTTTTATCAATGAAAACAAATGACAATAAAACAACAACAACTCCCAACCTTTATAATAAATAAATAGGATTTTAGTAAACAAAATGCTAAATCTTAATCATTATCACCAGCGCCACTCTCTCATGATAATTACTATTAGTTTCTTTCAATTTTTAATTGCTTGCTAAATTAATTTACTAAAAACATATTATATTTACCATCATCAATACATATTACAATTATATCATAAATCTAGGGTTGAATTTGAACGGATCATACGGCAGAAAAAAAAGGAATCATCGAGACGCTAATTATGGGAACAATTTATCAACAATCAATCACAACATATTTGGATCACAATCAATCCTCTTTCCGATTATTTTTCCATCCTTTTTTTTTGTTTATTTCCTTTTCCTTTCTCCTCAATTACATAATACTCTCTCTCTCTCTCTCTCTTTTCTTTTATCTCCCTATTGTGCCTCTTCTCTGTGATAAAAAAACATCTCCCTCTCTTTCTCTCACTCACCTTTCACCCTCTTTCTTATTGTTTCTCCCTTTTTCTCATTTCTTACATTGTATTACTATTAATCAATTATTACGCTATTGTATTATTAGAGAGACATTTAAAAGTGGATCTATTATTTTACATCGTATTTATAAATATTCACAAACCAACGCCTAAATATAGCCTAGCAATTAAGGTTGGCTGGGTTTTCATAAGTGCAAATAGCATTAATTAAGCAATTACCTAAATTATACATTTTTAACGCCATGATCACAATCAACAATTATAATCAACAAAAAATTGGAAAAGAAAACATTTTTTTCGCTTCACATTGTAAACTAAAAATTAATCTCAAGTTTAAATAAACAATAATTTAATCTTAATAAAACAATCAATTATCTAGATGACAATCAAATATTGATCGTTAATTGTAATTATAATTGCATATTATTGATTAACTGATCAACCAAAAATCAACAGAAAACTCAAACAACATGATTACTTTTCACTGACCATCACCACGAACAATTTGAATTGCTGATTAGATGGAAAAATGGATCAAAACAATTACCAAGAAAATGAAGTTAAATTGTCATCAATTGGAAGGTAATTATATCGACAATTAAACCTTAATCACTTTGTTTCAATTTCTAAATCAACTCATCTTTCTAATCCACAGGCGAGCTCCTTGTAAATACAATTTAACCTCATTGGTAAATCAATCAATCTTTTTAAATTGTATTTCCTTCAAATATTTACCTCGATCTAATTTAATTTGGAAGTTAATTGCTACACTGATCAGTTGTTTTAATCTTTACAATCTTTACATAGTTTTATCTCAATTGGCGTTAGTGAAAAACATTCAATTTAAACACATATTTGTGGCCTTTCAAAGGTCACTTTTTGCCGTTTGTTTCACCACCATTTCGGCTGGACCTTTGTTCATCGACTTGGATTCATTTATATTAGCCTTTGACTCTACCTGGAGGTCAATTATTCTTGTCCAGGGGACACAATCAACGACAATTATCACCCGAGAATTGGTTAAAGTGAATCGTCAATTGATTACGATGATTTTGGTTGGGACAATCATGCTAATTGGCTTTGGATTAGTTGGTTTTACTAATTTTGATTCGTTCATCGACACAAGTGTGACCTTTTCGGCCATAATTTATACACTTTACTTGACCATTGAATATATTTACGTACTTCGATTGGCCGTTGCCTTGGTTTCAACGGGATATCAGTTAATTGAGAAACGATTAGAAACTTGTTCAACAATCGGTGATACAAATTTAGGACACATTAGACTTTGTCGACAATGTCACAATCAATTGGTCCAAGTTACCGATCTAATTGGTTCAACATTTAAACATGTATTCTCATCATATATTTGTCTCTTTGTCCCACAATTCGTGATCGGATTTTATCAATTAACTGATTCTTCTCAACCTTTACTAATTAGTATTGTCTCAATCGGTTGGAATTCAGTTAATTTTTTCTATGTAGTTTCACTTAGTCAAGGATTATCTCAACTTAATACTCTTCCTCAATCCTATTATTTGACACTTTATTTAACTTCCTTTGGTCAGATTAATGATGTTGTTAAACTTGAGGTAAAATCGATCAATCGTTAATTGTTATCAATCATTTCAACCTTAATTTAAATTATCCTTCTTGATCAGATTCGACATTATCTTGGTTATATTGCAAATCGAGACACTGGCTTCAGATTGTGGGGCAATTTTCTGGTCACTGGTCAATTGTTACCTAAATTGTTGGTCCTTGTTTTCAGCTATTTAACTGCAGCAGCAAGTTTCTTACAATAATCACTGGACAATGGTCATTAAAGTATCATAATTGGTCATATTGTTTATAATACATGACCCCAACAATTAACTGTAATCCTGTTGTTATTTAAATGTCATTTAACTTGAGCAATTAATGGTTTACCTTTTTCATTTGATTGTAACAACATTTCCGTATGATTATTTTAATCAATATCATAAGGACTAGAGTCTTATTTTTTTTTTGATTGTTAACCTCTTGGTTACAATATAACATCAACAATCAATTTGTCAACAAATCATATCAATCAATTGTGATTGTAACTAAAATCCAATACAATGATTAGTAAATAGTAATTTATGTTTTCCTTTCCGAAATATTTGAATAGATCCAATCACTTGTTTGATATTTATTCTGGAAACAAACTAACAATTTAACTAAATTGTTAACCAATCAATAGATAATTACCTTTTACCAATTCACTAGTTTAATAAATTGCAATCAAAATCATTTCGTTATTTGCTTGATTGTGATCATCAACACTTTTTCATAACAAGTTTGTTGATCATTTCCATTGGTTTGTTAATTGTTAACTCATTTAGGATTACAAAATCAGTTTAAATTGTTTAAATCAAATGGATTTAAATCTTTAATTGTTATGGATACAGTTCGTAATATAATTTCACAAAAGTAAGTAATCAAATTTAATTGTTACAATTGTTGAAAGTTCAATGTAATCAAATTATCAAAAAAAAAATGATTTCAAATCATTTTTATAACAATTTAGAGATAAATTATTTGAGAAATCAAAACAATCAGTCTTATGGATACAATCAAGGTAAATTATTAATTGTTTGACTGACTTATCATCAGGATATTAATTAATTACCAATTGTATGATAACAATTAGAAACAAGAAGTTAAATTGTCCGGACCAATTGATGTTTCCTGGTTGAATATAAATGCTTATGCTAAGCAACATTATCTTAATCAATTGATTAGTAAATTAGGAAGTAAATTGTCATGGAAAGACAATGTTAATCTACCTCAGCAAATAATTAAAGATGGTAAGAGTTTAATTGTGTTGAGAATGGAGTAAATCAACTAATCAGATAACCTTAATTGTTATGGATAAATCAAGTTTCGGGTGAAGCAAAACATGGCAATATATTGGCGATCATGGGCTCATCCGGATCCGGAAAGACAACGTTACTTAATTCATTAACTGGACGCAATTTAAAGGATTTAAATGTAACCGGAAGTATTTTACTTAACGGTAAATCATCAACAATTGACTTAATCACATCGTGTTCAGCTTATGTTCAACAAGATGATCTATTCATTGGTAATTTAACAGTTCGAGAGCATCTAATGTATCAGGTAGGAAATGAAAAAATTTCAATTGATTGATTAAGATTGAGACTCTAATCAAGTTAATTGTTTACCCGAATGATTGGAAATCCCCTTAGGCTAAACTGCGGATGAGTCCGGAGACAAGTAAGACCGATATTGAGAAACGAGTTGATGAAGTTTTACTCGAGGTAAAAGTTAATATATAACTGATCTCTCTGATTGTTAACAATTAATCTAATCCAATTGTATAATATTTAATTTCAATGATCGTAGTTAAGTTTAAACAAATGTGCCGATTCATTGATTGGTTTGAAAGGTTCAAAGAAATCAATTTCGGGTGGAGAAATGAAAAGATTAGCCTTCGCATCAGAGGTAAGATTTTACCGAAATAATCAGTTAATTGTCGTTAATAATGTTCATTATTCATGCTGATAGATATTAACTAATCCATCAATACTATTCTGTGATGAACCAACCTCAGGATTAGATTCATTCATGGCTTATAATGTGATCTCCCTGTTGAAATCAATGGCTCGATCTGAGAGGACAATTATAATTACCATTCATCAACCATCATCTGAAATTTTCACTCTTTGTGATCAATTAATGTTAATTGCTGAGGGCCGAGTGGCATTTACTGGATCAACAAATGATGCAATTAAATTTTACTCATCTCTAGGAATGGATTGTCCAACTAATTATAATCCAGCCGATTTTTTCATTCAAAAATTGGCAATAATTCCCGGTAAGGAAGTCGATGGTCATCAAATGGTCAACGTAAGCTTTTCTTTATGATAGTTAATTAGTTAATTGCTCTCGATTTTGATAATATCTTCATCTACTATCAACAGGTAATTTGTGATGCGTTTGATGAATCAATTTACGGTAAAACAATTACGAAACGATTAAAACAATTGACAGACAATTTACCAATCAATAATTATCAGTCTTCTTTTTTTGGTCAATCGCTTTTCTACCGGTCAACCTATTTGACCCAATTTTGGGTTATCCTTAGCCGGTCATTCATTTGTAATTGGCGTGAATACTCAGTTACATCAACTCGATTCATTGAGACAATTGTAAGTTAATTTCAATCAATAATCAAATCAACTCGAGCAACGAAAAGTTGATTAGTTTTTCAACATTTTATTACTTTTCCTTCATTAGGTAATCTCATTGATTATGGGATTAATTTACTATCATCAGGAATACAATCAAGAATCTATCATGAATATAACTGGAGCTCTCTTCATGATATTGATTAATAATACAATTACTCCAGCAGTTTCTGTAGTTAATGTAAGTTAATTACAATCTATTTCTTATTTAGATAATTATTATATTCATCATTCAATTGAAATTGAAATTGTAAATGTATTAACAAAGAAATTCAATTTTCTATTAATAGTTACTCAGTAAATTCAATTGAATATGGAAATTTTATCAATAGGCTGTTTCTAATTTGTTTACTATTACTACAACAATTTACTAATTGTCTTTTACAGACCTTTTGCCATGAATTACCAGTTTTCATTCGTGAACATAATAGTGCATTGTATCGGGTTAATATCTACTTTATTTGTAAGACAATTGCTGAATTACCATTTTTCTTGATTCTACCTTCAATTTCATTAACAATTTGCTACTGGATGATTAACCTTAATCCAATTGTATCAAGATATTTCACCAGTCTTGCTTGTATTGTGTTAATTAGCAATGTATCAACATCATTTGGCTATTTGATTGGTTGTTATTGTCGATCATTAAATGTTGCTCTTTCAATTGCTCCAGCGGCAATTTCATCACTATTAATATTTGCTGGTCTTCCAATCAATCAAAGGTTAGCTAATCAACGGGTAACAATTTACTTATGGAAGGAGGTTTATTAATTGTTTGTTACCTTTCAGATCGATTCCTAAATATCTCGCCTGGGGCAAGTATCTTTCTTGGCCTTTCTATGGGAATGAGATTCTGGTTGTTAATCAATGGAAAGGAGTTAAAAATATCTCTTGTCCTTATTGGCTTAATAATCGTTACATAACCTCAACACCCTTTGGTCATCAGATAATTGATTGTACCGTTACTGGGGAAGGAGTAATTAACAAATTGTCATTTTCCATTGCTAATGTTAACTTTAATTTTCTCATGTTGTTTGTATTAATTGTTGCCTTTCGTTTAATAGCTTTGATTGGTTTACATCATAGAGCGAGATCATTCAGATGATTTAGTTGTATCGTTAATTGTGATTCTCTGTAATTGAACAATTGGTTTACGAAAACTCACTTTTTATTTATCATTAAAATTGTGATCATGATCATTTTGTTTACTATTTAAGCTTCTGGGACGTTAATTGTTGCTTATTATTTGCAATTTATATGGTTAATGTGATCCAATGAATGGGAGGAAACTGGGAATCGCCATGAAGATGGTAAATTTCAAGGTTATTATTGAGATGACAAAGTTAGTGGTCAATGTGAATACACCAAGGCAAGTGAAGCCAACGTCGTTTCTGGTCAATCGGTAGTGAAATAAATTTACCTGTGGAAATGAATTGAAAATGAATTGATTGGTTTCTTTTATTGAATTGTAATCTTACCTCATCTCGAAACTTTTGAGATCTCATTGGGAGGGAAAGTTCGTAGAGGGTTTCGGGGTCTTTGTGACAGAAATGGTGTAAAATTATCGCTTTAATTGTGAGACAGATTAAAATTGTCGAGTCGAAAATGAAATAGACCAATATTATGAGCTTTGGTTGATCAGCGGAAAAAAATTCGACTGCAGTTACAATATAAAATAAAACGAATGCAATGTAAAGCCTTCCAATCTCACATCGAGCGAATCGTTCAAAGTTTTGAGTGTTTCGAATGGCCTGACTGTAGAATCGACGAAGAGCACTAACTCGGTCAAGATTAATATTCCTTTCATTTCTTAATCGGATCAATTGTCGATTAAAGTAAATGAAATCAGCAATTAACAAGGTGATCCCTCGATAAATAATATTGAACATGTGAATATTACCCAGATATGCAATTATTGTAATTGTTGATAATGTGAAAGTAGAAATAAATTCCAAAACCGACAAAGTGGATGACCATTGGTCAGATCGTGGAAATGCACCAATAATACTATTTATGTGGAAATAAACATTTTGAGAAATTTCAATACATGTAATGGCTATGGAGACAATTCGAGCGCGTCTCATGAAGGTCAATACTTTCGGATCATCGTGACGTTGAATACAAAACTTTTGTCCCCACAGGTGAGCCCAGTTCACGATAAACACTGAGGTCAGTCCAAAGGACAAGTGGATGGTGAAACCTCGCATCATTACCGCTTTCTCGCTGAATGTATTATAATGGACGTTTGTGAAGATCCTCGCAGAGCGATCCGAATCGCCGCGAGAGAACAGGCCAAAATCGAGAGAAATCCAGTTCGACGTAATATCTTCTGGTGTTTTCCAACCAAGGTCAGGTCAAACATTGAATCTCCGCTCATTTCACCAAAAGACATCTTTATTTAACTATTAAAACTACCTGTGATTTGAATTCTTAACAAGTTTTAATTTCATTTCAACCTTTTCTTCATCATTGATTTCATCTGAATTCTGATCAATTTTCATTCTTAATGATTGATTATTCAATATCAAGTAAATTATTACATGTGATCAATCAGATTGATTGAATCACAAATTATGATTAATTAATACAATTTATGTTAGATCATTTTTCACGATTAACAAATTTTCATTGTTAATTTAAATACAAAATGGTTTCATTCTGTTTGATTGATTAGGTTAACTCTTATTAACTTATTTCGAGCGACGAAATAATTTTATATAAATTGTATCGATTAGGGAGACAAATTAATTTAGATCATTTAAATTTAAATATCAATTATTGGAATATTTTGATTTGCATCGATAACATTTTTGTTTACATTATTTTTTTTGCTTTTCACTCATTTCAATATATAATATTTTGAGAGATTTGATTAATCTGATAACAATCAACTAAATAGCGATTAACTTGTTGATTGAATAACAGAGGAAAACAAAACAGAATTAACAATTTACATCATTGGGAGAAAGTGTCTAACAACTCATTGAGTTATTAGACATTAATATGTGTGTGTACATGGAATCTCATAGAGAAAAGTAATATAGTTTTTGAATTAAATTGTTATAGAATTTAAAAGAAAAGAAATTAATTTAGTTCCATTTTTTTAGGAAAATAGCTTTTCCTTTCCAGTGTAATCATTTTCTTTTTTTGCAAAACGATAATTAACTTGATAACACTTTTAATTGTGATCCTTATCCACTGATGAATCGGGTTGATTAATCTTCGATATCTTCATTGAACCAAATACACACACAAATAAACTCAATCTGCAAAAGATTAATCCAGATTAACTAATCATTTCGTTTTAAAATTAGCTTTCCAATTGAAGTTTTAAATTATAATTGTTTCATGTTGATAATTAATTAGGTTGGTTTATCATTGACCAATCGTTTTTGTTGTAGAAATCACAAGTTAACAATAAAATAAATCATTCAGGGTAAATTTTAGATCTCAAGAAATGAAATCTAAAGAAAAATTATTCTAGAATCAATTAAACGATTGTTGTTGAAGTTAATGATGATATAGATGATTTATTGAATGTTTTTTGATGGTTGTTGATAGTTGATGATGATAATGATAGTCTCTAGATGACAAGATGAAAAGTTTCCTTTTTTTAATTGTCACTTGATAAACATCTCATCATCAATTTCTCATCTGTAAGTTGTAGATAGAAAAAAAAATTGCTTCAAAGCTGATTGTTTATCCTCTTCTTCATCCGAAACTGTTTCTCTTTCATTTATCTTCCATCTTCTTTATATTCTTTATACTCCAATAATCAGATGTTTTTGGTTGTGCTCATTTTCAGGTTTAAATTAATTTCACTCAAATGGGAATTTGTGTGAATGGGTATTGGGTTGTTATAGGTGGTTAATGATGATGATGAGAGTGGGAGAGGTAAGAACTGACAGTTATTGTTTCTAAGTGTTCTGAATCTGTAAGTCTGAGGAAAAGAAAGACAATTTAGAAAGGGAGGGAGATAAAGAGTAGTGGTTCCGATATTTGCATGAAGAAATTGTTGAAAGAATTTGGTGGGGAGAAGAAAAATAAACACGTTCTTATTTGAGATCAGGTTCTTGTTGGATTTGTTTCTTGATTTTGAGGAGAATTGTGGTGAACCATTGATCTAATCGACTGATTGAATCATATTCTTGGACTTGCTGTGTAAATCCTTCGATATCGGATTCTTCCAGTTTGTCCAATAATCCTTTAACGAATTTACATTCACGAGAATCGGTGAAAGCAGGATACATTTCTTCGTATCTTTTGATAGCCAACTAGAGATAAAGAAAAAAAAGATCAATATATTGGTGGTAAACACATTGAGTATTGTTTCAACTTACCTGGGCATTCAATAGATCAACACACATGTGACAAAGAGCGGCACGGAAAAAGTACTCTTTAGCGCTATACTTTAACAATGAATTGTCGATTGAAGATGAAGCAACTGACTCATAGATTCCAATAGCTTTTGAATATTGTTCCAATTGTGCTGCATAACGGGCAACATTGAGAAGACATCGATTCGCCGACGCTGATGATTCTTCACCCTTATAATAATCAGCTGCTTGTTCAAAATGAGCGATAGCATTTTCTATGTCCACGGCCTCATTCTCGTAAATTTCTGCCACGGTCATATGGTGTTTAGCTGCAATTGAAAATCTTCCCATGTCGGTGTAAATTTCTATAGCCTTAAGAATAGAATTAACTGCTTCCTGAGGGTCAACCTTTTTGTAACAGTTTCCAGCATCAACATAACAAGAAGCAGCGTCATGTTTACTACCCGATTTTAGGTGAAGTGAAGCAGCTTCGGTGAAAGCGTTACCAGCAGACATCCATTTTTTAGCCATTTTAAACATATTAGCACCTTTAATGTACAATTCAATGGCCTCTTCAACTCGTGAAGATCCTCTGGAAAAAAAGAAAATATCAAAATGAGAATTAGTATATTAGATATTCATGATTAGAGTGACTCAAACGGATCCAAGTAGAAATTGAGATTGGTAGAGATTGTTGTTACTCTAAATGGTTAAACAGGATAGTAATTGATTAATTTATGCATTTGATTGATTTATCAATAAGATCTTATAAAAGAGGTGGAAAAGGGATGAGAGAGAAAAAGAAAGAGAAAGGCAAAAGGCAAATATTGTTCTCTCTGTGAATTGTCAGAATGATGCAAAAACTAAGTGTTGATTTCCAAATGGTTCAATTTAAACAAGAGAGTTTTCATTCAATTTCATGTAAACCCTAGAATTGAATACAAAATTTAATGAATGATGAAATTTATGAAAGTATTTCATTTAGAATAGAATGTAAATAATTTAATTCTTACCCAAATAATCCTCCGAGGAAACTTTTTGAAGCATTTAGCTTCTTCTCAGCTTCCTGGATAAACTGGTTACCCCTTGCATCCGAATCTCCAGACATGATTAACAATTAGAACAATAGAATGTTTTAATTGAACAAGACGAAAGAACAATTTAATCAGAGAAAAACAATTAAGGTAAAAAATATAAACAACAGAAAATCAGGTTGACGCTTTGATGATGGTGAGAGAATAGAAAATAAGAGAAAAAAGAAAGAGAAAAGAAAGAGAGACAAGAGAGAGAAGAGTAAAAGTGAAGCAACTAATCGAGTGGGACATTCAAATTTTCAAATTCTTTTGACAATTAAATTTGATTCTAATTAATTGTCTTTGGATTTTTATTCTTATTTCTGTAAATTAAAGGTTAATCAATGTTCGCAATCAATAAATAAACTTGGAAAACTCAACGACAACCAATTGGATTGGAAATGGAAAATCAAATTAGGCCTGAAAATTTTTTCTCCACCAAAAGGATTTGTTTTGATTTCCATTGGATTTTAATTGTGACTTTTTTTTGTTAATTTAAGTGTTTCAATCAGTTCTAATCAACGTGGTGATTAAAGGTTGAATTCAAGGTTAATCACCGGAAATTTAAATGTTAATTTGATACAATTTGGTTTAATTGTTCAACTGTTTACATTTTCTTAATGTAACAATTTTCAATGTTTACTTTTTGTTTCTTGTCATCATTTTGTTATTAATTGTTAATTGTGATTAGATTTTTTCCCATTTCACTTAATTATTAGTATATCTATCAATCAGTTGGAACTGAGGTTGATACAATTTATGATTGGTCGTAATTAATTATTCACCAAAAATCAATCCTGTTGAAAATTTAATTTCTTTTTTTTTTTTGTCAACCAATTGATTTTTTCTTAATTGTCTCTTCGGCGATTGTCTAAAGGAAATCAAAAGGTTAATGATTTACTTTTCACATTTGAATGTTAACTTGTAATCATCGTCAATATATTGATTGTAATTGTTAACAATTAAAAAGAATGATTGTCGATCAATAGGAAAGAAAAGAGAAAAACGAATAAATTAATTAATCGAATTGTCCTTGGATCGGTTAATTGTTGTTCCGTTGGTTATAGGAAATCAAAACCTTCACAATCAACGACCTCTAATCATTACGAATAGACTAATGGTTAATTAAGTTTAGTTGATTTATTGGTAATCACTAACAATATATAGAAATTAAATTAGATACAAAATTATGTGGCACATTTTTTTGTCTTTTGTTGATTTTTTGTTGTTGTTATACTTTGAAAACCATGGGAAGAAATTAAGAATTGAATTAATTGTGATGTTGGAATTATTGATGAGGAGGGAGAGATAATAAATTCTGATGTATGAGTATGTTAATTGTTTGAATTGTAATTAGAATTGGTAATTGATTTAAGCCTTCTTTTTTTCTTCGTCGACAAAATCAATCTCTGGAATAAATTTGTCCACTTCTTTTAGAATATCCTTGGAAATTTCTTCTTTTTTAGACTTTTTCTTGTAAGATTTTTTCTTTTTTGGATATTCTTCTTCTTCCTCTTCTTCATGATCATAAGATTTGAAATATTTCGGATTGTATTTTCCTTGACCATAAATGTTACCGTAACTTGGTGGACCTACTGGACTCCAACCTCCTGAAGACCATTTTGGTTTGGTTTCTTCTTCTTTCTTGAGGAAAGGGAAGAACAATTTTTTTCCATAATCATCTTTCTCCTTTTCTTCTTCTTCTTCATCTCCATAAGATTTTCCATATTTTCCATATTTACCGAATTTACCAAATTTACCCCATTTATCCTCTTCTTCTTCATCCTCGTCTTCCTCTTCATGACTGTTCTTGTACGGAAATCCAAGAGTCAATGGAATCAGAATCGCAAGAAGACAGAGATTAAACAAAATCTATTTCACAAAAAGAGAAAAAAAAGAAGAAAAATTAATTAATTGTCTCAAATTAGATCAGAAGAGAGAGAGAACAAAAATTTTGTTATAAAATAGAACAAAAAAATTGGAAAAACAATAAGAATTAAACAAGAGATTAAAAAGAGAAACTTTATAGGAGAGATTAACTGAATATCCCAGACAAGGGAAGAAGAAAAAAAAAAGAAAATGGAGAAAAAGAAATTGAAAAATATTCTCTAATTGTGACAAACCCAATAGGCTGTTGCAAAGAAAACAATTAATAACAACAAATTAGATAATCCAAAAGAAGATTAACCAAAAGGTAGACACAAACGATGATGGAATTATAAAATTAAACGACAATTAGTTAATACAAAATAAATTTTCTAATTTACTCACCAATTTCGGATTCATATTGGTAACTGTGAATATAGAAGTTTTCGTTTGAGATAAAAATCCAAATTGTAACAATTAACAAAAACACTAAATTGCGGTTTAGATGTTATCTGATCACCGAGCAAAAGGTAAACTGATGAAGGAATTAAAATGTTGGTGACTTTTAAAAGAAAATAATTTGTCTTCGGTAAAGAGACATTTTCTTTTGTTTGTCAACCCTTAACGAAGGAGGAGAAACGTTGAAAAGAAAATGATCTTTACATAATCGGAGGCCAATTTTTCCGGACGATGTGGAGCTGAAAACAACGGAAGTGTAACAATTATATCACAAAATAAAAGTGAATTAGTTAATCATGGTCAACAAAAATTCAACACTCAGGGTAAGTGTATCTTTCCAATAACATTGCGTGTAGATTGTTAATTGTTGTTGTTGTTATTTTTTTATATAAAAATTTAACTCTAATCACTAATATTTAATTTAACCGACAATTTAACCTTGACAATTCAATGATCTCCTGTTGTAAACCACATCAGTTAATCACAACAATCAAAGGTCAACTAATTTGATTCTTACCTTTTTTTTGTCATTCTTTCTGTTGTTGTTGTTGTTGTTACTTAAAATATAGGGAATCCATTTCCTTAGAATTGGTTGTAAATTAAATAATCGCAATTAACTTGATTATTATTCGGAAGTGTTGGTTAAGACCTTGGAAATCAATTAACTGGAACCAGACTTGAGGTAAGTGATTTGATTTGTTTTTTTTTTCTAATCATTTCTCTCTTACTCTATTAATCCTTTCACTGTGTCCACTTCAATAATCCCCCATTAATCTGACCTGTAATTATCTTGATCCTTCTGGATTTTAATTGTTACCTTTTAATTTTATGTTTACGTCAAGCAATTAAATCAATTGGTGGTGACTTGGTTGATTAAACATGGAGACATAGGACATGTGAATAGGGCAACAGGAAAATGACCTCGGAGCCAGAGGGGTTATATGGGCAGGCGAAAGTAAACTGGTCAACCATTTAGGCCTTAAACCAACGGATGCCAATTTCTTTGTAATTCAACCATGACAATCTTCAAATTCAATTAGTTAATTTTTTGTTCTCTGTCCGTCTTTAACTGTTAATTTGATACCCATTTTGTTTAGACTAAATAATTATCAACACAGATTAGATCGGCTTCTCATCAATCCCATTTTACTGTTATTGTCGCAATCAAGTGTATTGTTTGTTAAGCAACATTTCTTGACAAACGATTTAGTTAAATATCTTCTAATTGTTATACTCCGGATGGATAAACCATTGGACAATCATCACTCACTGGCCAGTAAATTGTTGACCAACTAATACATTTGAGTTTTAAATTACATCCTTATGGTGACAATATTGTTTTCCCTTTGTTACAATGTGTCCATCCAATCAACCGTTATCATCGTTTGACCGTTAACCCTTTCAAATTGTAACATGTTGATCGGTTTAATGGTTGATTAGTTGATTGTATGTCAACTCCAAATCCAGTTGGTCTTGAAATTGTCTCAGCTGATTGTCCATCACAATTCAGATGAAAGTTTAATCCTCTAAATCCTATTCACCAACCCTTAATTAATTTGAGTCTAATTTTTAAATTTTCTGATCACAGCTTTTGTAACTTTCTGTATGATCAACTCTTGATCTGATTGATTTAAGTTTATCAACTTAATTAGTCAATCTTGTTTCAACCGACATCTTGATCTTAACTCAAATTGTTGTTTCACCAACCAATCATCTTCAATTGATCTCAGTCTTGATCAAAATTAAACTTGTAATTACCATTAACTTTTGATTATGACTTTTTCTTCATTCCATTCTTGCTCATTTTTGAATTTACATATTGATTAATATCGTTATATCCTATCTACAATCGCTAGCGTAATTCTTAATCAAAGATTTAGAAAACTTGATCAGTGTAATCATATAACTTGTTAATTGTTACTTAATTTAAGTCTTTCATAAACAATTAATTAATTCTCCTTCAACATTTTGTCTAAGATATGTTTTATTGTTACCGTTGATGATGGTTGAAAATTAATTAAGTATGACAGGATCAACAATTTCATTAATTATATTCAATTGATTTGACTTCAACTTGAACCCATCAATGTCAACTAATCGAGCTTGGTGAAACAACTTAGTCAAACTCAATCGGTCTGATCTCAGATTAGATGATCACTGCTTTAATTACTTGAAATATCTAAATCTATTAATCCATCTTTAAAAAGCCTCTTAAATTACACTTTTAACTAATTTTCTAAATTTTTCTAACATTTAACAGAATTTGGTAACAATTTGGTGATGATGGTTAACAAGCTCGCAATTAATCAAATTAACTGTTCTCCAACCATAAGTGTCAACCATTTGGAATTTTAATCATCAACAATAATAATTTCTCGAGATCCTTTAATTTAAATCATTGGTTTACATAACAATTAACATCCCAAAGGGAAAATATCTGTCACCAGTTTTTCGTCATTTCTTTTTTTTTCTCTGTCAAGTGAAAACAATTAACAGAGAAAAATTTGAATAAACAAAACATACGAGAGAAAACAAAAACTCCAAGGGGAAAAAAAGATAACGGAAATTGTCCCAATGTGCCAATGTGATCTCAAAGTCGAAGCCGCTGAAGATACTCATCTAAACGATGATGATTCTTTGATAAATTGTTAACATTGACAGTTTCTCATTCTCATTTGGTTACTTGAATAATTAACAGCAATTTAAACTCTCCCATGGTGATAATATTAGTACATCTAATTGATGTCTTAATATTTGAATATTTTTGTGTCCATCTTGTTAATTGTTGGACATGAGATTATCTTATTACCTTTAACGAGAGAGATGAAATTAGTTTGATGAAATTATTCAAAATCATGATAGATTCTTGAAGAGGAAACTAAACTATTTACAAATGGATCGCAGTTTATTTTGCTGATATAAACAATGATTTACAACCACTGCCCTTGGAAAATCAGTAAATTGTTGCAAAAATATTTCATCTTTTTCAGTAATTAAGTGGTAAATATTGTGAGACTTTTTTTAACTAAATAATTAGACAAGTTTTGGTTTTTTTCTAGTGAAAAAACACCAATGGAAACACATGTTACCAATATGATGATGAGGATGCTACTGTTTTGGGGAAGGCATAGACTAGAATCCGTTGGAAATAGACAGAGAAAAAGAAAGTAACTTGGACCCGGGAGATTCTCAATGTCAACATCTTGGACTTTGACATTCTCTCACCCCACTCTCTTATCTTCTTCCTCCTCCTACTCTAAGCATCATCTCCATCTCTATCTTCATCTTCATCTTCATCTTCATCATCAACATCTTCCAACAGATTATCTTGTTTACTATTGAGAGCGTTCATTCATCATCTTGCTACTGTTTGGTTAACATTCATTTTCATTGTGTTACCTTAATTGTTACGATCTTGTCACCAAATCAACCTGTTAATCCTCTGAGTAAATTGTGTACAATTAATCCACGAATTAATGGAGCTACTCGAAGAATTTAACAATTTACTTGATTCACTTCCAATCTCTCCCAGCCTTTTACAAGAGGAATCATTGAATAAGGTAAATTTTAATTTCTCTCTTTCTTTTCAATTTGACTTTTGAAAATTTGATTATAATTTTTTTTTTCTCTTTTTAATTTGTTCCAATTAGGCTGATATTGTTAATCAAGCCATATTACAGATCATTTTCCTCGAAGATTTAATCAAGAAAAGATGCCTTCTCAATCTGCAAACACAATTTAATCGACGACGAGGATCACGATTAAGGCGATCAAAAGTTAACCATAAATGTGTCCACTAAATCAAATCAAGTGAAATCAAAAAATTAACCAATTAAATTGGTTTACAATTAACGTGAAAAATATTTTGTAATATGAATTTAAAATTAAAAAAGTGATCAAACTTGAAAATGTTTTTAAAAAGTTTTCTTTTATTATGAAAACTTAATATTTCCATGAATTATTTTTAATTCCAAGGTTTAGTTTAATATTAATTGTGATTAACTTGAGAAGGTGGGTGATTAATCTTTGAGAGATTAAGGTGAACACTGAATTTCGTCAAAAATCAATTTAATTAGCGAAGAAAACAAAAAGGTTAATCAGTTAATTGCATTAGAATGAGAAGAAATAAAAAACATTGTGATCAATTTTGGTTGAAAATGTTTCGTGAGCTTTAAACAATTAACTGATTACCAACTATTAGGCTCCATACTTTGTCCAGGGTAATGGTGATGATGTGAACCATGATAATGGTGAGGTGGTGGTATTGGTGGCGGTGGTGGGTAAGCCATTCCAGGTCGATCATAAATATGTTGGCTCGGCGGCGCATCGCCGATCTCTTTAACTTTTGATTTGAACTTCCATTTATATTTGAATTTTTTCATCGCTTTTTTCAACGGATTTGGCTTCTTACCTGGATAATGATGAATATGATGATGATAATGATGATGATGGTGGTGGTGGTGGACACTTTGGTGGTGGAAATGATCATGTTTATGTTTAGTCGATTGTTTCTTATCCTTTTTTTTCTTCCATAATTTAGTTAAGAGGCCAAATCGTCGATCGGAACTCGGCTTATCCTTAGACCACATATTCTCAGTGTTTTTTTCCGCTTGTTTCTCATGGTTATCGACATTAGTATTCGCAGCGGCAGTTTCTTGATCGCGACTGATATTACCAACCTCTTCTCCACCTCTTCCATCACCATCACCACCACCATTATTATTACTTTGCCCACCTTCACTATTATTATTAGAATCACTATTAGACAATTTAGTTCCAGAATCATTGTTAACAACAGGTAAAGATTGATGAGCTGACCAATAATTAGTTGGATTAACCAATTGACCAAAAGGTGATGAAGATGTTGATGGTTGATTTTGATTGTTATTGAAGTAATTTGCTAAACCAAATTGATGATTGTTAAAATATGGTGATGATTGAGTAATTGGAAAATGACTGATTGTTGGATAATTTAATGATAATGGTTGAATTAACGGTAATTTGGGATAAACATCATTACCACCAAAATGATAATAACCATAAGAGGAATGACAATTAACCCAAAGGACCAATATTATCAAGTGAAAAAAGTAATCATATTGATTGGTAAGAATATTGATTATCTTTAAATTATCAGAATATTGGAATACATTTCTCACTAGAATCATCAATTCATTTGTAAACTTAACTAATAATTAAATCACATTTCAAATGTAGTGTTGAAAATTTCGAGATGAACAATTAACTTAAACCCAATCACTATTGAAGATCAACTGTTTTTCCCAATCTGATATTTTACATTTTCTCATTTAGTTTCTCATCTTTTTCATTGCCAACAATTAACAAAACCAATTAGTTTGTTGATTTAATTTCTCCTATTTGATTAAATTGTCAATTTCAGGTCACCCATTAGGCCTTAAAATTGATTGTTCACCAATTAGGCCATTAGGGTGATTTAAGTTTTACGGATCAGTCGATTTTTTCTCACATCTTAATCTTAATTGTTTTCTTTTAATCGTCAATTTGGATTGGAAATACTTTAACTAATAATCTAATTAGATGATTCTTCAAGTAATTAAGACTCCAGTTCTCAAAAATTGATTCTCTTTCACAGAATAATTAATCATTAGCACCCACTAAAACCCTTTAGATTAACAACTTTTTTTTTCAGATTCAAGCTTAATTCAGTTGATTAATCAACAGTTAATCATGTTTTCATCATTTACTATTAAATTATCTAGAATGATTAATGTTTATTACTGATTGTTGTGGTCATTGTGGTCAATACATTTTCTTATACAGGTAATCAGTGATTTCTTTTGTTGTTTTTTGTCTGATTCTCTTCAATTACAATTAACTCATTCAATTGTTGATTCCAATCGAATGAGTAAATTATGTAATTGATATTATCCAGACATGGGAAGAAAACACAACACTAATAGGAAAATTCATGTTTACCTGTGGTGGAAAAAGTCAATCTTCTTAATGATTGTCCTTGTTGTTGGAATCACAATCAATTTTAATCATCCCCATGATCATCATTTTTAAATTATCAACGATAACTGAGTTTTAACATTCACCAGGTAAACAGGTAAGGTTAACATGAACCAGAAACAACAACAATTGAATTTTTAACCATTTCCTCATCCTCATCTCTTTTTCATCCTCATCTTTTTTTTGTTCACCTTCACCTTTTATTTTCAGTTCAATTACTAATCAAATAATGATTTTGTTTGAGGAAAAAAAGTTTCATTTGATTAATCAACAATTCAATTGATCATAATCAGAGTAATGGAATCAAATTTTGGCCCAGTAAACCTGGAAACAAATATTATATATTAAATCCTACACAAAAATCAACAAGTAAACTAATTAACTAAAATGGAAAGGTAGATATATTCATTAATTATTGACTCGATTATTGATTAACAAGAAATCAAATCAAATAAGATAATGTAAACAAAAAGTTTCTTTCAATCAATTGGATCTAATTTAGATCATCTAAATTGTCGTCAATTCAACAGGTCAACTGAAATGAAAAGTGACTGATTGTTGCTGATCACTCCAACGATAATGAATCAAATTCAGTGTCATGAAAAATAGAGAGAGAGAGAGATAAAGTTGACAATTAGTTTTAATTGTTGATCGTTAAAATTTGAACCAAGTTTATGATGGAAACGATTTGTTAATTGATGTTTTCATCAACCAATGAGCATGACATTCAAATTGAAGGAAATGATAACAAAATAATCAGAATCATATTTCCTCTGAGAATTGAACTTATCATGTTGAAAGATTAAAGAATCTTTTTGTTTTTACAGAGATGATGATAACCTAACCTATAAAATGAAGATGAAGATAATATTGATAAGATAATGGAAGATAAAAGACGAGAGAGAGAGAGAGAGAGAGAGAGCAACATTCATCTTGGAAGATATTTTTTCTCCCTGTTGATGAATACGAAGGAAAATCTTGTTCAGTTTTGAAAACATCTCTAAAAACTAATCGTAGTTTTGGTTAGTTAGTTAATTGTTGTTTCTATTGTGGTTTAGTTCCTAATATTTTAACAAAAACTGTAATTTATATACAATTAACTCAATCTATTTGTATTTACCTTTAATCAGAACAATTTGTCAAACAGTTAATTTTAAATCTTTCATCATATTATTTATTTATTGGAACCGTTGTTGTTGTTGCTGTTGTATTGACCATCGTTAATTATGGTTGACCATTACAATGTTATTCTTACCTTGACCCTTATTATACCGATGGTCAGTCTAATTTCAATGGCCGAAACTCAGCCAAGTATTGAGGATTTCCGTCAACTCATAGGAATCGATCACAGTCCGATCTGGTCTGCTACTATACCAAATACACGGGTGATGGACAAGGCAGGGCGATTAATGCGACAGTAAGTTGATTGATTTAATTGTCTTGATCATTTGAAACTTTTTCTCCAACAATCTACTCTAAATGATTAGTTTAACTCTCAACTTACTTATCCTATTAACTTAATTCACTTTCTAATCACTTAAACTATTTTTAAAATTAACTTTCTCAATCAATCCCTATCACTTTCACTTGCTGATCAATTTTCATTTCATTTTAACATTTGATTAACTACAATTAGTACATTATTACATTAATTGCCATCAGAAAATCATCAATGAGTTTCCGATGGTTATTTTCAAACTTCAATCTATTATTTAATTAGAACCATTAACGGATTAATCAAGTTAATAACGAATCTCGAATCTCAGACTTAATCAAATTCTGTCTCCTAATCATGAATCTGATTCTTTTCCCATGATGATGATGATGTTTTCTTTTTACTATTTTTCCATGTTACCTTAATGTAACCTTTTCCTCGTCTTCTCTTTTAGCATCCTCATCCTTTTTCGTCTTCATGAACATTTCATATCGACGATAATGTATTTTAATATCATGATCACCATTAGACTGAAAATCTTGGCCTCAGGTTAAATTGTTTTGATACTTGTGATATTTTCATATTAACCTTTAGGATTAAGTGATTTTTGTTTATCCCATTTAGTTGATTAACTTTAATATTTGTTGTTAACATCAGTTAATCACATTGATTGATTGATTGTTGATGATGATGCTTGTCCATTGATCATTAGAAAGTTATTAAATCAGTTTTAATTGTCGATTAAATTTGTTAATTATATTATTATTCACTTTCCAACAAAACTTTCAATTCAAATAAGTTAATCTGATTGAATCAAATTTCATTTGTAATTAAATTTTTTCTGATCCTATACTTTTAATAATAACAATTTACTAATCATTTTCAATTAGCAACTAACAAAAATATATTCTTGTTATAAAACTATTGACAATTTAATTGTTTTAAATATTATTAATTTTTCACAATCAATAAGCAATAAAGTTGATTATTTAATGAGATTTATTGAAATTTTTGTCTATCGCAACAATTAAAAAGGTCTAATTTTCAATTTATTAATTATTTAGAATCGTTACTTTCATGATGAAATTGAATGAATTTCTCTGATCAATATTAATCAATTTTAATTGTTGTTCTCAGATTTACTAATCCATATAGGGAACGAGATCCTCACAATGACTCGCCTCAGGCACGATTTATGGATTATGCTATTAAAAGGGCTTTGAATTTGAATGGACTTAAATGGTTAGACCAGTTTGACGATCAACGTGCTAATTTGGACGCTCTTTTGGCCGGTCGAGGTTTAAACAATTGGAAACGCGAAGGAGCCGAAACTTATAAGAACATGTTCTTAGGAGTTCGAGGTTAATCAATCGACGAAAAGCAATTAAATTTGATCCAGTTCTAAGTTGTCAGAAACTAACAAACAATTAAATACTAATTGTGATTAACAACTAAAAGGTGTAATTATCCAGATGAAGATTTAATTGTAAATCAAATTTAATCCATGTTTTAATTGATAGAAATGATAATTTGTTTTTCCTTTTAATTCTAATATTAATAAATCAACAATTGCTGATTAAGTAAATCGTTTTTCTTTCACTGAATTTGATTTCAATAAAATTTATTTCTTTTTAATCGTTGTTATTAATTAATTCATTTGATACAATATGAGAGAGAGAGAGAGAGAGGATGATTAATGATTTTAACTGTTCCAATTGCTTTAAAATTTCTATTGGATAGAAAATCTTGTAAATTATTTCGTTAGTTAATTGTTAATTTGTCTATGGGATTTTTAATTTGAGGATTTTTTGGTATACTTTTTTAGCATCCAAAACAATCATGGCAAATTTTGAAAGAAATGACATAATTTTTAGGTCTTTTAGTTTATTAGAACCAAACCAAGTTTATCCTAACGCTTTTTACTCAAGCTTTGCAATGGCATTTTTCTCATCACTATAAAGCACAGAAGCCGATTTACAATGCCGATGTACAAGGGAAAAAGGTCAATTTTTGACGGAAAATTAGCCTTAATTTTGGATTTTAATATCCAAGAGGTGAGATTTTTTTAAATCGTAAGAATTTGGTCAACACCATTTTCAACCTTCTACTTTCTGAAAAAGTTACTTCCAAGTTAACCGGACCTCGATTTATACTGAGTTTACATCCTTTTCTGCTCACCCGATAACAATTACAAGGAGCGTGTGATCAACATGATCGTTTTTGAAAGAAAATAAAATTTTTAAACATTTAATTTTCGAAATCGAGTTAATCGTCTCATCATTGTTTTTTGTCCAATGTGACCGTTTCGAAGTTTTCTGAGATGAAAACTCAGAATCAAGAAGAGATAAAAAGTTATTTGTTTGATGCTCTTAGATTGTTAAGAGCATCAATTAGAGTATATCGAGAAAGAAAAGGAAACTAATAAGGGCTATAATCTAGAATAGCCCTACCCTCTGATCGTCTCCAATCAAATCTTAAGATGAAAAAGCTTTAATGATTAAACAGATTACAATTAAATCTCACGGAAGAAAAAAAGTTTATTCTCATTTGAATTTAAATCCAATTGATTGTTGTTCTCAAATGTAATAGGTTCGATTTCGTGATGAACAATTCGGTGAACAAATTAACTTATACTTAGAACTTTAAGTAAAACTTCTCAATTATTAGAATAACTTTTATTAACTTTAAATTTTCAACTTGATTCGTTGATTACAATTTGTTGATTATAAAGAATAGAATGAAAGAAAATAGAAAAAGAAAGAGAGAGAGAAAGAGAAAGAGATAGTAAACTTCTTCACTGAAGTTATCCTTTTCTTTTTCAAGACAAAAAACTTTATGATGATTATTCTGATTTTCTTATTTTCTTTTTATAAAATTAGAAAGAAGAGAAAGAAATGAAAAAAGAAAGAAAAGAAGAAAGAAGAAAGATAATTTAATATTATCTTCATCACTTATGGACGAGAACCAAAAAGCCCTCAGAAAATTTATTTTTACAACAACTTTTTCTGGGGTAAAAAATTAGATAAACCCTATGAACCCTATCCGTTTCCGGATATCTCTTTATCTAAATAAAAAAAATTAAAAGGTAAAATTTAAACGAGTTGGTTATTTGTTAATAATTGATGGAAAATGAATTTCATGCCCCCAATTATTGTTATTTAAAATTTTATTGGCCAAAAAAAATAATGATTTTGAGATGAAAAATTTCTTGATCTTTATAGAATTTCGCAATTGATAGTTTATTTCCTTGGTTGGAGATAAGGAAGAAGATGAGCAAAGATGCTCCCATATTAAAGTATATAAGCACAATAACTCATCAAAAAAAATCACAGTATACTTCTTGCTCTCTAATAGCTCTTCTCTCTCTGCCTTTTCCTTCTTACTTTTGTTTTCCTCTAGTTCTCTCTCTTTCTCTCTCTGCCTTTGGTAATCAATCCTATCTTGTGATTACTCTGCTCCTTTGACTTTCGATCATTCTCTCACTTGGTTGTTACTCTGCTTCCTTGGTGAGTGATCCATATCTCTCTGGTTGTTCTTCCTGTCAACATGGCTGATTGTACTGCTTGTCGTACTCTGTTCTCTGCAATTAGGCGTAGAAAGGGCCAGAACAGCCGTTTAAGAAAAATCAAATCATCAACAACGATAGACTTTCTAACCATGAGATACAAAGATACCTGGAAAGTGGATTGGGTCTTGAAATATGATTCTCTTGTCTGCAATAGATGCTTTATGGATGGGTACAACTCTGACTCATCACAATCATCTAATTGCACATCTGATTCAGAAACTGCTTTGGACACAAGTGCGACTGATACTGAGATGAACGGAGAAAGGTGGCCAGTTAGATAGAATCCCATGTGTTATCAATACATTGGACAATTTGGTACAACCAGGAATTTCGGCATTGAACTTTACAAGTCCAAGAGATGAATTGAGTGATGAACGAGAATCTCTAGTCCAATCGAGTTCCTCTGATGGTGATAATGAAGATGAAGGTAGCGATGATGAATCTTCTTATACTAATTCTACGAATAGCGATGAAAGTGATGACGCTACTATTATTAACAGAAAATCTTTTCAATGTACCAGAAGATGCCTTGATAATCGTAGCTGATGGTACATACATTTACCATCAAAAAAGCAGAAATGCTGCTGCGATGCGAAATGCGTATACTGACCACAAAAAAGACCGCTTACTAAGCTATTTATTATCGTTTGTCCATATGGTTACATAATGGATATTTTTTCAGCATATTCTCCGAAGGATAATGATGCTGCAATATTTAAGAAAGTTTTGAGGTCAAAAAGAGCACGAGAATTGTTAAGGCCAGGGGATGTATTTATTCTTGATCGTGGTTTTAGAGATTGTATACAGCATCTTTCAACCAGTGGATTTACAGCGTATATGCCACAAAGTCCTGAAGCAGGAGACAGAAATCAGTTTTCTAGCCAAGCGGCAAATCTATATCATAAGGTAACCAAAGTGCGATGGGTTGTTGAAGCAATAAATGGTCATCTTAAAAGTAGGTTGTTGAATGACACTGAAAAATACAATGATATCAAATCCATGGTGATCTAAAACGATTTCTTTTGAACTTGCAACAGGTATATTTAAGATTCTTCATAACGTTAGACCAAACTCGAATTTACCATAGATCACTTCGAAAATTCACACATGTGGGGCGATATACAATAAGTTTTTGAATAGACTGGTATCTGATGCTGATTGTCAAGTTGAAATGGTTGATGAAATGCTGAGACTAGAAAATAAAGAAAATAAACTGGCTGAAATTATAATAACAGCATCAATACATCACAGGCGATTGCATTTTGTACAAACATCATTTGATATCAGCAATTACTTACCTGTTTTGGATATGGACGATCTCTATATTTTTTCTAAGGGATCCTATCAACTAAAGTACTGTGGTACTTATTTTGCCGATGCAAGAAACAGACTAAACCCAAATAGTTTCGTGTACGAAGTACACCAAAACTCCGACTGGTTAGATTTAGAACCTTTATTAAATACGCTTGATGAGCCAATATTTATGAGAACCAAAATTCCATCGTACCATAGTGAGCACAAAATATATAAAGCTCATATTCTTGTTGACCTTGCAAAATCAGGGATTGAAGAGTAACCTAAAATTACTGCAACTGTCCAGCTGGTATGAGAACTATGGGAAGCTGCAGCCATATTCTCACAATGTTGTGGTTTGGAACAATTGGCTGGAGAAATCCCATAACTCCAGCGAAACATTTGAACGAATTCGCAAAACGTTTGAATGCAAGACTGACAATGAAACTGCGAGTGATGAAGAATAAATTTATATTGCATAAAAATATTTAATTATGAATATCATTTTTATTATAAGATGATTAGGCTTCGTGAGTTTAAGAGAAGAAATAAAATCAAAGGATATTGAATAACAAATAGTCAATCGATCGAAACAAACCAAGTTCATATTCATATTTATCATATAGAATATAGTATAAAAAATGATTTTCAGCTTGGTTGTATTTTTTATTGTTGAGATATGGCTAAAAAAATTTCTAACGCTTAAAATCGTAATTGTGTAGAATTGGATTGTCGCAAAAAAATTATTAACATTTTCGAATTACACGTATTTTGTTCTGTTAAAAAGTTGGGTTTTAGTCATTTTTATTTTGAGGGCATTTTCTCTATTCTTTTGGTTCTCGTCCTTCTTTATTTCTCTGTGGAGAAAAACCAAAAACTTAAAAATAATACAGTCAAGTACCTAAAATTGTCCATTTTTTGTACAATCAATTTGTAGAGCGGTAACATTGAAATTAGTTGAAATCGATCAAATATTTTGGCTATAATCTAGAATAGCCTCACCCTCTGATCGTCTTCAAATTTTTTCTGTACATAGGCCTCTATACAGCCACGAAAAATGAGATGAGAACAAAAATTATATCGATTGCGCATAAAGAGATAATTTAATCAAAATTAAAAGAAAAATTGAATTGATTTAAATGGAGAATAATAGAAAATGTAATCACAATTAGAAAAAATTATCTCTTTATGCGTATAAGATATAATTTTTGTTCTCATCTCATTTTTCGTGGCTGTATATCAACATCAACATAACAATAATTAGATGGTTTCTGGAACTAATACTTGATGGCGAATTGGCTGATCTGGAACTTAGTGATGAGGTTTAGTAGTCAACAAATAGAGTTTATGCAACAACTCATATTTTCAGGTTTGACTTTCAACGAATTGATAAATTTGTACATTACCACCCATGAGCGTTTAGATACAGGAGAAAACCCTATCCTACATGTTGATACTCCATCTTCCAGTCGAGATATTGTTTTAAATCTTTCTACACCGAACGAAGAGCAAAGGAAATCATCTTAATCAAATTTATCTCCTCACAATACAATCAATTGGATTTAAATTCGAATGAGAATAAACTTTTTTTTCTTCCGCGAGATTTAATTGTAATCTGTTTAATCATTAAAGCTTTTTCATCTTTAGATTTGATTGTTACTAATGATTAAGACATCGGTGGAAAAATCAATAAGAAAATCAATTTGTTACTCCATAGATGATTGGATTTTGTTTATTGCAAAGGTTATTTAAAGTTTGATTGTTGGTTAACAATTTACAAAATGATTATTGACTTCTTATAGTTGATTACAATTATGGATTAGTAATGGTTTTATGATTGGTGATAATTGTGAGTTAATTGTTGTTCTTGGTATGAAGATATGAAGGGTGAGATATGAGCTAATTTGTGGTTTTAATTGGTAATCACATTAATTTACCTTGACCGTATTTAGATTTTAGAGAGTAATTTGTTAATTAAAGTGTAACTAATTAGAGAGAGAGAGAGAGAGAGAGAGAGAGAGAGAGAGAGAGAGAGAGAGAGTATGGTTAACAATTGCTCATTTGACCGATAATAAATTTTTAAAAATCAAACTTTTGTCTCAATTGTTGGTACATGTACTAAAGGAAAAAGGATATTTGGAGGGACAATTAAGCTAATTAAGCTAATTATTAGTCGATAACTAATCATTAAGGTGGCAAATTTGATGATTGGTAAATTTGTTGAATCTCTTATAGAGTATCAGTTTTCATTAGAGATGCCCACTAATTGTAATTAATAATGTGTTAATAATTATATCGCAATTAGTCAATATCATTGTATTGCAAGGCAGTGTGATTAAACAATCGGTATAGTAAATTATTAGTTGATAACACCAGATTGATCAGATTGTAGATCCTTGATTGTTTTACCATTTTAATGACTATGATGTTTTTCCTTTTAAAACTCTTCAATGTTACGTAATTTGTAGGTTGACAGGTAACTTTTCACATAGAGATACATTACACCCAAGGCACAGTAAATTGAGGTAAGAAGTAAGGGTAAGAAGGGTAAACTTGAATAGAATGGGATGAAATAAGGGCCAAATGTTTGGTAGATTTGAAGGAAAGGTATTCCAAGGAGGAAGAGTAAATCTAATTTAGGTAAGAGTAAGCTCGCTGATTGTTGTTTATCTTGGAAATTAACCTTCGTTAATGCTTGGTAACAGTAGATGGTAAAGAGGAGAAGGAGACAAATTTTGGTCGGCGTTTCACCGGTTTTAAAGAGAAGCGGGAAAAGAGAATAGGTGCCAATTGTTGAAAGCATGAAGAAGATATTGGCATCCATTGGTGAGATCAAGGCCAAAGGTGTTAAAGGTAAGATTATCATAAGAATTGCTTTCTCATGAACATGATAGCCAAAAATGAAAGATGAGAAGGCACATAAAATTACTGAACGAATGAAAAGTGTTGGAGAGTGTCCTTGTTGGTCACACTTTTTCCACAAAAGAGTAAGAATAGGCTGTAGAAAGGAGGAGAAAACAAAAAAACAATTTCTCATAAGTTAATTTCTTAAGACAATTAGTCAAAATTTTCGTAATACTTACCAACATGGATAAAAATGAGATTAACGTTGGGCCAAAAGGGGGTACATTTGGTAAGACGGTGTGTTGATATTGTTGTACTAAACCTCCGGTCATGGAAGCACTTCCGACCTTTTTAGATAATAAGATGGAAAGTACTTTGTCAACTCCATTGTAGAGAGCCCAAAAATTGGGTGCCCAGTAAGCATGGGTTAAGCCTCGACCAAAAGGGAAGAGACGACTGAAAAGTTGACCCAATTGTCCCATAACAATAAATGGTCCTAGAGAGAAGATAAAGATTCCCCCGACAATACTTGATAATTTAACAAAATTGTTACGCAGAAATTGGAGATCTTTGTCAAAACAGTAAACTCGCAACAGGTAAATAAAATAAGCCGGTGCAACGTAAAGGTAAATGTGCTTCATGTTGAGAAGGATAGTGAACCAGAAGGCTGATTCTAGAAACTTTTCTTCCGCCATTCGAGCCAAAGAGAGTAAAAATATGCCACTCAAAAGTCCATTGTATTGAAAATGAATATGATCAACTATAAGTAAACCAGGATTCCAGAGTAAAAGAAATGAGAGTATAACTGCTGGATGGTAAAGTTCATCTCGTATCTTATATTTTGCAAGATTTTTATTCTTCCTGAGTAGTTTGATCCATTGGAAAGCCGCATAAATGTAGATCAAATCAGTAACAATGACGGATAACCGTTGGTAGAAGATAGTATAATAGCTTGAGTAAGGTTTCTTTGACAGTACCAACATCTTCGGATCAAATAAAGGAGCAACCAAAGAGAGACCCATCTCAAACCAAGCAAACAATGGAGGATAATCCAATGTCCATTTTGAAGTTGTATCAAAATACCATTGAGAAATTGGTTTACTGGAAGTAAGGGCAAGCCAATTTCGATGGACTTCAAAGTCAGTTGAATAGCTTTAAACAGAAAAAACATAAGAAAAAAATGGCGAAGAGAATAAAAAATTTGTTCTCAAGAGATAGAAAAACAAAAGTATCAACATTTACTACTTACTATGATGGCATTAAAAGAAACTTAAGACATGATATACTAGAGGCAACAACCAGATGATAGAACATTAACATAGACGTCATATTGTTAATTAAGGTAACAATTAAATAATTAATTAAGAGAAAAAGTTGTTTAAATTAATTAGAAACTTAAAACTCTCATCAACGTGATCAATTGGTTCACCTTAGTTACCAAATTAGTTCAAAGTTCCACCACCAGATGGAGCCACTTGGCATTCGATTTTTTTTCAATTGTTGTGATCGAATTGAAATTTTTAATTGTTAATTGTTTCGCGAAATTGAATTGAATTTAATTTAAAATGACTTGATTTCAGAATTTGTGTTTGGGTTTAAATATAAAGATTTGTTTTATTTTACAGAAATTTTTGTTTGTTCTACGAAAAGTATAACGATATTACAAGAAAATAGAGTTGAGATAATTAATTGATTGTTGGTCAAGATGAATTTCTGGACAATTGATTGATTTCATTAACAGATTGAAAATAATTGAATACACTTTTACGAAGTTGACCAACATCGATCACAATTCGACCAATTGAGTAGCCATTGGAAGTAGAATTGAACCATTCATTTCGATATAATTTATTTTCGACATTTCGTTGATCAATCTAAGATTAGAATAAAAAATTATTCGAAATTAACTATTGACCGAATATAATTGAAGAAGAACAATTTTACACAAGAGAAAATACTTACGGGTAAATGATCGACATGGAGAAATAATTTATCATACTTAAAGTTGGAAGAATCAATCGAATGTAAAATCGCCGTTCTAAATAAGATACACTTCATATCGAATGTCGAATGACCTTTACAACCACAGAATAGGCACTTTTTACAATTCTGATGAGCTGCCTTCGAACAGCAATCGCCCGGACAGCCTTTTTCACCGCACTTGAGACAAGCGATTTTGTTGCACAATCGATAATTGTGCTCGGGTTTCATGGAGTAACAATTGGGACAATAATCGATTTTAAGATTATCGAAAATTGGTAAACCAGGAGTGAGGAATAAACTGACACAATGATTTCGAAAATGATCTTTGTCCATTTGTCCACGAATAGTTGGGGTCACTTGGAATCCAATTCTCTCATGTCCGTCTAACGATAAACATTCACGAGATAAAAGTTTAACTTTTGAACCTTTCGAATCACAGTAAAAGTTATTATTCAGTAAGAAAATTTCACTAATTTCCTGTGACGATTTCGAAGAGACCAAATTTTCATTTACATAGAACCAAATTCGAGGTTCATTTGAGAACGAAATTTTCTTAGACATATTATAATAATCGCTAAATTATTTATCTTGACGATAATAAACAAGGAAGAAAAAACAATCAACTCAATCGACTGAAAGAAAACAATTGATTGTTACAATTACAAGTTCGTCTATTTAAATACTTGAATTGATACAAAGTCTCAGAGCACCAAAAGTATTGGACATTTGAACTCCGCCTTAGACTAATTAGCAAACTGATACAATTAACAAGTGTAATCCATTTTGTCCTCAAGGTGTAAAAAAGATGACAACAATATACATTGTATATTAGTCTCACTCTCTCTCTCAAAGGGATAATCTCTTCTCACCTGGATTAGTCTTTCGGATTAACTTTTCTATTTTTCCTGAGAAAAAAATTCCTACCAAAGGTAAAGGTACGAAAGGTAAATATTAAACTAATTAGCAATTGACTCTCAATCAAGATAATTAACCTTCTTATTGCTCTTAATTACAACCAATTGCTTAATTATTAAGTTTCGTCTCATCTAAGGGCAAGAAGAAGTAACCAAAAAAAATTAGAAATCCATAGGAAAAAGATTACCCCAATTGATGGATAATCAATTAAGAAGAAAAATTGCAACAATTAATTTTAATTTTTCGAGAAGAAGCAAAAATTAAATCAAATGAAAAGTTTTTCCGTTATTCTTTTGTCATGAAAACATCGATTGTATCGATCATGTAATTGAAGATTTGATTCTCTCTCTTTTTCCAGCTGATTTTGTTTACGGTTTTCTGATGGATTCAAATGACAATTAACAGTCTAATTGACCAGTTAACAAATTACCCTAACTACGTTTATGGGATTATTTTTATTCTTATACTAATAATAGTTGGGTTAATTATGATGGAAGCTCGATGTCCAGATATAATTAATTGTACTCAATCAATGGCCAACGCTTTGGTTGAAGGAATAACAAATTCATGTGAGTAAATTGTTGTTACTCTAATATCAAGTTAATCAATTGTTTATTTCTCCTTCTTTTCACATTTCCATTAACTCAAACTGATTCTTATTAAATTGTGAAAATCAGTAAATAGTTGACAAAATAAACCAGAATGGGTTAATTTTGGAATCGTTGTTTAGATTAATTTGTTTTGTTCATTTTTCGCATTTTCAATATTTTCTCATTTTGTTTTTCTCTTTGATTTTGATTTTTAGTTTCTTCTTTTGATTGTAAAAGTATGAACGAATTGGTTCCTTCCAATGATCCAGTGTGGATTTTGGGTGAAAAGTATAGTTCCCTTCATGATATGGATGGAATCAAAGACGATATTAGATCAAAATTCTGGATCAGTTATCGACGCGGTTTCCCAAGGATTGATGGAACCGGACCAACTACCGATTTCGGCTGGGGTTGTATGCTACGCTGTGGTCAAATGGTTCTCAGTCAAGCACTGATTGTTAAACACCTTGGTAGACATTGGAGATGGTCAAGTGATAAAAATAAGCTCATTTCCAATGGTACATATCGAAAGTATTTGAAAATTTTAAGCCACTTTCTTGACCGAAAGGCTTCAACCTACTCTATTCATCAAATTGCCCAAATGGGTGCGACTGAAGGTAAACCCGTTGGTACTTGGTTTGGACCGAATACAATTTGCCAAGTGATCAAGTGAGTTGATCAACAATCAATTTCCAAGATACAATTGATTGTCACTTTGATTAACAAAAGTCTTTCACTAACCTTGATAACATGCCCCTTATAATACATAAACCTTATCATCCATTACCATTAACTGTTATCATTAATAATATATGAGTAAGAATTATTATTTTATACTCTAGACAATAATTAATACTCTTGATTACTTAATGATTATTGATCATTTTTACTAATCAATATTTTTCTTTTTCTTCTTCCAATCAAATCATCATTAAGACGATTTTAAACAATTTACATTTTGTAACCGCCATTTGATTGGTTCTCATCAAATTAGTTGATTGTTTCCATTTCTTTATCCATACAATTAATTTCTAATCATTTATTTTTTTTGTTTTTTTTTCAATTCTTTCAGGAAACTTGCAGCATTTGATAAATGGGATAAATATGCTGTTCACGTTTGTACAGACAGTTTAGTGATAATCGATGATATTAAAAGTACTGTCCAAGAATCGGTCAACGAAAGTGGACAATCAGAGGGTAAAAATTGGCAGGATTTGATACTTTTTATTCCCGTTCGATTGGGACTAAATGAGATAAACTCTGGTTACTTTGATGGTATTAAAAATTCATTTCGCCTTCCCCAAAGTCTTGGCATAATCGGCGGTCGGCCCAATCATGCCCTTCACTTTATCGGCTACGTGGCCAATGAATTAATTTATTTTGATCCTCATACAACCCAATCAGTTATTGATCCTGAACCTTTGGTTGACATTGATGGTAAAACTGATGATGACCTTGTCAATCTTGATTTCGATGATTCCACTTATCATACCGAGAACGCTTTCAGAATGACACTTTCTCAACTTGACCCTTCCTGGCACTTTGTTTCTATTTTCGATCCGAAGAAGATTTCGATTCCTGGTGTAATCTGGCTCATAGTCTCTTCGTGAAAAATGTTCCCATGTTAATCTTTGAAATCTTCAAAGAGAAACCTTACCAAACCCTTAAACTATCCGGACAATTAAGCCAAGAAGATTATGATACTGGAACAATCAATATAACCGAAAATTCTCCAGAAGATGAAGAAAAAGCTGATGATGAAGAAGAGGAGGAATTTGAAATATTATCCACAGAATGAATAATCTTCATATTCACATCATTTTCTAATCACCTGTAGATCATCACATCATCACTAATCTCTCTCTCTCTCACTCACTCACTCTCTCTTTTTACCCTCTCACACCCATGAAATAATCAAACTTTAAACAAAGAATTTTTTTATAATCAGAACTTTGTTCTTATATATTTTTGTCCCATGAAAAAAAAGATAACTGTTTGTATTGAAAATCTATTGTAATATCAACTCATGAAAAGAAAACAAAAGAAAACGAAAGAAAATTGAAAATGTAAACACAATTTGTTGATTTTAAATAAAAGAGAAAAATAATTGTTTCCATTAAATCAATAAAACAACTAATCTGATCATAAAAGTTAATTGTTATTCGGTAACAATTATAATTGTAATCCAATTGTCTTTTCATTGCAAATGATTAACATTATGTAAGAACACCAGATGGCAGAGTAACTGTTTCTCTTTTCGGTTTTGTTTTTTTCTCATTTTTTTGTTTAAATTTAGTTTATTATTTTTTTGGTTTTCTATTAGTTAATGTGAATTAATTTTGTTTGTGTCTCCTTAATTGCAATTAATAAAACGTGACAAATTACTGTGAACATGTCTCAATCCTATGATTGGAAACAATTGATTGAATCAAAGCCCCGGGAATTGGTTTTCAAAGATGCTCCTGCCTGTAAACATATTGAAGAGGAAAATGGTTTGAATGAGATAATATTTAAATTGAGAAGTTTAAATTTTCTTGAAATTAGTGGAACACCATTAACTTGTTTCCCTGATAAAGTGGCGAATTTGGCTAACCTGACTAATCTTATTCTAAGAAATAATAAATTGTCTCACCTTCCACCTGATATTGGTCGTCTCAATAAACTTAAATTTATCGATGTTTCCAATAATTGTTTGGAAAAGATTCCCGATGAGATTGGTAATCTATTGGAACTTCAATCCCTGGTCGCCAATGTGAACAAATTAACAACCCTGCCTGAGAGTTTGAAAAATTTGACCAATCTTACTATTGTCAAGGTAGAATTTAATTCAATGGAACAATTTCCTGAGAGCATTTGTGATGAGAATCTTAAACACCATCTAGCCGAGATTCATGCTAAAAATAATTCTATTCAATATATTCCCCAAACAATTGGTAAATTATCTGCTCTTAAAGTACTTGATCTAACAGAAAATGCGATCAATGATGTTCCTGGTGAATTGGGTGATTGTAATAGGCTGAAAGAGATCCATTTAAAGGGTAACAAGTTAACCGATCGAAAGCTTCTCAAGTTGGTCGATCAAGGTAAAATGAAGCAGATAATTGATTATATTCGAGGTCATTGTATCAAAGGTGGTGCTCCAAAGGGCAACGATACAACGTTGAAGGAAACATTTGCCGATGCCAAGGCCAGAGTAAGAGAGGCTCGTCGTCGCCGCCGATCATCATCCCGTTCATCTTTGGAGGATAAAGAAGCCTCAATGGATACAATAAAGATATTGAATGTTGCTCCAAATGAATTTCGATTGGTCACAGCGACACCAATTATTTTGGAAACTCGTAAAATTGTTTGTTGTATCGTTCGAAATGTTGATCTCACCCGTGACGGGATGGTGAAAAAATTTCTCTCTCTACAATCTGATCTTCACGATGGTTTACTTTGTGGTAAAAGGAAAAACGCGACAATTGCTTCTCATGATCTTGCCAAAATTACGGGAAATATTGTTTTCGATTTAAGGCCTCCGTCTAAAATTCGTATTCATGCTCTTGGTCGTCACGAAATGTCTGCCGGTGAATTGTATAAGAATTTAAATGACGAGGCCGAAAATTATCGAAAGGAAAAGAAACGCAATGCCTATTCGGGTATTCACAAGTATTTATTGCTGCTAAAGGGTAAATCACGATTCCCTTGTTTAACCGATTCTGCAGCGACGGTCATTTCTTTCCCACCGATAACCAATTCAGAAAATACGAAAATCTCTGAAGAAACCAAAGACCTTTTCCTCGAAGTTACTGGTGAAAGTCAACCGACTTGTAAGAAAGTGATGGACTCATTAATCCACGGGATGCTCAAACTTGGCCTTGGGGCCGATTGCAAAGACAAGAATGATGCTCCCCTTCCCAATACTCTACAATTAGAGCCCGTTAAAGTTGTTGATCCCGAAGGAAAATTATACGTTGTCTATCCGTCTAAAGTTGATTTAATTTTCGATGATATTAAATTAACCCGAGACTAGAAATTTAAATCTAAAGTCACAATTACATAAACACCCAAACATTGAGCCCTTCCCTCCGTTGACCGTGTTGATATATTACAACACAAACAAAAACAGTTCTCAGCCCGAAATTGAAAACCTTTAATTGCCGTTTATCAACAATCAAAAGAAATTGAAAACAATTTAATTTAAATGCTCGGAAATATAACAATTTGGATGGATTTTCTTTTTTAAATTGTCAGAATTTAGTTTTATTGTCGATTAACAATTAACATTTCTACGCCTCGATCGACAATAAAACTAAAACTCTCCAAGTGAGAAAAGAAAAATATTTTTGTCACAATTAGTTTGATGATTAATTAATTGTTCTTGTAAGACTTTGCTGTAAAAGCTTTTCCTCTTTTTTTTCACAGAAATGAGAATAATTTAAATAACTGAGACTCGCGAAGTTAATTGTTAAATTATCAATTAAAGTGACATTAATTTTCAATCTAATTTGTAATTCGTATTAACAGTTAATAAAGAGTCAAATTGGCTATTGTTTAAATCACGAGTTCGATTTAGTTAATTTTAGGTTAGTTGTGAAAATTTAAAGAATTTAAATTGATTTTGGTTGAATGTGTTGATTCAAGTTGATTGATTAAAATCTCGTGAATATTTGAAAAATTAGTTGTGCATTTGATTTAATTGATTTGATTTGATAAGTGAACAAAATATTGTTTATAAATTTCTTGAACGATTTTACAAAATTGTTTTTGAGTTTTCTTTGTTTCTAAACAATAATCATGATTTTTGAAAATCACAAGATAAATGATTAATCAGGAGTTAATCATTATAATGATGATTAAACAATTTAAGGTGATTAACAAAGTTTGCTTCAAGCAAAGGAAAAGTTAATCATCAAACGTAACCTTGTGTAGCAACACTAGCAGTTGATTTAGTTTAAGATTTTAACAGTGTTATGATAATTACTTTTATAAATGATATTAATTAAATGAAGATGATGACGACGATGATGATGATGATGATGATAGGAAAAGCTTAGGGAAAATTAAGGCTTTTACAACAAAGAAATGGGTTTTGTCACCGGGTAGCTTTCTTATGCTTGTTTGTCTAATGGAAATTAGGTTGACAATTAATAACAATTTGCTCCATTTAGGTTGATTCAAGAATGGAATGAATATCTTTCATAGATTCTTTGACAGCTTGAGAAAATTCATTTCCATTTCGATTATCTTTCCAATTAGTACAATAAACACCCATATCATTTCCAACAAAACCATAAGCTAAACCAAAACCATCGGAAACAGCGGGTCCATAACCACCGCCGATTAGATTACCAGCATACAACAGGGAAGTTGAAAGGGTAAAATGATTAGCATCTTGATACGATTGATCCTTGAAGAGAGAAACGTCTTTCATTCCTTGTTTTTCTGCAATATTTTTCAAAGCGAACCAATGTCTGTCGAATCCTTGTCCAATTGAAGCTTCCTTGACAAGTTTCGAATGAGTTGCCGATGATTCATTGATTATCGATCTTAATTCAGCATTGGAGTAATTGCTTCGAGAAATATGAAACATTTTGCAAGCTTTTTGCGTAGATAATGTGGCAGCTCTAATTGTTTCCGTTCGACCTGAAAAGAGGATAAATTAGTTTAATACAAAGAAATTAGAGATTTATTAATAGATTTATCCATGTTATTTAAATAATACCCACCATGTTTGAAATGTGATGTTGAACAAGATTCATAGGTGGCTGGAGTTTTTCCTGATGAGATTTTGAAGAAGGCCATTTGAAATGCTAAATGAAACATTGAATCAGGGCTTAGCTTCATTGACTTAAGATAAGCCCGATTTAAATTGTTTTCGTGGATGTAATTTAGTTCCAGATTACTTGTTTCTCTTTTATGAGTTTTTTTAGCTAATTCGATGTGTGACTTGAATCCCTCGTCGAGAACAAATGAGATTTCCTTAACATCTCCAAAAACTTTACGATCGAAATTTTCACTAGAACTGACGAAACGATTCTTAGTGAAATCGGCATAAACTCTATCATAGAAACGGCTCATGGTAACACCATCAACCCAACTGTGTTCAAAGTTAATTGCAGTGGTCCCATTTTTAGTGAATATTGTTGAAAATGATTTGTCAAACCAACGATTCAATGTAAACTGTTGTAAATCTGAGAATCGATCTGAAAACGGGATCCCATGTAAAGCATTGAGTGCATAAAGTTCACGTTGCCTGATCGGATCGGTGATATCGTCAAAATCAACATCAATATCGAAGCAAATAAATGTCAAAGCTGAATCGATGAGGGCAAAGTGGGCAACGTTACTTGGATTCTCAAGTAAATGTGTCCTTGCACGAGCCCAATCATCACGAGGTAAACAGGTTAACCATGAAAGATGATGATCTGTTTTTGATTCATCTGGTTTATCCCAAATGTGTTTGAGACAAGAGTAAATATAATTAGGTGTTTTTAAATTACCACTATCGTCAAGCACATTGAAACAATAAAAATGTCCACGCTTCATGACAATAATATGCTTAGAGTCGGGATATGTTTGCAAGAAATCAAAATTCAGAGCAGGAATTCGAGTTGAACCAAATAGATTTTGGTGTTGGCTCATATCATAAGCAATTGTGGTCGATTTAGAGTCAACATTTTTTGATTTTGAGATGGTTATATCAGGCTCCAGAACGTTATCGAGTAACGATCGTCTATAACGAAGACAACTGATTAAATAGTTGGCTGCTTTGATACAAGGTTGATTGTATTCAATTTCCGGATCATTTTGAAGAATGAGGAAAGGATTGTAGTTTAGAGGGAGTGGACATCTTGATGATAAATATGAGTCCATCCAATCATCTGGTTAGGCAGAAAAACAGAAAAGCAAAGTAGAAACAAGGAAAACGAGCCTTCTAATAAAGATCATGGTACAAGTTTCATCATGTTTAACATCATAATTTAAATGATTGAAAAACATGACTACTTTCAAGGAAAGAAAAATAATATTTTTTTCTTTTCTGTGGTAATAGTAATGGTATGTATTATATAATAAATATATAATCGATAGTAAACTATCAATTTTGATTACCAGCAATGTAACTTGTATGACGAAGAGCTCGATTCTTTTCACAAAGATGATTCTGTAATTGCTGACCAATACCAATTTTAAAGCTACCAACAATGTCCACCGTTTTGGTAAACTGGTCATCATCAGCAATTAATGGTTTCACTGCGTTTAAATAACGATGACAAGAGTCTTCTAACCTGGGAATGGGTAATTGCGGTAAACTCGTTTGATAGTGATCAGTGGGTAGATCACTTTTCATCAAATAATTGTAATCAGCAATGCTTGCAGAGGACCAAGTTTTCAACGAACGAGATAAATTTCTGGTTAAAGGCCAACCTTTGGTAAAATTAACCTAAAGTAAAGGAAAAATATTGAAAGAAATCAATAGTAATAGAAGCAAAAAACAAGGAGAACATTGATAATAACATACCCGAAGAGCCATAGTTCTTTTTCCAAGTAAATTAACAGCTAATTAACTTCCAAAACCGTAAACAAAAGTGATAAAAATGTTGTTTGTATCTTGGATAAACAAAAGAAAAGAGAACACAGTTATCTTCAAAAAGAGAAGGGAAAAAAATGAGATAACTATTACGGTCGTTATAATAGAAAATGGATTTTAGTTTTTGTTTTACTCAATGAAATACTTACCTGTAGAGAGAAATATACTGAATATTAACCAAAATATATGGTAAATATATGATGAAAGGTAATAATCAACACATAGTAACAATAGTGAGAGAGAAGAGAGAAGAGAGAGAGAGAGAGGGAGAGTAAATTATGAAGATATAATTTTACCACAAAGGTGTTGGTATATACAGTTAAACCATATGAGAAATGTAATCAACAGTGTAGTTATTAACTGTTGGGTGATTGGTTTTGTTAATAAACATGATAAAGTTGATTAATTAGGGAAAATTAATAGTTAATAGAAAGAGATGGAGAAAGTAAGAGAAAAACAGAAAGAGAAAAGAAAGAGGTTTGATTTGGAAAGATACAAACACAAGGGGAAAATGGAGATGGAGATAAAGAAAACGGATTGATTTTGTTACGAGATTAATTAACAAGGGATTAGATATTAAATTGAATTCAATTGTTACCATTAAGCTGCTCCGATCATCACAATAATCGATGGAAAATATCAACTAAATTAGAATTAATCACCAAGAGAAACAAAATAGCAGAGAGACAAACAAACGTGAAGAAGAAAACAAACCAAAAGCTAAAAGAAAAAAGTTTCTAAACAAGAAGAAGAGAAGAAAAAAGAAGACAGAAAATGCGACAGAGAAGAAAAAAGAGAAAAAGTTGAACATTATCAACATTCTGGTTCTTTAAACAAGAACAGGAATTGTTTTCATATGACCTGATAATTAAATTTTCGCAAATTTTTAGCGTCATTCGGAGGTAAAGGTTAATTTAAATTCTAATCTGATTGTGACCTTCGAATGACTTTTATTGGAAATTATCATTTTCCTTTTTTCTATTTGTTTGTTTACTTTTGTGTTCCAATTGATTAACGGTGTCCATTTTTTTTTTCATCTTCTCCTTGTCTTTTTTTTTTCTTCTCAATTATGGTTATTATCATCAGCTATTTGTATTGTGTTACTGGTCAATATTTAGTTAAAAAAAGTGTGACCATAAAAATCATTAATCAATAATTACCTTGGTTGTTTTTCAACTGCTGTTGATTGTTAATCTGGATTCAGGTGAGATCAATGGTTGGACTTAGAGGAGCGAGAAGTAAACATATTTGTACCTACCGAAGGTTTTTTTTATGGATTAAATTGGATTATCGTTGGTGATTTTGTCACAATCAAGGAAAAATTAACTATTATGATGTGAGAGTTAGAGTGAAACTAATTCAAAATGATTGACGTAACTTATGATTACTGTTATGAAATGTATTTTAGTTACATAAATAACTCATCTTTAAATTGTAAAGTCTTTATTGTAATTGAATCAACTTTTACAATGAGGAGCGATTGTGACATCATTTCCGTTGATTGTTGAGAAGTTGCGAAATATAATTTCTTGTAATCTGTAAACAACAATGTTGATAAAAATTACCAATTGACTGATAAGTTGCTAAGATTATAATGACAATTAATCAGTTAGATTGCAATCGAAAGCCAATTAATTAGTTAAGTGATCAATAATCAGTTATAGATGTTTTTTTTGGCGTCAAATTGTATTCCTATGGACTCAATGTAAACTGGACTCGAATTTGATTCCATTAGGCTGAGAATTAAAATGATTCGGATAGGTCTGAATTAGTTATGAACTTTCGTCCTCAACTTTGTTGACCAATCCAGTTAATTGCAGCACCTTATGATCCTTTATAATAAGGTAAATATTTGCCGTCTATTGTTACCAAGATCCTGGATTCTTTAGTCTTTGAGACATTTAATTTACAATCAATTGCACTCATGATCCCATCACCAAACTCTTCATGAATTATACTTCGTAAACTAGATCCATATACTTTAACCAACTCATTAAAACGGTAAACTAACAAAAGAAAAAAAACAATTAAATCATAATAAATAAAGAAACATCACATCAAAATTAATTTACCTAGAGGATCATTTTCAATGAATTGATTTCCTCTAATAGGAATTGTCGTTAATTGAATAGCCAAATCAGCAGGTAAATCAAGTAGGTGACAAATTTTACCAGCTAATTTAATATCACAACAATTTTGTCCATGTAAAATTGAAGTTAACCAAACCTGAGTACATAAATAATATTATTTAGATAGAACAACCAAATTATTACAATTTAATCAATTTAATTCTCAACAAAGAAACAATAAAATCAACCAACCTTATTAACTCCTAATTGTGTAGCCATTTGTTGATAAGTTAATCCTTTACAATTTTTAGCTTTCAACAAATGATTGGTGAAAATTTGAACATCACCGCAATTAACACTAATAGAAGAAGAAATTTTCTCTAACAATTTGTAGGTAATTCTCATTTTGAATTAATTAAAAACAAGCACAAAGTTAATTAGTCAAAACAGATAAGAAAACAATTAAGAATTTAAAAAGGTTTCAATATTTGAAAAGCTGAAAAGAGAATTTTAAGCTTTGCGCATGCGCAATCGAAGAAACTCCGACCAATCAGAGCAAAGTGTCAATCTGGGAATTAGAGTTTCATATGTTGTGTTTGTCTCTCATTGAATTTTTTTTCTTGTCTCTTAATTGTGTTTCTTTTAATGGTGCCACTAATTAGTTAATTTTAATTATGGTTAGAATGGAGGTTGAAGGTAGTCCCAATTCATTTAAGGGTGCCAATTATAGTAATGATGAAACTGATTCGGAATATGCTGGATCTGATTATGACAATGAAGATACATCAGGTAAGCTTTTTGTTTTCATTCATTTTCTACTCTGTTCTGATTTATTGTTTTTTTCTTTTCATTTTAAAATAATTAATTGATTTTCTTTTATAACATTGGTCTTTTTTAATTTTTAATTTTATTTCTTCTTTACTTTTCTATTTGGTTGGTTTACGCTTTGGTTGTGGGTTAGATTTGGATGAGGAAGAATGTGATCGACTTAAAGGTGAACATATCAATGAAATGATGGACCTGGAGAGACAATTTGTTGCTCTTAAAGAACAATTGTACATGGAAAGGATAACTCAAGTTGATAAAAAGCTTGAGGAAATTAAAGCGGGTATTGCTCAAGAATATTTAGGTCCTGTAGATGAACTACATCATCAACTTGAAGTTAGAGTTAAAGTGGCAGGAATACTCAGAAAATTTAGAGAAAGAAACATAAAGTGTCAATTTGAAGCTGAAAAATTGGCTTGTGAACAAAATTTCCAGGTGAGTTTACCCTTTATCTCAATTGACCGTTTGTTTTTTATACTTAAAACTTTATTAACCCTTTTTCCTGTTTACTCTCTAAATTCAGAGTGAGAAAAATTTACTCCGTGATCAGATCCGTCAAGATTTAGAGGAAAGAATTCGCCGATTAGAAGAAGACCGCAATTCCGTTGACAGTGAACTTTGGGGCGATTCTATTGATAACCCAAAAAAGAAGCGTCGAATTGGTGCCAATGGAAGCACATCTTATTACGAAGTTGGACCAAGTCGAGATCAATTACACCTACTTGACCGCAGAAGGAGACCAGTACCTGTTTCAGGTCCTTACATAGTCTACATGTTAAAGGATAGTCAAATTTTGGAAGATTGGACATTAATAAGAAAAGCGTGTAGGTCAACCAACAATTTAAGCTTTTACAATACCTGTTGAAAAGTTTTCTCTTCTCATTTTCAATTTTTTCCCCATCATAACAAGCAAAAGTATCACAAACAACTATTTACATGTATTATTTTAAATTAAATATTTGTGGTATAAAACGATCATGTTAATTACACACAAAAGTGAAAAAAAAGCAAAATTGATCTTTGTTTTTCATTTAAAGAAGGTTTTAATTACAACTTGATCAAGTTGTGTATGTATTTGTGTTCCTTTCTCCTTCGTGATTAATTAACTTGTTATTGAATATTTACAATGTACATTATTTATATTTGATTTTTAAGAGCTTCAGTTCGAACTGCAGCAATCAGGTCTTGATTAATTAAGAATACAAATCGTAATCCGGCAATTTCCACAACCGAATTATTGAACAATTTTGCACAATTAAGAGATCCAACGATGGGCTTTGAATCAACATAGATTGGCCTTTTACCCGTATTGGCGAGCATAAAATCCCCGTTAGGTTGTAATTTAATTAATCCTTGTTTACGTGAGATTTTAGCTGCTGGACCTTCGAGCGAAAGGTTAACATCAACTTCACTGTCTTTTGTACATCTTCCCAATGTTATCTCTCGAGATCTCATTAAATACCGAACTAAACGTCCTCTTAAAACGGCTAATGTGTGATTATCAAAATCGGATGGAGCCACACCAGTTATACTATCGACTAATACTTGCCATCGAGGTATTTCATTCTCTAATCGTCTAATTTCACGTTTATTTTTACGATCAGAGAGAATATGTTCCGAATGAAGGAGATCATCTTGTTTACATGGAAGAACAAGTGAAGCTTCAACATCTTTTTCAATTGAATCTTCACCATCGGAAAAATTCATTAAATCTTGATGACGAGAAAAATATTGAATTGATTGATCAGGTAAAAGGTGATGATGTTTAAGAAGAGTCCAATGATTGAATAGACATTTACCAGTACGATAAGGAAGGAAAACATGGGTATTTTTGGAAAGCATCTCATCGAACATTTCAACTGTGGGTAAAGATGTGGATGGTATTTGTCTGATGATATCTTCCTCTTGTTGACTAAAAATGGTTTTCTTATGAATTAAAGCGACAACATCAGAATGTAATTGACGTATCGCAGAGACACTAATCTTGGCAATGGTTGGATCATAAAGGATAGCATACCAACGATTTTCAATCTCTTTCAGAGTAAATTTACATGAGAATTTGACACCACGATAAACATCTTCCAGATTATTTGTTTGTTGTACTCCTAACATAAGAGCAAGATCATCTTGAGCTTTCCATCGACCAATATCTTTAATCGCAATATTATGAGCTTGACGGTGACGGCGTCTTTTATTAACTGGTGGTTTATGAATCATTTCCGCGGTGGTTGAGGTGGTTGAGGCGCTAATAGTAGACGGAGACTGATTGATTGAGGTGAAATCACGTTCGGGAAAACCTCGTTTAGCCATTTCCATTTCCAAAACTTTAGCCGATTTTTTCCGTAGCCGACCAGATCGTGGAAAACAGCCCTTGGGACAAAACCGGCTTTACACATACCCGATCCATTATCAACAACTAAAGCGGCTACTTCATCATCACACATTTTGATAAGATTCAATAAAATTCAACGAAAAAAAGAGAAAGAGAGAGAGAGAGAATCAAAGAAGCAATAATTAGAAGGGCAAATATGCTCAAAAGCACAAACCACAAAGAGAACAAAACTCAAACACAAATTAAGGCGTAGAAACCAAAAGAAAATAGATGACAAATTGACAAACTAGAAACAGAATCGAAGTGACAGAACAAGACACACATCAAGTTCGATCACTAAATTGATTAACTGATTGTTGGAAGTAAAAAAAAAGAAAACAAAATACAAATTAAACCAATTGACCAAATGAATTTATAAATAAAAGTGACTAACCGAACATCAATCTAACCTATTTCATGGAATTATTTTCTACCACTTGATGGCGCTCAAAGTAAATTTTCTTTCTCTTGAGTGGAGAGAAAGAGCTCGGGGAGGGAACTTCTCTTTATTTGGAATAAAGTTGAGGGGGAAAAAGAGACAAAATGGGTGCGGTCATGAGGTGAAAAGAATTCGATTTCAACGCCATCTAAAGTTTCTTTTTCCAACTAAATCTACTCGGATTTTTCTCATCGGCTTATTGGTCATTGTTCAAATGTCTGTTTAGTAATTTACTTTTAATTGTTAGTTAAGCATTTGTATTCCAATTGATTCTTTATTGGTAATAAAGCAAGATGAGGTTAATTAATTTTGTTTCCGCAAAAAAAAGTTGATTTATGTAGAGTTTTTGTTGAAAATTATTTATTAAATTTTTGTTTCTCTCTTCGTTTAATCTTCGATATATTCAAAAGGTTCTGAGATGTGAAAAAGAACAAAAAGTTTTTAATAACAATTAAAGATCGAATTTGTTCTGTTGTTATTTGTAGAACATTTCATTCTTGTTCTTCTCAGAGAAAATGTTCTTGTCAGAACTTTGGGTTAAACTCAATGGTGCATATAAGCGTTTGTCTAGATCGATGATCGCTTGTCGAGCTCCGGTCCACGAATTTGGACCATTTAGACGATATTGATAAGAAGCACAAGGTTTGAATAGACAATTGTACCAAAGCGATGGATCGGTAAACGCTAATTTAGTTAAATTTGGCTTAACACCGATAAAAGAAGCGATTTCATCCATATAAGGTATCCAATGAACTTCAATAGTATTTCGAAGACTTTGATAGAAAAGTGAATCTCGAGCATCGTTGTCACTTTTAATTGTTGATAACATTTTATCCTTTGATGGTAATTTACATTGACCTGAAAGAGGGAAAATTAAAAAGATGAGAAAATTTTGTTCTAAAAGTCTAGAGATTATAAAAGGACATTAATTTTGACAACTGACCGGTCATTAGTCCAGCGAACCAGCGACTCTGCATTTCGGAGATCGGGAAAATTGCTCCAAGTGGTTGAATCAATCCAATGAACGCCAGAGTGTGTGGATGATTTAGTCGAGGATTGAATACATTTTTGAACAGTTCGACTCGATTGTCCACAATATCAACAATCGATGGATCAATAAACGGGAAACCAATTTTATATCCTGTGGCCATTATAACGGTGTCACATTCGACCTCTTCATCAGAACCTTCAAAAATGACCCCGTTCTCAGTGAAAGTTTTGATATTTTTTCGAACTTTAATTCTACCGGACATTATTGAATTAGCTAATTCATCTTGGACTGCAGGGTGTTGACCATTAAAACGATGAGCGGGTTTAAGTCCATAAGCTTCATGGTCGAAATAAAATTCTGCCAAAGTTTCCATCATGTAGTTCAAGGGTCGACCGGCAAAAGCGGCGATTATATTTATGACCCTCGAATTGACGCAAAAATCATATGGAAGACCTTTGATAAAGGTTCTATTTACGACCCAAGTACCTCGTCGAGTTGAAAGGTAAACCTGAGAGGCGATTCGTCCCAATTCAGTAGCGATATCAAGGCCAGAATTACCAACCCCAATGACGACAACTTTTTGATCCAAATATTTTTCAGCGTTTTTAAATGAATGGCTATGAATTATTTTACCTTTGAACTTTTCTTGACCAGGAAATTTGGGTTCATAAGTTGTAGCATGATGACCAGTACAAACCATAACACCATCAAAAATATCTTCCTTCTGATCACCCTGGTCATCTTTATACTTGACCAGCCATCGACCAGTTTGTTCATGATCATTTGCCAAACAAATTGAAACCACTTCATGATTATATTTAATATAATCATTGAGATTAAATTTCTCAGCATAAAGTTCAAAATATTTCAACTGAATAACAAAAGGACAAAACAATTAATAAGCAAATAAATTAAAATGCAAACAATTAACTCACCATCAGCCGATTGTGCATGAAATTTGGGAAATCGTCCGGCGGTGGGAAATCCGAGAAAGCCGATAGCTCTTTCGAGGTGTTGATTATCGTTGTCTTCGTGACGGAGGCCACATCGTCGACATCGTCCTCATGGTATCGCCACAATCCACCAAAATAATCAGTCTTCTCAAAACATGTTACACTTAATCCATTTTCAACACACTGTTTAATTGCTGTTAATCCACTGGCACCGGCACCAATTACGGCGATTGATTTACTTGCAACCATTTTGATTACAATTAAAAAATCACTAATGAGTAAAATCAACTTGTCACTCCAACAATCAAGACAAATACTAAAGCACAAAAAATTGTCTACTGATTAAACTTTGATTGAAATTGATTTTAGGGGAAAAGTTAATCAGCTAATCAATGGGGAAAATTGAAGATAATTGTTCAAGTAAATTAATAACAATTAAGTTCTGAGATAAAATTGTTGGCTGCAAATATCTAAACACTTCAATTAAATTGAGATTATTAATTGTTGAAGAGTGAGAATTGTTGATTATCTTATATCGTTGGATATTAATTTGAAACTAAAACAATTTATTTTTGTTGACAATTTAACCAATTGTTAACTATTAAGATGGAAATTGATTGTTGGTCATCTTTAAGGTGATAATCAACTGATTACATTTGAAGTTTTTTCATTCCCTCATATTATTAAATTGAATTGGTTGTTCGAGATGATTTTGTAATCAAATTTAATTTGATTTCTTCTTTAACTGTTTAAGTTTTTGCTATTCACAATTTACTAATCATTATTATTAAGTATTAATAATACTTTTGTTTTCCTCTTGATGATTATCATCAGTCAAGGTTGGAGATGATTAAATTTCTGTAATTTAAATTATTCTTAATTTGATTGTCATTCCTCAAGTTTTTCTTAAACAAATTAACTGGTACACCCTTTAATTATTTAAAAGTAATCAATAAATTACATTGTGGGTACTTAGTGTTAATTATCAAATCAAGGTTACAATCAATCTAACTTGATTGTTGATGATTAGATAGTTACTATTAAATCATCACAATTATATTAGTTACAAGAGTTGATATTGATAAAAAAACATTCAACAATAATCGTTAGTATTCATTGATGAGATACGCTAATCAAAATTTAAACTTCAATTGATCAAATATTAACAATAAACAATTAACTAATAGCAATTAAAATCACTCAGATTAAATAATTAAAGCAATTGGAAATCCCAACTACTAATTAACAAATAAAAAGAATCGAAAATTCGATTGCAACTTACTATAAATTTCTCAAAACCAAATGATATTAATAATTCGCCGCCGATTTAATCGTTAGAATCAATTTAATTTCTCAACAATTAAAAATCAGAAAATCAAAAATTCGATTCCAACGCCATCTAGAGTTTTCTGAGAGTATTAGAAATTAAATTACACGTTTCCGGATTTTTCTCTTCGGATCAAGATTGTTGTTCAACTGTCTGTTTAGTAATTTATTTTTTAATTGTTAGTTAAGCTTTTTATATTCTAATTAAATCTTAATTAAAATGGTTTATGTCCCAGAGCGTGTTTGGATTGACCGAGGTCGTTATCTTGAAGCAGAATCAAATTTCTTCTCTGGACAGGTAAGACAATTGATTCCATTTACTTTGAGCCTAATCGTTTTCCCTATTCAATAAAAATGAATACAAAAAGTAGCCGGTAAGCTTTTAAATTTTAAATGCCACATGGGATTAATTTACTGTTAAATTACTGCCTTTTAAATTTAATATATGACCTTAAAGTTAAATTTAGTTGATTAAATTTAAATATCTCTCTAATTATGATTGGGTTATTTTCTTCTAGCCATTCAAATGATAGGTAACCCTTTTAATGTATTGATAGATCTCAGTGGTCGCAGATGAATCTTTCATCTGATTGATTTTTAATTTGTGTCACTGATTAAATTGCGATTAACATGATACTTTAAAATGTAAATTGTTCTTGTTAATTGTAAGAATAGAGAAAAAGAAGTCTTGACAATCAACCAAGTATAAAAGAAAAATAATATTCTAAACATATTATGTTCTCTTCTCTTCTTGTTGTTGGATCTTCTTTTTTTTCTTCTCTTCAAATGGGTTTATTTTCTTCACTCTTATCCTTTGCTTTCAAAAATTCAACCATTTTGAATTTTATTCTGTTATGTGAGATAAATGAACAACCTTGTCTGTTGTGCTGTATAACTTGTTCCTCAGGGTAAAAAAGCAAGAGATGGCTCAGTCTTAACAAAACAGTTCACTTCTACTACTACTACTACCAGCAAGGAAACAATTAACCAGCATCAAGAGAATCCTTTTATCAGTGAGATTAACAAAGTTCGACATTTTATTCAAAATTCTCTCAACTCTGTGAGTAACCACTCTCCTTAATCATGTTATTTACTAACCAAATCTACACACACGCCGAAAACACCATTTCACCTCCGGAATGTTTCACTTGCCTGCCTGATACTCTAATCTTTTGATTCGATTTGATTTGTTCCAAATTATTTTCTTTTTCTTCTTCTTCTTTGACTGCACGGACTGAACTTATTCTTTGCTTAACCTAAACTGCCACCTTGAAAACCCAATTCTCTAATGCACCATCTTGACCACCTTAAAACAATTACAATTAACATTCGCTGCCCTCAAACCATCAACTTAAAAAATTCAAACATCTCTCAGCTTATTTGCTTATTTTTCTTTTTTTTATTCTCCGCATCACTTTTCTTTTTATTCTGTCTAAACAACGATTCCAATTGATTAACTACAATATTTAATAATCATTTTATTCTCTCTTCTCTTTGATTTTCCATAGACTTACTCAACTGGTGACGTTAAGAGTAATGCCTCTCAAGAAGCGCTTATCCAAAGAATAGCAAGTCTAGAAGTCGAAAATCAAGAACTTAAGAAAAGTAAACCATTTTCTTTACTTTTCTAAGACAATTTTTTCTTCTCAATCAATTTCTAATTGTTTTCTATCTTTTCTCAGCCATCGATGATATTGTTAAACGTGTTGCTTCACTAGAGGTTAAATGTAGCACTTGCACTCCACCGGTTACTGATAAATGTTCAGCTGCTGCTAAGCCAACACCAAAGAAAGCACCAGCTCCAGCCGATGATGATGACGATGATTTAGATCTTTTTGGTGATGATGATGCACCAAAGAAACCAGTAGTTGCTCCAGTTAAGGTTGAGAAAAAGAAGAAGGGTATGTCTTAGATCAATCGATTCTATTTCTGTTACTAATAATCAACTATTTAATCCTATTTGTAGCTGAAGTTATCGCTAAATCATCAGTTGTATTGGAAATTAAGCCCTGGGACGATGAAACTAATATGCAAGAGATGGAAAAGTGCGTTAGATCAATTGAAAAAGATGGTCTTCTTTGGGGAAGTTGTAAGTTTCGTTCAGTCAAAAATAACCTAAATTCTAATATATTAACAATTAACTAATTTCACTTTTCAATTTCATCTCTCTTTCAATTCAGCTAAATTGGTTCCAGTTGCTTACAATGTAAAGAAATTACAAATCGTTTGTGTTGTCGAAGATGATAAAGTTGGAATTGAAGAGCTTTCCGAAGAAATCGAAGCCTTCGAGGATTATGTCCAAAGTGTCGATGTAGCGGCCTTCAATAAAATTTAATTACCCAATTTATTATCGATAAAAAAAACTATGTATCCAATTTATCAATTGGCAAATAAATCGCATTGAATTTAACAACTTATTTTCTCACATGATCCATTCAATAACCTTACATATTGATTGTTGATTCGATTTCAAGTTAATTACTGTCGATTAAGAGATGTAAATCTAATGTTTTTTTCTCCAAAAATTTAGAATCCGAATTTCAATTTGTTTCTATTGGATTTTTTTCTTTCTAAGTCATTTAAATTAACCGATTAATTGTAAATGGGCTAAGAAAATCGAGATTGAATAAAGGGTTATATAAATCCAATTGATTCTTTATTGGTAATAAAGCAAGATGAGGTTAATTAATTTTGTTTCCGCAAAAAAAAGTTAATTTATGTAGAGTTTTTGTTGAAAATTATTTATTAAATTTTTGTTTCTCTCTTCGTTTAATCTTCGATATATTCAAAAGGTTCTGGTGGATCAGGTTCTTTCTCTTCTTCCACCTTTGGTCCACCAGCAGCAACAGGTTGAACTAATTCTTCGGGTTCTTCGGATCGGACATCGCGCATCATGACAATACCACCGATACTTAATTCTTTCAAGGGTCTATAACGTGAAGTGTCCGGTATAGAGATGACTTTTAATTGTTGCCTTATTATTCTGGCAGGATTGGTTAATATTTCGTTTGTGGGCTCAGATTTTCTTTCTTCAGTTTCTTTGCTCTTCTCTTTTGACTTTTCTTTACTTGTTTTCTCTGTTTCTTTTTTATCCTTTTCTTTATCCTTTTCTTTTTCTTTTTCTTTTTCTTTTTCTTTCTCTTTTTCTTTTTCAACCTTGTCACCTTTGCTTTCTAACGATGCCCCTTTGTTGGGTGAAGGTGTTGGTGAGGCGGGAGAATCCGGGATACTGGGAAGGTTTGGAGTTGTGGTTTTCGTTTCATCAACTTCCATTTTTTCTTCTTTCTCTTTTTCTTTTGCTTCCCTTTTCTTTGCGTGTTTAGCTGTTGTTGAAAGAACGGCGGTTGTAACCTTTTCTCGTTCTCGTTCTTTCTTTTCTTCTAAAGGAGGTGGATATGCGTACAGTGAAGGCCGAGCATTTGATTTAATCTCTAATTTAGGCATTTTAAGGTCCGAGTTGAGAGCAATTATGCAGGTTGGAACAAAACTCAGGGAGAGAAAATGTGTCAAAGGAAACCAATACCAGAATTGAGTGAACACAAGCATACCGACAACGGCAGCGACATTTGTGTGACCTGTTCGAGATTGTAATGATATTGTCATATTACGACCACCACCATCGATGATTCCTTGTGCTAGAATTGCACCGAATTTAGCCATTACATCATCATGTTTGTCTGAGATGATTTTAGCGTAAAGAGCACGAAAATCTTTCACCTTTGGACACAAAGCTTCAGTCTGTTGAATCAAGATAAGTGCTGATGCAATTAAAGCTCCTTGTCTAACATAGTTGACTGGATCATTAACCATTGGTTCCAATAGGTTGATGGCTTCTTTATTACCCGATCCAGCGCAACAAATACCTAAGGCCATGGCAGCACCATAACGAACATGAGGATTATAACTCTCTGAAAGAAGGGAAACAACACTGGGACAATTTTCAGGGGTACGGAAGAGAAGGAAGCCAATAGCTTCAACAGCCGCTCGACGAACATCATCATTAACATCACTCACAGCGATGTGAAGTAACTTTCTGATAGCTTCGTTGTTACCAGTACCACAATAGGCCATGGCAATTGTGTGCATACCAGATCGACGGAGTAATGGATCTTTATCTCGACACAAACTCTCGATAAGTGTATCAGCCTCCTCAAGGCGACCAAACATTGTTAAACTAATACCGATTGAAAGACCACGAAGAATCTTTTCATGTTGAGTTTCTTGGGCATATGCAACCATATCTTCAATTGCAGGGGGAGATTTAGAGCCCAACATAACCAGGCCCATTGCGATACCTGCCGCCTCACCGGTTACAGCATCATCTTGATATAAATTGAATTTAAGCTGCTCATAAACATCTTGACGATTGGTTCCCATTGCTGCTAAACCTAAACCAAGACAACCACCATGACGAGTAGCCTCATTTTGGGCATCTTTCAATTGATTTAAAAGATAATCAGTGATGTTTGATCCATGATTAGCATGAATAAGACCTAAAGCGTAAAGACCACCACCTGAAAGGAGAAATAACAATAAAAAAATATAAATGATTTAATAAAAAATTCAAAGATGAAGGATATTAATAAAACCAAACAGTTAAAAAATTAAAATCAATTGAAATAATTACCTTCGATATAACCACTACCCGGACCAGAGTCTTTGGGAAGATAAGCTTGCATCAAATGAAGAGCTTCCTTTTCGTGACCTTTGTGAATAACACCTAAGCTGGCGGTGGCTGTAAACTTGGCCCAATTCACGGCACGGGCAAGCCAATCAAGATTATCACGAAGAAATTGATCACTAGTAGTACCACAATGCATAATAGAATTAGCGATGACAGTGGCGGTGTGACAAACTGAATTTCTAACAGCGTCTTTAGTATGTTTCAAGATCAACATATCGGTGTGATTGTTTCGAATAAGAAATTGAAGCTCAAGTTCAATGGTAGTTTCACCACTTAAAATAATAGCTAATTTTTCTAATCTCTCTTGACGCAATGCATCTTCTCCAGCAAGATCTTCTTTTTTCACCTTTTCTGATTCAGATTCTTTAACAGGTTCAGCTGTTGATGTTGAGGCTTCATTATTAACAGCATTATCTTCAGGTTGAACTTGATCTGTATCCATTTGTTCAGGCTGATCTTTTTTAGAATCATCTTTTTCACCTGTAGCCTTTGTTATGGGTCCAACCAATGAAGGGATAGGAGCGGTTATCCTGATAGCTTGTAAAACTCGGGTAAGAAAATTTTGGGTTGCACTTTCATAAAGATCAAAGGCTATCTGGTAAGCCATAAGAGAACTGGTAACATCTTCCCGAACCAATTTATCTAAAACATCAGCAATTGATTGAGCATCATCTAAGAATATTAAACACTGACACATATTGACATAATCTGGTGTTCTCAAATTTTTGTAAATTTTGACTAAAATTTTAAGAATATCATTTCGATAATGCCGATTTTCAACCAATGACATTGTTATACGGAAAGCATAATCTAACATGCCGGTAACATTGTCTGATTCAAGGATGGATCTTTCAAAGATATCCATACGCCGGGTTTCCATTGCAATTCCAATGGCTTGTTTAAATTGACCATCATCAAAACACCTTTTAAACATTCGGTTGACAATATCCTCAAGACGAGAGTCAATTTGCACTTTGTTACCATCACTTGTTGTGAACATTCGTACTCGTAGTTTAGTATAATGATCAATTGATTTAGCAATAATGGTGGACACATATTCAGATTCATCATTGACATCAAAAAGATCTTCAGCTCCTAATGCGTAGGTGAGAGAATCTAATGGAAAAGAAAAGAAAGTGAGAGAGAGAAAAAAAAGAAGAGGGTAGAGAAATAAGAAAAGAAAACACGAGGATATTAGAATTCGGTAACAAAGAAAAGTATAGAATCACAGTTGATAGGTGAAAGAAAATAAACATGACAAAGAAGAAAAGAAGAAACAAAAAAGAAAATGACAAATACTAACCTTCAAAAGATCCTAAATGGTAATAAACTTTAGAAGCTACAAGAGAGGCAAGTTTCCTTTTATCAAAGGATTCATCTTCATGGAGAACCTCAATTTTAGCGATAACTTCAGATATTTCAGCCCAAAATTCATCGACAATATCATTTAGCTTAGATAAAGCAAAACTTTTCAGCTCAGGTCGATCTTCCTCAAGTAAGGAAATTATTCCTGAAGCAGATGTAATTTTCATCTTTGGATGCATGGTGAGAGCCATGGTGAACAGATTAAACGATACAATTCCAATTCAGAGATGAATAGTTAATCTATTGAACAATTAATTAAAAAGAAAAACACCAAACAATCAAAATTAATTGAATTAAAAACAAGAAAATTAAACGGAAATCAGAACACTAATCATTCACTCAATGAGCCAGCGTTTTTCAAGAAAATCACCTAACGACCAACAGATGGCAGGAGAATCGATTCTCTTTCAGGGATCGTTTCCAAAGTGCGAACATTTAATTTTTGAAGAAAAAAAACTTTTCCAAACAATTAGTCCAATCGTTTGTTAATTAATAATATACCAACAAGAATTATTATTATTCTTTAATCATATATTTTCTAATCAACTCGACTGTTCTCTATTCGCATTAGACATTTGATCTTTTATAAGAAAATCACATAAATGAGATAAATTGAATTTCAATTCATGAAAATTATCCAAAGTTCAATCGATAATTAAGTTGGTTATCCAATCAGATGAAATCGAAAATTGGAAAACGATTGATTAACTTTTTAATTCTTTGTGAGATTTACTAATTTTTACTTGTTCTTCGAGTTTAAAGTTATATTTCTTTAACTGTTATGTTCTGAAGATTTATCGATGAGCATGAGCTCTGATCTTACATTGAATCATGAATTTGAGAATCAGAATCTATCAGAATCCTCAGAATCTGAACAAACTCCCAACCATTAACTTGAATGTTTCCATTGACAATACGATGATTATAATTAACTTTAATCGTTGTTCATTGTTATCATCATGATGATTATTATTTTCATTTATATCCATTCATCATTAAGGATAAAGAGGATTAATTGTATCTCACAATGGAAAGTGATTAATTTGATATTACCCTTACACCCTTTGCCAATAAGTTCACTTGTTGATTAATTTTTGATCAATAACACCGGGAATGTGAATTAAATTAATCGTTATTAATAATGTGACAAACAAAACAATCAACAACTAAATCAATTATCCAGTTGATCAACAAATATTTTATTAAAACAAAACCCTAATCATCATTAATGATCATTTATTATCTTATTGTCTTATTTAATTAATTATTGAAATTAATGATTAACTTAATCAATTCACCTACATAAATATATACAGATAGTAATCATATTGATGTAAATAATCAACAGTTGATTGTGATTAAAAATTGTGAGTGTGTGATTTAAGTGACAAGCAATCAAAAAAAATGAGCTTTGATATGATGACCACAATATTGACCAACATAACAATTAACAAGATCCAATTAAATCTGGAAAGTTAATTATCTTCACCATTTATTGGTCTGTGTATTTGTCTATGTGTTTGTGTGTTCCTGTTAATTGTGATAATAAATTTGATTAAATCACAATTAAATTTTTCCCCATGTTTATGATTAAATTATGTGGAACCAGTTATTGTTATTACTATTCAGCTATTCATTGATTTTATTTCCAAATTATTCAATTGATTGTCTACAATTAAAGACCATTTCCTCTTCAATTTCATCGCCATTTTTATCACAATCACAATCAGAATCATCTTCACCTCACCATCATCTGAATCTGATTCTGATTCTGATTTAAGTGATAATTCAATTAATCAAATGGAAACTGATTTCTATGAATCAAATAATGAAACAATTTGTCTCTCGGGTGAATTCAGATGTAATGATATTTGTATTGAAGAAGTGCTTAGATGTGATACAAAACCTGATTGTTCAGATGGATTAGATGAACAGAATTGTGGTGAGTATTAATTGTTATCGAAACAATCAAAATCTAAATAATTCAAGGAAGAAAAAAAACCAAATTCGAAAACACAAAAAGTTAATTTAACTTTTGTATTGTAGAAAATTGAAAGCGAAAAAAGTTATCGAACTTGGAAAATTATTCTCGAACTTAGAACTTTTTCTCTCTCTATATATAATATAAGCACTTAATTTTTTTTTCTTCGATTTTTCGAAACTTCGAAATTTAATCATGTCCAGTTTTAAATTTCGAAGCAAATTAAATAAACTCTTTCAATTGATCAAATCTAAAAACTAAACGAAACAAAAGTCTACTAACATTTGAATGGAAAAACTTTTTTGTTTATCAAATTAAAGTTTTCGTTGGAATTGAATTTATTTTCACTATAATCGACAATTTCTTTATACAGAATACTAATGATTTAATTTGATCTTTAATTGTTATTGATTTAATTGTTTACAGAAAGTTATATTTGCCCTTCCAATCATATGAAATGTGAAAATCATTTTTGTATTGCTATTGATCGGGTTTGTGATTTCATTGATGATTGTGGTGATGGTAGTGATGAACAAAATTGTAGTAAGTATCATGATTAACTAATTATTGTGAAGGAAAACCCGTAAATTTATTTGTTAATTGTGATGATTTAGCTTTTCGTCGTTGTTGGTACCAAGAGTTCAAATGTACGAACGGTGAATGTGTCCAAGGATATCGAGTCTGTGACGGTAAATTAGATTGTGTTGATGGTTCAGATGAATCTCGTTGTGATGAACAAGGTAAGTTAATTAATTGTGAACGACAATTAACCCATTAAATTGACATCAATCAATCACAATGATTACAACCAAGAATAAGAGAAATAGACAGAAAATTGTTACAATGAATGAAAATTTTGCTTCTAGAAAAAAAAATGAGTTTCAATGTTAGAACATGGAAATAAGTAATTACCATTATTAATTATAGTTTAACAATTAATTATTAACACACACTGAGCATAAATTAATAATAATAATAAAAGTAATTATAAAATAATGGTGAAAATAACAATCAAAGTCCATTAAGTATCTTCTCAAATCGATATCGAGATGAAAACTTTCATTTTCTCATTAATATTTAAAAGGTTAATCATTTTTCGAGTTGATTGATTGATTTAATTTTCTCGTAACAATTAAACTTTCATCGGTTATAAAGTTGATTATAATCATAAGTCTACGTCCTTTAAGACTAACGGGTGTATCATTATAAGAATTGAAGTGAATTAGAACTTGATCTAAAAGGTAATTCGATATATCGAGAAAAGGAAAAAAAGAAAAGACCAATCTATTAATGATCGAATTGAAATGAATTGTAAACAATTTAATCTATTTAATCAAGGAATCATCAACTAACCTAATTTGTAGATTTAATCCTTTGTTTGATAACAATTTAACTTCCATTACATTTAATCACTTATCGTTGTCTGTTAATTGTTCACATGAATCAATTATCTAATCATATCCTATCAATTCAATTCTCGGCCCATCTCAAACTGATTGTAACAATTAGCCTTTAATCGTCTACGTTAATAGTAATTATCATTAATTTGATTTCGATTGCAAAAATTTCTTTCCGAATTAACTTAATCATTATCGTTAATCACGATAAAATCCTGATACTTTTAATCAATTTGAATTTCTAAATTTGAATAACACTTTGTAACGATCAATTTGATTGTCCAATTTAATCAAAATTTCCAATTTGGTGATTAACTTTGATAAACATGTTAAATTGTTACATTATTTTCTAGAAACATTGTCATTAATTATCAGATAGTAACTTGATTAACTTTGTCCTCTAATGTGATTCAATTATCACATAACAATTAAAGTTAATCCTTGATTGGTTAGAAAACCTTAAAACTATCAATCAACTCAACTAATTTAATCATAAAAGTATCAGTTATGTAAACCCGATCAAAAATTTCAAGTTAATCATATAAATGTAGCCAATAGTTAGCATAACAATTTGTGATATGATTATCTAATTGTGATTAAATAATTTCTTCTCTCTCCCTCTCAACAATTAACTCTTAACAATCAAGAGCATTTCAAAGATTGTGGTGATGGGAATCGAGCTCATGTCTCCGTTTGGTGTGATGGTTATGCTAATTGTCCCAAAAATCACGCTGATGAATTAAATTGTGAGTGTTTCTTTTTGTTGCTAATCCCAAGTAATCAACTAAATTGTTACCTTGAAATTGTGATTTAATCTCAGGTCGTAATTGTACCGATGATGAATTTACCTGTTCAAATAGCCGATGTATACCAAGATCAAGTGTTTGTGATACGATTTGTGATTGTGCTCAAAATTGTGAAGATGAAGTTAATTGTCAAGAGTTTTATCATCAAGTTGATGGTAAGTAATGAATCAATTATTTGTAGCAAAAAACAATTAAACATGAAACAATTAACCAAATTATTAAAATATAAACATTGTCTTTCTCGGGAGAATTGATAATTTTTTTTTCTCATTTTCAAATTATCAAAACAATAATATTATGAGAGAGTAAAAAATTAAATATTCATTCATTTCAATTGCAATTGAAAGGAATGAAATTTTCATCAATAATCATTTGAAAATCTTAAGAAGGAGAGGAAAATAACAATAAGAAATTCATATTATCATGAACATTATCATGAAACCCTTGAGGCTTTAATAATAATAATATCATTAGTTAGATTCATTTGGTAAAGATGATAATTCAAAATCCAATCTTAAAGATTCAACTGAGGAAAAGTTCTCATGGAAATTGAATATGACCTGAGAATCTATGATTAACATGAATTACTTATTAGCATGATAATTATTTCAATTTGAAATTTCAATTGAAATTAAAACATAATCATAGAGAATCTTATTCATCATCATCGTCATGATAATCATCAGGGTAATGATTAAGTTGAATGGAAAATAAAAACAACTTCAATTGAAAGTAATGTATTTAAAGTTAAGCATATTAACTGTATATATATTTTTTTCATGATGATTATGATGATCATGAAATTTATGATAATATTATTGAAATTAGATCAACTGTAATAAAATGATGTTACACCATACTCATGATGATGCTCATGATGAGTATGAAACTGATAATATTGTATATCTAATAGATATTACAACTGTCAGCTGAGAGATAAATATTGTCACAATTTAATGTGATGATGATAAATTCATTACAATTGAAAGTTCATGATATTAAGTCTCAAGATTATCCTGAAATATGATTGAAAGCTAAAGTTTTGATTCACAACTGAGGAGGAAAAAACAAAACATTTCAACCATTTCAATATTATTCATTCATCATGTGTAATCATTTTCCATGAATACTATTCCCATTTGATGATCACCATGATGATGATGTAATGATAGTGATGATGATGAGGATAATTTACTCTCTCTCACTATCTGAACTGCTCAATCTTCTGAATAGAGACAAAACATTATCAATATCATTTATCACCAAGTCTTTAAAAGGGAAATATAATCAACTCGAAATTGAAATGTTCTGACAGAACTTTTCATCTTTTTCTCTTTCTATTTTCACACCATTCACATGATAATGAAATAATAGTCATGATAAATGAATATTCATCGATTGTATTTTTTTTTCTTCTATTCTATTTGATAGAGAAAAAAAATTTTCTTTTTCTATTTAAAGAAAAAAAGTTCATATTATCTCTTTATTAAAAGTTTTTCAACTAATCCTATTTAAAGATTAGGATTCAAAAGGGTTGAAACTTTTTGTTTATTTTTTTTCTTCCTCAAGAAAATCTCAGATGATTTAAATAATATTACCATGATTATCATGGGACTGATAAGATTCCCCTTATATAATGTTGATGATTGAATCTATCATTAGCATTCATTTCACCACAAAATCCATTTTCATGGTAAGATAATAATAATAAACTAAAAAATCCATAACGATTTTCAATTTTCTTTCTCCCAGATTCTTACAGAACTTTTTTTTCCGTTCACAAATTCACAATGAAAATGTTTCTAAATTCATATGATTTCAGATGTTCACCAAATATCATATGAAAGTAACTTTTTGAATCCTCTGGATATAAAAAGCTCATAAGAAAAACTCAGATTATTTAGAAAATAATCTTTTGTTTTAGATTCTTTCAGCTTCTTTTAGTTTCCTTTTTCCATGCAACCATTTCTGATTTAATCTCATTCTGAGTAAACACATAAAAAACTTCAGGTACTATTAATAATCTGACTACATGAATGTGTATATAAACATGGAAACTTGAGTGATGAGCCGAAATTCAAGATGATCCAGAACGATGATAATAATGATGATAAGGTTAGATGATGTAACCGAATTAGCTAGATAGAAGTGTTGATGTAAGAAGAGGAGGAGAGAGAAAAAAAAAGTTCTGAGAAAATCATTTTCAGGGAAGATTCTTATTGATTCTCCTCCTGATTTCATATATTGGAACATTTTTTTCTTCCTATTATCTGACTGATTTTTTTTTCTCTCACTCTCTCTCTCTCTCTCGATTCTTTCAACAATTCCAAAGTAGTATTCATGATAAAGTGTTGATCAAACATTGATGAAACACTTTATCACAATCTAGATGTTTACCTTTACCATGATGATGATGAATTAAAAGTTATCATGAACAAAAAGCGGAACAGGGAAGTGGAAAAAAAATCACAATTGTCTAAACATTTGATTGAACAAGAAGATGAACTTTTGTATTGTTAAGTTGATTGATATTTATCAATGAATCAATTTCATTCATTATAGTCAATTGTTGATCGTGTGAGAGTTTACTGGTCAAGTTGACTGGACAATTGGTCAAGGAAAACAGATTGAATTGATTTTCAAGTTGAATCCAAATGAAAATGCAATTGATCAATTGGTACATTAGTCAATAATAAACTGACCAAATGTAATGATGGAAAAGATAAATACAGGAAGACAAATTTAACTCTCTAATCTTAATCCTGTTTTCCCTATTTACACATCATCTTTCATCCGTTAATCCAATAATCAAAATTGATGATGGAACAAAGTTATTATAATTGACAGAGAATATTAAAAGAAAATATCTTGAAACTTTGTTTTTTTTTTCTCTGCTAACATGATGATCTCTCCATCCTCATCATTAGATGATCATAATAACCTTGAGACTTTTATCTTCCAAATGGATAATAATAAGTTCACCCTAATTCCCTTCCCTTTTACTCTGATTCAGTTGAACTGAACTTCACTTGATGGTCATCATAATGATAATCTTGACTCTCTCTCTCACACTCTCACTCTCTTTCTCTATCACTCACACATACACACACTGGACATTCATTTTATATCAACATCAGAATTCATTGAGAATGATATTTTTTTTTATCCAATGATATATTCCTTTCACATGGCTTTTTTTTCATGCTTGTCAGGTTACAAACACTGTGGGTGTGGAGCATAAGTTGATGGTGATGATAATATTCAATGAAAATAAATGAAAAGATACAATCAAAGTTAACAATGATGATCACCGGATGATAATCAAAACGATATTGATAACTTGTCACATTTTATATTAACGAGTTTGTCAGTTAACTGTCACCAAAGTGACAATAGTAATACAAGTTTTGGTAATTAGATAATCATGATAATCTATCATGAAGGAAAAGAAAAAAAAATTATCCAGTTCGAAATGAAAGAGAGAGAAAAAAGTTAACACTAATAAAAATTATCACACTAAACGATTACATTCAGGTAACGATAATAAGGTAACATTTAATTGCTATTGTATCTCAATTGACCGATTTATTAGCTTTTTATATGGATCATAAAGTTCAGTCATCATGTTGAATTTCACCTTGTTTTCATCCACTTATTACCATCATGATCATCTGAATCTTCCCACGTTATTTTCATTACTATTTATTCAGGAGAAGGAGGAAAAAAAACTGAATCAATCCCATGGTGAATTTCATTCCTACTGAACAGTATTGTTATTTTTTTTCATCATTATTATGAAGATGATGATGATGACATAAGTCTAGAGTAAACATACAAGAGTCATCATCATGGAGCTTTTCATGGCGATGAGTTTTTCAGCTTTCTCTTTCTCTCTCATTCCTTTTACTATAAACCTTGAAACCGGAAGACACCAAGAAACCAGAACTAAATCAACTGTATACACATACATGAGTACAAACATTGTCACTGAAAATAATGATATTAACAGAATAAGCATTTCTTTTCTAGTCACTCTAGCATTTTATTATCATCATTATTATCATGAATGCTCATCATCTTTATCTGATGATGATCCATTCAATTCTGACCATGATAACAACTTTCCGATAATATAACTTGGACTTTTTTTTATACTTATTTTCTTCCCTTTCTCTCTGATTAATCCCTAATTGAATAATATTATACATCTAAAAGGAAGGGTATTCATCTGATTCTTGAAACTTTATTCAACAATATGCTCTATTCATGGGATAAAAACTGATAATCTGAATCATGTTTTCAATTTGTTTTTCTCTCACTCAACACTCACAACGGTGAACTAATAACTTTCCCTCAGGGGTAAATGTTATCATGTATTATTATCATTCATTTTTGTTATGAAATTTTATCTCCTCCAAATGTGAAAAAAATATCACATTAAATTTTATGTCTTTTTTATCATTATCACATTTTCCATGAATAATCTTTGAAGATTATAAAACTTTACATGAAATAAGTACATGTGTGTGTGTGTGGATATTTCAATCTCCATGAAACTTTTTCCATTCTTCAAATCATCTAAATAATAGAACAGAATAAGAAAAAAAAAAGTTCCAAAGAGAGAAAAAAAAATTCCACCTAAGGTTCTAAAAGAAGAGAAGAAACAAATTCTCTCAATTGTTCCATGGTTGATTATTGACAGACTCGATTAATGAACCGTTTCGAACAAGAACTTTTCTCACTTTTTTAGAACTTTTTTGTTGGTAAAACTTTTCGACAACTTTTTCAATCAGTTTGATTAAAAAAAAGTTCCAAGTCATAAATTGAAGTTTATTTTTCTTTCTTCTAATACCCAAAAGCCTAACCGAAAGACTTACCAATCTATTAATCATTCAGTTAATTTTGATAACAAATTAATCGGTTAATTGGTTAATCTTATATTCATTTTATATCCTAACTCAGGTCTTAAGTTCTGTAATACAAATGTCACCTTTCCCTGCCCATGGAATGGACCTTGTGTCACAATCGATGGACTTTGTAACAAAATCTTCAACTGTCCATACGATGACAATTATCCAACCCCATTAGATGAATATGGGTGTGGTAAGTAGATGATGAATTAATCATGATAAATGAGTATTTATATTTGTATTAAATGAGTAACTGAGCAACATGATGAAACTCAATTTATATGAAATAAATTTCCAACTATGATCAAGGTTATAATTGACTTAATTTAGCTCAATGAACTTAATGAATTCAGTTTATGATAAAACTTTTTTTTTACTTCTTCTTTCATGAAATTCATTACTGAACAATCAGATAATTTGATTTTCCACTGACAATTTAATGTCTTGATTATTATTATTAATATTTTCTTACATGAAAGTTATTAAAACATAACTAATATTAGATTGACATGATTTCTGATTTTTTTTCTCAAGTTTTCCCAATGATATCACTTAACTTTTATTATTCCTCTCCCCATGCAACTTTCAAGAAGAATCATGTAGAAACAATTTATAAATTGTTCTAATTCAGTTATCATGAAAAAAAAACTTATTCTTTTTCTATTGCTATTTTCCCTTTCCTTTAATAAGAGTGGAAGTTTATTTTTTTTTCTTCCTCTTCTCTTCATCTCCTCTCATTACTCAGTTTTCACCAAAAAATGAGTTGCAACTTGATTCAGAATTGTTGAAACATTTATAACATTGATAATGTAATTGTTATAATTGGTTTGCGTTGACAGTGGGAATAAATTGTTGGCTAAATTGTTCATAGAAGCAGTTGAATAACAAAAGATTTTAGCATCAATACCGAGATAGAGTAAAAAAAAAATAAGTTCCAACATCATGAGAATCTAGAGATTCATGATATCATTATCATGTTATCCTTTATCATGAACATGTAAAATTTTCTTGAAACTTTTTACTTTTTTTTGTTCACAAGATACAACAAATTTCAATCTGAGGATGAGTTTCCTGTTCATATTATCATGAATATACCCACATAGACATGGAAAGAGAGAGAGAGAGTTATGATAATAATCTGATAATCTGATTTCAAGGTGTGTAAAAGAGGAGGACGAGCAAGGATAATATCAGATTCTTTTGATATTATTATTATTATCTGATGTGAATTTGAAATTATTATCATGATATTCAGGAAAGATTCAGTGTGTATGTGTCATTCCCAATGACGTGACTAAAGTATGAAGATTTTTGTCCAAAATTTTCAACATTAAATGAAAATAAATGATTTGGATACAAAAAGGTAAACCACCTTTACCTCCCACCCTTGAAACTCCTCCAATCCCACCACACTCACCATGGTGAGTAGTAAATGTTTCTTGAATCGTATCATGATTATGATGCTGTCAGAAATATTCCATCATGATGATGATCATTATCATTCCAAGAATTATTATTAGATGAAAAATTCTGGATAAGATAACATTTCCATTGATATTAGTTAGTTACTTTTTCCATGATCATTTGAGTAAATTCACCATGATGATGATGATGATTCTGAAGATAAGAATGACCATGATAATCTTATTCCATGATAATCATGTCTTATACGATATCATCATGATTAAATTGATTGTTACCTATTCAAGGATGAAGAGGAAAAATTTATCTTCATCATGTTCTCAATGTGTTACCTTATATACATATTAGAATATTAGAAAAATTGGAATTGATATAAGAAAATTTATCTTCCTTTTCTGTCTTCCTATTCTATCATCATGGTTACCATGATAATTATCCAACTATTCAGATATAAATGAGGAGAAATGTTCAACAAATGAAAATACTTTCTGGTGTCCAGAGGGAAGATGCATCTCCTCAAATCTCAGGTGTAATTTTATCCACGAGTGTTTAAATGGTGAAGATGAATTAAATTGTCGTAAGTAAACAATTAACTTTGAATAACAATCGAAACAAACAAAAAGATACAAAATTTAAATAACAGTTGAATAAATGATAATATAAATACTCTCATACAGAACTCACCATATATATTTGAATAATCTAATGAAAATGTTTCATTCATAATTCAGATTATAAATGAATTCACAGGAAAATGATATTATATTTGTTTTCCATTTTCAGAATTTCATTTCAATTCTGATTGATGATCAGGGGGTTTCATCTTTAGTATCTTTTATTGATCCATTGTAATTAGATTATTCAATCTCTATCAAATGTCATGTATAAAATTACTGACTGATTACTGATTCTAATTGTTAGCCAACATGAGTAAGATTATATTCTTACATGAAGATTTAATTTCAATTCTGATTCATGAAACTGAAACTTTTTCATTCCAATCGATTCTCTCTCTCTCTCTCTCTCTCTCTCTCTCTCTCTCTTACCTTTTGAAGATCCAACACCTTGTGATAATGAGAAACACTTTAAATGTGCCAATGGTCAGTGTATTGACCAGAGTAAACGCTGTGATTCACAAATTGATTGTTACGATAAATCAGATGAACTAAATTGTGGTAAGTTTGTAATTCTGTAGATATTTCAATTTGATTGTAATTTTTTCACCTTTTTGTTTGACAGAAAATTACCCGTGTCCAGAAAATTGGGCTCGATGTGCTTCCGGTCAGTGTATCTTATCAACCTATTGGTGTGATTATACCGTTGATTGTTTAGATGGATCAGATGAAACCTTTTGTGATTATCGGATTAAATCATCTCCATGTAATCCATTGACCCATTACACTTGTACCAATGGTCAGTGTATCAGTTTAAACAATCGATGTCTGGTCACTCCCGATAAACGGGACTCATGTTCAGACGGGTCACACCTAATCGATTGCGCTGATTATTCGTGTCCATCTAATTCAATCAAATGTTCAAACTCATTCTGTGTCCATTCAGCACTTACCTGTGATCATAAGATTGACTGTCTTCGTAGTTGGACCGACGAGGAAAGTTGTTGTAAGTATCAATATAAAATTTCCATTGAACAATTGAACAATTAAACTTTAATAATGTAAAGGTAAATTCAATTTTCAAGTCGATCGCTTTGATAATATTAACTGTTAATCACTTGCCAAGGGTTTGTATCCATTGATCAGTTGAAATATTAAAAAGCTTAATCTTAAGATAGATTAAGATTTATATATTAAGTTACAAGATTAGTTGGATTAACTTGGCAAATCAATAATATTGATCAACTGTTATTGGCTTGATTATAATTAGTTTTCACGTTAAATTTACTTGATGTTAAATATGATTATAATTAAGTTTCGATATTTGATTACCTGGGTAATCAAGTCACGCCAAGTTGAGAAATGATTTCATTCATGTTCATGAGCTGAATCAGGGGATAAAATAGACAATCTGAAATGTGACCTGAATCGAAGTCAATGATTAAAGAAGACGAAAAAAAAAGTTCTGATCCCAATGAATCATAGTCATCATCAAGTTTTACCTGAATGGACAAATGAAAAGTTTTTTTTTCTTGCGATAAAATTAATCTAATGAACCATGAGGGTTAATCATGATACCTGAATAATTAGTTACCATGAATTTGATATGGAAAGTAAATGTTTTCAGTTACTAGAAGATTTTGATTTGATTTTTTTTTCTTCTTGATCCTCTTCTTGTCTATCTTTCAATTCCTCATGTTACCTGGAATCATGATCAGAATTTGTAATCATTATCTAGATAATCCCACGTATTCATGGTTAATTATGATATTGAAGAGAAAAATTTTCGATACAATTAAATTTTGTGTCAATTGTATGTGAGGGAATTTGAGCAAAATTATCAATCCAACACACATACAGAAAATAAAGACTGAGAAAAGTTGAAAAATCCCCATGAAATTGTCATATGGAATCACCAAGAACACAAAGAAACTGAATCTACATAACTTTGGGAAACCAGATTAATTTCATTTGAATTGAGACACAATTAGATTTAATTCTGTACAATAAATTGACTTTGAATTCAGAGATAATTTATCTTTTGACCATCATGATGAGAATTTTTTTTTTCTCTGAGTCTCTCTTTTCATGAGGAAACCATGAATTTCCAGTGAGATATTAATTCAGTCAAGAAAAAACAATTAGTTCTCATTCAAAGTCACCAAATGATTTCAAATTAATTCATTACTCTCAGTGAATCCTTAATTTAATTGAACAAAAGTTAATTGTCTCTGATTAACTTGATTTCTTTTTTGGAAATTAATTTTTTCTCTCTCATTTAACTCCCAATCTAACAGCTTTTACCTGCTCCTTTAAAACTCCCTGTCCATGTATCGATATTGTCATGAACTGTACTAATTATGGAATCGATTATATTCCTGATGATATTGAAACCGGAATCTCTCGAGTGTAAGTTAATCACAAAATTTTAATACTCTAACAGATTATTAATTGTTCACCAATTGTTCAACAATCTTGATCATTTAACAACAACAATAATAATAACAATGATTCCAGATTAAGATTAACTTCATTTCTCTCTCTCTCACAAACTTTAAATTAGTTATCCGGAAATTAATCTCTTTCTTATCAACAATTTAAGCCTTTCACAATTAATCATCATCTTGATCATTATCATGGTTGAAAATTGCTAATTGTTGGGAAAAAAAGTTTCTCTTAATTGTTGTTATTAGCAATTAAACAATCATGTTAACACTTGGATGATTACTGACAATATAATAACATGATAGAACTTTTTTTTTTCGTAGAAAATGAAAAAAAAACAATAGAATATGAGTCATCCCTTTTTCGAGAGGTAAAAAAGTTCTAAAAATGAAATTCGAAGGGAAAACATAGAGAGACAAATAAAAGAACAATTTCTCGAACCTTATGATTGGTAGGAAGATAAGAATTCGATAAGTTCTAACAATTTCTCATCTCGATAATGATGATTGATCAGTTGATCACAATTATCGACCTTATATAAGAATGAGACTGAGAAAAAGTTTAAAGTTTCCAGAAATTAAATCTTCCAAGTTTTCAACTCTGTTTCTATTGAGATAAAATTAGAAGTTAACAAAAAGTTCTAGATAATCTTAAAGAACCAAAGATTAACTCGAAATGGTCAAGTGAATGGACAAACAAACTGGTAATGATGGTCAGTGGAAAAGTAATAATATTATCATGAAATAAAATGTAATTTTCTTTGAGAGAGAGAGAAAAAAAAATCCTTCTAATGAGCTAATCAATCAGAATCTTTTGATAAGATCGAACTTTTTTTCTTGCTTATCTTTCACCATTATCATTGAATGTTATCCTTTTATTTTTCAGGGTAAAAGCATGAACATGACGATAATATCATGATAAAAATTCACTGACCATTTATCACTCTCATTATCGTTTAGTTAGCTTATTAATTGCATGTTTAGAAAGGTTAATTAATTGATTAATCGATTTACAGTTTTGTTTGGACTGGAACAAAAAATAAACCAATTTCCATAATATGAATACATTTATCATCGAAACTTTTATAGAACTTTTTTAGTTTCGAAAATGGGAAAATTATTTACATTCCGAAATAAAATTGTTCTAATATTATTTTCTTATTCCTCTTTTGAAACAGAATAATGAAAGGCAACAATTTAGGACCGAATTTAACACAATCGACTTTCAACAAACTCGATAAAATGGTTCACATTGATCTAAGCAACTGTTTAATCCAACGAATAGAATCTGGAACATTTCAAAATCTTGGAATTCTAAAAGTTCTGTAAGTGAAATTCATCAGAAAATGATCAACAAAGAGATAGAGAGAAAGAAATTTTCGAATGAGAAAGAAGAAAAAATATAAAAAAGAATCGAAAACAAATAGATAGTATAATATTCTCTCTCTTTTACTCTGAGATTCATCATGGAACTAATTTGAATAATATTCATATATAATTCCAAGACAAAGTTAACTCTCAACTCTCAGAACTGAATAAAAGTCTGGCCAAGTGGGGAAAACGATATGATAAAAGAAAGAAATAAAAAAAGATAAGGATAAAAAAGTTCTGTAAAAGAATCGAAAAAAAGTTTCATGATAAATATCTTGACTCGAAATTTTCATATACTCAGCAAATATGATTGAATATGAATTTTCCATGTTAATATAAATACTCATTTCATGGAGGATTTCATGATAACCCCTCTCACTAGTTTTTTTAAAGAAACTCAGTTCATGGTTGGAAAAATATTCTCCCATGTATATTATTATTATTATTATTATATATTTTATTAATTCTATCATTATTATTATTATCATTATCGTTTAGATTTTACCAACATCCATGTGATTCAGATAATTAACTGAACATCATGGTAGTAACTTGATTGTAATAGATTCTTAGAAATCAATAAAGAAAAATTCTTGACTCTTAAATTAGGTCACAGAATCAATAAATTTATATTATCCCTTTAGTTTATAATTAATTCATCATGTTTCATGGTGATTATCATGAAAGTTATTTTGTTTCTGTTGATTTTCACGTAACCAAATGATTATTATAATCAATGAATTAACTTGATTGTTGATTGAACATTTTGTTTCTTATTCTCAACTTAAATCATTAATTCAAATGGAGGAAAAGATAAAAAAAAAGTTCTGAGTTGAACTGAATCAGGAACTGATGATTAACTTACTATGATTGAACTTAATTCCAACTGATTTAACTTACTAAAAGTTATCATTTTGGTGAACAATCAAGCGAGTTGATTAAAAATCAATATATGAGCAATTAAACCTCATTTGATTACAATTAAACTTTTATCTCGTTTGTTAATCTAATTGACTTTTTTTTTGTTTCTATTTCTTAACTACGATCAGAATTTTAAGTGATAATCAGTTAACTGAATTAACTAATGAAAACATTTTCACTGGATTAATTAGCTTAGGAACCATGTGAGTAAATTGTTAATCATTTGATTAGATAATTTTAATTATAAACAATTAACCATTTCAATTATTATTCATATTCAGTATTTTTAATGGTAACAGAATCAAATCAATTGCTCCATTTGCATTTAAAGGACTTTCAGCAATTAACGCATTGTGAGTAATTTAATTTGATTGTTCACAAAAATCAATCAATCAAAATGACAGAGAAAAACAAAAAATTGAATTTTGTTAATTGTTTTTTATTATAATTAATTTACTTGTTTACACAGAGATTTGGGAAGGCAACAATTAACAACAATTAAACGGAATACATTTAACGGGATGAGATCATTAGTAACATTGTAAGTATTATTATCACAATGATTAGTTAATTAAACAATTAACTTAACCAACAATCATTATCATATGTTAATGACACTTGAATTTGAATAAATTGTTTATTGCTTAATGTATTTGATTATCATAATTAATATGTAAATTATGATGATGAGTGGAAACAATTAAATTATTATGAAAATTAATTTAATCAACATTTCTAATTGTGATAATTTTTTGCTTTTTTTTTCATTTTAATCATTCAATTGTTCAGAGATTTATCAAACAATCAACTAAATTACATTGAAGAAGGTGCTTTCGTTGGTCTGGTTAGATTAACATCATTGTAAGTAGATTATTAATATTAACTAATTGTTCACAATTAACGAGGAAAATTAATCTAATATTGAAACTCTGAAAATCTACTGACAAAATCCAATGTCATTCATTGGGTATTAACATGATTCACAATGTTCAGAACTTTTTCCTTCCCCTGGAAATATCTACTTTTAGAAGCAATTTAAATCGCCTCAGGGGATTCATGTTGTTCAGGATGTTTATCATGATTACCATGTGATCAATGAACATTTTGATTGATAAAAGATTGACCTTGTTTTTTTTTTATATTTCATCTCATTGAATTTACATTGTTGAGACTTGAACGTATCATCTTAAGGTTAATGGATTAGATTGATTGTTATATTGTTTAGGAATTAATCAATTGGATTTTTTTCCCTTCTTTGATTAACTTGCCTGGTTAATTTAGTTTAGATTATCAGATTGTTATTAAATTTAATTGTCTCCAATTCCCTTAATTTTGTTTCATTGAGATTAGTTGTTTGCTGATTGTAATGATTATTAAGATAAATGTTTATCTCTTATATTAAGTTTTGCTATTTTGTTTTAATTTAGTTTAATTGTTTACAATAACAATTTAATCATGTTATTGTTGTAGACAATCAGTTCTTAATTGTTTCAAGAGAAATGGGAAATTAATCAGTTCAAATGGTAAACAAATCTTATCATTATTACAACTAAATCCTTTCAAATCATTTACAGGTAAAGGTAAATTTGATTCATCATTTTGATTAGTTTGTCATAATTAAATTTCTCAATGAGAATCTTAATTTCATCATATCAAAAATTTATCATGATAACTTTTCATGGTAAATTGGATAAAATTAAGTTGATTTGATTGAAAAGTTATCCATAGGGTTACATAGACTAAATCAAATGAAACTGTAACTAAATTAATTAAATCTATCATAATTAAATATAAATAATATTCAACGATGAAATATTCAGACATTCAATCATGAATCTCATGGATATTCAGGTATTCTTAGTGTTGAGAGGATATGGAACTCCATGTCTACCTGAATTTTTATCATCAGTAAATGACAGTAATGATCAAGTGAATCAAATTCAAGATTAACAATTGGATCTTTTCAAGAACTTTTTTACTCGAGGAAATTTTAGTTAATCTAAACTGTTACATGATCAAATGATATAATATATCATCCAGGGTGAAATTTGTTGATCATGATGACTATGACGGTGATAAAAACTATGGATTGAAAGAGAAGAGGTAAATAAAAAACTCGAAGTTCTGAACTCGACAAAGCAAAGTTCAACAAAAAAGTTGTGAAAATAGCTAATTATTTTTCAATCAACTTGATTGATATTATATTATGTTGAGAGATTCATTTTTATCCTTCCCGATAATTGCTCAATTTTCATAATAATTAAACGATGATTTCTAATTTCTTTTGGTGTTTAGGGATTTGACCGGAAATAAGTTCAATGAAATGGGAACTCAAGTTTTCACCGGATTACCAAATCTTAAGAAATTGTAAGTATTCAGACTATTATATTTTGCCCATTCCCAAAGTCCGCAGAAAAATACAAATTACCATGAAACTGATCACCATGTTGATGATGTTACACATATTAGTAAGCTGAATAATTTCCTGTAAATCTGATGGATACCTGATGGATAAAAATTGTGCTGATAATATATTGAAACTATCAAATATCACTTTACCATGTTATCATGTTTAGCTGAGTGTCTGTGTATTCATTGGGGTGGAAAAGTTTTTTGCTCAGTTTTCAATAATAATAAGGAAGAGGAAGAAGAAAAAATTTTTGACAGAAATTTTCTGTTCAATGATATAATCACTGAATTCCAGGAGATGTCTCATGATTTTGAGATTATCATGAAGAAACTTTGAAAACTACTCAAGTGTTATAAGGTAGTGCAACTGAAAATTGACACACAATTTTAAATGTTGATTATTCATCAGCCAGTGAATTTTAATCATTGAAATTAATATAATTAATAGAGAAAATTATGAGAATTCTGATGCTACCAAAAAAATCGTAATTAAGAAAAAATTCGATTATTATCAGTTAAATTAATTCTTACGGACTTTAATTGTTAAGTTCGTAATGTACGGCGGAGTTTTGTTCAATTTAAATTTAGGAAAATTTTTTTTTTAAATTTTTTAAATCGAAAATTAAAGATGGAAATTTCATCTACCTGGTGGTATGTAAAAATTGTAATTAACTTGATCAGTTTTCTAATAATTTCAATTTGAAGAAATAATCAGTAAATTAAAAATCATTTTTTCTCTTTATAATGGTTGCCTATGAAGCGCTTAACATTGTTTTCTCCATAGAGGGAGCATTAAGGTTTCATTAATTTTCAACAATTAGTCTTAAAATAGTTGTTAATTTTATGTTAATTATCGGATTTAATATTATTTAATATCATTAGAATGCTCATAAACTGTTCTATCGTTGGTGAAAATTTAAATGATTAAAACAAACTGATTGATTAATAATCAATAATTAAAGTTATGTGTCAATTTTCAGTTGCACTACCTTAATCTAGTGGTGGGAGGGAAGTCTAACTTTTAAGTAACTGATTGATTATCCTTCCTGTTTTTATCCATCTCTCCAATTGAGAATAACTAAAATTCTGATTCATGATTTTCTCCCCTGATATTACAGTTCTACATGCGGTTTAATAGATATACATCTCTCTCTCATGTTAATCAATAACATGATGTTTTCTGTTGAGATGAAATGAAACTTTTGACAAATTATTTCAACTCTCTGATAATTGATGAACATTTATCATGAGAAGTGACAATGATTAACCTTTAGGTGTTTGTTTCATGATAATATAATTATAATCGATTAGATTTGAGAGAAATTTATTATCGTGGAAACGATTTTTTATTCTTATTGTTGATTCTTTATTGTTTATCACCTTCGGTGATGATGATGAGATCGATGATCATTTACTATTGATTCTGATTGTATAACTATTATTATCCTTTCTGTCAGAGCTAAACTATCATGAAAATATACTTTTCATTTGATTGTTTGTCTTTTACATGATGATTTCAGGGAGAGGTGAAAATAAAAAGGAAACATAATAGATAATATTAGCTGAACATGTTTAGTTTAATCTTGAAACATTTGTAATCATCATAATGACAAGATTGACATTTCCTTGTTCAGAATCATGATCACCATGAAACTTTTTCATCATTCTCAATACATTTATCATGTTATAACCTTTTATCATTTAGTTGAATCATTTATTTACACAATTGACTGATCTCACTAGTTGAATGGTGATGATTGTTTATCTTCATCTTCATCTTCATCTTCATCGTCGCCATCTTTTTTTTCAGTTCCAATACAATCATGATGAATTCTGAAATTCAGAACTATCTTCTCACCTAAAACCCAACCAGTTTACCCAATAGATTACATATATTGATAATATAAATTGATTGTTTATATGAGAACTGAATTTAAGTTAATCTTTCTTGGCGTTGAAATTTAAATTCCAGTTGTTAATTGTATGAAATCAATCTGCATGATGATTAGCTTATTGATCACCATAATTGATTATATTTACATGAGATACTCTCAAGTTCATTGGTGCAAAAAATTGAATAAGAAATTAATTTTTTTTTTCTTCACTCTCTCTCTTCATTAAACAATATCATCATGTTAATTTGATGATGATGACATGAGTAAGTGATGATGATGATTAATAATTAACTGAATGAAAAGTGAGAGATTTCAATGTAAGATATGATATTAATACAAGAAAATAATATTAAGGTGAAAATGTTGACTGATGATATTTGTAATAAGTTGATTATCATGGTGCCAATCAATCAAATGATTAACTTTGTTGTTTGATATTAAACATGCAACATGATGATAATCAAGGTTAATGGTTAATAATCAGACGGACAATGGTCAGTCTGAAAGTTTCAAGGTGAATTGAAGTTTACTCAGTCAGAATTATATAAATTTTACCTTGAAAATTTATTCCATGATGAAAATCAGATAGAATAAGAAGAAAAAAAAAGTTCTATATAACCAATTGATTGAATTTTCTGATTGATTGATAACTTGTAAGAGAAAATAATGAGTATTAATGAAGATTATGAGAGAGAGAGAGAGAGAGAGAGAAAATTACAAGAAAAAAGTTAGAAAGGGAAATGATAGAGAATAGTAATTCTGATTGGTCATCAATGGTCATCTTAACGAAAAGGTAAACAAAAGGAAACAACTAAAAAGCTTTTGTTTACCTTTGGGTGTTGGTCAAATTGATTTCATGTGTGTGTGGCTATTTGTATGTATTGGTTGATAACCTTTACTTTGTGAATCTTTAGTGAAATAAATGACCAAATACTGACCATAAAACCCAGTGAAAATATTGTATCTTCCATCAACTTTGAAATATATTTTCTATCAAATATTGAAACATGATCAATTGTTATACTCATTTAATATTATATATCTTTATCAGGATTGAATATCCATCTTGATGAATTATTTTGCTAAATATTTTCAATGTTGTTCAAATGAAAAATTGAACTACATGAAAAACAAAATTGTAGTTGATGATATATGTAATATACATTTAGTATTACAAATTCATGATACTCAGTTATTAGTTTTCTGGTTAAATTGTCAATCTATCTGATGAAAATGATGATGATGGGTTTGAAAATCCTTGGATTCTGAAAACATGACATTTAGTTGACAATCAAGTTAATCAATATTATCATGTATATATATATATGATACTATTTAATATTGTTAAGCAATCGTTGATGATCAATTTTTAATATCATCAACTGAACCGTTTACATGGTAAAATTGAAGGTTTATTAATAGTAATGAAACAAATATCAACTGTGTAAACTTTTTTCTGATATTTTTATATTCATCAATTTGTGAAATTATCGCATGATGGTGAGGATTATGATAATTATCTGATAATCATGATGGTGATCAACACCTTGAGGGTTATTTTATCATGAATTAAAGGCAAAATGAATTGATAGGTGACAATAACAACAAAGGTAAATGATTGAGTTGATCAGAACTTTTCTTCCTTTGAAATTGAGTCAAGTTGATATTTGGAAAAGTTCAATATTCATTTCATTTTCTATCCTCTGTGAATTACACCATTGTCATGATTCATTTGTATTGAGATGAACTTTTTGCCAATATTATTATAACAATCAATGAATATGAACATGAACAAATTTTCAATAATCTCTCATGTTGGACATGAAACAAAGGCTGAAAATCTAATGAGATATTCATGTAGACTATGAACAGAAATGAATCTTTTTCTTTCAATTCACCTCACCAAATAATCTGAATGTTGACAGAACAGAAAAATCGAACTCAGAAAAGTCGATAAAAAGTTTGATCGTATTTACTGAAAAATCGGTTATCTTATCAATTCCCAATGAGAATATCATAATATTAATAGTTGATTGATCCGATAATTTAGAATCAATTAACGAATCAAATATTGTTTGTCATTCAATTTATAAATAGATTTGTACTTGTTGATCCGGATACGATAAAGAAAAGTAAACTCGAAACAAAAAAGTCATTCCCTGAAGATGATGAATAAAAAATTGCGAATTGACAACATTCTCATATTCAGAATTGATCTCAATTTCAACTATATTTGAACATTTTACCATGAATACTCATGGGTGAAATATAAGAGATTTGAAAAACATATTATTCATTATCAAATATGCTGATGTATTCAAGTAAACATTTAATTTTCATATTTACTTTCAATCAGCATTTTTATGGATCGTTTTTTTTTATCATTTGTTTTCTTCAGTTATTTCTCTCTCTCTCTCTCTCTCTCTCTCTCTCTCTCTCTCTCTCTGATCTTCATTTTGATAGAGAAAACTCAATTTACATGATAACATGTTATACTATCTACTCACTGAGTGATTCTTGAATTATTATCATGACGACTCTAAAGAATCTGTTTATCAACTGGAAATCTGATTTTCTGTAAATTCTGTTTTACTTTTATCTTATTGTTGTTGTATCTTTTTCTCTATCCAGGTAAAAACGATATATATAAGATCACTTTATCTTCTCATGATGATGATCATCAGAATTTGTCAGAATTTGTCATGAGAAGAAGAGAAATTTATATCTTCTAGTTATCTGATACATTCGTTTACCATAAAAAGCCTCTCAATGTGATTTTCCATTCCAACAGCAGGGAATCAAATGCTTAGAGTAACAATTTAATATCCAAACAATCAAATTGTTCAAGATTCAATTGAGATGAACATATTATCATGATGGTGATCATATTATTTTTTATTATAATTTGAAATATTTATTTAACAATTGAAAATTGAATCAAAATTGATTGTTGTTGTTGATTCATTTCTTAACCAAGTTACATTTTCTTTGTTTGTTATATTTTCAATCAGATGAAAAAAAGTTTCTCATATTATTATCATTGGATTCTTGACTTATCTGAATTAAACTGACAATCAATCGCACTGATTAATGTTCATTTAATTGTAATACTACAATAATTAACTCTTAATCTTGATATTTCCCAGTTTGAATTGTTTTTTTTTCACCTCACTGTTTGAATATAATTAATGGTTCGTTAATATTACAATTCGTATGGCCTAAGGCAAGTCTTTTTATCATTTAGGTTTGATTGTTTGGGAATTTACTTGATTGTGACTCGTTAAATCGTAACCATTAACTGAAACTTTTGACGTTTAAATTTGGGGTTAATTAATTTGGTTGTTTTGGGAAATAAACATATAATAAACAAATGATCAATTGATTCGTGATGATTTGAAATGACAATTACAAGGAGAATCTGAATTGAATGTTAATCGTGAGAATTGGGAATGAGGCAAAATGAACAATTGATTGATTTTTGTTAATCTATTGGTTATGATTAACTATTTGTACCGAGAGATTGAATTGTAAGGAAAAAAATTTCCACCACAATTAACGATAATCATGATGAGTTTTGGAAGAAAATTTTCAATTTATTTTGGAAAATTTTTTCCTCTTTTTCATCAAATATCTATTTTCATTGTTCAGTTTCAAATTTGATAACATTGATTTCTTGTCTCTTTCAGTTCAGTTTCAATATACAAAGGACGAGTTTATCATCGTCATCATGGTAGTGTGGTGATAATGATGCTCATGATGAAGAATTTATCATTATGAAGTCGAGGTGGGAAATAAGAAAGTGTCTTGTTTCCCACCTCGTCTTCTATTGATGAGATCTTATTTTCATCTTTGTATCAGGTTTTTTTTTTTGTTGCATGGGGATGATTTATTTTCTTGGTGATAAATTAATAATATCTGATTTTATGACGAAGAGAGAGAGAGAGAGAGTGAAAAAGCTCTCTCTCCATGTAACTTTTTTCCTCTGATTTTCCACCTCCCACTTATGACAGAACCATTTCCACCGAGTGGATAAGTTGTAGTTTGGAAACACCATGATGATGATGATGATAAAAGATAAAGAAATGAAGGTGAAGGTTAAGGGTTGGAATGAAGTTGATGACGATGAAAATGATTAGGTATTCATCTGATTCTGGTATTGAGTAAATTCTGAAGGATTCATGACATCCCCTTGAGCATTCACAATGACAGAATGGGACAAAATTGAGAATATTATTTTAGCTTCGTTTTGTCTTCTCTCTCAAACATCAACATTTCATAGTCTCTCTCTCTCTCTTTACCTACAAAAACATTCAGTAAGTTCATTGAATAGTCATAATGAAGCTTTCTCATTATTCTTGCATCATCAGCATCATAAACATGAATAAGAAGATAAGGAAAATAAAGGAATAGGCAAATAATACCAAAGATGTTGATCCGTAGACAGAAAAAAGTAGAGCCAGAACTAATTCTGATTCCGAATCTGAATCCATGAGTTATCCCCCTTGTCTCTCTCTCTCTCTCTCTCTCGTTATCCCATGATAAAAAAATGCTTTACCTTATGAAGAAAAAAAGTTGATGGTGATGATCAGGACGAAGAAGCTTTTTCTCATCTTATGAGGAAATTGTTTTTTATCTGGAACTTTTTTATTATCATTGTTATTACATGTTGACTCTTCATGTATTAATATTATCAATGGTCACAGGTTTTAGAACTTTTTTTTGCACTATCCTTGACCACAGGTCAGTTTGTTTTGTTTTTTTTCTTGTTCTTTTGCTGTTAGAAAGCATTAAAAATTATTACATGTGATTGTTTTATCATGGTAAAGATCCTTACAAGTTATTCCATAAGATTATCAAACAAGGAAAAGCCAAATAATATCATGATGGATAAGCGATATTACCTGAAAAAGATTCAAACAATTGGATTGATGGGGAAAAAATTGCTAAGCTTTGCAATTTAATTTAATCGTAAATAGATCTTATCATCATGATAATAATCAATTGAAATCTATCACAAATAAAGGTGATAAAGGTTGTTAGTTAATCCAATTTAAATCCAGTTGTGTAATATTAGCTGCGATTTTAAAATTCAATATAAGAGATGATGATGAGCTCAATTGTTCACCATGAAACTATTTTTTTTGTATTGAAAAAAAAAGTTCACATGAATTATCATGGGAAGAACTGTGACTTTTCATATGTATGTATTAGTGTGCATTTGTATTTACATGGCAATGGATCCGGAATAATATGCGAAATTTAATGAACAATGAAACATGAATGTTTATGTCTACTAATGATTAGAATTGGGAAGATTTAGATGATATAAAAGATGATCAGAGTGGGAGTTGAAATAGAATATAGAATTACATTGAGATTCTCAGTGGAATTTTGTTTTTTTTCTTCTCTATTCTTCTTAAAGAATAATTTCCTGAAAGTTCTGATGGTTATTAAGGTGCTCCTTGGGTTAATGATGAACATGATGAGTACAGAATTGTAGTGATTGAGGTAAGAATTTGATATCATTTGAAGTGGAAATTAATCTCATCAACAATTTGCAGGTTTTAATTAAACTTGGATTATAATTTCAGTCTTTAAGTTTCATGATAATTCTGATAAAATTTTATTCTCAGAGTGACCTCGACATTTTAACTCGAATTTTGTTTATTTTTTCTTCTATCAAATGAAAAAAAAAACGCAGGACTACCGATGAATTCAGATTCTGTTGTTTGGCTCGTCATGTGAAAAATTGTCTACCAGAACCTGATGAATTCTCATCATGTGAAGATTTATTATCCAATATTATTCTTAGAATTTGTATCTGGATTCTTGGTGTTCTATCGATAACCGGAAACTGTATGGTCATTTTCTGGCGAACTTCCCATCGACTAAGAAATTCGGTATCTTCTTTCCTTATCGCTAATCTGGCCTTAGGCGATCTGATGATGGGTGTTTATCTTATCATCATTGGATCAGTTGATTTTACTTATAGAGGTCAATATTTTATCCATGATGCTTATTGGCGGTCAAGTAAAATGTGCCAATTGGCCGGTTTTATATCAACCCTTTCCTCTGAGTTATCGGTATTTACTTTAACCGTTATAACTATTGATCGTTTCCTACGAATAACTTTTCCATTAAAATTTCACCGTTTCAAGATGACCAATGCTCGACTGGTCATTCTTGGGACCTGGATATTCACTGTGATACTCGCTGGTGTGCCTTTACTGGACATTAAATATTTTGACAATTTCTATGGACGATCAGGTGTTTGCCTTTCTCTTCATATAACAAATCAACGTCCCAATGGTTGGGAATACTCAGTGTTTGTCTTCCTGGTTCTTAATTTTATCTCATTTACAACAATCGCCATTGCCTATGTTTGGATGTTCATTGTTGCCAAAAATACTCGAAGTGCCCTAAGGTCAGCGGACATACGATTAAGTTCAACAATGGCCAAGAGAATAATGTTAATTGTGATGACCGATTTCTGGTGTTGGATGCCGATCATTGCTCTTGGCGTAATCTCACTCAACGGAGTTAAACTTCCCCCTCAGGTAAACACTTTCATGATGGAATAGAAAAGAACAAGAAACAAAACTTTTATTCTTATTAATTGTCCAAATTTTTGGATAAATTTCTTTTAAATTATCAAAATTACCTCGATTTTTTTTTTCATTCAACGTTCATTTATAAAGCTTTTCCAATACTATATTTCACCTTTAACTTTTTACATTTACGTTTGAATAGTAGGGGAAAACATCTCTTGACCATTGGTCAGTTAACTGGTTATCATAAGTTGACTGACAATTGGTCACCATTAACTTTAATTTGGTTTGAATCTATTGAATCTCAAGTAATTCAATCTAATCGTTGAAACTAAATATAACTCATTATATTAACTTGCTTGTTGTTTTTTGTTTGTTTCACTGACCATTACTGATACTCTAACTATCATTATTACATTAGCAACAGTGGCTTGACCACATACACAGTTATTATTGTTGAGATGATAAAAAAAAGCTAAAAAAAATACTGACCATTGAAAACGTGACTTATCAACCATTTTATTTTTATTATTATTATTACGACATTTCTTACACTGACCTTTGTCCACTTGGATATTTTGTGAGGTCTCTCTCTCTCTCTCGCAATTGTATAAACACATTACGATGACCATTGACCATTAGATGAGAGAGACTGTTTATTTGGACATCATCATTGTTTACTTTGAGATGGCTCAAGAGGCTCTGGAAAAGGTGGTCACTCAGTTTTTATGCTAATGGTCAGTTGAGAGGAATAGAAAAGTCGAAATTATTTATTTTTCTTTTTTTCTTTTTTCGATTTTTCTTGCGAACTTTCGATTACTTTCGATTAGAACTTTTCTTTTTGTTTATTTTTCTTTCTCGAACTTTGTCTCCTCTCCATCTTTTCCTAATCCATATAATCTTTTGGTTTTCAGTCCAACAGTTTACAGTTAGCTAATTGTTTCAAATTGACCGATTCTTGATTGGAAGTAACAAAAATATTCCAATGATTAAAAAAATTTTTCGATCAATACAATTAACTGCTAACCAATTCGTATATACTTGTCAATTGTATATAATTTACTTTCAATGAAAGTCATTAATTAATTAAAATCAACCCATCTAATTGTAGATGTAATTTGTTTTAATCTAATTATTTATAGAATTTTTTTCTTCTTCAATCCAATTTGATTAGTTTAAATTAATTAACTCTCAGATTATTCAAAAGGTTAATTCCTTATATATTTACAACTTAATGATTATTATTTATTAATTATGATTATTAACTAACCTAATTGGAAATAACTTTCACACCAAAGAAAAACATTCTGATTGGAATGAGTAAATTGAGATTTTTAATAGTAATAATTGTATTTAGTTTAGTGTAACTAATAAGTTAGTTAGTTGATTAGTTTGATTAGATTTCAAATAATAGTAACTTGATAACTTTCATTGGGATTATTTACTTTTATTTAATCTGGTGTTTTATTTAACATTATATCGGATATTTGATATATTACAGTAAAAATAGGAAAGTTAATTTCATCTAATTAACTCTGATTATCCAATAAGATTCCACTTCTTATAAGTATTAATAGTTTAATTAGCAACTACGATCAAATTTAATTACTACAGGGGTGGAGAGAATCATTTGAGCCAAATTAAAACGTTAATTTCATAAAGCACAATCAAGTTTAAGAAAATTTTTTCAGCAATTCAAATAGAATATTTGATTGTCATTAAATTGACGTTAAATTTGAGTGGCTTCGGACATGAACTCGAAAAAAAATTTCGAATTTTCGAAAACACTAAAAATTGAAAAATTGCAAAAATGTTATTTTTTGACTGAAATGAAAAATCGAAAATTTTTATCTTTCGATTTTCGATTTCGAAAACATGTCCATCTTATTCTCCGTGTATGAAAACATATATTCATCAAGTTTTTTTTCGAAAAAACTTGACCAATTTCTAAATATTCGAAAAAAACTAAAAATTTGCGACGAAAACCCCGAAAATCTTGTAATTTCACGTTTTTCAGTGTTTTCGAAATTTTGAATTTTTCAATCGATTTTTTTTCAGAAAATTCTTAAAATTGATAGTTTTCTACTCAGAATTAAATTCTCTATCTTAATCATGGAAAATAATTGATTTGCTATGATTAATATTCAAGAAATTAATGATTGAATTTGGCTCAAATCTTTCTCTCCACACCTGTAATTTATGATTTGAATGAACCGCCTCGACTTCGGATTGGATCCAAACTTTTGGATACTTATGGTAATCGATAAATTGAATTTTGTTAAATTTTGTTTTTTGTTTTTTAATTGTTACGTTTAAATTGTTACTATTTTGATGATCAACTAATTACTAATTGGTATTATCATTGCAATTATTATCTATTATTATTAATGAAGTGATTAGTCTTTTGAGCTAATTTGGATTCTCTGATTAACTTTGACTTTTGCCTCTGGTTTAGTTGAATGTTTGTTGTTTTGTTACTTTGATTTGTGTTAATTACTCTGACTAATTACCAATGTTTTCTTTATGATTAATTATAGTCTTTTAATCATTTCGATTGTTATTTTCAACCTTATCTATTGATTAGGTTGAATTTGGACTTTTTCGTTCTTCTCTCTTTTCTATCACCCAAAGGTACAAAACTATTGATCAATTCAATTGAAATGTTGGGTGTTTACCTTTGGTGTATTTTCTTGAGTGATTGACTCATGTTAATCATGTGTGTTCAATTACTTTAATCATCAATTTTTGTCATCATCATCATCGCAAACAATAACGGAAATGATTAAGTGTTAATCTAGATTATGGATGAGATTATCGTTGAACGTTCAATTGGATTTACTTGATTAGTATTCGGCCTTTGTCTCAATATCTGTCTCTACTTAAGATGTAGATTAGATAATTTAATTGGTTGATTAGCTATGTTACTATTTCTCTGATCATTGATGGACAAACCATTTCAAAGGATAAAGCCAATTTAACAATCATGATTGTCACAATGTTGCTCCAATCGACCATCAACCCTTAACATACAATCAATACAAGTCTATCCAATTGAGAGATAAACGTGAAAACAATCAAGGAAAAAAAGCCAACAAATATAAAGAAAATGTTTCTCATCAATAATTGATTTGTTGTTGATCACAATTTCTATTCTTGTGTAATCTAAACCACCATCAATTGATCAATCAACATCATTTACAGGTAAATCTATTTAGATCAACACAAAAACTCACAGAATAATTATAAATTAATAGAGTAATAATCAAATATAAATTGTTACAAGAAATTAGATGAATCATCTTCAACTCTAATCCATCAATCATCATCTTTAACCATCAATATCAGCGGTTACATTGTGTCTTTACCAGAACTCAAACTAATCCAATTAACCTTTGATTGAATTAAATCAACATCATCTTGCTATTATTATCATGATCAATACAATTATTATTATTTTCGTAACTAACATTGTCTTTAAATGATAATATACTAAGAAAAAGATAATGATGATAATTATCAACCCAATTAATGAAGTAAAAACAATTCTAACCTAACACAAACTAATTAACTAACCAAACTTACACATTGAAAGTATGATAACAAGTCCATTGATCAAGTCTCCTCAAGCCCACGACAATCAATATGTTACACATTACATGTAACATGTAAATCTCTTGAATTTAAGTTAATTTATTCACAATTAGATTAACAATACATTCATTTACCAATAATACAAATAACAGTTTATGATAATTGATTGATAACTATTAACATGCTCACGATTAACAAACCAAACCAAAAAACCATTTCACTCCATATGTAACCAGAAGTCTCATCATCTCAAAACAATTATTAATCTTTGTGACAATTTATTTACCATAATCTATTAATAGTAATAATTTACGGTCACAATTATAATATAAATCACAATCAACAAGATTCACTTGTATTCACAATGATGAGGAGGAACAAAATTTATCTCCTATCAACTTAATCATTTCAAGTATTATAATCTCAATGAATTAACAGCAAAAATCTAATTCATTGTGATGGATTTTCTCATCTCTCAATTAATCAATAAATTCATCATGGTGATAATCATGATGAGAAGAAATATAAAAACAACGAGATTATTTGATCATCTCTTGATATTTATCTTCCAATTGTCAACTAATCATATTTAATATCATTGTAGTGAAAATGATTTGCTTGATTGTGATTATTATCATTATATTTTCCCGTTGATTATATTATTTATTATCATTTAGCCTTAGGGCAAACGATGAGCATTTTGATTTTTTTCTATCCTTTCCAATTATCACTTACTAATTATTTTCTCTTTTCACAATTACCAGCTGATCATTAGTTAATTGTTCCTCTATCGATAATTGTAGTTAATCAATAATCTGTTGATTGTTGATGCTTTTTTTTTGGTTGTTTTTAGTGAAGAAAATTTTCCTTTTCGTTTATCTGTCAAATTGTCACAATCAAACTAGAAAATTTGACAATTTAAAATTATTATTATTGATCAATATTGTTGTTTATTTATGAGTTGATTGACCACAACAATTGGTCAATGAGATTGATTTTTGACCATAAATCAAAATTGAATTTAATCAAACAAACAGCCAGAAAACAATTGATTTATACACTCGACTAATCAATTATAACGATAACTTTTTTTATGAAATATGATTATGACATTTGACAAACAATTGAAAAAATCTTGAAAGTTTCATCGATAATCTTTCACTTAATTGGCTGATTATTCATTTCTAATTGTTTTAATTGTTATTCCTTTAAATTATCAGGTCTTTGCTTGGGTCGCTGTGTTTGTCTTACCTTTAAATGCTGCCATGAATCCAATTTTATACACGATATCGACTTTACCGATATTCAAACGAGCTTATAGTCGAAGTGCTCAAGAATCAAAAAGTTCAGTTGTTCTGAAAAATGGTTAGTTAATTTAGTTTGAATATCCACAATGATTACGAATCAATTGATCTAATGTTTTTTCTTTTCGTTTGATTTTCTCAATTGTTTACAGGTCGATCCAAATCAACCATCCACAGGAAAAGTTATCACTCTAAACATCATTATTTTTTCAATGTTGATAAAAATTCTGGAAATCCTGAGGTTAATTGTAATTTAAGCAGCAATGAGAATGGAAATCATTTCAATTCAAATCAAAATAGTTTAAGTGATAAAAGTAATCATCTCCGAAACAGTTCACTTGATTGTAACAATAACGCTAATCATTTGAATCGGGAAATTGTTCTGGTCGGAGGTGAAGGCAGTGTCGGTGGTGTCGGTGGTGGTGGTGGGGTGAGTGTCAATGTGAGTGTTTCTTTGAAGAGACAACAATCATCAATATCATCCTCATCTTCATTGGCCCTCACACCGTTAACACCTCGATTATCTCGTAAATCATCAAGATCAATTTATTTCGAGCCGAACAATCAACTATCCTAATTGTAATTTTCCATGATTGCTAATATCCAATGTTAATCTAAATCAAAATAACCTTTTCAATGGCTCCATCCAATGTTACTAAATGAACAATTTAACGATTAATTGGACAATCAAACTGATTGTTGCTATAAATTATGTGCACTTATTGTTTTAAAATTAAATCATTTTCAAAGTGTATTTTCACCATTATTAACAATTTGATTAAAAACTTATTTGTAAATGTTACAACCATTGAATCAAGTTCATCAATAATTATCATTAGTAAATTTTGATTGTCATTATCAAACTGTACTCATTTAATCATGAATCATGATTTAAGATGATAACTAATTTTTTACTTTCTAATCTCATTAATTGTTACACCCAGAAACCAATTTGATTGTTTAGTTTGGTTGATTGTTGTAAGTTAATCTTCAATAACAATTACATTTTCAACTGTAATGATAAACATTTAGATTGAAAATTAGTAAATTGTTTCAATCTTTCAAATCAGAATTGATTCAATTGTATAAAATTGCCCATACTGAGTGTTGATTAATTTAATCATTGATATTATGATTGATTTATGATCACCGGTGAATTTAACTAAATAAGGGAATGATTAATTGCTGGTTAAATTTGATTAATATTGTTTTCCCTTTTTAGCTAATTCACTAATCATGATAATCATTAATTATCAAGTATCCTTTTTATTATAAATTGCTTATCGGTAATTAGTCAGTTTAGTCACAATTGCAAAGGAAATCCGAGTGAAATAATTTATCAATAATTAGTTAATCATCAATAAAAATTAGTTTGGGTGGATTGATTATTCAACTGGAATCGTATCGATTTCATTGGTAATCTGTTAATTGTTGAGTTTGGGGTCAATTGGTTAACGAGTTACCGAAAGTTAATTGTTACGAGAAGTGATGATTGTAAGTGGTGAGAATTTTAAGCTTTGATTAACAATCAAATTAAGCTAATTGTCACTATCATTTGTCGCGTCGTCGTCGTATTGAATATCATTACAGTTCTGATAAATCAACAATTGGAATATCAAATTTCTTGAATCAATAATTATCTTCGTTAGGTCATCGCTCTGAATGTGAAAATTGATTGTTAAGGTTAATTGTATTTGTTTTGTTCACCAAAAAATTTTTTCTGCTCTGAAAATTAATATCAACTCCACACAACCCAAACTGATCATCATATCACCGCCACCTCAAAGTTAATCATTATTGTAATGGTTATAATTAGAATCTTGATAATCGTTTAGACAAATTCATTTATTACGTTTAATGTTTCAGTCTGACAATCAACGAATAATAATTGAACTCGTTCATTTATTCACTTCATTTACTTACTACATTTGTAGTCAAGTATTTTCTGTTTTTTGTTATTTGGTTAATATGAGAGAGAGAGAGAAAAAAGAGAGAGAATGATTTGAAGTTTTGGCAATGGCTAAAGTAGTTTAGCTTAGAAACATTTTCTGTGGACAATTGATGGTCCTGATTCATCATATTCTTGTTTAGAGATCCACATTTGTTGGAAGGTGGAAAGTGAAGCTAAAATTGATCCTCCGATCCAGACGGAATATTTACGTTCGGGTGGGGCAATGATCTTAATCTTCATTGTGCTTGGAGCTAATGCAGTGATTTCTTTTTGCATTCTGTCAGCGATACCTGAATATTCATAAACATAAAAAAAAAGATTAGACGTTGAGTTAGAATAAAGATGGCAACTTATGAATAATAATCATTTCTATCAACAAGAACATGAATGATCTCAACATTGAATAAATTTTCAAGTTAACAAATCTGGTAATTGTAGAAGGAGAAGAGAGAATGACTAATAGAATCAAGTGAAACATGATGACACATACCTGGATACATGGTGGTACCTCCTGAGAGAACAGTGTTGGCATAAAGATCTTTACGAATGTCAACATCACATTTCATGATTGAATTGTAGGTAGTCTCATGGATACCACAAGATTCCATACCAAGGAATGAAGGTTGGAAAAGAGCTTCGGGACATCGGAATCGTTCATTTCCAATGGTGATAACTTGACCATCAGGTAATTCATATGATTTCTCAATGGATGATGATGATGCAGCAGTTGCCATCTCTTGTTCAAAGTCAAGGGCAACATAACAGAGTTTCTCTTTGATGTCACGAACAATTTCTCTTTCAGCAGTAGTGGTGAAAGAGTAACCTCGTTCAGTTAAGATTTTCATTAAATAGTCGGTTAAATCTCGACCAGCCAAATCTAATCGAAGAATAGCATGAGGTAATGCATAACCTTCGTAGATTGGAACAGTGTGAGAAACACCATCACCAGAATCCAAGACAATACCAGTGGTTCGACCAGAAGCATAAAGACTGAGAACGGCTTGAATGGCTACGTACATAGCAGGAGTGTTGAAAGTTTCAAACATGATTTGGGTCATTTTTTCTCGATTAGCTTTTGGATTCAAAGGAGCTTCAGTCAAAAGGACTGGATGTTCCTCTGGGGCAACTCTCAACTCGTTGTAGAATGTATGGTGCCAGATTTTCTCCATATCATCCCAGTTGGTTACAATACCATGTTCAATTGGATATTTCAAGGTTAAAATACCTCTTTTTGATTGAGCTTCATCACCAACATATGAATCCTTTTGACCCATACCAACCATAACTCCTTGATGCCTTGGACGACCAACAATAGATGGAAAAACAGCCCTTGGGGCATCATCACCGGCAAAACCGGCTTTACACATACCGGATCCATTATCAACAACTAAAGCGGCTACTTCATCGTCACACATTTTGATTTATTTTACTTTTTTTTCAATTCACTTAAAATTAAACAATTAGTATAAAGAATCAGAAGACTCAAAGAGTGAGAACACAAAACAAATGAAACAAAAAACTTAAACGATCAAATGTCAATCAATAAAAGCGACGAAAAATGAAAACTGATTAACTGATCACTTTGGAACAACCGTTTTATGAAAGAGACAAAAAACAGAAATCAAGATAATGAAGACACAAACGAACCAATAAAAGAAAATACCTTTTTCTTTACCATAAAAGGAATTATATTCTCACCCCATGACCACACCCTTTGTCTTTCATTCGAATTGAGCGCCACCAGGTGGTTGGAATTAAATTCCACTCATAGAATAGTTGAAACGTAGATGGCGCAAGTTGGAATTTCATTTTTTCGCTCATAACAAATTCCAATTTAATTAACTTTTCCTGTGAATTTAAAATTTAATTTTGTCTTCTTATTGTTAATCTTATCCAAGGGATTACGCTGATACCAAATCGATGACAATTCAACCGTTACTTTAGTTGATTTTGCTTCGTGATAAGGTGGACCCTTTTTGTTTTCTTTTGTAAGTTTTGTTGATTCAATTTTCTCTATTTTGGTTGATTAACTGATTTTCTTTCGAAATAATTTGTAAGCAAAGAGTCACAGACAAAAATAAATCTTTTTTGTTGGAATTGAAGAAGAGATCTGAAGAGTCTTGTTTGACTTCAAGCTCGAAACTGAACTTCGGCAGACAGTTAGTCCTTTCAGAATTTCAATTGTTTATGAAAAACGTTTTTTTCTGCACTGACAAAGCCTAAATATCTCCCAAAATTTTGATAATGTTGATGTCCAGTGACTGACCGACTTTTGGCCTTCCGAAGTTCAGTTTACTTCAAACTTCAATAAAGAAGCTACAATAGTTTAATTGTAGATGGAATATTATATTATTGAAACCAGAATATTAATTAAATTGATACTTCCAAAATTAGGAGAATCGGAAATCGGAATTATCATCAATTTCCAAAAAAAGAAAATGAGTTTTCTTCAAACAAGAATATGATCAATTTGAATTAGTCTTTAACACTTTTCTTGTTTTTCGTTACAATCTAATCCAATTTTTCCACGATTAGAATGAATTTTTATCAATAATTGTAATCGAAAATTTTCATTAACTATAATTAGAAAATTAACTAAGCGATCATTCCATGGATAGGATAGAAAATGAATCAGAAATTCAAACTATCATTGGAATAATCAACTAATCAATTAACCGATGATGAATTTTCTAAATTTCTTATTAATTATTTTTCCATTTTATTAATTATTCTTACATTTGAATAATGCGCTTTTCTTTTTCTCAATCAACTTGAGATTCAATCTTTTTCCAGATACTCTATGTACTCGATACTAGTGATTAATTATCTGAAACTTTAATTAACATCAACAAGAGTAAATCAACAATTAACATTTTTATCTAGTTTTTAATTATCTTTCTTTTCTAATCAACAATCGCCGATAGGTAATCAATGTTTTTCCTTCTCGTTTTCCTAATTCGATGATGTTTCGCGTGTTCAACTTTCTTTTTTATTTGTCCATTTTAATAACCAAAAGAGAAATTGAATCAATGACAATTTAATCTTTAAGATGATCATTTCTAAACTAAGTCAAGTGTTGAGTAAATCTTTTAACCGGTTATCACTTTTTAAACTTCATGAAGCAATTGAAGCGAAACATGACAAATATGGATCAATTCGTGTGGAAGAAAAATATTGGCCTGTTAGACGGACAATCGTTTACGTTTTTAATCCATCCGATATTGAGAAAATTTTACGAGCCCAAGGTAAATTTCCCTATAGACCTGCGAATGAATTTCTGGTTAAATATCGTTCATCTTTACCTGATCGTTATCCGACAATTGGAATTGGTAATCTACAGGGTGACAAGTGGTTCTCTCAACGCCAGTTAATTGCTCCTATTTTATTATCCAGTGGTGTTCTTAATTCCTATCTACCTCATCTTAATGTGATTACCGATGATTTTATCACTTACCTTGGATTCCAACAGAATCAACAAGGTTCCATCAATGATTTATTAACTTGTACCGATCAATTTTCCCTTGAATCGATCGCCATGATTTGTTTAAATACTCGACTTGGTTGCTTATCAACCATAGAACCTTCAGAAGATGGTAAAAGATTAATTCGTGCGTCTAAAAATCTATTCAAATCATTTCAAATTCTTTACCATGGTATTCAATGGTGGAAATTCTGGCCTACTCCCAGTTATAAGATGTTCGTTGCCGCCGAAGAAGAGATTTACAATGTTTCTGGTAAATACGTTGATCGTGCTTTAAATGAGCTAAAAAACGATGATCAAAATTCGTGCCATGAGAAAGATGATTATGATTTAAATGATGACAGTAAATGTCTTTTGAAAACTTTGCTAAAAACGAAGGGTTTAGATAGAAACACCGTACGAACTACAGCTATGGACTTTATGGTCGGTGGTATTAACACTGTTTCCACTTCGCTCTGTTTTCTTCTCCATCATTTATCGGTTAATCATGAAATTCAGGAGAAATTATTCCAAGAATTGGTCCAAGTTATCGGAAACTCACAAGTCGATGTCAATGAGACACATTTGAGTCGATTACCTTACCTGAAAGCTTGTCTAAAGGAAAGTTTTCGATTGACCACAGTTATACCGAATTTGGTTCGAATTCTTCCTGATTCGATCTCTCTTTCAGGTCAAACTATTCCAGCAGGAGTAAGTTGATTATTTCGGTCCAACGATTAGTTGGATTTTGATTCATTTTCGATAACTTTTTCTCTATCTAATTTAATAGGTTCCAATTATGTTATCCTTTGGAGTTATTTGTAAACATCCTGATTATTTTGACGAACCGGAAACGTTTCGACCTGAAAGATGGTTAGGTGATGCTCGCAGAGCGATTCATCCTTTTTCTTTACTAACTTTTGGCCTTGGTAATCGAATGTGTGCCGGTAGAAGGATGTCCGAAATCGAGTTGTACATTGCAACGGCCAAAATTATTCTCAAATATAAATTGTTATCAGAAACACCTAAATTATTATTGAAACAAGACTTTATCATTATCCCGGAAAATCAGATCAAAATTCGTCTCGAACCAAGATGATTGATAAAAAAAGGTAATTAGTTTATTTTTACTCTAACAATTTGATAATTTCTAAATGAAAAGAATAGAATTTCTTTCTTGGTAACAATATCATCAAGAGCTGCTTCCTTTGTTGAGCATCTTCATCTTCATCTTCATCCAGTTTCTTTCTCATCTTTTTACTTCGAAAAAAAGGAAAGATGAGGACAAACTCAAAGATTCTCATCCAATCGATAAGATGCTCGAATTCTGTTTACTCTGAACCATCTAGATCATTTTCTTTTCTCCCCCTTCTTATCCAACATCCAAAAAAAATTCTATTCTCTTTTTCGTTTCTCATTCGCATGATCCAAGCGAAAATAATTTCCATCTTCTTTCCTTCATCTTCGATCTTCATATTAACCTCTTGATTCTGTGTTAATCAACAACAATCAATTGATTGTCAAATTCAAGTCAAATTTATCTTTCATCAGTTAGAAAAAAAAGTAAAGAAAAAATGTTTTCGAAAGTTGAAAGTATCAAAACCAATTCGATATTTGGTTCAATTCTGATCGCATCTTCTTATTCGAATTCAAGATCAAAATGATTAACATTGATTGTGAACAAGATCAATGTTGATATTTGATCTCTTCAACTTGGAGTTTGTGTGCTAATTTGTGCTGATCGCCTGTCCAAGATTTACAACATAATCAGACAGATTAAGATTAAGATTATGTTATAATAGTTGAGCAAGTGATTCATTTTCTCAGTTAATTGTAACAATCAATGGGTATAAAGGTTTGCCTTAAAGTGAATCTAATCTTTGCGATAATCATTTCACTTTTCACAAAAATTTCCCTTCTAACTGTAATCAATGGGAACATAAATGGTTTCATGCTGGTCAAGATCTTTATCCATTGTGGTTTCCTTTTCTCAATTGGTCAAGAGAACCTTCTCTTGACAACTTTACTCTTCGTAGTGGACATTACTCTTTACACTTTATACATCATCTTCGAATTGATATTCATCATCGCAATGCTAATGTCTTCCGCCATTTTTGATGAAAACTCTCAACAACCAATTATTGGGATAATTGTTTCACTTACAATTGCCTCAATTGATTTAATCATTTTGACCATGATTGGAATGGCAATCAAACAGATGAAACAATTAACAACAGATGAAACCCAATTAGATTCACAATGTCAATCACCTTCAACATCAACATTGGCATTACCAGCATATGTTTAACACAAGATGTTAATTGTTACAATTAATTAAACAGATAAAACTTGTAAATTTACTGTACAAAAAAAACAATCAAGGTAGAATGATTAAAAGACTGACCAGTAGTGGACACATTTAAGTAACTATTAAATGCAATTTGATTAAGTTTAAAGGTTTAATATTTTGATGGTCATTGTATTGATACGTCAATCAAATCATAATTGAAATTGATTGTTTACAATAATCAGTGTCGATCGATCAATTAACTTAATTAACTTTTTTTTTTTTTCTTCTTTTCTTTCTAGTTAATTGTAACCAATACAATCAATCAATTGACCAAAATAAGTGGCGATCATTTTGATAATGGATTTGTGAACCTCTTTTGCCATTGATGCCTAATGTCTTTCTTTTAATTAATTAATTAATTTATACAAATTCTGACGATTAATAAATTGATTTAATTCCATTGTTAATTATATAATACAATTGATGGTGAGGAAACTTTGATTCTGATCACGAATTCACTTCCTTTAATCAATAACATTTTCTCCTCACAAATTTAATCAACTCAATCGGTGGAAATATTTACCGTTAGGATTTTAGATGATGATAAATCACAATTAAATGTCACTTTTAATTAGTCCAATTCAAATGGAAATCAACTTTTTAATCTAATTAATTGTAACTCTTTGTTCACAACATAAACACTGGGACCAGTTAAATTGTTTGCTAATCATGAGCTCTTCCTGCTTCTAGAATTGACCCAAGACTGGACACAACAATTAACTATAGTTACGAAAATAGATTAGAAATTAACAATTAAACATGCTCTGAATGTTAATCTCTTTCTAATCTTTAAGGTTAAATCTTTTTGCTATTTAATCATTTTAATTTTGTTTCTGTCGACAATTAATCTTACAAGTTAATCTATCACTTAGTTTAAAGGTAATTGTTTCCATCTTTAAATCATAACCTTAATCATTCACGTTCTTGTGACAAAAACAAATTAGATTCCTGGTTCATCATTAACAATCACGTTCTAATTGCAATTAATCCAGTTAATTGTTTCCTATTACACTTGACATTCAGTTAATCATTGACAATGACCCTTTTTATATTAATAGTTAAACATCAGCTGATTATTTTTAACTTAAATATTAATCATCAAATAATTTGTGTGTCAATTGTGTTAATTGTGATCAATGATAAATTGTATTTTCATCATCAATCATAATCAATCAAAAAAAAGGCAAACAATCAATTAAATATCATTTAATTACTCTAATCAATTTTTTGGTTACTTACTTTTGCTAAATAACAATTAGAAATTTATTAATAGTTTATCAATTATCTTAAATTGTTACCAATTAACTTTGTTTTACTTTTTCCTATGATATTAATTGTTTTGTTAATTGTAATTTAAAGTATTGATTACAATTTTAAATCTATTATATTAATATTTGGTTTTCGTTGCACTAACAATTTAAATTGTCACTCGTATCAACATAATGGTGATCAATTGTTAAGATGGTTCAATGAATCTCAATAATCCATGAAAATGATTGTTAAGAAAAAAAGTTGATCATTTAGTGTGTTAATCACAATTAAGAGAAGTTGATTTAAAATTCATCAAACAGAATCAATATTAATTGTCGCGATTCTGACCGAGTTCGTGAGTTTTATCAATCAACACGATCGATATTTTTACCTATCATGATAAATGATTGTCAATAATTTACTATAACAATCACGTTAATTGTCCTAATACTTGATTAACGGTTTTCTAATTGTTGTCAAAATTTTTTTTTGTTTTCTTATACAATTATAGTGAAAATAATGACAATAACTGTTAGAATAAAATTAAATCAAAGTAAATTTCACTTTAAATGATTTAATTACTTTACTTTCCCCAAATGCTAATCATCAGTAAATTTAAATTAAACTTATATTTATTTAAATTGTCAATCATCAATTATAATCTTCTTGAACCTTAACCAAAGTTAATTGTTAACTTGAAAAGCTTAATTACTACCCCACCCCTTTCATCATTGTGAATATAATTTAATTAATCATCTTCAATATGAATATATTTAAAGAAGAGCAATTAAATTTAATAATAGTAAAATTGATTGTTCAACAATCAAATGTTAATTGAATCTTGTAAAGTAAATTAAATGTTAAGATGTTACATTAACTGTGATAAAATAAAAACTATTTGGTTTCCACAACAATTAACTTATTCAGGTTAATAATATATCCAATCTAATCTAAATATCAGTTGACAATTATATTAATTGTCCAACCATTAACCATAAATTGTCTGTAATTGTATCAACAATTTAACATTTTCTCCTTGTTTCCCTGGTCAATGTTACCTAATGAAAAGGAATGAAAAAAAATTAGACTCCGATTAACGATTGAGTTAAATGTTATTAATTAACTAATCAAGGACAGATAATGATAAACATTTGATGTACCAAAAATGGTAGATTAACCGAGTAAATTTCAATTACCATTTACGCCCAAGTAATTATATTAATTATTGTAATTGAACATCCGTATTATGGTTAACCATGTCTCTGTTTCACCATAAATACACCTTGATTGGTGTTGACTATTTATCGCCATTGAATTAATCCCAAATGTATATGGAAAGGAAATCCATAAATTGAATGAACCATATTCAATGTAACTGATGATAAGTTAATCATGTTGTAACTTTCATATGGTAAAACCATTAGAATCCTTGAGCAATTAAGTAAACACAATCCAATGAATGTAAAACCCTTAATGATAATCCTTCCTGTTAGAAAATAATGAATAGAATAAGTTAAATTATATTATTACTTAGATGTTAATTGTGATCATATTTGATTATCATTGATGATTATAAACGAACTCAGTTGAATGTAATCAAAGTGAATCAGTAAATCATTTAAACCCTCCACTAGGTTAGCATGTTAATAACCTTGATAATCAATATCTCCCTTTGAACTTCAATGATTAACACATCACCTCATCTCTGAGAATCAACCGGATATCCGGATGGTTTCATCTCTTTTTAAATGTTGCAACTTTTTTTTTCAGGCGTCGTTGAGAAAATTACCAAAATTAACCACAATCGCTTTTCTCTGACTAATTAGTAATTTACTCATTTGATCTCCATCAATATTTGCCAAGTCATCAACCAGTTTCATAGCTTTTTCCCCTTGTTCCTCTGAACATTACTCTAAATAAATACAAACAAGAATCGCCTGATTAATCATGTTGAATGATTTGGAATCATTTGAATAACAATTTGGTATTTATATTCACCTCTCAGGGGATATAAATCATGTCCCTCATGGTGTTTTGAATACTTGTCCATGTGTGGAAACATCAGTTACCATCCATAAGTAAATTACCATTGAGATTGAATTGATTGTGATGCCATGATGAACAAAAGGATTAATTCTTAATTTGGATTAAATTATTGTAATAGTTAACCTTGAATTATCTCTGGATCCATCTATGAATGTTAAAAGGGGGAAAATTAAGACAAGAAATTAATTATTTGTTCACTTTCAAGAGTCTTGTTTACATATGAAAAAAAAGGAGGATTGATTTGCCTTTACAGAGATCAACACTATTTCAACAATAGAGATGATTGATCAGAATGATTGAAGAAAGAGAAAAAACCAGCAATTAAAAGTAAAGATAATTGTTTAGAAGAGGAAAACTGATAATTAGGAAAAAAAAAGTAATCACCATAATGATTGTGACAACTGAGAAATTACAACAACCAATTAACCAGAGAAATGAAAAACACTCAGAAATTGTGATGATGATTAAGACACAAGAGAGATGATTAAGATGACAGAAATTGAGAAGAATTAACTTGCCAATCAACAATCTACGGAATACCAATTGATGATTAATAAATTAAAATCGATGAGTAATTAAATTGTGAACAAATTGTGAGTTAATCAAATGTAAACATGAAAGAAAACAAAACAACTTTTTTTTTCCTTAGAGACAAAGACAATTGACTAATCAAAGAGATCGAAATAAAAAGAGCGGGAAAAATAAAGAAAAAAATTTCTCGAAAACTTTGGACAATAATTGATTCGCTTTTTTAATTATCCAACTAATTTACTTTTAAATTGCGATTAGAATCAATTTAATTGTTACTTTGAGAAAGAAAAAGATTGCTGTCAGATTTTGTTTGAATTTCTTTTAAAATCTCCAATGTTTCATGACGATATTTACTTTGTGATTGTTAATCAATTTCAAGAATTAATTAATTACCGATTATTAGATCATCGCTAGTTAAATGGTTTCTTAATATATACTTACAATTAATCATCATCTCTCTCATTATTTTGTTATCCATGTTTAACTAACATACTTTATTACAAGGTCGCTATTTAGTTAATCATCAGCATCGCAATTACAACAATCAACTTTTTCCTATGTAATTGTTTGGTCTTGTTGTATTTACTTATGAAAATGTATTACAATTTTAATCATGTGTTTATCATCATTAAATTGGTTAAACAGGTTAATAGGTGATTCTATCATGTTGATTGTTCTTGATTGTTGCACTAATCATTAAATTATAAACTTAAACAATTGAATCAATTGTGAAAATTAAACATATTTAACTGACCAGTTTTTGTTTCCCATCAATTCAAATTGTATTTGTTTCTAATTGTTGACTTTTCTGTTTTATTATTAATCATAATTGGGTAACAAATTGTTGATTAACAAGAAAATAATCAATGTATATAAATATTGTAACAATTTAGCCTTGACTTGATTTATGATTAAATCAAGGAAGTCTTGTTAATTGTTGCTTGCATGTCAATTTGTTGATTATGTTCAAAGTCATTCTCTAATCATCATTATTACAATCAACTTTTTGACCTTAATTAACGAGAATATATTTATATTAATGATAATAATATTAACAAGGAAAATCAGAAAATACAGAACAATTAAACCTAATTGTAAATACTACTAGTACTAAATATGATTAAAGAATTAGTCTTTAACAATTTAGGAATTACTCTTTAGCTAATTAACTGGAAATTTACTATTTAGTGATTTAATTGATTTAATTTCTATGTCTTTATATGGAAAATGAGCAAGAAAAATATTAACTAGAAAATTAATTGTATAATTTCACGATTAATTGCAACAATTTAACAATCTAAAAATATCGCAACAATTAATTAATCAATGAATCATTGATTTTAATTTTAGCATTTCCATGAAAAGTTAACTAATCTCAATGGAGACAAAGTTTCAACAACAATTTACCAATAGTTATCAAAATTATCTGATTACTAGAAACAAATTTACCACACAATTTAAATTTGTTGCGTGTTAATCAACTTTAAATTGCAGGTAAATTACTAAATGATTAACAACAATTCAATGACCCAAGTTGATTGTAAACCCAAACAATCAACCAGAAAAGGTTGACAGTCCAATGAACGGACAGAAATTATCACAATCACATAGAGAAATGATCACAATGATTAAGTAATAACAAAGAATAGACCTGAAATCCTAATAATACTAATCATCACAATTTAATCACAATTACTTACTAATTTTAATTCTAATTATCTTAGAGTTAAACTAATGATAGAAATTGAAGAAAACAAAAAGTTATTATTAACTCTCATTGAGAGTCAAGGTTTTTGGGCGGTTTGATTATCATATTAGGAACCAGAGAGGATAAAAAGTGAACAGTATAATTAAACAATTATAAATTAGCAACAATTAGTTAATTGTAAGAAACTGAAATAATGATAATATTAAGAAAGAGCAAAAATGTAGAGAGAATAAAAAAAAACCGAAAAAGAGAATAATTTTTGTTTTCTATTGAGAAAATGATATTTTCTTATGACGTACACACAAAGATTGTTATTGTTGCTTAGCCTCTATTATTATGTTGATGATTGTGATCAGATGATGATGATAATCATCATCTTCATCATCAGTAATGGACCTGGGAACTGTGGGTCTATAACCTTAATACATATGAAAGATGAGGATGAGGAGATGATGATTATTGGGTTACTTTGAAAAGAAAAACTCTTTACAAAATGTCAGGTCAATGTGAAGATAAAGATGAAGATGAAGAGGGTTTCATGATGAAACAAGCATCATCATCATCATCATCATCCTCTTCATCCTCATCCTCATCATCTTCATCCACTGTCCAAGCCAAAACCAGTTTTCCTCGAGGTCATTTTTACTCTAAATCATCAGCATCTTCATCTTGATACTTTTTGTACAAAGACTTGGCCATTTACTTTGATTTAAGTGCAAAGTTTAAGCCCATTTTCAAGTTTACCTGGTTTGATAATAATCATCATGATTATCACAATTTAAATCAACAATCAACTCTCATCTTGTTAATCATTACCCTTAATTAACACACTTGGAGTATCATTCCTGTTAATCAGTTTTGTTGTTGTGATGATCATTTCATTGAAAATTACCTTCAAGGGTTAATTTTGTTTCTTTTGTTTTTAATTACTGATTCTTATGATTTAATTTAGTTCTCAAGATTGTTTATTATTTAATTTAATCAGCTAATTAAAGTTCAATTAAAGTTAACAGGATCTTCCCAATTGACCAGGAAGATATTAACAACATTGATATAATAGTTTTCTCCTCCAAAAACTAATACAAAACTTAATCAAAGTTAATTAAAACCATTAAAATATTATCAATCTAATTTTCATTGATAAATTGTTTCCCTTTATTTATTATCAATTACAGTTAATTGATTGGTTAATTCATTTAAATTCATAATATTGATTGTCTTTCTTAAGCAAACTGATTGTCAATTGTTGATTGTTGATTGTTATCCTTATCCAATTGATTGATTAAACAAAAATCTTGATTCGCTGTTAATTGCTCTTTCCATAATCAATTGTAAATGCTTATTTATTTGTTGATTGTTGTCAATTTTTGTTTCATCTTCAATATTATTATGTTATATTTATTATCATGTTCATCAATTTATGACAATTAGCAATTACAATTAACAGCCTTGTTTTTTTTTCATTCAATTGTCAATGATAAATGTTTATTTGGTTTAGTTTTCAATCAACAATATCAAAAGGGACGTGAGGTAATTATAATTAAAAAGAAAAGGTAACAATTAGCTTGATTGTTACCTTGATTGTTTAGGTACATTCACTTTGGAAACTTAATCATCATGTTAATCATGTTAATCTACGTTCTTGTGATTAACTCGATACGTGGGGTTAACAAAAGGCTATTAGAACTTTTTTTTTCTCGAAATTTATATTCATCAATTTCTCATGTTGATATTGTTGATCAGTAATCATTAGAATTGTAATGATTAACTAAAAACAATCAAACAATTAACAGAATTGTACATTTCTTAATCGATAATTAAAGTCTAGACTTGATTAAGAAGAAATTAAATTGTGATTAACTTATATTACGTTAATCAATTATATTGAATCCTGAATATTATCTTAATTGTAACATGTCATGCAAACATTTATAATAGTTAATTGTTGGTGTCATTAATCAAGGTTAGCATAATAATCTTGAGTGATTTATTAATTTGGTTTAAATCAGTGATTAGTTTTAAACGTCACACTAGTTGATCAAATGTAGAAGTTTTTTTTCACTCATTTTTCCTGTTAATTGTTTACAATTAGTTATAAAACTTATCATTTATTATGAAATTAAAGTTAATTCTTAATTATTAATACAGTTAGATTTTGGAAATTTAAATTCTGTGATTAGTGAAGACGATTAATGAATCATTCGTAATCAAGTAAATTGTTGATGGTTTAAGTTGTTGGTTTGTTTGTTTACTGGTTTAATCTTAATTGTTACTGTTTTAGTTGATTGTGTTTGGATATTAATGATAATCATGGGGATGATAATTGTGATTAATGATCCAATAGTTATCATGATAGGAGTGAATTAAATTTTAATAGTTTATCAATGATTAATTGTGATAATTTAACAACAATAGCAAAAAATATACTAATAGTAACACCCAATTATGGTTGGTTTTTATTGAGCAATTTAATTGTTGATTGTGATGATTAACATGACGATGATATTGAAAAAAAAAGGTGAATCACAATTGTAACAATTAAAATTAATGGTGACAATTTAAGATGACAAATATCATTTACTAATGAAAATTAAGTGTTGACAGTTTTTAGATGATTTTAATTTAGTTAATTTAGTTAATTTAGTTGTTTTAATTTTCCTTTTTGGTTGATTTGCTCGTATCATTTCAACACAATTAATTAATTGTTATTCATTGAATTAACTTGTTGTCAGTGTTTTTAATTGTCAAGATAATTAGCTGATTACTAGATTAACAGAGGAAAACATTAGTTTCCCTTGGTTATGTTTTAACAGTTAATTTAGTTTCCTGAAGATGATTAAAAAAACTTCAACCGATAATCAAACTGATTACTAATTAGCTACAGGAAATTAACAGATTAATCAACAATCAAATTACACGGTAATAATTACAATTAATCAAAGTTAACCATTAGTATAAAATTGTGGGATCATCGTAAGAGAAAGTTTTTCATTTCTCATCATGATCAACAATTAACAACAATTAAAGGTTCAGTTGAATCACTTAACTGTTTCAATAAGAATCAAAATAAAAAAAAGTCAACACAATTAACTGATTTCTTTGAATTGTAAGGTTTATACTTTCATCATTTAACTACAGTTAAGCAAAGAAGAGCAATTAAAATTAATTGTTACTTTTCACAAGTAAAAACAATTATCATCATTCAATTGTAATAGTCTGTTGATAATTAAGAAAAGTCAATAATCAAATAATCAAATCATCTGTCGTAATAAAAACAATTTAATCAACTATAATCATCTCAATAAAATTGATTCTTGATTCTTGATTCGCAATTGTTGATTGTTGATTCTTGAGGTTAATTTTGTTTGTTTTATTTACCAAAAGTTTTCAAGCTCCAATAATTAATATCATCGACACCACCCAACCCTCAACACCTCCCAGTTAATCATAATGATTAAGGAATCACGATGTTAATTGTTGTGATTTGAGGAGAAGATTAAATTGATTGGTTATTTTGGGAGAGAAAATTTTGATTGGTTGAATTGGAGAAAAATTTCTGGAGGTGATTTTTTTAAATCTATGTAACTAAAAGAGATTTAGTTTATTTAATCATTAATGTTTAATTCATACCCTTGCAATTTGTTTGAAGGATTGAAATAGATGAATGTCAAAAATTACATTTTATGAATGGTCAGTTTTTCAAGACAGTATCTTTAACTTTTTTGTTTACAAAGATCTTGATTTTGATTGACATTGGTGGGTATGTTTGGTGTATGTGTGTTTATGTATTGGAAAAATGTTGATTGGAATCTTTTCTTGACAGTAACAATATAAGAGGCTAAAAATGAGGGTTTATGGTGGAAAAGGTGAGAGTAGAGAGAAGAAAAAAAAAGAAATGGGAATATAAGGGATAGAAAAGATGGAATTATTGAAGGAATGTTTTTTTAAATCGATTTGGCAAAAGCTAAAGTGGTTTAGCTTAGAAACATTTTCTGTGGACAATTGATGGTCCTGATTCATCATATTCTTGTTTGGAGATCCACATTTGTTGGAAGGTGGAAAGTGAAGCTAAAATTGATCCTCCGATCCAGACGGAATATTTACGTTCGGGTGGGGCAATGATCTTAATCTTCATTGTGCTTGGAGCTAATGCAGTGATTTCTTTTTGCATTCTATCAGCGATACCTGAATATTCATAAATACAAAAAAAACGATTAGACGTTAAATTGGAGCATATGAATAATTAGTCTAAACAGTAAACAATGAAACATGACACATACCTGGATACATGGTGGTACCTCCTGAGAGAACAGTGTTGGCATAAAGATCTTTACGAATGTCAACATCACATTTCATGATGGAATTGTAAGTTGTTTCGTGAATACCAGATGATTCCATACCAAGGAATGAAGGTTGGAAAAGAGCTTCAGGACATCGGAATCGTTCATTTCCAATGGTGATAACTTGACCATCAGGTAATTCATATGATTTCTCAATGGATGATGATGATGCAGCAGTTGCCATCTCTTGTTCAAAGTCAAGGGCAACATAACAGAGTTTCTCTTTGATGTCACGAACAATTTCTCTTTCAGCAGTAGTGGTGAAAGAGTAACCTCGTTCAGTTAAGATTTTCATTAAATAGTCGGTCAAATCTCGACCAGCCAAATCTAATCGAAGAATAGCATGAGGTAATGCATAACCTTCGTAGATTGGAACAGTGTGAGAAACACCATCACCAGAATCCAAGACAATACCAGTGGTTCGACCAGAAGCATAAAGACTGAGAACAGCTTGAATGGCTACGTACATAGCAGGAGTGTTAAAGGTTTCAAACATGATTTGGGTCATTTTTTCTCGATTAGCCTTTGGATTCAAAGGAGCCTCAGTCAAAAGGACTGGATGTTCCTCTGGGGCAACTCTCAACTCGTTGTAGAAAGTGTGGTGCCAAATCTTTTCCATGTCATCCCAATTAGTAACAATACCATGTTCAATCGGATATTTCAAGGTTAAAATACCTCTTTTTGATTGAGCTTCATCTCCAACATATGAATCCTTTTGACCCATACCAACCATAACTCCTTGATGCCTTGGACGACCAACAATAGATGGAAAAACAGCCCTTGGGGCATCATCACCGGCAAAACCGGCTTTACACATACCGGATCCATTATCAACAACTAAAGCGGCTACTTCATCGTCACACATTTTGATAAGATTAAATTTAATTCAATTCAATAAAACTCAACGAATAAAAAAAAGAGAAAATATCAAAGAAGCAATAATTTAAAGGGCAAATATGCTCAAAAGAACAAAACACAAAGAGAACAAAACTCAAACACAAATTAAGGCGTAGAAACCAAAAGAAAATAGATGACAAACTGATAAACTAGAAACAAAGTCAAAAAGTGACAGAACAAAACACAAAACAAGTTCGATCACTAAATTGATTCACTGATTGTTGGAAGTGAAAAAAAAAGAAAACAACAAAACACAAATTGAAACAATTTACTTGACCAAATGTACTTATAAAAGTGACTCGACTAACCGAACATCAATCAACCTCTTTCATGGAATTTGCTCTCCAACCACCTGATGGCGCTCAGAGTAAATTCTCTTTCTCTTGACTCAAGTGGAGAGAAAGAGCTCGGGGAGGGAACGTCTCTTTATTTGGAATAAAAGTTGAGGGGAAAAAAGAGACAAAATGGGTGCGGTCATGGGGTGAAAAGAATTTCCTTTTATGGTAAAGAAAAAGTTAGAAAATCATCTCATTGGTTCATCTACAGTAACTACGCCTTTTTATCTTCATTTTCTTTCTCTCTCTTGTGTCTCTCATCTTTATTGCTTCTTTTTTGGGCATTTCTGTTGATTACCTGATATATAATAGTGAATGTCACTTGGATTTTCAATTTAAATTGTTTTGATTCTTTGTGTGTGTTTGTTGGTGCTCTTTGAGTTATTTTTTTATTTCTTCATCACCTTTTGCTTAAAATCAGTTCGTTGTTTTTAAAAATTTTTTTTTGTTCTTTTTTCAGTTGTAACATTTAACTTGAATTAAATTTAATCAAAATGTGTGACGATGAAGTAGCCGCTTTAGTTGTTGATAATGGATCCGGTATGTGTAAAGCCGGTTTTGCCGGTGATGATGCCCCAAGGGCTGTTTTTCCATCTATTGTTGGTCGTCCAAGGCATCAAGGAGTTATGGTTGGTATGGGTCAAAAGGATTCATATGTTGGAGATGAAGCTCAATCAAAAAGAGGTATTTTAACCTTGAAATATCCGATTGAACATGGTATTGTAACCAACTGGGATGATATGGAGAAGATATGGCACCATACATTCTACAACGAATTGAGAGTTGCCCCAGAGGAACATCCAGTCCTTTTGACTGAAGCTCCTTTGAATCCAAAAGCTAATCGAGAAAAAATGACCCAAATCATGTTTGAAACTTTCAACACTCCTGCTATGTACGTAGCCATTCAAGCCGTTCTCAGTCTTTATGCTTCTGGTCGAACCACTGGTATTGTCTTGGATTCTGGTGATGGTGTTTCTCACACTGTTCCAATCTACGAAGGTTATGCATTACCTCATGCTATTCTTCGATTAGATTTGGCTGGTCGAGATTTGACCGACTATTTAATGAAAATCTTAACTGAACGAGGTTACTCTTTCACCACCACTGCTGAAAGAGAAATTGTTCGTGACATCAAAGAGAAACTCTGTTATGTTGCCCTTGACTTTGAACAAGAGATGGCAACTGCTGCATCATCATCATCAATTGAGAAATCATATGAATTACCTGATGGTCAAGTTATCACCATTGGAAATGAACGATTCCGATGTCCTGAAGCTCTTTTCCAACCTTCATTCCTTGGTATGGAATCTTGTGGTATCCATGAGACTACCTACAATTCAATCATGAAATGTGATGTTGACATTCGTAAAGATCTTTATGCCAACACTGTTCTCTCAGGAGGTACCACCATGTATCCAGGTATGTGTCATCATGTTTCACTTGATTCTATTAGTCATTCTCTCTTCTCCTTCTACAATTACCAGATTTGTTAACTTGAAAATTTATTCAATGTTGAGATCATTCATGTTCTTGTTGATAGAAATGATTATTATTCATAAGTTGCAATCTTTATTCTAACTCAACGTCTAATCTTTTTTTTTTGTATTTATGAATATTCAGGTATCGCTGACAGAATGCAAAAAGAAATCACTGCATTAGCTCCAAGCACAATGAAGATTAAGATCATTGCCCCACCCGAACGTAAATATTCCGTCTGGATCGGAGGATCAATTTTAGCTTCACTTTCCACCTTCCAACAAATGTGGATCTCCAAACAAGAATATGATGAATCAGGACCATCAATTGTCCACAGAAAATGTTTCTAAGCTAAACCACTTTAGCTTTTGCCAAATCGATTTAAAAAAACATTCCTTCAATAATTCCATCTTTTCTATCCCTTATATTCCCATTTCTTTTTTTTTCTTCTCTCTACTCTCACCTTTTCCACCATAAACCCTCATTTTTAGCCTCTTATATTGTTACTGTCAAGAAAAGATTCCAATCAACATTTTTCCAATGCATAAACACACATATATACACACACCAAACATACCCACCAATGTCAATCAAAAGCAAGATCTTTGTAAACAAAACAAAATGTCACCTAGAAGAGAGAAACTGTTTTATGAAAAACTGATCATTCATAAAATGTAATTTTTGACATTCATCTATTTCGATCCTTCAAACAATTAATACATAAAAAAAAACTTTAGGTCAAACAATCGGGAAGGTATGACTTCACCTCCAAATTGATTTAAAAACAATAAAAAAAACTAAATCTCTTTTAGTTACATAGATTTAAAAAATCACCTCCAGAAATTTTCTCTCCCAAAATAACCAATCAATTTAATCTTCTCCTCAAATCACAACAATTAACATCGTGATTCTTTAATCATTATGATTAACTGGGAGGTGTTGAGGGTTGGGTGGTGTCGATGATATTAATTATTGGAGCTTGAAAACTTTTGGTAAATAAAACAAACAAAATTAACCTCAAGAATCAACAATCAACAATTGCGAATCAAGAATCAAGAATCAATTTTATTGAGATGATTATAGTTGATTAAATTGTTTTTATTACGACAGATGATTTGATTATTTGATTATTGACTTTTCTTAATTATCAACAGACTATTACAATTGAATGATGATAATTGTTTTTACTTGTGAAAAGTAACAATTAATTTTAATTGCTCTTCTTTGCTTAACTGTTGTTGAATGAAAGTTTGTCAACAGTAAATTCAATCAATTGAAACCTTACAATGAAGACTAATCAGTTAATTGATTGATAATATGTTTTGGAAAAATTGAATCAAATCAATCGAATCAGATGATTAATGAAATTGTAACCCAACCTTATGAATTAACAATCAAGTAAATTGTTGTTAATCAGAAGGCAAAAAAACACTTACACTTTAAATGAACAAATTTAGTAAATGAATGAATGAGTTGAATTATAATTCTCGTTGATTGTTAGACTGAAACATAAACGTGATAAATGAATTTGTTTTAAATGATTATTAAGATTCTAATTATAATTATAATCATCACAATGATAATGATGATTAACTTTGAGGTGTTAATTTGAATCGATTAATTGTTTAGTAGAAATTCAATATTCCATCAATTACTTGATCGGTTTTCGGCTGATTTGTTTAATCAATTTTCCACAATTAAAATTTCCTTCTGTCAATAATCACAATCGAAAATGGTTCAATTAAGATTAGAGGATTTAATTGAATCGAATGGTAAACAACCACCTGTCAGAATAATAGAAACAATTAACTAATCACTTTTAAATTGTCCTTCGGATTTCCTGGCAAAAAATCATAAATCAACTGGTTGATTATTGATAAGCAACAATTCAAAAAGGATACGAGATTATCTTTGATTAAATTATGACAATTTCCACATAACCTAATAAAGTTAATTAAATTGTTGCCGGTAAGTTGATCAATCTCTAAATGATGATTAGTTTATTGATTTAATTAAAGAATTGATTTAATTGTTTTCGTTGAAAATGTTAACCCAATTCATCAAGTGAATTAGGTTTCAAACCTAATGGTCAACAACAAGATGTTAATCATCGTAGTAATTGCAATTGATTTTGGTGACAACAATTTACTTTGATTGTTGTTAATTAAATTGTTTGATCATTTAATGAGAACCATTGATGTTATCGATTCCATTTGATTAGAGAATTGAGAAAAAAGTTCAATTTGTTTGGCGAAAAGTATTGAATAAGAATTTGGAAAATCAAATTAAAACTTTAATCAAGAATTTTGATCAAATTAACGATTACATAATTGTATAAATGAATGAGCGGAACATTTTGTTTTAGTAACAATTAACAAATTGTGATGTATAACAATTTATTCAGACTATGAATGATTATCAGGATGATTTTCAAAGGCAACCATTTGCTTTTGCTTGATTTTTGATAGTCTTGGAATCGTTTAATTGATTTAATTTGTCTCAATTATCTTCCAAATTACTCTTCTTTCCTTAATTCATTTAGTTAATTGTTCCAATTAATCTAATTCTTTGCCAAGTTTATTTTCCTCCCATTTAGATAGAAACTCAATGACCGAAGTGTGATTAAAACGTTTCGCTTCATCTAAAGGTGTGTGTCCCCATCTAAATCGTGAAACAAAATAGCAGATTAATTTTAATTGTTCTAACGAAAACAAAATAGTCAATTAACAGTTAATCGATTACCTATCAGATGGATGAGGTTGAACTTTACAAACTTTCAACAAAAATTCAACACAAGGTAAATGTCCCTCAGAAGCTGCTAAGTGTAGGGCTGTTCGTCCATCGTAATCACTTAATCCCATCTCCATTCCGGATAAATAGTACCTGGAATAATTAAGTTAACATTGATTACAATTAGTAAACTATTGGCAAGTAAATTGTTGATATTATTTTACCTTCGCATCGCAGAAACATCACCAGAACTTGCTGAGAATAGAAGACTAACAATTTTCAATCCTTTCGTTTCGAATCGTTGTCTTCGTGGATCCTTTTTGTGAGGAACATGTCGCAAATTGTCAAAATGATGGAAATTAAATATTTTAACTAATTCCCGACAAAATTCAAGACCACGAACAGAATTACCATAATTATCTAATGGTGGTGACCATAAGCACATTCCCATTACATTTGGTACAACGACCATTGTACATCCAGAAACACCTTTGGACAATTAAAATCAATAGAAAAGGAAAATTAATAATTTAGAAAAAGCAATTTGATTGAAACATTAAATTGTTCAAATTTATATTCTAAGTTAAGTAATAATAGATGACAGCACTTAACAAACGATAAGTGATTGAATTGATCAATTACAAACCTGATTTCGCAGGTAAACCAACATTGAATGCGAACTGTCCAGAATAGTCGTACATGCCACACGAATGCATTAGCGAAAGGACATCACGAACGGCCTGACTTGAGATCACCCGTTGACCTGTAATTGGACAGATTCCACCATTGGCTAAAGTAGCAGCGATCACCGAGACCGTTGGACAATTAACTTCTAATGAGCACATCTAATTAGGTAAAGAGGAGAGAGAAAAGTTTTAGTAAATCAGATTGGATCAAATTTTTTTTTCGACAAATTTTTACCTGGAAGTAAAAGTCCATCACCTCTTTGAGATTTGCTTTTTCAGGGAAACATTTATTTTCCTTCATATAATAGCCGATGGCATAGTTACGATCAGCGGCCTCTCTTTCCGACAGGAAAGTGGCATTACTAAAGCCAAGATATTCATCTCCAGCCATTGATTTAAAGTAATTACAAACCCAATCAAATTTTTCAGAAACTCTCATCTCGGGCTATTGTTTGAAACAAAGAAACATGGAAATAGATTAATTGTCTGAATGAAATGATTTTTCAGTTACTCACTTCAACCATGTAAAGTAACAATGAGCAAATAACAATCGCACCCGCATTGACCATTGGATTGTGAGGTTTATTGTCGTGATCGAGAACCAGTTCATTGAACATTCGACCTGAAGGTTCTTGGCCAACATATCGATGGACAATATCAGCTCCCAATTCACTTAAAGCTATTGCATAGTTAATCGGTTTACCACAAGATTGAATTGTAAACGGAATCTCGGTGTCACCGATGGCATATCGTTGACCATCAATTGTACACAATGTGACACCCCAATAATCTGGATTGTATTTAGCTAATTGTGGAATGTAATTGGCGACTTTGCCACCAGTTAAAGCTTTACAATTCCAATAAGCGTCTTCAATTTGTTTACAAAATTCCTGGAACTCGGGGATGACAAAATGATGACGAAGAGCTCGACTGATTAGGACAATATTTTCCCTGATGACCGTTTTAAACGTTTCCCGATCAAGTGAAAGTGCCTCAAATGAACCAGCGTCTTGTTTAGCCTTCCAAATGACGTTTAATTTACTAACAATTTCCTTTAATCGAGGATCAGTGACCCGAAGTCCAGTTGCCGAAAGAGCGGAGAAAAATTTATTAACACTAACGGTTCCATTGGAATCTTCAAACATTTCAAAGAGAACATCTTCCGTTGATTTATTGGCTGTTTTAATACCACTGAAAGAGAAATAATATTGAAACAATTAGAGTTAATCATTAGAAAAATTAATATAGAAAGAGAAAAAAAATTCTCATTGTTATTGTTTCAAAAATCCAAAGAAAATCAGCTGATCTATTGGTTTATATCTGCAAGTTTCGTTGATTTTTAGATTAAATTGGAAACATTCTCTCAATAGAGTGATGAACAATCAAGAATTTTTGATTAGAAACAATTAAAAACAGAAGAGAATTAAAATCAATACAGTTAATTAAATGTTAACCTTACGATCTCAATGTTAAGGTTTCATTCAACTCACCGAGATTAAAACAGATACTTAATCAAAGATTATTAGAAGGAAATAATTTAGCAAATTCACAGAGAGAAAACTCAGAGGTGACTAATTAATTACAATAAATTGCTGATACAAATGATGAAATTAAATTAGAAATTAACTGAGATTAAGATTAACAAGAACTGGAAGAAAAAAAATTAAAGGTAAACATTGAAAATCTTTTGTTTATATTGAAAGAAACGAAAGTCATGTGACTTAAAAGCTCCAAAGGTAACTCAATGTTGATTGTTTTCTAATTTGTTAATTGACTGATTTACTTTTTTAATAATTGTGATGATTTACCTTTTAATTGAATTTGGATCGTCGGGTGAAGTTTCCTTTGTTTGAAGAAATTCCTCCGGTGGCATAAAAACCTTATCTGTTTGGGAGCAAAATGACCTAAAGGTGAGATACAATGATGAATATCCTTTGATCCCATTTGCATGTTGATTGATTAACTGATTGTTACAATTTGTAAACAGATTTAAATTGTTAAGGAAATGATGCCCACAGGGATGGAGATTAAGCTGAGAAGGAAGAGAGAATTGATTACGATTGGAATCACAATCAGAATCAAATGGATAATTAATCAATTGTCGTCGAGTTGAACAACTCTCACCAATGGATAATTGTGTTGATAAACTTGATGATAATGATAAAGATGATGATGATGATGATGATGATGATGAAGCCCACCGGTGGGCAGAGTTACCAGATTTTGTTTTATTACCAACCTGATGGACCAATCGACCTGCTTTAATTAACATGAGTGGATTTGGTACATTATTGGTCATCATTGTGATCATTTTCTGACCTCTTTAAGATTAAGTTTAGATTTATAATCCACACTGAAGATTTGAGATTAGTCTCCACCATCAACGAATTAATCTGCCGTTAAATTAGCCGAATTAAATGAACGAGTTAATTGCTGTGTTAACAATGATTCTCACCTAATGGTTAACATTGAATCAAATTCTGTTTTCTGGTAATTCTGCTGATTCAACTCGCTGCAACTACTTTTACTCTCGACCTGTAACCAGAGGCTGCTCCATGGTTTCATGTTCATGATGACGAGCATGATGATGCTCAGGATGATAAGGATGATGACGATGATGATGATAATCATTATGGTGTTTCCTCAATTATAATTCACACAAAAAAATGATAAACAACGAGAATAACGAAAGTCTAATGATCGATATTTTTAGTTCTCTCAACAATCAGAGATGCTGCTGATGAAAATTCAATTGGTTTCCATGATTAAATGATAATCACAATCATCTAATTATCCAAATCAACAAATTCGACCACAATCTGATTATATTATTTTCTCATCTTCTTTCTAAATCATCAATCAAAATGATTCTCCATTAGAAATCAAATTTCGAGATTCTAATTAGTCAAATTACCTTAATTACTGTTGAGAAATTATCGAATCTTTCGAATCTGATTAACAACAATTGAGATAATTTAACTTTTAATCGATTGTGTAAGAAAGAGAAAGAAATTGTTAATCATTGAAATGATGATGATTGGAGACAGTTGATTGTTTCTAAATAATTAATTTTCTTTTAATTGCCAACATTTAATATGATTATATATTATTGTTTGAATATATATTTTGTTTTTCTTTCACTTAAATGGCAGCTTACAGATACTGAGAGAGATTTGAATTCAGATTCAATTACAATTTGGGATTAACAAGAATTTGTTATTTGTAACACGTTTCATTGATGAGAATAATAATTAATTGATTGTAATAATAATAATGTTTCGAGATGATGATGAGAGAGAGAGAGAAAAAAAAGATAAATGTGCAAGACAAAGCAAGTGAGAAAAGGCCAATGGTGATTATCAATGTGAATTAAATCAAAAATAAATTGGATTACACACATATTAAGAGATTAACATATAATGTAACTGATTAATAATTTAAATTATCTTTTTCTTTTCCTTTTTCATCATCGTCATCATCATCATTCCGATGATGGCGGTGGTGGTGGTGGTGGTAGTGGTAATAGTAAAGTTGGTTGATGGTTTCCATTCATTAAATATATGTAACACTTTTGTTTTGGATGACAGTTAATTGGTGTTTTTGTTTGTTTGGAGGGGTAATTGAGATTTTAAGAGATCATTGATAATTATAATTTCATGTTGATTAAAATGCAAACAGACAATAGTTAATCAACATGATAAACAATTAAAGTGGAGTCAATGATAACTCAAAAATATCTCTGAGAAAAAAAAATCAAAAAATATAAAGTAATGTGGATAATATGAAGAGATGGAGGGTGACAATTAATGGTATGAGTGAGTTATTGAGTGGATGATAATGATGATTGTGATGATGATGAGATAATGAACATCAAAAATATTCAATTAATTGTTTACAATGTTAATTATTAGAACAAGTGAGTGAGAGAAACAATGAAGAGCAAAAATATTGGTCAATGAATAACATTTGAGATGATTAATTATATTATTTGTTGAGTTAGATTTAAATAGGCAACACGATGGTGTCTTCAAGGTGAGAGAGAGAGAGAGGAAAAGTTAAAGGTTATCAGAGGAAGACAACATGGAGGTTTTTTTTTGTTTATCATGTGCACAGGGATCAAGATGCGACAGAACAGCGACAAAATCGATCCAAAAAGTCTTGTCGTAATTAACGGTTGTGGTAAATACAACAATGTGGACAAGACCCGATTCAATAATAACAATTGTCTTTCTGTGTTAAAATTTACAGAGATTTATCTGTCCACCCTGTTAATCAGTATATCACAATATGAATAAGTAAATGTGGTTAGGTCTTTTGTGAGTGTTTACACTTGGTGTGTGTGTATGTGTGCTTTTCTTTGTGTAGATCATTTTGTAGTTGCTGCCGATGAATAAGCAGGATTAGCTGCGGCTCCCGCTCCATGAACTTTCATGTGAGCAGATCGAGATTTGACCTTGGAAAAAACTTTACCACAAACTCGACATGGAAAAAGTCCAGATTTCTCTTTACTATTTCCTACTACAACTCCTCCAATTGGAGTTGCTGAGGTCGTAGTTGAACTGACCGATGAAGGTGAGGCATTCATTGGTGAATCGATGGACAGAGCATCATCATCTCCGTCAACAGCACTTTTATTATCGACATCATTATCTTCCGTTTCCTCTTCTTTGGTAACAACTGGGTTACTATAGAAAAGACCTTCTTGTTCCTTACGACGACGAACGATTCGTAGTCTTTTGTACTCTTCGGGACAGATTTTCTTCCATAGATAATAAAATTGTATACATTCTTTAACAGTTTTAGTTTCAACCTTTAATAGAAAAGAGAAAAAAAAAGAAAACATAATATCAATTAATCAATCAATTGTCTATTTTAAGTATCAACTGTTGGTTTTGTTTTCCATTTGTCTTGAAACAGTTAAACATGAAGGAGAAAACAAAATAATAGGTTAGGCAATTGATGAGAATAAGGGGAAAAGGAGAGATAGAGAAAAATAAGAGAAGGTGAAAGAGTGAACTTACTTTCTGAGCGATAGCATTAAAATCTTTATCAAATTTAATTAGAGCTTGATAATAGAGATTAATTTCTTCTTGTGACCAAACATCACTTTCTGGATATTGATAGTCTATCAGTGGATGATCTGGTTTTAATTTGATTGGATCTGTGTTTAATAATTTACTAATTGCTTCCTCGAGATCACCATCACATATATTGAGTAAATGTAATGCAAATTCAATATTACGACCTGCACCAGGAACACAACTTGAACAAGCCAATTCTAGATAATAATCAAGATCCTCTGATTGGTTTAATTTATCTAAAACAATGGGATTCCAAACAAGATCAGCTCGTTCTCGACGATAACGTTTTGATATATCAATTTTATCGCCAATGTAGGCTGGAATTGAGGCTTGATATGAGGAGCCAATGTTTACATGTGGTTGAATATCACTTTCCGATGGTAATAGATCCAAATTGTAAGGGGAATCTGGTTCATAAGCCGTGGTGGGAGTTGATGAAATGATAAGCTCGCTTGATTTGGAACAGAAAATTTCCTTAACATTGCTGCTTTTAATGATAACACTATTATTGTTATTGTTGTTGGTAATGTTGTTGTGTATAATAGTTGATGTTGAATTGATTGTTGAATTATTTGCATTATGATGTTGGGTTGCTGTTGCTGTTGTTGTTGATGTTGTTATTGTTGAATCAGAAGACGTTGCAGAAACATTATTTGCACTAGAATCATTTAATTGTAAATTAACAACACTCGTGGGTGGTTCACATATTGATGTTGTTTGAGACAAACTTTTCCTTGAATTAATGAAGGTACCAAGATTTGCCGATTTTGGTGTCACATTGCCGTTACTGATGATGGCCCAGTAAAGACCAGAACCTTTTCTCAATGGTGAAAGCATGGGTGGTGGTGTATATGGTGGAGGTGAACTTTTGTTTACATCATGCGATGGCAATGAATGAAGTCCAGTTGGATCCCAAAGACGAGGTGACCTTAACCTGGACGCATACTGACCGAATGCGTTAACGTGAGGTGGTATGTACAATGGTTCGGGCTTATGCTTTGGCCTTTTAGGGGATGATCTCTCATCGACCGGGGTCACCTTGATAACGCTACTTTTATTGGTGATTACAGATGTATGTAAGGGTGAACAGTTAACTGGCTGAGAAGTGGACGTGATTGTTGTTAAATTGTTGTTGTTGTTGTTAACGATACTTTTATAATTATTATCCTTTAGATGATTAATGGAAATATGTTGATTACTACTTTTAGGTGATGTTACCGGTGAAATGGCGGCGGGATTTATAAAAACATCATCATCCTCATCTTCATCATCTTCGTCGTCATCATCTTCATCATAGGAAACTCCAATGTGCTCATCTTTACCATTGTTACCAGAAAAAGTATCATCATCGTCAATCTCTTCATCATCCTCATCATCATCCTCGTCAATGTCTTTTGTTTCTTCAGGTGAAAGGTTTATGACTAGATTGGAAGAGGAGCTTCTCAGTGTTGAGCGTGGGGTGGGCAAGTCAGAGCCAAAAGGTAAACTTGATGTATTATTATTGATGTTGGAAATGTGTATTAACACAGTATTGTTATTATTGTTATCGATATTCAAATGATTACTGTTAGTATTATTGTTGTAGTTGGAATTAGTATTATTATTACTGGTTGAATTAACAAGAGAACACGAATTAGATTCCATCAACTCATTACCATCGATCTTATTGGATGAAGTACCGTTGGAAGAATTGAAGACGGAAGTTGATTCAATAACTGGTGTTGCTGCTGAGGTTGGTGTTGTTGATAGATTAATGGTACTAGTGATTCGGGTAATGGTATCGCTACAAGTTTCCTTATCTTTACGTTCCTCTTTGAACAGATTACTTTGCACATAATGGGCTTCCACAAATGATTCACCTTTTCCTCTATGGACATTTATACCCTTCCCAGATCGGTTACGATGAATTTGACCTTCGCTGGTCGTTGATGGAGGTGATGAAGTATTGGTAATTGTAATACTTGGAAGAGGGTGTGAACCTTGTTGGTGTTGATGATGTGAATGGTGAGAGTGTTGAGGTTGGTGAAGATGTTGATTGTGAAGTTGGTGTTGATTGTGATGATGATGGTGATGATGATGATGATGATGCCTGTTAAACTGAATTGCTGCAGTTTGCTGTTGATGGTGAGATAGTTGCTGGTGTTGATGATGATGTTGCTGTTGAACCTGTTGGTGATGTTGTTGTTGTTGTTGTTGTTGATGTTGTTGGTGATGGTGAGTGTTTTGAGAATGATGTGAATGATGATTTGATGAAAGATGTTGAGAAAGAAGATGTTGTTGTTGATTTAAATGGTGTGTACGTTGATTTAGATGGTCAATTAAATTATAATTCACAGAGGGGCCATCCAATGATTGCGCGTCGAGATCATCATTAGGAAAAAAGCTTTGAGATTTGTTGGTGGAGACTAAAACTAGTTGGTCACTATGGTCACTACTTTGTTGTTGAGTTGCATCAAGATGCGATGATGATACTTGTTGTGTGTAGTTTGTTGAGTTTTGTGTGTTTTTCTGTTTCTTTAGAGGGATGATGATGATCAGAATGAGAAGAAGAAGATAAAAAAGAGAGAGTCAGTTAGTTGGAGAAAAATAAAATAGAATAGATAGTAAACTTGGATACGGAATGACCTAAATTGGTTTACAAGTTTTTTCGGGCTGCCATTGTCACGATGCTGTCCATTAACAAGAAATGAAAAAGGCTCACCAACCAAACGAGTAAACGGATAATTATCCAATCCTGTTCTACTTTTAATCCAATTCACTGAAAATATACATACGCACACAAATTCAAACACACACTTGTAAGCTCGGTGAGTTGCAGTTTTTACTATAGTAAATTTTGTGTGTGAGTGTATTCGAGTGAGTAGGTACACTCACTGAGTGAGCGTATGCATTGCAAATGAGTACTGGTTGCGAAATGGATACACCGTAAATAGTTGGCCCGTCTACCCCTACACTGATTCAAGCTATTGAACTTGCGGTTCTCTCTCACATACACTTGTTCTCTCTTCTTCCTCCTCCTCTCTTCTCTATCCCCATTTAACATTTTCGCTTCATTTTTTTTTCTCTCTCTCTCTCTCTTTCTTTCTCATATCATTCTCATCACTTTACGAACTTACTCAACGGGTATTGAGGCTAGTTATGAATGGAATTTTTTCCTCATGCTTGTTGCAGTTTTACTTGAAATATTTGATTCAGTTATTCTCTTACTCACAAACAAAATGACAGCAAGTAAACAATTTTTGCAACGATCGACAGCAAAACAACCGGTGGCTCAACCTGTTGTTGTAATTGATAATCAGCATTATTTTATTCAAGTTAAATAAATTCAAGTTGATACTTGTGCACAACTAAAAAACGAAATAGCTTCTTCTGATGACTAAATGCAAAAGGTAGAGAGTAGGAAGATAGAGAAATAACATGAGAGTGGAACAGGAAGGCAAGAAAGAGATAGAGAGAGAGATGAAAGAAAGAGCAGATAAAGGGGTGACTAAATACCTTATGTTGTTGTTGTTGTTGTTGTTGGTGATGGTGGTGATGTTGATCATGATGCTCTTGCTCATGATCTGTTGATATTTGTTCAATTAACGATTCAACTTCAAAATTAACAAAATTAACATCATGGCCATTAACGATTACACTGGTTTCTTCATTGGATTCGTAGTTCATTTCTTCATAAATAGGTTGGAGACTTGGTTGTCCTTGTTGCTGTTGTTGTTGTTGTTGTCCATTTGATGGTAGTGAGGGGGTGGTTGGTGTTGTTGGAGGTGGTAATTCTGTTGGAGGATAATTAAAAACAGGAACATTGGAAGGATTATTTGTTGTCATGTTATAAGATGGACTGGAATATGAAACTGAATTTTGTTGTTGAGCTGGAAAATTCAACTGCATTTGATTATCAGTTGGTGTTGAAGGTAAAGATGCTTGTTGTTGGTGATATTGTTGAACTTGATGTGGACTAAAGGAAAATGAATTTGTCTGTGTGGGTGTGCAGGGTAAAGATTGATTGAAATGGTTGGCGTGAGTTGATATTTGATGAGATACAGCAGGAGAAAGTAATGGATTGAGATTCGTCGGAGTGTTTGGCACTGAGTGCGAATGAATTTGATAATTATGATGATGATTTGTAGTATTTGTAGTTGTAGTAGTGGTTGTAGATGTTGTAGTAGTAGTAGTTGTGGACGTCGTAGTGTTATAATTATTATTATTGTTGTTGTTGAAGTGATGATGAGGTGAATGTGGATAAATTTTATTTACATTGATGGTTAACAAATTATTATTTGCCGTCGTGGTATCATTATTATTACTGACATTAGAATTATTATTATTATTACTATTTCCACCACAACCTCCGCCGCCAAGTAATTGGTTCAGTTCTTGACTCCAATTTCCACCTTGAAGTACACTAACTACCTGTACGTTGTTGTTGTTATTATTGTTGTTGTTGGCATGATGATTTTCTTTATGTCTCCTTAAGCTTCTTGCATCACAATAGGTTTTCTCACATCCTTCCACATCACATTCGAATGGTTTTTTATCCCGATGAGTTAACATATGACCATTTAGATGATCCTGACGTTTAAATGCTTTTGCACAAATATTACAAACAAATTTACGTTCATCACTGTGGATCAATTTATGTTTAGAAAGTGCACTTCGATTACTAAAATCTTTACCACATTCTGAACATTGTGGACGAACTGGTGGACCAACATTTTTAATCCTTCGCTTTTTCATCGGGAAACCTGTTTGCGGATCAATACCATCATTATGGCCATTTGAATTAACCAATTTACAATCTGGATTATTTGATTGCAATGCCGATTCCATGCGACCATAAACAACAGACAGGGTGTGGTAATTACGTTGATTAAGTCCATCACCAAGAAGCTCCTTAATTTCACTTAACAATTGATCCTCAATCTCGGTCATAATTGCAAATCAACAATCATGAAACCAAACGAATAACTTTAGTAACATAACAACACAACAAAGATAAAAGAGAAAAGATAAAAGATAAAATCGAAAGGCAAAATATAATTTTTATATTATTTTCTTTTCTTTTGCAAAATGTTAATTGATTATAAACATTTTCTTTTTCGTTTCCAACATTTTACCAACACACTAGAATGACGAGAATGGAACAAAGTAGTTTTCTTTATCTCTCAGAGTTTTTTTCTTCTTCTCTTTTTTTGTTTCTTCTCCTCTTTCTCTTTAGAATAGAAATGACGTCATGGTAACGAATCAGCCAATGGGATTTATTTTCTTTTTCCCTCTTTACCAGAAAAAAGGGAGAAGAAAAAACCAGCTTATTTAGTGGTTTCTCTTTTCTCTTTGTTGAAACTCTCACAGTTCTCAGGATCGCAACGAGAGAATTTCGGTGTCGCCACCTGTTGTGGGGAATCGAATGTTCTTCCAATGGTCAGGGTCACATGTGTCTGGGAATAGAAAGAGGAACAGTTGAAGAGCCTGAGAAAAGGGATCATCATAAAAGAGAATTTATTTATCTTCTATTTTAACTTGGCTTTTCTCTTCGTTTTGTTACCTTAGTTTGTTTTTTTCTTTCTTTCTTTTTCTTCTTGGTCTCTTCTTGTTGCAAATATGTTGCGGTTGTTTAATCTTCCATCGTTTAGGTCTATCGCTGTGAGAACTTATTCTGCTGTTGCTGGTGGAGAGAAGCCACTTGCCATGCCGGCGGTTGATTTCGATCCTAAATTACATGAAATTGTGGATAAGATTGAGAAATTAACACTTTTTGAAGTATCAAATTTGAATCAACTTCTCAAAACGAGATTAAATATACCAGAGACTACAATGATCGGCTCCATGCCTTCAGTTTCTGCTGCACCAGTTGAGGTAGGATCTTTTTTTATTAGTCTCTTCTTCTGATCTTATTTTTGATGTGTGTTTTTTTTTCTTCCCTATTTTCAGGAGCAAGAAAGCGATGAACAGACGGTTAAAGCGGTAAAATCAGCATATACCGTTAAATTGGTGAAATTTGACGAAACTAAGAAAGTTGGCCTAATCAAAGAAATCAAAACATTAATTTCTGGTCTCAACTTAGTCCAAGCAAAGAAATTTGTTGAATCAATACCCCAAGTGGTGAAAAGTGATCTTTCCAAGGATGAAGCAGAAAAACTAAAAACACAATTGGAATCATTAGGAGCAACAGTCTCAGTGGATTAATTTGTAACATAAAAAAGAGAATAATCCAAATCAGAATTAGAAAGAAAGAATTAGATGAAATTGTATGACCATTGCGACTATTAAATTCAAATTTTGTGCAGAATTTTTTTTCTGGTTCAATTTGTCTTTTCCAATCAACAGGTGGCACCACAGTCTTGGTAAAAGTCACTCGCTTGTTTCATTTGAAAAAATGTTCTTGTTTTTGTTGTTATTCTTTCATCTAAACTGGTTGTGTTGAGATGAGCTGTAATATTGCCACCCTTTTGGAGGCTGCTGAATACCTGGAGAGACGTGAAAGAGAAGCGGAACATGGCTACGCGACAACTGTACCACCTAAATATGATCTCAAAAGTAATTCTAATAAGTTATCTAAATTAAAAAAATCTCAAGGCAATAGATCGACTCATAATGAATTGGAGAAAAATAGGTGAGTTTCTTTCTTTTTCTCTTTTATCTCTTTCTTCTTTTCTTTCACATTTGTAAAGAGAGTGAGAACAAATTGGTTACTTTTCTAATCCTTTTGTTTTCCAATTTCTCTTGTCTTTATTTTCTTCTAGACGTGCACACCTGCGAAGCTGTTTGGAATCCTTAAAAATCCTGGTTCCTTTAGGACCTGAGGCAACTCGCCACACAACACTTGGACTTTTAAATAGAGCTAAAGCCTTCATTAAGGTGCTTATTTCTACTTACTTCTTTCTCTCTCCCTCTCTGTCTTTCATTCTCATTCTCTTTCTCTTTGACTCTTTATCTCTCTTTCTTTCTCTTTGATTCTTTCTCTTTCTCTTTCTCTTTTGATCAATTTGTTTATCTCTTTCTTTCTTTCTTTCTTTCTTTCTCTCTCTCTCTCTCTCTCTCTCTCTCTCTCTCTCTCTCTCTCTCTCTCTCTCTCTCTCTCTCTCGCTAATTTTAGAATTTGGAGGAGAAAGACAAGAAACAACAATTCCAAAGGGAACAATTGGTTCGGGAACAGCGATACCTTTTACGGCGTCTAGATCAACTTCAAGAGCATCTACGGAACAGTACAAGCACGCACAGAATACGAAGTATTAGTGAATCCAGTTCGGGTATTTCTTCCGCTTCCAATTCACCAACTTCTGAAGTAGGTTAGTACAAAAACCTTTTTCTTACCTAAACAACATCCAATGGAAAGAGAATTGACAAACGATGTCGAGAAGTATAAAAAGAGATTTACTCTCTTTTCTTTCTTTCTCAATTTTTTCATCTATTCAACTACTCTTTCTCTTTCTTATTCTCTCCCTCTACCTCTCCCTCTCTCCTTACTTCTCATCTTCTCTCTCTCATATCTTTCCACTCTTACAATTTTTCCAACAAAAACTTCATTTAATACATGAAGAAAAAAAAACGTATTTAAATGTATTTATATTTACATTCATATTCTTATATGAACTTATAATATAAATACAGTAATTACAAACCTAATTTTCTGATGTGTTTTATTAGAGAAAAAGTAAATTTTCATGGTTTTTCTATGAACATCAGTAAATAAGAAAAGTAGGAATTTTTTTCTATTATCAAGGTGATTAAGACCAGGGGAAGAAGAAAACCTCCAACTTAATTATTTTCTATCTCGAAAGAGAAATAATTTCTGTAGAAAAACAAATAATCACCTTGTCAAGAACGATAAGAAAATCAGAAAGAATTGGTAATCTTGCCATGTTTACAGAAGAAAAAGAGTCAATTTGGTTTTTCCTTTCTTCTCTTGCTTGTTTGTCATCATTGTCCTCTAATTTCTTCCTCCCTCCTCTCTCTCTCTCTCTCTCTCTCTCTCTCTCTCTCTCTCTCTCCATCATAACATTCAAATCTTCATAGTAACTTGTTAATTTTTTAGCTCACCAATTAAATGCAATTTTCTCTCTCTTTTTGTCTTTCTCTCTTCTGAAAATTCTGGCTTTCGTTTTTTTGTCTCATCATTTACAACATTATCATAATCATCATAACCATCATCATCATCATCATGCTCATCATCATGTGGATCTCCTGTTACTTGCAACCATTACTCCAACTTTAAACTACATCAACCAACTAATACCTCTTGCTACTTGAATCACATTTTACTGGTAAAAAAATGTTCCACTGGTAATGTTTATTTTGGGTAACAACGTTTATGATGAAAATCACAGAAAAACTGTCGTATTTTTGTCAAGACTGATGATGAATAAGGAAAACTATCCATAGTGATAGCAGTTGAGGATTTTAAAAAAGTATAAATTAACAAAAATATGTATTAATATATAATATATAATATAAACGCAACCTCCAACAAAACAAAAACAACACCAGCTACAAACAAAAAAGGAGCATGAAACCAACATCATCAACAGCAGTAAAAACAACAACAACAACAACAACAAGTACTACTGCTAAAAAAAGCAAATATCAAGTCAACAACAACAACAGAAATAACTTTGACAGGACAAGTCCAAGAGAAATGGTTTTACAGTTTTCTTCGTCATCTTTTCTCCTTTATTATTATCTGCATCTTTTTCCCCTTATCTCTCTTTTTTCTACCTACTCTACCTGCCTACCTTCAAATCTCTCTCCATCTCCTCTCCCTCTTCCTCCCTCTCTTTCTCTCTCTTGCTTTCTTCTTCCTCTCTTGATGGAAATAAAAAAAAGGTATCAAGGATGCCCTCAGCAAAAATTATACAACCACAACACCATCAACATCAACATCACCAACAATTTAAATACAACAACCATGAGTGCATATGCTGTTGCAGCAAAAAACAACAACAACTATAACAATTGAAGTGTTTAACATCATCATCACATGAAAAGAGGGATTACGAGAAATGATATGGATTATTAAGAAAAAAATTGTTTTTAAAGAAAAAAAAATCTTCACGACAACATCAACTTCAACTCTACAAACTAATCACTTAATTTTAACAAAGAGAAACAACAACAAAAAATATTCTGAAGACATGGAAAAAGAAGATAGAGGAAAGAAGAAAAAGAAAACATCAAAAAGAGAAACTCTTACAAAAGGAGCAAAAGAAGGAGAGTGATGAGAAGTAGTGAGAAATTTATTTACTTCTCCCTGTGACTTATTTCTACATTGAGGAAAAAAACCACAACAACAACAACAATTATCGACGTTTCATCATTTGTGGTTTAAATTATTCTGTTTTTCTCTTCAACTTCTCACCCACAACAAACAAAAAATCAAAAAGAACAGTCAAAGTCAACATTATATGTAAATGATTTAATCATCATCCAGTCAATTTATTAATTAATTTTATGAGAAGATTTTATCTCTCTCTCTCTCTATATTCTACTCTCTCCCTGATTAATCCTGATTTTTTATTGATGGTGATAGCGAAGAAAACAAGAATGATGGTTTACAATAATATATTACAGCTTTTAAATTGACTAATCCACATCATCAATTAGCACATGTCAAATTAATCTATACCACTACTATTACTACTACAATTAGCACACACAAACAAACACATGATACACAATCATAACCCACTAAAATCCATGCACAAAAACACAAGGAAAAATATAAATCCAACAAAAAAAATTTCATCAAGTCAACATTCAGCTATAAACAAAAGAAGACAAAAAGGAAAAAATTCTGATGAAAAACAACAAAAAAATATATAATAATACTTATATTTAATCTCACTGTTCTATTCATCTTATTCTCATCTTAGGAAAAGTTTTTCCTGCTTTCATCGCTTTGTCTGGTTAACTAGGAACCAATTCTGTTCATCTCTTCATCACCTTTACCATCATTATCAAGTCTCGTTTTTATTTTGTGTTGTGTTTTCTTCACCACTACAATCATCAGTATCCATCACCACCTACAACAACAATCAACATCATCATCTTAGTAACAACTTTAAACAACATCAACAACATGGATTAACTTGAACATTTTACCAAGAAGAACGTCGATGTTTTCTCCTTCTTTTTTCGCAATATGCAAAATATCATTTTCTATCACACTTTCTCTCTCTCACTCTCTCTATCTCTGTGCTATATCTTTTATTATTCTCTCTCTCTCTCTTTCTCTCTCTATTTCTTTCTCCTGCTTCTTACTCTCACTTACTAATTTCTTCTTCTTCTTCTCTCTCCCTCTTTCTATCTGTGTCTCTATCATCTTATGTTAAGTTTATGCCAAGATCATTGTAATTATGTGTACTTTTCTCTCTCGTTTAGAAGCAAAAACGAAAAAAAATCAATTAAATCCTTCGTTCCGATCAACATGAGAAACTTAGGACAACACCCACAATCAATTTGAAATGCTCAAAGTGTCTCCCCCATTTATTTATTACTCTCTCTCTCTCTCTCTCTCTCTTTCTTTTTCCAATATGACCATAAAACTACTGAAAAGAAAGAGACTTATTCACGGTTTCTCTTTTTTTCTTTCTTTTTCTGAGTTGAATGTTTTCATGATGGAAGCTCAAGTAACAACAACAATATCAACGTCATCACATTTATATTATGTATCATTATGACAACATTGAACACCACCAACAACAACAACCAACAGTAACCCAACTTTAGCTTAAAGATAATCAAAAAACTAAGATGATGATGATAATTATCACGTTATGATACTTATTTTAAGGATAATCAACAAACAACAACAACAACAACATATTAGTTATTATTTACTTTTTGCATTTTCGTTTCTGTTAACAACCTTGGCCCTAAATTAATCAGTGGCGCGATCGGATAATAATCGTGAACAGGTCAAAGTAAAGAAAGAGAAGGAGCAACATGGCTTCTCACTCTCTTTCTCTCTCATGTTTGCATGTTTTTCACCATAAAGGGAGATAAGGTTTTCCCTATCATCATCATCATCTCCTGTTCATGTTGAGTTTCAGTGGGGTGTAAACTCTTTGCTGGTAACACTAATTGACGGTATAAGCAAAAAAGATGCTTGATTGTTTTGTTTTTTCTGTTCCACTGAGGTTAAAGAAGATGAAGATGAAGAAGAAGAAGATGATGATGATGATGATGATGATATAAAGATGAGAATCTTAAATGAACAAAGAAAATCAGAAAAGAGTCAAGGAAAAGGAAGAAAAGAGAATCGTTCAAATAGATACAACAAACGATGGTAACATGACAACATCATGGAAACAAGATGAAGATGATGATGATGATAAAGAGAGAAAAACTGGTAATGATGATGAGGGAGCCAAGGGAAGAAAAAGAATATTAAATGTTGATCCATCTAAAAAAGAAAAAAAAAACTTCTTTTCGATAACATTGAGTTTAATTTTCGGTTTCATTGATTTCGTTCACTTTCACTATCAAACCTTAAATAGTAACAATCAATTGATAATCTAAAGTTAATTTCTCATCTTTTTCAATGTTTACAGAAGTTAATTGTTAGTTAGAAGTAAATTTTGATTCATTTTTTTTAATTGCTCAGTTTGTTTGAGTTTCGTGTTTGTATTTAAATCTAAATATTGATTGACATTTTTGATCAACTTTGATTGTTGATGTTTTCATTGTGATACAATTAAATATTTTATTGATTAAATCATTGGCTTTTTTTGCAATACAATATTTCAATTACTTTCATGATAATCATTATTGTTATTATTATGATTATCACGATGTTAATTGTGATTAACTCACTTTTTTTACCCATTTGATTGTCATTGTCATTGATCTGGTTTATTATCGTCATTTAATCATCAACCTCTCACTCATTTTAATTGTTATCATTTTCACTTGACAATCAGATTATTAATCGAACCACATTATTATGGTTGATTAACATGAGGAAAATTAAAGATTGATTTGATTACCTAATCATCTCTCTCTCTCTCTCTCTCTCTCTCTCTCTCTCTCTCTCTCTCTCTCTCTGGTTAATTATTATCAACTGATTGCTGCTGATTAATTAACAATTAACACTTAATACACATAATTAGTCTTTAGATTGTTAACTTATTCTGTATTCTAATCATATTGGTTTGGTTGGAATCTTTTTTTTTTAACAATCAACTGATCATTTTGTTTTGATTTAATTGACTCTCTTTTTGAATAATTATTTTTGTCAATTTTAAATCAATAAAAGTTAATTTAATTTTCCTTTTTGGTTAATTGCCAAGTTACAAACACAATTCATTAGCCTCACAATTAAAATAATTCGTATGAATAATAAACTGTTGATTTAATTGACTTTCTCATCCGTTTCCTTTTCAATTTGATTATTGGATTATATTGATTAGGTTAATTGTTATTATTGTAAAGGAAAGATGATAAATTAACTAGAACAGTTTTAATTGCGGTGACAATGACCTCTAATTGCTGATAATTTCCTAGATTAGCAATGTTTTATTGCCAACAATTGATTTGATTACATTAAATTGTTTTGCAAAAAATAATATAATTTTAATTAACTTGATACATAATGGTTTAACAAATATAAAGGTAACAATTAATGGCCATTAATTAAAAAACCCTTTGAATATATAAAAAAAAATGCCCAATCAAAAATTTACAATATTTTACAATTTGATGATCTCGATCTGTTAAAAAGTAACAATTAATTCAACAAAGATACAGAGAGCACTCAGGATGATTGATTATGTTGATGAAGAAGATGATGAAGATTAAGAAGATGAAAAACTTTGTTATTCATGTCTTATGATTAAAATTGATTCGTTGTTGAATTTTGGGTTCAACCTTTGGTTAGTTGATTGCCAAGTTGTGATTTAAACACACAGTTGATTATAAAGTATATGATTGAGACCAATTAATTAACTGTAAATTTTGTTTCTAAGACTTGGCAGCATAAGACTCAGAATCTGATTTATCTGATGATTGACTGAAAGATTCAATGAGTTTATATCCTGGTCCACTGATTCCTGATTCAGGAATATATTTAGATTCATCTGATCCTCCTTTCGCTGAATAAGAATGGATTGATTTGTGTCCCCACCCATGATGTCCACCATGATGCCCGTGACCATGGTCACCCCATCCATGGTGATGGTGTCCATGATCATGCCAACCATGATGATGATGACCATGATGATGGCCATGATCCTAGATGAACAAAGGAAAAGTTATAAGTAGCGACGATTAGTTTTCTCAACAACAAAAAGAAAGGTAATTTCTTGTAAAAAAAATTAATTGTTGCGTAATTGTAATTACGTGTTTATGTCCGTGACCGTGTTTGTGGCCATGGCTATGCCAAGCATCATGTTTGTGTCCATGTTGGTGCCAGTGATCATGACCTTTGATGATTTAGGAAAATAAACAAAAGTAAAGAAAATAAAATAATTATAGTTAATCTTTTCATCTTAAATTGCTGTGAATTGTTATCAGATTAGGGAACCATTGTTACCATGCTTGTGACCATGTTTGTGATCATGTCCATGCCAATGGTCGTGTTTATGTCCGTGACCATGTTTGTGTCCCTATAATTATAAAATCAATGGTAAAGATTAAACAATTTTAAAAAAAAAATAATGTCAAACAATCAAGATACAATTACGAGGAAATCAAATTTAAATTAACGAGCCAATTTTACACTTATTATCAAATCTATCTAATTACTCATAGTTATCAACCACAGTTCATTATGTATTCATCAATCATTAATTGTTTGTGTTAAAGATTAACAACAAGGTTAATCAATATGATTCAATACGCTATAAATTATTAATAAATTAGTTTAGCTTATAAGCTTGTCTTATATTGGGAATTGGTTGATTAACGTTACTCTTGAGATGATTAACTTAGTTAGAGTGTAACTAAATTGATTGATAGCTTTCACTGTGATTATTAATTATATCTTGAATATTTTCTTAATCATCTAGATTAAAAACTTACGTGATCATGTTTATGCCCATGTCCATGATGGTGACCATGATGATGACCATGGTGATGACCCTTAAAGATTAAAGATCAAAGTTTCAATTAGATTATGAACCATAAAAGTTTCAATATGTTAATCACTTACATGCTTATGTCCATGATCATGTTTATGTCCCTATGATGAAGTAAGAGAAAATTGATTGGAGATTAACTTTTAATTGTTATCCCTTTGCTTTTGATTATCTAAAATTAACTTGATTTCATTTTAAGCAACCAAAACAAAAAAAAGTCAACATCAACTTACATGATGATGTCCATGATCGTGTCCATGTTTGTGCCCATGATTATGCCAAGCGTCATGCTTATGACCCTAAATAATTGTAACATATTAACAATTAATGGAAAATGAAATTTCAATTGTTAAGCTAAATTAGCTAACAATGGATTGTGAATATAACTTTGAATAGTCAACAGGTTTCTGGTTGCTATGAACATTAACAGGCTATTCAACTCGCTATACAAATTAATCTGATTAACGTTGAATAATCTTAAAATTTGATTAATAGGATTGTACTCACATGATGATGACCATGTTTGTGTCCCTATGAATTGGTTGGTAACATAATTTAAATGACCAAGAGGAGGAAAAAGAAATTAAAAGTGACAATTAGAAAATCAAATGTTAACCAGTTTTCCTTAATTATTAGAATTGAAATGCTTACATGATGGTGTCCATGTTTGTGGCCCTGTTGTTAATTTAAAATGGAAACAAACAGAGGAAAATTAGATTGACAGAGAAAAACAATTAGTCAATAGGCATAATCTTGATGATCATGGGAGGAGGAGAAGGATAAAGGTAACAGAATAGATTATGGAAAAGATTATTCAGAACTTTCTGATTTCTTTCGTTAAAACGATGACACCAAACAAATTAGAGATGATTAGTATTTGTTTAAGAAGAATCGAAGAAAGTGAGAAGAAGAAGATTGAAAGAGAAATGGAAAATTAGAGAAGAGAAAAAAAAAGGTTAACACTATCGAGAAGATTGATTATGGTCATTAATGTCAAGAGAAGAAAAGATGATGATAATCTAATTACATGATGAATCATGATGATCTGATTAATTTACATTGTGGAAAAAGAGAGAAAATTTAACCAGAAGAAAATTGAAACAAACAGACAGAGATGAAGAAAGAGGAGACACAAAATCAATAGACTAATGATAAGTAAACATGGCCGATGATGTAAATAGAATATAAATAGAAAAGAAAAAAAGAAAAGAAAAACGAAATAATTGCAAATCAATCATTTCCTGAAGATTTTTTGGTGTGATTTCTAATTGAATTAGACAATTAGTAAATATCAGCTAATTAAACAATTAAATAATCAATGCAATTGTTTAGAAATGAAAACAAAGAAAGTAAGTAAATATATTAATAGAAACAAAGGAAACAAAATGTCTCCATCTGAGTGATAAGTGAAGAGAGCGGGAAAATAATGTTAATGAGAATTTGATATTTGACACTTGTTGATTGGTGAAACTATTATGGATCACAAATTATCCTAATTAACTGTTAAATTGTTTAAAGTAAATGATTACCTATCAAATTAAGATTAACCTTGAAGGTTGAAAGTTGATGAAGAAAAAGGAAAAATTGACTTACATGATCGTGTACATGATGAGCGACCATCTTTTCATGATGGTGATGATGATGGTGATGATGGACAACTTCCTCTTTACATCCATGATGTCCTCCACCTCCACCTCCTCCCCAACCATGATGATGATGACCCCAACCATGATTAGGTGAAGGTTGAAGAGCTTGAGTTAAAGAGTTCATTTCAAAAAGTCCATTTTTGGTATCAACGTCTGGAGAAATGGCCTTAACCAAGGCAGCCAAAGGATCACCATAGGTAACCCGACAAAAGGACAAAAGGAAACACCAACAACACAATAAAATATAACAGGTAAATCTCATTTCGATTAACTAATTAATCTTTTTCAACTAATCACCGAACAATCTTTTTAATCCAAACACATCCACAGAAGAAACAATGTTGATCTTATATAACAAACTTAATCCAAAAAGTGTGGTTAGCAACAACAAACGAAAACGAATCAAGTGTCAACCAATCAACACAATCTAATTGATCAAAATTTTCTAATCGATTTTATATTTATACACTTTCTCTCTCTCTCTCTCTCGCTCTCGCTTTTAGCGACAACATCAACAGGTCACTTTCGCAGATCACATTGGGTGACAATCAGATCACAAGAAGAATAAAAAATCAACAATAAAAGGTAAGTCAATCTCTTAATACACATTTACACTTCCGAAAAAAAGAATCACCTTTTTTTTAGAAAAGAAGAAAAAAAAATTCTATTCTAAACACACACCTTTCTCTCTATCGAAATAGAATAGAAAAAAGAATAGAATAGAATTAATTGTTTTTCTTTTTCTTTTTCTTATTTTTACCTTTACTCTTTTTTTTTCTATCGACATTTATTGTTTGGTGTTCTTTTCACAATTAACTGTAAACTTTTCTTTTCGAATATTATCATTTTTGTTGATTGAATCGAATGAGAAACCTTTCGATCAACAATTGGAAAATTTTGATTTTTGGTGACATTTTTTTTTCTTCATCATTTCTTTTTCTATGTAACATTAATTATGATTGTGATTAGTAATTGTCGATGAGAAAAAGTGATTTGTGATCCAATTTAATTACTTTGTTGGAATTTAATTCAAGTGATTTTTGTTTGGAATTTCAATTTTTAATTGTCAATGTTAAATTGTTCCCATCAAGAGTAATCAATATGTGAGTATAATTGATTAATTAGTGGATGAAAGTTAATTAAGATTTCATCAAATGGTCAATCACATTGATCATCATCTTCATCATGTTTCTAAATTCATCTTCATCACGTTAATTGTATTTTCGGTGAAAAATTGATTTTTTCTCTCTCTCTCTTCTTGATTGTAATTGATTAAGTTGTTAATTACATCTTGTCAGGCTTTAGTTCAATTACTTTTGTTTGTGATGATCTTTTTTTTTTAAATTTCTTCTTCAATCAAATCTAAATCTGATTGTTAATTAAAAGTAACACTCTCACTTGTGATGAGTTCACAATTAACTAATAACAATTAACTTTCCAATCCTTTTTCGCTATTGTTTATCAACAGGTAAATATAAATGACAGGTTAATATTGTTTATATTATTATCCGTTCAACTATTAACTAATTGTTGTAATTATAAATATATACTCAAAATCGTCAATGTCAATTGGTCACAAATCTATCAACAATCAATGTATATACATAATTAAATGTCTGGAAATTTGAACTGTGCTTGGAAATCATGAAAATTTATCAACAATTAAAACTTATCAATAGTAAAGTTCAACCACCAGCTAAATGATTAGTGAAATAATCAAAGAATTCAATCAATCCAGGTCAATCTAAATGAGAGAAAAAAAATCATTGTAATTAATCTGATCTTTTCTCATATAATATAAATTGTTTGAGAGAAAATGAAACATTTAAACTCATACAATCAAATAGTAAGACAACAATTAAATTGCAATTAGATCCAAATCATAATTGTCAATAAGTTACTTTCCGTCTATTGTAATAGTTATGTTTGTTGCTCTGATTTTGTGTCCAGTCCAAGAAAAAAATCGAGTCCATTTTAGTGTTGAATTTAAAAGTCTTTGTTTTTTTTTGTCATTTGCTCCATTTTTTTTCGTGTCAATAACTGTAACCATGTATTATCATCATTATATATATTAAATTGCTAAATAATAAATGGAAATATACAATTACAGTTACCAAGAGTTTTTGTTGAACACATTGATTGGAAAACAAAATGCTGAGTAAATTGCATATCTACAGTAGGATAAAAAAACACAGGTTAAATCAAGCTACACAATCAGCTGACAAAGTTGAGTGTTGAATGACAAGAAGCAAATCAGATAAAGAGAAAGAGAAAGTCAATATTGATGATGAGAAAAAAAAGTCAACTGTCAACAGCGTGACAACAACAACGAACAACCAGAACAAGTAAAGTAAGAAGAGCATCAGCACCAAATTGGAAAAAAACACTTTCTTTTTGTCTTTAAAGAGAAGAGAGGAAAAAATTTGATTATCACTATCAACGGATTCTAATAATTAGCCAAGAATAAAATTGCAACATAATTAATAACCAAATCAACGAAAAGTGAAACCCAAGAGTAACATGAAATCGTTTGAGTTGAAAGAGAGATGATATTGTCAAGAACAACGATAAAATTGGTTGTGGTTTCGATAATAATTCCTCAAACTGACCACCAAATTCTGTGTCAAAGGTCAGTCTCTCTTATATTCTAAAATGACCACTTATCCATTTTCATCGATACCATTGAATGAAAAATCAGAATCAGACATTTGATGGACGAATTGAGAATTTGAATTATCGAACCAGATCGAAGTGTGAATAGTTCAGGGACGAGATTTCTACCGAAAAGATTGAGAAGTTAAAGATTCTCAATAATTAGGCCAATAAATTAATCGAAAAATTTGCAAGTTAATTGTTCAACTAATCACAATCAAGCTTGAAAAAGATTCAAATGTATTAATACAAATGTCCAGGAGGAAAAGGTGAAAGGTAAGTGACAAATTAGAATCCATTTGAATTAACAGCGAACCAATTAATCGGCAATTTAAACGACGAAATAGAAAATCACCAAGATTAAAAGCCATTAATTAAATTCTAATTAGTCTAATCAGCTATTTAAATCACGATTAGAATAAAAAAATGAAAAAAAAAACCGAAAAACAATCGAACCGTTGAAATGTTAATCATCTGATCAATGGAAAAGAAAAAAAAACAAATGGTAATTTATATACAATCCATTTGTCATTTTCTCTATTCTTTTTTGCTAATTGATTAGTTTGTTACCTTTTTTGTTGCTCCTTCTAATTTGTTAATTGTTTTCTCTTTTTGTTACTAATTATTAGTTATTAGTTAATATTATGTAATATTTTCTCTTCTCTTTTCTCTCTACCTGATGATTTGGTTGATTGGAATCACAATTAGCAACTGTTGCTGTTTAATTAACTTCTCTTGTCGTGTTTCCAATGGTGTTTATTGTTACAATGTTTCTATAAAACGTATTCTCGTTGACCCTTTTCTAATTATCCAATTAAATTAATCATCTCTTTCTCTCTCTCTCTTTAAATACATTACAGGTTTTCTACCAACGTGAGCATTTCATATTTATTGACAATTGTATCAATTCAACTGAAAGTTTCCATTTCTCTCTATTCCGAAAGATTAACAAGCCTTTTAACAATGGTGATTATATAAACACATGATTGGTCTTATGTTGGTTGAATGACATCGGAGATACTCCTTTTTTTCAACTTCTCTAACCAGTTTTTATATTTGTTTTAATATCTCTCTCCCTCTCTTCCTTTATACTGTTTACTGGTGAGTGAGCTGATGATAATCAAATTACATTGATTTCTGGTCTTTTCCAGTGGAGAAACGATAATCCCAAGCTCATACAATGTGTCAAGTTGAAAGAGAATCTTTTTTAACCTTTTCTCTCTCTCTCTCTCTTCTAACCTTTTTTATTTCTTCACTTCTTATTAGTCCTTAACTGTTATTGTCTCTGTAAACTTATTCCTAAGGATGGAAATCATACAACGGGAAACAATTTACACGTACAGGTGAACAAAGAATGGAAACAAAATGATGCAATTTACCTTATTAGCTAAAGTATTACCTTCATCTTGGACTTGTGGTGGAAAACAAGAAATGACCTCTCCAAAAAGAAATTACACTGAAACAAATTCTATCAATTTTATTCTCCATTCGTATTACAAATACACATCACATGTTCTCTCTCTCTCTCCTTTCCGATTTTTTTTCCTTCTATTCTTTTGTTTCCAGTTTCATCACCAACATCATCTTATTATAATTATCCATTGTTACTGCAACAAGTAGTCAATTTGGTAACCGGAAGAGTGGTTTATGGTAATATTGATGAACGAAGAGAAACAGGTAATTAGAAAAGAATAAGATTTCTATCATTGACTTTTATCGTTCTTGTCTCTCTTCCTCTCTCATCCAAAAATCCTTTTAACATGTCATTTAACATGCTTTTCAAAGGTTATATTCTTTCATTATCGTTCTTCAATTCATCTATTACATCTGCTTTTCTATTTTATTCTCTTTTTTTCAAGTGAAAATTTCTCTTCTAATCTCCATCTGCTTCTTTTGTTCAGGTAAATCATCAACATCATCATCATCATCATGAAGATCTCTCTCAATGTTGGTCTTGACCAGAAAATTGGACAATCACTCCCCTTGGAATGAAAAAAGGATCAGCCACCAGCAAGTTTTTCGGATAACAAGAAAATTATATTCAGTAATTTGAGTTTCTTTTCTTTATTTTTTTTTATCATGAATTTATTTTACATATTATATAAGACATGGATCATCAACATCTATTTAAAATTTAAAATCTTATTTTAATTGATTAATTGCAGGTTATTAAATCATCGGTCTTTTCATAATCAACTTTATTATAAAGGTGAAGGAGGAGTAGTAATAATGGAAAGAAGAGGATAACGAATTTACTAATTACCTTCTAATTAACTTGAAAATCAAAGACTATAAACTCCAATGGTAACATAATTTGATTGATTGTAACAATTGAACACAACAATCGCCAATTGACTGACCAGTGGTTAGAAAACGATCAAGTTTCTTCAACGAAGTCTTAATGAAAATTACTTCGATCATCATAATCAAGTGAATGATAATTGTTAATAATCACCTAAATGGTTAATAACATAATTAACTTGATAATATTACATTGTACCATTGACTTGTAATATTAATGATAATGATTATGATAATATTACAATTTCTCTAAAGGATTTTTGTTGGTAAAAATAATTCGTTTGTAAATTTTGTTTTACCTACAATTAAGTATTTCAAAGTTAAATCAGGTTAAAATTTGTAGGTAGGGAAAGAAAACAACACTTTAATTATGATGATGATGATGATGATATTTCTCCCTCTTTTCTTTCTCAACAACAGGTAAATATGGATCGAAAGAAGAAGAAGAAGAAGAAGAAGATGATGATGATAATGATGAAGGAGCCAAAAGGAGATGGTATTGATGGAAGAACGAGGATGACGAAAGAAAGAAAAGAAAGGAAATCATCCAACCAAACAACCAACGAACCTTCAACATGAAGTTATTTCATTAATCAACACAGCGTGGGACAACTCCCACAATAAATTAGGTAATTACATTTACTCTTCACATCAAATCACTGACGATTTACGGTTCCTAGTTAAATGCTTCTCTGTACAACAATGATAATATTATTAATATTAACTCATTATGTTCATTAAGCTTCATTTTCTGGTTTTGCTCTCTTCCTCTCCCATCTTTGATTCCTTATTTCTTACGATTTACTGGGCTAATCATTGGCACGATCACATTTTAAACTGTGCTTCGTATCTTTGTGTGTGTGTATATTTAAATAGTAAATTAAAATGTTTGTAAGAATGTTTCATGTAAACGGGCGTGAATTGTTGTTTAGGCTAATTATCGTTTAGATGATATCCAACTTTTTCTTCTTTCATTTTTGTTTTCTCTTTTCATTTTACAAAATCAGGTTCCAAACTGGAAAGTGATGGTCAAGAGATTTGAGGATGGAGTGGAAATGGAAGATGGATAAAGTAAAAGAAAGCTAATCATGATGATATTGATTCAAAAAGGTGATATAGTTAAAAAGGATCTGATGATAGTTAGCAAAAAATCAAGGAAAGGAGAAGAAAAAATGCGAAAGGAAGGAAACACCACCACCACCAACAAGAACCATGATGATGATGATCATCATCATGAAAGGAGAAAAGATGAAGAAAAATAAATTAAGAAAAGTTAAAGAGTAATTGCTGGGAAAGGCAGTAAACAGAAAAAGAAAATGGAAATGGAAATATATAAATCCAGTTGAATTTAGTGAAACAGGTAATGTAACATGAAATGTGAATGGAACATGATAAAGATGGAATTGAGAAGAAATTATCAGGAGGTTGGTGGTTTTTCTTTGTGGTGATAATTATCAATCTGAAAAAAGAATTGATGTAAATTTGAAGAGAGAAGATTATTGTTTGTTTTTACATGGATCTAATGAACATCTTTGGTCATTCATTCGTTTCCCTTGGAACCTCACTAATAGATCGAGAAAATGATCTTCTTCCGAATTGTTAACAGCATAAGTGGGATGGATGGTGGTTCGAACACCAAGAGTAACTGGATTGGTGACATTTGCATCGCTAATGAAAACATCGTCATCTGTGTTACTTTTAATTGGAGAATATTTGAGAAGATTCATGTTTTCCAAACTGAATCTACGATTTTCTGATTTTTTCCCCATTTTATCATGTTGTTTTCTGGAAGAACATGTTGCACTTTCTTCACCAAGAGAAAGTCTTAGATCGGCAATTGTACTTTTATCAATAATCGTTTCTTTATCGGAAATTTTTTCTTTCACATCCAATGGATCAACAGAACATCGTTGATCATTCATTCGGCTACTTTGTGATCTAACAAGTAAATCAAGAAAATGATCTTCCTCTTCATTATGGACAACAGGATTACTGGAAACATTGGGAAGGAAAACATCATCGTTATTTTTATTACAAATTGTTATCGTAGTTTGATTAAGGTTAACACTTTCAACACTGAATCTCCTGGTTCCGGGTTTCTTTTGGATTCGGTCAACTTTTTTTGGTACACTGGAAGACTGGTCACTTCCCTCACCAAGTGAAAATTGATTGGTACTTTTATTACTGGTTATTTCATCAGCACTTTTATCTGCCATGATTGTCAACTACAATTAAATTCAACTAGTGTATAGTTTAACCAACATACGATTAATGAAACTGTTACCAAGATATACTCCAGCAATAGGTTGGGCTTGTCCTTCAACCAAAGATGTTTACTCTCAATTAGAATCGAGATGTGTCAATTTATGTATTATTATTGTTAAGAATATACAGTGATTTGTGAGATGGAAATTCTCTAACAATAATCAAGGTTTTTCTGATGTTGTTAACGAAAGAATTGAAAATAAAACAGATCATAGTATTAATAGAAACATAAAAGAGAATAGAAGAAAAAGAAATTGAAGAAATGATTCTGATGAGGATGAGAGGGAGTATTGTTATTGTTATTCGTTGAAAAGGGTGAAAATGAGGAAGAAGATGAAGATGAAGATGAATATCAAAGAAGCATTTTTCTTACATGGGAATAATAAATGTCTTTCTCGAATTGCCAATGATAGAGATGCGCGTTAACCAGAGATTCCAATGAACTTTCAGCATCCCCATCACATCCTGAGAAACTCCTGAGCAATTGTTCATTTCCTGTTCATTGAGAGGAGAAAATGTGTCAAACTGAACATCGATACAATAACAATCAACACATAGAACAATCAATCAATTGGAAGATTCAATTAATAGACAATAAATCGTAAGTATTTACCTATAGAATTTGTTTAAATTGGAAAACAATTTTGTTCCAATTGTCAAAACAAAGCCGTCAACCAAATGATCCGTTAAATTGATTGGGAAGTTTGTTAGTAATTCGCAACTTAAAGTAACAATTAACATAAACGATAATCACACGATTTAAAAGGTTAATCATTGTTGTGATAAAAGTGAAACGAGTTATCAAATCAATTAATTAAACGAAAAGTAAACAATCAAATTGTAAACAAAAACATTTGGATTTTAATTTTTCGCTCGTCAGGTTGAGCCACTTTACTGATTCTTTTTTGTTTAATTGTTGATTTTGAAAGAAATTAATTGTCAGATTTGTTTGATAGATTAGGAAGGTAATCCCTTTGATTATAATTGAGTTAATCATATACATTTATACCATATGATTTTCGGGTTAATTACAATAAATTTTGTTTTCCTTTCTCTCTTTTCACAATTGGAGTTTTAAATTAGATTGAGATTGATTTACATTCGTTGGTGTTGATTGGGAGGAAGAGAGAGGGTGAGAAAAAATTGATTAACAATGTGAACAATTAATTTTCACTTCGACTTTGAGTCTAATCATAATAATTAAATAGAATGTTTCACAATAGTAATAATAATATTAGATAGATAGATGGTTAAGTCACTTCAATCGAAGACAGGAAAAGGAGAAGTAAATTCAATCCTCAACAAGGAGAAATACAAGAAACGTTAAGATAATTAATTATTTCGCAATTATCAAATAATTAATTGGTATCTTTAAATTTATCATTTGGCGAGACGTTCAAGGTAAAGATTTATAAGTTGATATTGGAGTTTTTTTTTGTTTGATGAGATGAAGATGAAGATGAAGATGCGATAAATTGATTGATGAGGTGATGGACAAAGACAATTAAAATAAAAGTAATTGGATTAATTGATTAAAGGAAATGACAAGAATAAACACAATTTAATCTCTGATAAAATTAGACTTTTGTGCATTTTTGTCTATCACCATTTTCCGAGACTGAACTTTTCCTGCTGCTCAGGGAAGACGATGAATAAGATCGGGAAACTGATCGGCCATTATTGTTATCGTGATTAGTATTATTCCCGTTGTTGGTTGGAAAAACTGATCTCTGATCTTCAATTCGTGCTGATTGGAAGCGCATAATTAAACTGAAAAAGTCTTCATCTGGTAATGTTGATCTCGAATTATTATTATTATTGTTGGTAATCATATTTGATGATTGAGTTGGACGAAAAGATCCAATTGATGGCTGATGAGAGTTTCGGCTTTGGATGGATCCATTGTGTGACCTATCACCCGACCTTAAAGAGTAACGGGTATTGGTACTAACACCTGAGGATTGGCGACTAGATGATCCAATGGAAGTAGGTAAAACGCTTCTTTGATCCTCTAATCTATTTGATTGGCATCTCATTAATTGTTCAAAAAAGTCATCATCATTTGGTATACTGGTACCAGCTGATCCTTGGCTTACTTGTCGTTGGAAATGACGAGCTGAATTTGATCGAGTACCATGATTTGGTTCATTGTTTTGCTGCCTAATATTTGACGATCCATTAGACGTTCCTTAAAGTAATTAAAAGAAAAAAAGATTAATCAAAAAATCAGGTTAATAATAATTGAATCTTTAATCAAAGTTAATTTACCTGAAAGATAATCGGATCCATTTGTTGTTAAGCTTCGCTTTAAAAATGGAGCTCGTTGTTCCTCAAATCGTCGAGATTGAATGTTCTCAATTAAGTCAAATAGATCATCATGATTACCATTAGAACCTTGGACAATATTAGTTGATTCGGATGTTGAATAAGCCGATGAACTACTTTGTGAATTACCAACAGAACCAGGGTGAGAGGATTTAGAGTTACGATGAGTATTTTGTTGTTGTTGTTGTTGTGAATTGGCTTGATTAGTTGGTCTACTATTTTCACCACTTAAACTTGTTGATCGATCATTGGAAGCCATTTGCCTTGAGGGTTGTCGAGATGAGCTTTGGACATTAGTATTATTGTTATTGGTCAACGGGACAACTTTTTTCTTCGCTTGGGTTGCTTTCGGTTTATAATTTTCTTTATTTTCCAATGGATCTAAAGAACACCTTTGATCATTCATTCGTTTACCTTGATATCTCACTAATAGATCGAGGAAATAATCTTCTTCCTCGTTGTGGACATTGTTCATTGGATGAATGGTACTTCGACTACCACTAGCAACTGAATTAGCGGTGCTTACACTTGGAATGAAAACATCATCATTACTATTATTGGAACTATTGTTGTTCTTGGTTGGAGTTAATTTCAAAAGATTCATATTCTCCATGCTGAATCGTTTGTTTTCCAATTTCTTTGGTGGTTTATTGTCGGGTTTCACTTTGGGGACACTTGAAGAGGAAGAAGATTTATTTTCACTGAGTAACAATTTCAGTTCTGAAATACTCTTGGTTGCAGTTTCTTCACCAAATTTATCACCATTTTTTTTAGATATTTCTAAATATTTATAAGCAAATCTAAGAGCTTCTTTATGATTACCAATGGCAGTAAAAGCATTACCAAGACTCCAATAAGCTCGACCTTCACCAACACGGTCACTTAATTCCTGTGCCAATTCGAGATGTTTAATGTGATAATCGATAGCGGTTTTGAAATCTCTCAACAAGGTAAAAGTATTACCAAGACTATAATAAGCCTGAGCTTCCAGAACTTTGTCTCGTAACTCACGAGCAATAACCAGAGTTTGTCTAAGAACAAAGGAAAAAACAAGAAACGAGAAACGAGAGGAAAAAAAATTAATCTAGAGCAAAAATATAGACCATTGATTGGAAAAAAATAAAAGTGTTGACATAATTAGAGTAAATTAAGAAGAAGTAGATTCTTACTTGAAATTGTAAATTGCTTTCTCGAAATCCCATAGAAAGATATGCGCGTTACCAAGATTACAATGAGCTCTTCTTTCAGCAGCTTTATCTCCAAACTCCTGAGCAATTCTCAATCTCTATGAACAGAATAATAAAAAAAGAATAGAAATTTAAGTTGATGAGAGAGCATGAATGGAACAATTTTTTTGTTCTCTTTCTTTTGAATTGAAGTTGGAAGATGATGAAATGAAACTCACTTCGGTATGATAGTAAATAGCTTGATCAAAATTACCCAATAGATAATGAGTATTACCAAGATTACCTAGAGCACGACCTTGAGCTGATTTGTCTTCTAATTCAATCATTAGGTGTAAATTTCTCTCATAATAATCAACCGCTTTACGGAAACAGTTTTTCACATCATCAGGAAAATCACCGGGATCCTGTAGACTTGAGGAAGCGAGATGTTTACCTTTGGTATGATAAACATTACCCAAATTGTATAAGGCTCGACCTTCGCCCACTTTATCACCTAATGATCGGGAAATTTTTAAATGTTGATCACAATAAATGGCCGCCTCTTCAAAAGAGCCCAACATTTTCAACGTATTACCCAAATTACCGCTTGCCTTGGCTTCACCGATAATATCTTTCATTGATTTGGCCAATTGAAGGTCCAAACTGTGATAATGTAAAGCCGTCTCGTAATTGGATAAATAGAAATGAGCATTTCCAATTTGACTGTAAATGGCTGATAAAGTTTTCTTATCATTGGTTCCAATGTTAATGGCGGCCTCAAAAAAATTGATTCCTCCTTCAAAATCACAGCTTTTACAAAGTCTCTCACCTTCAAGAGCTAATTCAAGGCAAGTAGATGAACCCATTGAAATATAATTGAATAAAAAAGTTTCTTCTAAACAAAAACAATCTCAAGTCAAATAAGAAAGTAACACAAAGAGACGGAAAAAATTGTCGAAAAAGAAAAAGAAAATCAAACAAAAAAGAAAGAGAAAAAGTCAGTTGGATAAGAAGAAAAAAGAAAAGAGAGAAAAATAGAAAACACAAATTAAAGATTTCGATGATTACAATGATTTAGACACTCGAAATTTCACCAAGAATCCAACAAACACTTTGGTCATTGGGTAAATCATAAAATTAATTGAAAATAATTTAAAAATTAAAAGAAAACAATTAATTTTAATTAAACAAAAGTCACAGAAAAATAAACAAGTTTGGAAACCGAAATTTTAACGGACAACATTACATCTTTTCTCCGTTAGATGGAGTAACTTGTACTCGAATTTTAAATTGTAATTGCAAAGTTTTATTTAATTGCTTGGAGAATTTGATTGACAATTAAAGAGAGATTTTGATTATCCATTTATATAAATTATTCATGTTATTTAATTTCTTCTTTCTTTGATTGAGATTACAATCAATAGGTTTCCAACTTGAAAACCTTGTCGATTAGTAAACAATTAGTTTGATTGTTATGAAAATCATTAAGTTTTCATTATTGAAATTAACCGATTCAAATTTAATATCTTCTCTGTCCGGTTCGGGGATTTCAAAAAGATAGGCCAGTCCACCCGCTCGAGCGGCATTTAGGACGGACATTCGTTCCTCGGCTGTTCCCTCCTTGTTTTTATAACGTTCAGTTATATCATCGGCATCTCGAGTGTCCGGAGCTTCCGATATGTAGCCCACTTTTTTGGTTATTATCTTACGACCAACACTGAGTAGATAAAGAAAACAAAAACATTAGAAGATCAATTAATCATTGGCGATTATCGAGGGATAATTAAGTTTACTCAAACTGACCAGTTCTTGGATTTGATGGAAAAGGATAAAAAAAGGTTTTGATGAGGAAAACAAATTCATCGAAAAATTTATTACAACAAATAAGAAAATAAACTAATCATGATTGAATTGAGATTGTTAAGAAAATCATTGGGTTTTAATTATTGAAACTAAATGAAGCTTTTTACAATTAATATATGAGAGTGTTTATCTGATTCGTATTCGTGGTTAACTGAATTTTAGAAGCAATTAAGTGAAAAAAAAGTACGAAAATGATTGGATGTAAATATTGATAAAATTTTCTAATCAAAGTAAAGTTGATTAAGTATTTTCCCTTGACTTTTGATTGTTACAATTATGCTTAATCAATTGACTAGTTGAAGAACTAAATTGTATCAGTAATCAATAAGATTTAAACAATTAGTTTCTTGGTTCTCATTGCAACTCATTAAACAAACTAATCAAGTTAATCGTTTTCCCAACAATTGACTGGTTCTCATGATGATAATCAGTCAAATTAAATTTAATTGTGATTAAAAAGGCACAATTGTAACAATAATTTAAAAAGTTAATGAAATTAAATTTGCTCATCACATTGACAATAGTTTAATGTTTTGTAAATTTTGTAGTTTTTTATTTAAAATCAAGTTTAATGTTTTTTTAATCTTAATTGTAGATTTCAATTTTTCAATTTGGAGTTTTTTTTGTTGTTTTATAAATTGATTGTTGATTGTAGTTGTGTTGAGATTAGAAAAAAAATCGTGATTGTTTGCAAAAAGACATCAACAACAAAAAAAACACGTTGATATCTGATAACTTTGATGATCGTTGATTGTTGTTATTGATGATGATTGTTGTTTGTAGTAATCAATAATGATGATGATGATGATGATAATAATAATGATATCAATTATATAATCGTCCAAAAGTAGTAGTAGTAATAGTAAATCATTAAATTGATTCAATTTAACCAATTAAAATGGTCTTAGATCCATAAACATCACCAAGTTGTTTGGACTGGAAGGTAACGACGATGTTAGATTCCCCTGGACGCCGAGGGGTCAATTGGACGACATGTGAAATTTTGGTCTTCTTATTGATATCTGGTATGGCCACTGTTTGAACCCGATTAACTAGACTGGTTCCTTCAACGGTTAATTTACAACTTGTAAGCACCACGTTAAGTGGATTAGTTATCTCAATGGCAAGGTTAAAGGGGACACCAACGGTCAATCCATGACCTGAGGAGACGACGGTCAATGCAAGTGGAGGCTTTTCAACGGCAAAATCATCTTCTTCCGACCAAGTTTGCGATGTTTCCTTGACCGAGGCAACGGCGTATATTTTAAGCATCGAATAATCAACCAGGTAAGGTAAGTAATCAGCGACCAAAATGTTAACCCGATGTTCAAAGACTAATTAAACGTCAATACAATTAACGAATGAAAAATGATAACAAGAAAGAAGAAGAAGAAAAAAAAATCAATATTAATAATAAGAAGATAATAGGAAGTGAGAGAATAAGAAAAAAAAGGAAGAGGAAGTTAATTGTTACGATGATGATGAAGATAAAATGTTTCAACAGTTAACAAATGATAATATTATCAATTTTTGAAAAAAAGAGAATCAATAAGATGATGATGATGAGAGATACAAATCTATTCACAACTATTGATGCAAAAGTAACAAAAGATGATGATGATGATGATGAAAGATTGATGCAAAAACTGGGCAGTAATAAGATAACACAATAGCCATTATCTTTAGACTGACCAGTGGACCATCATCCTGAATTATCATCATCATCGACATCACATCAACAATTTACCGTTATTATTTTACCTCATCGTTTCTGATGTACTAATGAACCAGAAACTGATTTTTTTTTACCAACACATATTCACAATTAACACAATCAAACTAATGATATAATACCTATTGATTTGTTCACCATGGGGAGTAATTAACTTCCCGTTGATTATGACAATTAAACATGGTCATCAACCAGGGTGATTTTGTTTAATAATACAAATGGTGATGATTTATAACTGAATTAACTCAACACGTACAAGGTAAACACGTATTATTATTTACAATGAGTATTAACACTTAACATTAATGTAATAATAACAATAATCATCATGTTAATCATTTATGACTGTTGATTGTATTGTTAACTATTTGTGCTATTTGTGAGAGGAGAAGACAAAACAACAAAATTAACCAACAATTTAACTAACTGTGTTTGTCTACTGTTAATTGTTTATATTGTGTTAATAGTAGCTGATAACAATTGGGTATCTAATTTAATTGTCGTTTTTGTTTTCTACAAACAAACTGATAATCATGTTAATCTGGTTCACTGATTAAATATCATAATATTTACATTTTTCTTTCATTTATTCCTGTTAGAACTTTTCGATTTTTTCGAACTGAAACTTTTTCGATTTATAATATTTCAATATTTCTCTCAACATGTTCCCAATTCCCTTGATACAATAATAGCCGATAGCATGGTTATCATGATTATAATTAAAAGTTAATCAGGAAAACAAGTGATATGACAAAAAGATGATTAAATTTCATGATCTGATTTAATGTTAATCACTAATCATTTTAAATAAAGAAAGAAAATTTGAAAATCAGATTAAATCAGATTGAAATTTAACCTTGAAAATTGCAAAGGATTATAACAATTAACAACAGGTTAATGTTAATTGTTTGCATTATTATAAATACACACAAATTGTATTGGGTGTTTTAACAACAATTAAGGTGTCAAAAGAAAAGGTTTCAAGTGGATTTAGATTTGATTGTCTTCCCTTATATTGGTAAATTGATAACTTTTCTTTACCCTGACAATTAATCCTTGAATTCAATATTAGGGCTCATTGAATGGTCAACAATTCAATAATTGTATTTGTAATTGTAATATTTTTACCGGAAATTTTTGCTTCCAATTGAACATTATGATAAAGATGAACGTTATTATAATCAAATTATGTATTTAAATCAAAATACTAAGAAAAGGTTGAAATCTCATCATTATTACAGAGTGAAAATCATCTTATCATCATCATAATCATCATCCATCAACCAGAAATTACAATTTAGGTTAAATGTTATCACCCTTAAGGCCACTTAATCTTTTTCGAATCAACAAGTTGACCTCATTATCTTTCACTCTCATCTTCCGGAATTTTCATCTTCATCATCAATAGTTTATCCTTAAACTCATGATCATAACCATCATCACCATCATCATCTTTATCTTCAATAGATTAAACTTTCACCTTGACCTGACCATTGAAAAATTCAACAAGCAAGATGAAAGGACAAAGGTAAATACAAATAATCATCATCATCATCATAATCATCTGATAACAATTAAAGTAAATAAATGATTAATTTGATTATTGATTTTGTTGATATTTACCTTTACCCGGTCCAATGTCAATCTCTCGTCTTTCCGTTTTGACCTTATGGGCTAATATTCCAGTATAGAAGACACTGTTTACCGAAACTGAAAGGGTTATCGTACGTTTCAATGGACTCTTATTGTACATTCGGACGATAATATGGAAAGGTTGACCAATAGGAACTCGCTCAATTTTAACCAATTCAAATTTAATATCTTCTCTGTCCGGTTCGGGGATTTCAAAAAGATAGGCCAGTCCACCCGCTCGAGCGGCATTTAGGACGGACATTCGTTCCTCGGCTGTTCCCTCCTTGTTTTTATAACGTTCAGTTATATCATCGGCATCTCGAGTGTCCGGAGCTTCCGATATGTAGCCCACTTTTTTGGTTATTATCTTACGACCAACACTGAATAGATAAAGAAAACAAAAACATTAGAAGATCAATTAATCATTGGCGATTATCGAGGATAATTAAGTTTACTCAAACTGACCAGTTCTTGGATTTGATGGAAAAGGATAAAAAAAGGTTTTGATGAGGAAAACAAATTCATCGAAAAATTTATTACAACAAATAAGAAAATAAACTAATCATGATTGAATTGAGAATGAAAGAATTATTAAAGATTATTGATTGAGAGTTAATTGTGAAGGAAAGAAATTAAATTATGGTTTAATCGTAATCACTATTAACTGATCACTAAATGAAGGAATAAAAAAAAGTTCAAATGTAACTTTGATAGAGTAACAATTAAGTTAATCATGACTATGGTTCTGATCAGTTTTAAGAGATTAGGAAAAATCTAATTGACCATTTATCGCACAAAATTGTAATCTTAATTGTTGATGATGAAGAAAATACAATTAATATGATGAAAAATAAATTGTTAATTGTTGGAAAATATTATTATTAATATTTAAACAATTTAATCAATTTTAACAGTAACAATAAAGTAATACAATTGTAATGATAGGATCAAAGTGATTCTAATATCATGAATGAATAGATAGTTTCAATTGAAGAGAAATTTAATTTTTCACAATTAAGTTAATCATTTACATATAGTTTATGATATAAGTGAGAAAAATGAATGAAAATCAAATCAACAATCTATTAAATCATCACCATAATCATTATCCAAGTTTAGATTTAAATGAGAAGATGTTATTATCACTGTTGACCGGAATAAGAATTGATTCAAACAATTTAAATTTACAATTAAGCTTCCAAATTGTGAATATATTACTTCCTGATTGTTGAAAATCAAGAAATACATTTAACCAAGAAAATAATATTAAACAACAGAAATTAAATCACAATTGGATTCATGTCAGGCCCTAATAAACTAATTGTTATCAATTCATCAGGTGATTACCTGTCATCTTAATTATCATCATCTTCTTAATATACTAAATAGTATTAGAAACAAATTTATGATGATATTTTAATCAGTTGACAATTTAATTAAATGGTGTTGAGTTAATAATGATTTCTTGCCTTTTAAGAGGCTACAATTTAATAATAGTTTTTAATTGTTCAATTGGCAATTGGTAGTATTAAGTTAATAATACAAGTTGATTGTTTCAATTTTTTTATTTTCCGATAAAATTAGTAACAATTGATTTACAATCAATAATTTTAATGGGTTAGTGACTGATCATCAATCGGATTATCAGTTAATTTAAATGCTATCAAAGTTAACTGTTGATTAGTTAATTTCATGTTGATCATTGTAACTTATTTATTAATAGATTATGATTAACCACTTGATAATAACAATAATCACTAATTGTCAACATAAATTACTGAAAAGTGAAACAATTAACTGACCAGTAATTTTTTTCCCCAACCCAAAGGCAATTGTTTTTGATTGTAAATCAAATGATCGAGGTCAAGGTCATCTTAAATAGGTTTAACTAAATTATTCTGAAATTGATGAGCAATTAAAGTTGAGTGATGATAACAATTAGCTTGATTCATACTCGATGTTAAATAAGTAAATTAATCGCCAGCAAATCATCAACAATCAAGTCCATTCATCATAAGACAAAATCCAACTCGATAAATTGTTGTAATCAAATCAATAAATCAGAAAGATTAGTTTCCAATGATTAAAAACTAAACCATATTAATATTTTTTTCTCGTATGTTAATCAACTGATTGTTGATAATCAACGAGGTGTTGAAGTTAATTCTTGGTTTGAAAGTTGTACACAAAGTTAATTGTGAAACCATTTGATTAATCACTTTTTAATAACTAACCTTTTCTTTTTGATGGTTTCATAGCAATCAAATTAAGACCAACAATTAAGACAAAAAAACTATCAAATATTGAAGGTAACTATTGATTAAAACTTAATCATGGTGTTGATGATTATGATTAATGTTTTAATAATAATTGATTAAGAAAAATCCTTGTAATCAAAATAATAAGTAAAAGTTGTAAAAATCAATTTTAATCATCTGTTGATTGTTAGTATATTAACTGAATGGTAGCATTAGACAAAATAATCACAATTAACTGATTGCGAGTGAAAAACAACTTCACAATCACGGGTTGGTAATCAACAAATTGTTATCAGTTCAAGGTTCATACTAAACAAAATATATCCTCAATGTCAGGTTAGCAATTAAGTAAATATCATAATTTAATTAAACATTCAATCCTTAAATTTAAATTACAATAAATGTTCAATTATAAATGTTCAATGATTAATCATACAATGAATATAAAATTTCATCTTAATTATTGAATCATGTTGATTGTGTTCACTTAATATAGTAATTAACTTTTGATCAACAATGAAAACTAAACTTTGATATGTGTGACAATTAACTGGACAATTTAAGCTAATAATCAATATGTATTAATGATTACAATTAGTTTACAATTATATATTATCTTCAATGATGATTAAGGCTTGTTGATTGTTAAGTTGTTACAACAATTAATGATATCATTTTGATTACAAGTAGATACAATTACTAAGGTGGACAAGGTCACTGGTCAATTATTGAGATGAGATTTGCAATTGAGATAATAATTATAACTAATTAACATCGATGATTATGAAAAATTATTACCTCTCATGAGGGATAATTAGTTTTTGATAACAATTAATAGTAAACAATCAGGGAAACACTCAATTAATGGAAAACAATTAACAAACAATCAGGTTTTAATATAGTGAACCAATTGTATTAGATAACATTTTTTGTTATTAATTGTAACTTTAATTATCTAAAAAATTGTAATCAAAATTAGATGATATCATGTTTTATGTAAATAGTAAGAAATTAAGTAACTACAATTAAATTAATCACGATTCTGATGATTCAGGAAAATCATTCATCTTAATTGTAACCATGCAATCAACTGATTCATTTATGATAACAATTAGCAATCTCAATTTTATCCAGAAAAAAATGAAAATTTTAGTTGATTGTTGAAAGTGTAAGTACAATTAACAATTTATTTACTAATTAACATTGAAAATATTGTGTAACTTGATTAATTGTTGTAAATTCATCTTCATTATCTAACTTAATTCTTAGGTAATTAGATATTGGTGTCAAGATATTCAAAGACAATCAATTTTTCAAGTGATTTAAACAAAAGCGGAAATAATACCAATCACTCTTAATTGTGATCAACAATTACAATTAATATTTACATTACCTGATTTGTATGTTTATTTTGTTCAGTAATCATTAAGAAATCAAACTGTTAGTTAATTGTAAACAATTAACAGAAAGTAAAAAAAGATGGAGACAAATAGTAAATACAACACAAAGAAAACCAAGTCAAATCTAACAATCTGATTAATTACCTTGAAGGATGATTAATTAATGAGTCTCAATAATAAATAATTAGCACTAATCAATTTCTAACTAATCATGTTAATCAAAACCCAAGATTTGCTAATCGGTCACAATTTACCTCCAAATCATTGATTGAGCGTCAAAATAACAACAACAATCAAAACGAGAAACTGAATTAAAAAGTTGATTAACTTAATAATCAAAACTTGAAGGTCTTTTACAATCAAATCAAAGATGAATTATGAATTTGATTGGTCGATAATTAAATCACAATCCAATTATTAATATAATGATATTGATGAAGATATTAAGGTAAATAACATTGAAAACAATTAGCGTTCAAAATTAACCTCATTAATTAGCTAAATTATTGATTCAAATGAAAACAAAAGTTTCAACAATCAACTTTTAAAGCCCTAATAGTTTTAGTAGCTAAGACAACAACAATTTAAACTAAATTAATAGTAAAAAGTTGAATGAAAATCAAGTCCAAAAAGAGTTAATCAAACCTAATTGACATTTAAACTAATTGTCATTACAGATGAGAAAAAAATCCAATCAATAATCTAAAGGCGATCAAGTGTAAGAAAAAAACTGCAGAAATCAAAACTAATTAAACCTGAAGGATGCTGATTAAATCCGATAATCATGATGATGATTAGATAATACAATTAGCTTATCATGTCAAGAATACCAAGAGCAACAATCAGAGCAAATATCTGAATAAATTGTCAAAGAAATTCAATGTAAATGTAGTATTGAAAATCTTAGGAACTATCATGTTATTATCCTCATTAGTCGTAAGCCTCATCTCATGAACGGAACCTTGAAATTCAGTGAGTGAGAGAGAGAAGGAAATAATGAGAGAGTTGTTTAGCTCTCTCTCTCTCTCTCTCTAATCATCATCATCTTAAGGATGATCCAAAAGGCGAGCCAATAGCCGAGGACACTCTGTACGTCAAGGAAAACCCAGAATTACAGTCCATCCAAAAAATGAAATTAAGCTCAAAGTAAATTGTGGTGGTTTATTAACAAACGATTATAAATCATGAATAATTACATAATTGTTGATATTTTTGAATAATATTGTAATGTGTTTAATTGTCCTAAACAATTAACTAACATTATCTCATCTAAAATAATTGTGAATAAAACAATCAAGTTGATCTGATATTTTAATTGTCAGGTAAAAATATAATCTCTATGTTAAATATAAACAATTATGCAAATTTTTCAAGCTGATTAACTAATCAATGTGTATTTATAAACAGGGAACAATTAAAATTTTCATTCATAATTGTTGTCCTTTAATGATGAAGATTAAATTCTTAGAGTTAATTACATTTAATAATAATTTGATTACTTTAAATGACAATGGATTTAAACTAAAGTTTTAATATGGGAATTTCCGAGATAATCAAATTTAATTGTAAATTGTTTGATTTACTTCATATTTAATACGGATAAGTGATGAATAAGAAAACAATAAACATTAAATAATGTGATTAGTTGATATACTAGGCAAGAAAAAATGAATTTAATTGTTAATTGTAAGTGTGTATTTCCTATTGTGATATGTTAATCATCCTAATAATGAGATACAGTCAAACCATTTAGGTTGAATCCAAATTCTATTTCGCATGGATCTTTTCTATTTAGGTTGAATCCGCCATCGGCTAATCCATTGTTTTAATCCATTGGTTCTAAAAAGGTTGAAACTTTTCTAGTTCCTTTGGATCTTTTTCTATTTAGTTTGGACCTTTTGGCTTGAACAATGGTCCGAATCAGTTAAAGAAGTTGTAAATAATAAATCGAGCACCACAAATGATGAGTTAAAGTGATTGAATTGATCATTATGAGTATGATTAACTGATAAATGTTGCATATTTGAAGAAATCTGAACGATAGATAGCTTACAAGTGAGTTTTCAAGCCAAAAGGTCCAAACTAAATAGAAAAAGATCCAAAGGAACTAGAAAAGTTTCAACCTTTTTAGAACCAATGGATTAAAACAATGGATTAGCCGATGGCGGATTCAACCTAAATAGAAAAGATCCATGCGAAATAGAATTTGGATTCAACCTAAATGGTTTGACTGTATAAAGTTAGACAGCAATTTAAATTGTAATGCTAAGTAAGAAATGGCTTAATCATAATTGTAATAATACAACATCAATGAATATATTTATCCTATTGGGAGGATGATGATGTTAATTGCTGATCATAATAGTTACATCATTTATTAATAGTTAGTGTTCACAATTCAAGGGCAATTATTAGTTAATAGTGTTTAGGATTTAATCATTTATATTACAATTTGATAATCAATTGTTATCGTAAAAAAAATATTAATATGATTAACTGGGAATTTTTTTCTGATCAATCAGAGTGATGATGATAAACAATAATAAAAAAAATAAAGTAACAATAATATGATCACTATTTAACTTATGATGGTTGAAATAGACAACAATTAAGTTAATCATGATCATAATCAGAAAACAATCAAGGTTACAAAGTTTCAAGATTGGTTAGCAAAGAGTTAATCATATGTTAATCATATAACACACCCAATTATTAAATTGTTAGACTAGATAATCAATAAGACTTGATTATTATCATTAATTATCTATGAGGGAAATATAAATAAAGGATTGGAGTTAATTGTTAATTGTGAATGATTGGATTCTGTGATGATCAAACAGTCATTTGACTATATTAGAGGATATTAGTTGATTGGATTAATATAATGGTGATTAATCAAACTAATTGTCAGCTTTTGATTATATTGGTTTGCATGTTACTTTGATTTATTTGATTAAAGTTTACAATTTGCTTGATCTTTCAAATGTTGATTATCATTAACTATTGATGATTCCCAATAGTAATTAGGTTTCAATTGTTATAATGTTTAAATTGTATTGATACGATAGGTCAATATCAATCATGATGATCAACAATCAACAATAATGATAAACAATCAAACACACTGATTACTGAATTGATTAACATGAAAAATGATTAAACAACAATAATCGTTTTTATGTTCAGTGTATCAATTTAGTTGATTTGATCTAATTGTTACAAGAATTGTTGATTAATCCTGAAAATTGCAACTTTGACCTCTCGAAATTAAGTTAATCATGAGTTTTTCTCTCTCTCTTTTCGTTGATTGTTCTGACCATTAGTCAATAATCAACGATACTTGATTAGTTGTTCAATTGTTGGTCCAGTTAATCAGGTTTTATTGATTTGATTTTTTTAATAGTTGCTATTGTTTTGATTGTACATCATGTTGATTAATGAAAGTTAATTGTGAATGTCAATGTCAGAGGAATTAGTTTCTCAAGGGAAACCCGTAATTGTTGGCACAATTATAATCAGTTAACAATGAGAATAACAATCAAACATGTTAATCAAAAATACAAACATGGTGATCATCATAATCAACACTAATCACTAATCAGTGAAAGTTAAATTGTGTTTACATTACGTTTTTTTTCACTCATTCATTACAGCATTTTGATTAAACAATTAATGAGGAAAAATTTGATTAATCATTGGATCTTAAATTGTTGGTTTTTTTTTAATGAGTGATAATCTGGTCTAAATGAGAGTAACAATTAGTTGATTGATTACTATTACCACAATATCGTCATACTTATTGTAAACGTAACTATGATAATCATGACAACCATTAACTTAATTATAATTGTCTAACAATTAACTTATTATTATTTTCGAGTTGATTACATTGTGATATCAGAATTATTTTTCCATCGAATAAATTACTTGGGAAATCAGCAACAATTAAATATACATATTCACCTATTGATTGCAAGATAATGGGTAACAATAATCAGTGATTAATCCTACACAATTAACTAATTACGAAGGAGCAAGAAAACAAGATCAATGCCAGTGAATTGCGAAAAGATCATGTGTATCAAATCAACTGATTACTAGTGGATTTGTAAAGTTAATTGTTAATAGCAATGTAAAAACACCTACATAATTAACTAAATTTAAATTGATCATGATAACTGATTAAAAGTTGATTATGATTAAGAATTAAGGGTTTTCTCCAAGTATCAATTAGAGATGACGTTTACTTAATAAGGTTGAGATTTGGAAGGTTATATTTTCCCATACAAAACTTTGAAGGTTAAACAACAATTAACTAATTTCTCGTAGGTTTTTAATTCCGTTTGTAGATATGAGCAAGTTTATAATTCCGGTTGTTGATTAATATTGTTGATTCATCAACACCCTTAATTCAGTGAAAATCTAAACACACACAAAGTTTCAGAGTAATTAAATGATAATTAAATTACAATGATCAATAAAAACAAAATACACTAAACTATCATCACAATTAAAGTTTCAAATTTGGATTAATGTTGTGAAACCCTTGATATGATTCAAGATTAATTAATTAGTTAAACTGGATTAAAGTTCCGGGGGATGAAAAATAATAATGGTTTTTTATTAATCAACGAACTTGATTGTTGGTAATCATGAATTAACAATAATCTAATTGAAATTCATCAAGAATTGATGATTGTGATTGTAAGTAAATGATCAACGATTAAATTGTTACTGCGCCTTATTATTCAATAATCAGACAATTATCAATTTTGACGATTAATTTGATTTGGATATAAATTAAATTATCATTTTGATTATTTTCCTTTCAACGTTAAAAAAGTTAATCAAAAGTGAAACTTTTTTTTTCAGGAACTTGAATACAAAAGTGATAATAATAATGATAATCAACAATTACGATAATAATTGTTGAGATTGATCAGTTGTTAATTGTAAAGGTTTCGCTGGTTGAAATTGATTCCAATTATTATAATTATCTGATGAGTTTTAATATAACTAATTTATATTATGATTATTAAATTGTTGATAAATTGTTAACTGTTTTTTTTCATTGGTTATTAAAGGTAAAAGAAAATAGTTTTATAAATTGTTTGATGTTGTTACAAATTAAGGTTCTAATCATGTTAGTTGGAAACTGTTTATCATGCAAATTGTTAACAACAATTAACATGTAGTATTAAATTGTTGTCGTGTTCATGTTAACTAATATACGTTGATTGTTGGGTTGTTTCTTTCAACAATCAATTAAATAACCAAAAGAAAATAATTCTAATAGTAAATTAAAGGAATTGATTTTAATCAATTCTCTTCACATGTTAACCAGAATAGAATAAGATAAAATAACAATCAATTTGATTAATAAGTAAATTTGTTGATGGAATTTGAGATGGATCAATTTTTACACCAAACTTATTCTAATTAATGTAACTTAATTGGTGCTAATTAGATGTTTAGATCAGAAAAAGAAGATGAAATCTGATAGATTCACTGATGTATTGAGTTTTGGGTCTAATTTTCATCTAATTGTTTGGGGAATGGGAAGATGATAGAAAGATATTCACTTACTGGTGTTTATTGGTCATCATCTTTTTCCACCCAAGTGGTGATGTTTCATCAAGTTTCCAATGGACCAGATCAGCATTGACCTCGGCAAAGACGAAAGGAGCATCATAGTGAAGTCCAATTTCACCTCGACGAACCGCTTCAACCGAAGCAGGTCCCGTTCGGTAAAGTCCTTCAGAGGTTTCCTGTGGTGTAGCATCGATAACCTGCCAGCCACCATAACCAGCAGGAAGATCGGGTCGGGTCATCCAAACATCAGTCCAAACATGGAAATTCCAAATAGAATCAGCGTTAACATCAGTAATAGGTTGACCTTTGGCATCGAAAAATTTATCCACCGTAAGAGAATCATCTGTGTCATGAGCTGAAACAAAATTGGTCACCGTGCGAGCAGGTATACCGAGTGCACGACAAACTGTAGTAGTAACACCGGCAAATACCCAACACTGGCCAAATTTAACGGGTTCACCATTGGTCTCCAAATATTGCTCCAAAATTGGTGCACTTCCAGTCCAACTCCACGGTGGTGTTCCACTCTTATAATCTCCAGACCAATTACCCACTAAAAGACCATTATCGTCATGACTGTTTACCTATGAGAGAAACAGAGAATGAGAGAGAAACAACAACAAAAAAATAGAGAAAAGAACAAAAATAAAAAGAAACCCAAAAAAAGAAAATGGAATTAGAATTTTCAAAGAAAACAAAAGGTCACTTGGAAAAGAAATGGACTTAAGATGGTCAAGCGAATATTGAGAGAGAAGAAGAAAACGAGTTAATCTCCGAAAAAAAAAATGAAACAAAAATTCTAAAAACTAACAATTAACATGGAGAATCAGTTGATTAACATTTTCTTTCAAATTCTTTCGTGAGATTAGCCCTTGTTGTCTATTCTCAGAGCAATTCGCTAATTTTCCCTCTTTGTGATTAGTCAATTCGGTTTGAATTTCGTTTTCTATTTTTTTATCATTTGTTGATCATTCTAATTGTTACAATTACTAAATTAATTTATTTTCTTTTTTTATGATTGTAATTAGAAGGAGAAGAATTTTAACAAATTAAAATAACTGAATCGAAATTCATTTGGTTTTTGTTGTCTAATTTTCTACAATCAATTTAACTGTTAAGGTAAATACAATTTTCTTCCTCATCAACATCATCATCTTCTGACTGTCATCTTTTTGTCTAATGATTAACACTTACTTTCTATTCATTTTGAATAATCTTTTTGTCTTTTTATTCTCTTCTACTGTTTTCTTTTAGGTAAATTTTCACAAAACAAGGAAACGGAATATTGATGTTAAACAGTAAACAAAATTTATCAGTTTTATCAACAATCTTCTTAACCATCTCTCTCATCAAGCTAAATCATCATCATTTTCATTGTTTGGGTTGGTTTTTTTTTTGTTTTCTTCTTCTTCAAGACTCTAAATACAAAATGGTGACAATCAACCAACAAAAAAACAGCCATTTTTTTCATCTTCTTCTTCTTCTTCTGAGTGACCATCAAGATTTTACAGGTTAAAACAATTATCTAATTTGTCATCTTATTGACCATCACTTACCATTTGTGCAACTGCTCGGACAACCTTGATTGGATTACTTCTTGCCGCATAATCTAAACGTGTTTTCCCCATCATATACATAATTGCAGGTAAAACATCTCGATTAAATTGTCCATAAATCCATTGTCTACCTTTGGGTTGATTATATGAACCAATATAAATTTTACCAATATCCATTAATACAAATTCATGTTTTAAATCTTCCCTTTCTAGGTAAACGGTATCCAATTTAGACCATGGATTAAAAAGGATGTAAATGTCTTCCCTCACATCGAAAGACCTTATATTTCGAGATCCATTTTGTTTAGTTGAGATTCGTAATTTCCATGCCGCTACTGCAGCGGTTGGTGGTATATAAACCTCAATTAGAAGCTGATTGTCACTGACTGAAAGTATTTTGGCACGCCACTTATTGGTATCCTTGTTTTCCGGTGTATTCAGGGTAATAGGAAGATAGATTAATGTTCCCTTTCCCAATTGTGGCCTCGGGCCGTACATAAATTCCATCCGGATCTTATCTAATGAAGGTTTGTACGATTTAACTAGACCAATGGTCATTTTAAATGTTGCACCTCTTCTAACAATTAGAGGTGGAAAATTACCATCTAATAATTCATATTTAATTGTTGCATGTTGTTTTGCATTCTGTCTTGATAACAGGTCAACTGAATACACTTCATTGGGTTGTGGACCCACCGAGGATGAGGAAGCAGTTAATGAAAGTGAGATGGATATTGATAAGGAGAGCAAAAAATTGGATAAAATTGGATTATGTGACACAGAATATAAATGAAATGGAGAGTAAACCGTGTCCCGTTGTAACAACATCACGGTTCACCTTTAATATAAGATGCTGATGGATAAACAACCAATTAACACTTTAGAAAAGTTCGTCTTATTTAATTTAAAGATTTCGAATGATTTTGAATGTTGATTTACTTATTATTTTCTTCTTCTTCTTCGCAATCGAATGTTGTCTTATTTCATAAGTTGATTTCTTTTTTTCTTTTTAGCTTATTTGTTTTTCCTGGTTTTCGATTGTATGTGAACTCGTTGTTTCGTTGTGATGATTGATGATAAATTACCTTTTCTCTTTCCAAAACTGAATGGAACTTAACTCACACATGGAATATGATGGAAAATTAAAAAGCAAGAGAAAAAGAGACAAATTCTCAATGACGATAAACAAATTTAAAGGAATAATATGAACGACGATGATGAAGATTAAGCGTAGATATATTGACGATGATTAAAGACGATCGATGGATTATAATGGATTAAAAGATGGAAAAGAAGAAAACAAAACAAACCAAAAAAAAGAAAGGAGAAAGAGATAATCACTGTTACTTAAAACACTACGAGAAAAAAATATATCACACTAACGAGAAGTGTACCATCACCATGAAGACGAGAAGAGAAGTGAAACAACAAAAAAAAAGTTCTTTTAATAAATTAATAACAAAAAAAAAGTTCTAACAATATATATATGATATTGTTTCTATTATATATTGTTATGAACGAAATGTTGTATTGTGATGTTAAAGCTTTTGAGCACAAGCTCAGAGAAAACTCTGTTCTGAACAAACAGACAGAATGGTGTTGGTCGACTTCGGATGAGAGGAAAGTGCTTTCGGGAGATTAACTCTCACTTTCTCTTAATTTTCTTCTTCTTCTTCTTCTTAAACTTTGTCTTCATCATCATCTTATTCTCACTCACTCGCTACACTTTCTCCTTCAAAATCTTACCTGACGAGTATCTACCCTTCTTTGGTCCACCTTCCTGTAACTACGATCGCTTCTTACCTTTTCTCTTCTTTCCCCTATCATCTTCATCTTCCATCATCATTTTCTTCTTCTTCTTATTCGCCTCCAGTCTAATCATCGTCATCTTTACTCTCTTTCCTTGTTACATCTTCTTTTCTTTCTTACTTTCTTTTTAAAAGCCACTTTCACTTTTCTCTCTCTATCTCTCTTTCTCTCTTCAGAAAGAATCGTCTTCTAAATTCCCTCTCTCACTCTCTTATATTTTCTTCTTCTTCTTCTATTTCAAAATGATATTTTACCTCTTTGAGAGAATAGAAAATGAATTTTTCCCAATATCAGTTATTTGGCAACAATTCTAATAGATTACAATTGATCTTTACTAATTATCAACTTTGTTACATGAACAATTTGTTGATTCCTCTCAATGTTATCCAATTGAATTGGAAACTTTTTTTTCCTTTCGCTTTTTCTTGGCAAATCACTTGAATTGGGAAAAATTTTCAATTTCAATTGTCTCATTTAGGAAAACAATTTACTAATCATTACAATTGATTTTAATCTTCTCTCTTCTATTATTTAGATTTAATGTTTTCTCAAATATCAATTCACTTAAAGAGAGTAATTAAGGAGCGAAACAATGAATCATTAACTAATCATGAGCAGTTTCCATGCTAGAGATTGACCTTTTGGTGGACAATTTACTCAGAAAATTGCGTTTACATCCAATTTATCAACAATTAAACAATAATCAACACAATTATTATCACCATTCACAAAGGAGAAATGATCAATTAATTATGACTCATTAACTATCAACAATTATCATATGGATTTACCAACGAAGAAGGTGTTTGTTTGTTTAATCAAAGTTTTGTTTATTTTGCTTTCGATAATTATTACTATTATTGTTATTATTAATTATCTTGGATTTCCAGTAACATCATCATCATCATTTTCACCATCACAATAATGGTTATAATCAACAATTTATGAAAATCTGATTCCAAATGACATTGAAGCAAGGTCAATTTGTCGCTTTTACCATAACATAATTAAGAGGAGAACCTGTTGATTACAATTGGTTTTTTTTTCATTCATTTATTGTTATTATCATTTCTCTTTGTGGTTATGATGATAATTATGATGAAGATGAAGATGAAGATGTCAGTTACTTGGAAACATCTTCATCTTCACAATATTTATCTTCATGGTGGTTTCATCACCATTATGATTACACGATTATCGTGAAAATTGAGGTCAAGTTTGAGGTCACTTTTAAAACTTTGTGAAATTAGAGTTAACCATTTTAATACAATAGAAATTAATTTTCCAGCTAATCACTGATTTAATCGTTAATCACTGATTAACTTTTCTAAATGATATTTATTGTTATTTTCAGTTGATTGTGGAAACTTTTTTTTCTCACTTTTTTTCTGGCAATTTTCATGTTGATTAATTTAAATTAGTTATTTAATTATTTTAATTTAATATCCAAGGGTAAATGGTGATTAAGGTGTTGTAACGGTTAACAATTTAGGTTAATCAATTTCAATTTTGTCTTTTTAAAATTGTAATTAAACACGATGATCATGATTTTCCTAATCAACATAGAAAATTAAAATTACCTTTTTTTATTATTTCGTTAATATTATTTAACTAATTACAATCAATAGTCATTTTCTGTTAATTGTGATCAACGATGAGATTTTTTTTTCTTTTTCTCAAAACTAATCAACAATTTGGTTAATTGTTTGAAGTTTACTTGTTCCTAATACATTATGTTAACCATCATGACTGATGTAAATATTTAACAACCACTAATTGTGATGTAATTGATTGTCAATCAACTGACTAAATTTAACGTTATGTGTTAAGATACTTGTTAGTAATGGTTAATTGTTGTGTTGATTGTTCCAAGGGTAGATGTTAATTGTTGTTTATTTTGGAGGTGAATCTGTATCTTGTTGTTTTTTTCTTCTATTCATCATTCATGATCCTCTTCCGTGATGATAATAATGATGAAAATCACTAAATTATCAGTAATCATAATGTAAAAAGAAACTAAATTAACTTAATTGTTAACTTTATGTTACCTTGATTGATTGAATTGTTACTCTACCTTGAAGGTGATGATGAAGATGAAGGTTTCAAACTCAAATGGCTCAAGGAGTTTACTGTTAATTTATAATAGAAACTGTTAAATGATATATAAATTATCAACAATTAATTACGATGAACATCATTTAATTTAATCATCATATTGATAATAAGTTTTTCATTTAATCAGTAGCAATTTAAATCCATTGGTTTATTTTGAGCGCAATTTTTGACACCAACCTTGTGAAAAAACAAACAATCAGTCTAAATAATTAGTTTCATTTTCCAGCAATTAAGTTTACTAACTGTTGTTATTAACAATTATTGATATTTTTCAAGATGATTTTGATGATGAATTGATTTTTTTTACCTCAAATATTGGTTCAAAAATTGATTGTTGAAGGTTAATTGTGATTAAAAGAGGAAAAAAGTTTATGCTAATTGTGATTTTCCAATTGTTTAATATTGGATTTTGATTAATATCATTAACATTGGAAAATCCTTAATCTATTATAACTTTTTGTTAACTATTTGGGTACAATCAGTTAATTATCATTGGGAAAAGTTAACTCTTTATTTCCAAATGAATTCTGTTAATTGTAGGTTGATTATCAACAATCTAAGAGTATGATAACCTTGCAAGGAGAGATTGTTTATCTTGTATCCGATTAGATTCATCATCAATCAAACAATTAACTAGAGAGAGAGAGAGAGAGAACCTGAAGAAATTAAATTCTGTGTTCAATTCCAACAATTTACTTGATGACAATCAAATTTTACTCAGAATCGAATCGAAATTATGAAAACTTTCCATTCAATTTAACGGTAATTTAGTCTAGAAAATGATGAGTCTTAATTGTCGTATCCTTGCCTCTGGACACTGGCGATTACTGGTCATCTTTATTTCCTTTTACTTTGGTACAATTTTCTTCCTCTTCTTGTCTTCCTTGATCTTCTTCTTTACAATCTCTCTGAAAGGAAGATGATAAATCCAGGTATTTACAGGTAATTCCATCAAATTAAATCAAACTACTTTTTTCCATCTTCATTTTAAAGGACATTCATTCGTAATGACATTAAGAAAAATAATCATCTTCATATGTTGACAGTTTTTTCTTCTTCTTTTTTACCTTGATTTCTCTCTCAAGGTCATTCATGTACCATCATAAGGGTCAAATTGTTGTTGTTGTTGTTTTGATTACTTAACATACTCATCGTAATCCTAATCCAGTGACAGTTTTATCATAATAATTTTCTCTCAATGATAAAACCTCAAATCTTATAAGATTATCTCTTCCTTAGGTGAGATTATCATTCTTGCCTAACAAGGTGACAATTTCTGTCCAATTGGATTAATTGGTTTTACCAACGAATCAAGTGAATTCAAATCGTTACAATATTGGATCAGAAAATGATATAAGTATAACTATCAGGTTTTAATTGTAAATTGAATAGAGAATTGCAAGTTTGAAAAGAGAAAGAAAAAAACAAACTGGATTAGATTAGAAGTGGAAAGTTAATTTGATTTAAATTAAAGTGTTTCCAGTGAGATTTCACTTACCTGGTTCTTTCTCTCTCTCTCTCTCTCTCGTCATCGTCATCATCTTCATAATCAACAGGTAGAAAGAGGGAGAGTAAAAGTGAGAGAGAGCCAAGTTGATGATCCGGTTAAAAGCTCAACCATTATAATTGATTGTCACTTGATTGTTGGAGATTCAGATTAACCATCACAATTTGACCAGTTAACCAGTTAATTGGAATAACAAGTTTTTCTACCTGAGTAAATGACAATACATTGTTTTGACTAAACAAACTTACTAATTATGATGACAATTAACACCCAAATGTGACAATTAAATAGTATCATTATCAATCGATGTAGAAGTTTCAAATTTCAAATCTAAAAGATTGTTAATATAAGAACGATATGATTAACTGATTCACATGCGATTCTTTCAAAAGTTTGAGATAGAAAATTCAACCAGAATTTTAAGTTCGATGTGAACATTTTATCGAACAATTCGAGACTCATTTCGGATGAATTTTCTCTCATTCTCTCTCTCTCTCTCTCTTGATTGGGACTTAAATCGAGGCCAAGGTTGTAAACGATTGTTGATTAATTAATTCTGACAATTGATCTTACTCGATGTTGTTTCCTATTCTTTTGTATTGTAAAACTTTTTTTTTCCTTCGTTAATAACAGTAAATTGAATTCTCAATGTTCATCATGATCGATGATGATGAGACTTTAATTGTCACCTCTTTTTGATTCTTCTTACTTTCGACCAACAATCAACTGATTACATACCTTTTCTACTAACGATTAACTAAATGGTCTTATAATTTGATCGTAAAATTAAAAAAAAATCGTGAATTAAGCCAATCAAACAATTTAATATGAAATGAGAAACGATTCTTACCAAGTAATGATACACAAAATACACTTTCAAGCTTAAATATTAATTGTGATGATGATTTTTGATTAAATCAGCAGGGGAAAATGATTAACTACCCTGATTAAGCCTGATGATTAGCCTGAAGATGATGAATTGAGCCCAGAGTTGACGGGATGAATGTTATTTTAGTTCGAGGTACGTGCGTTAAATGTTCAATTTGAAATTTGAACCTTTTCGGTTAATCGATTTTACTAAAAAATTTGATTATCGTCTTTTTCTGGTGTCCTAATTAAGGTAAACACCTA